AGCAGAATAGTTGAATACGAAGTTTGAACGAGCAAAAAGGTTTGAAAATTTGTCTATGCGCGTATTCTCTCATGTATCCCCATGTCATCTACATTGTACTGTTATGTTAATGCTAAAAAAACTATTGAATAAAAGGACGTTTAAGTTTAACTGTCGTGAAAGAATTCGTTAAAGTATAAGTAAAGTAAAATATCATGCCAGTCAATATTTAACGTTGCAGGTAATTTAGTGTTAACAACTGGGTTGAAAACGTAAATTAGCCACCGTAAAGGGTAAAAAAGCTGACGTTTCGAGCGTTAGCCCTTCGTCAGAGCGATTAGAGGAATTGTGGGTTGTGTGTGGATTTATATGTAGAAAGTGGAGCTACGCCCGTTGGTGGGAATATGGTGACGAGAAAACAGGAATAAATTAGTTGAATGAAAAGCGCTCGTTGATTCCGTGGGGATTCAGGGTGCCGATTTGGAATATAAATTTTTGTTCTAGTGTTTTACGGCTTTCCGAACTGCCTAGATGTAAGTAACGTTGTTTTCTTGTAACAAACTGATGTGTTCTTGCAAGAATAAGGCTCATGTAGCAAATTTATTGCAACTATAAATTACGTAGAGACATAGCAAAAAAATCCTGGCCCTTCAATATATGTTGACCCTAACAAAACAACAGTAGCTCCATATAGTCAAGGTAACGAGTTAGTCTTTGGACAGAATGCAGGACAACGTGTTGCAATGAGTTTGTCCTTTGATTTACAATAACACGCAAGGGATCAGCTCTGCGAATGATCTTATACAAATAATGGTTATTGGGAAATCAGCTTTATTCAAGTTTGTCATGTTTAGCCAGGCAGGCTGTCTAATGAAATCAGAGTTACCAACAGCGTTAAATGTGTTTGACGCTGATTATCAACTGGAATACAATGAAAGCTACTCTAGTACTGTTCATTAAGAAATTACTATAGAGGGATATCAGTACTGTACGTCTTTAAAAAGAGCCTTTGAGTCGCTCATATCTGAAAGCCACACCAATTTCATATTAACAGTAGGGTGTGTTGCTGTTGCAACCTATTGTAATAGTAATATGGGGTTCAAAATATATGATTGTCATGCTAGAGATTTGTATTGTTCTTGTTGGATGACAATTGCTACTACTATACCATTGAAATATTATCTTTGTAATTTGTAGATATAAAGTCATATGAAAAATATTAAATTTATTATAATCTTACAGTGTGTCTTTTTCCTCACTGCATCATATCAAACTCTTTCCCCAGTGCGACGAACATTTGTTTTTCTCGGCTCCAGGGGTACACAACCACTAACCCCAGGTAATACGCATGCTCTCTTTTACGAATTTTCAAAATGGCGGACAGGCCAAAGAGGAAAATAGAAAAAACAAAGCGATTTTGCAATGAATACTCAACATACACCCCCATTAGAAAGGCGAATCCACGGAAGAAAGATACAAAACTGTATGATATTTAGAACGATATGATATTAAATCGATACCGTGGGCCCGTCTCCAACTTGCTAAGAGGTGCATTTTATTGCCTCCAGCACGATTACTAGCTTTCTTGACAGCTTTTAAAGAAAGAATATTTTCTTTCTGAAGACTTCTGATATGCAGCTATTGCTAGCTCCTCGTATTCCTGATTGCTCAAACAATTTTTTAACGATTGTTGAAAGGACCGAGTCATGGTTCTCCGTCTTCGTCTTTTTATTGCTTTGAAATAGTATCGATTAGTAAGCTGAAACGAAAAATTAATCGGGGAAGTTTATGAAAAATCCAGCAAACAAGCTTAAAAAGGCATTTATTTAGACTTCATACTTCAACGAACTTCACAAATCTTACTTGTTTATCTGATGGCAGATTAATTCCCGAAGCGCTTTCTGAGTTTCCCGATCCCTCTCCTACTGCTTTCACGCTTACAAAACAGGGAAAAATTAAAAGGAGGAAGCTACAGCTGTTTTGAAACGCCATTTGACGAGGGTAAATCTCATTTTTGTCCGACACTTTACATATTAAAACAAAGGAAATTTGTTCCTCTTTTTGATTCTGGCGGTACATTTTTAATTTGCGCCTGCGTAAAAGAGATATCGCCCGAGACCCTTCGCTCGGTCGTGTTTTGATCAAAAACGCCTTGTTAATTTCACGTAACCGCTCGGAGAAAAGGTAAAAATGACGAGGGAAAAACTTTACCTTCAAGTTAGAAAATTAGCAAAATAGAAAGCCACAATATTCTAGTTTAATATTTCAGAGGTACACTGAGTGCTTTTTCCGTAGAGAACCCGCACGATGGTAAAACATTTGAAAATTACAGTCGATTTGAGTGGGGCGTTGAAGTGGGCGTGGTCACTACATTTATGTTGAGACTATTTGTACCCCATGAGTTTGATATGTATACAGAATGAAAAAAGTTAGTTAATTTTCATATGCAAATGAAAATTTGCAATTACTGTAATTAGTAGACTCTGAATTTTTTTGTACATTATCAACTGCTACAAACTTAATTGTCATTTTTTATTCGAGGGCAAATGAAAATAATGGTTTTGATTAGAGTGATTTCAATAAGCCTGGGTACTGCTGATGAATTACATTAATGTTATTAGATGTGAAATGCCTTGTGACCTTTTGTTTCTTTACATCTTTTAGAGTGATATTCATTTGCCCATGAAATAGAGAAATGACTATTTAGTTTGTAGTAGTTGATAAAGAACAAAGAAAACAAAAAAATTAACAGTACACCACCAACTGTCAATTACCCTATTCTTTCGAAGGAAATGAAAATTACTCTAAACACTAACAGTTAAATAGTACTCACCAGGTTTAGTGAAACCACTCTAACCAATAAAACTTTATTAACTAAAGTATATTAGCCCAGTATCTCCAAATGGAAACAAACAAATTGGGAGGTACTAGTAAAAAATATCCATAAGTATATTTCACATATTCATGAGAACCACTCCAACAACCCCATAAAATTAATAGTTCATCTAGTAATAACCCTTGGTGGTGATTTTTTGTTTTCTTTTGGTTAAGAGTCATCACCCAAGCACTTGGGGCTGTTCATAATTAAAAGTTATCTTAGCCGGAAACTTTTATAAACCAAGAAAAAGAAAACTTAAGAAGACAGCCTGTTAGGCAAAAGACTTACCCTGCTACAACCCTTAACCCGCAAAACAAAATTTAATCAAGTCAAAACTAAAAAAAAATGAAAATAGTGTATTGTAGTAAGTATTGAAAGAATAGCTAATTATATATGGCACTACCTGCCCCCACCCCACCTCAGAAAAGGGTCTTTACAATACATAGCAAATGCCGTTTTCAGCTCATGCAGTATACATATGTGAGAAACCTGCATGTTTGGCAAACCAAGAGAAAAAACAGTTACAGGAGAAATCAATAATTGCATAAAAAAAACTTAGGCAAATGCAGGCACGAAAAACAAAGTTTACTTCCAACAGAAAGCCCGGGTGAACGCAAATATGCGTCTAGTTGTTATTATTATTTGGCAGGCCGCAATCCACAGTTATGTTGAACTAGCCTACGTGTAGCCGTACCCTCACCCAGCCCGTTCCCTTGCTTTAATTTCACCTTGCAGGGGAGGGTACGGCTACACTTAGGCTAATGGTGAACTGACTGATTCAGTCTTCTGGCTTCTGGAGTTTTCCGCAGGGATTCTCGTTTCGCAAATTACAGATTTCTATTTTGCAAATCATTGGCATATTTTCATTAATACAGATTTCTATTTTGCAAATCATAAGCATATTTCCTTATTTCTATTTTGCAAATAATTACCATATTTCCATCTCGCAAATTTGTAAATTATTAGCATATTTCCATTTCGCAAATTTGCAAAGTATTAGCATATTTCCATTTCGCAAATTTGCAAATTACATGCATATTTCCATCTCGCAAATTTGCAAATTATAAGCATATTTCCATTTCGCAAATTACAGATTTTCGTTTCGTTTAGTTTCGGTTCGTTTCGCAAATTACAGTAAGCCCTAAGGAAGAGCTAGCGACAAATTAAAGGCCCATTTCCAACCTTGATGCAATCTACTTTTATTTACAATCCTCAAGCGCTTTCAGGCAGCCTGAAATTTCGAACTTGATGTTTTTCGCTAACCCTGTTTACAGAGTAGGAAGCCATCCATACGCTTGACACCTAAAAACTTTTCAATGACACAGCTGGACACGGTCCTCAAATAACTCCCTATTTCTCTACGAAATATACCGATTTTTTGTTAGAAAATATTCTACCTTCATTTACAATCCTCAAGCGATTCTAGAAAGTGAAAAAATTCCAACGTTGTCCGTTTCGCTGACCTTGTAAACAGAGAGCGAAAAGATCCAAGCGTGACACTAAGAAAATTTTCACCGGACACTACTGGACACGGTCTTCGGATAACTAAACGTCTGGCAGTGTGATATTTTTCCATATTTCTCTTTGAAAAATACCGATTTATATTGGAAATATTTCATCTTCATTTAGAATCCTCAAGCGCCTCTAGAAAGTGAAAAGTTTGAACGTTTTCCTTTTCCCCGACTCTGTTCACAGAGTACGAAGAGATCCAAGCTTGGCACTTCTGGACAAAATTCAAAATACTGTAAGAAAACTGTAAAATGACGAACGGCGAATGTATTTACCGTAAAACAGTTGACTATATGTCCAGGATGGCTCTTGAGAACGACGATTTTAGAAGGTTTACAGTGATCTGGGAATTTCGTGTTACAGGAAATTGGGTCGCGGCGCGCGTTGCATCAAGGTTGGAAATGGGCATTTAAGGTCAGAGAAGGGAGCTTCGAAAATATCACGCCACAATCATGCCACTGGCCTCAGCCAAGTTCTGATCACGTGAAAAACATGGGAATTTTGGGGTACATTTGAATTTATGCAAAATACAACTCCTATTTAGAACGGGAATGACAAAAGATTGTTCACTATTTATTGTTGCCTAGTTACTGAGACTGACTGACAGTAAAATGCATTGGGTGCGTCTGTCTAACAAAGAGTTGCTAGTACTGAGAAAGTGCGCAAGATCCCACTGCCTCAAGTTCAGCCCGCTCGTCGACGCTTTGACACTACGCCTCCAATCTTCAGTTTTTTGACTCTTAAGGAAACATCAAGCCCTTCAAGATGAAGCTGTGGTTTGTTGCTGCCATACTTATCTCCGTTGCGTTTCCATCCGGTAAGTGATTTCATCGCAAAATACTTTTTTTTAATCCACATCCTTTCGATTGCAGCGAGCAACTGTAAGGCGAAGCCATCGTCGTAAATCATGTTAGATTCGCCACAAGTGCAGTAAAACAGAGAATAAAATGATGTTCCATATCAATTTATCGCTTTGAGCCTTCAGAGAGTGATACAAGAGAAAGAAAAAAATAAGCTAATTTCCGCCGCACATTACAAGGACATTCCTTTACCACAAACAATTTAATTCATGATTTGAACTTCGATAAAAAACAGAACCTTACGGACGTCGAGAAGGGATAATCTTAAAATATTTGCAAATCCGAAAAAATAATAAGAACCGATATCTTTTAGATAAATCGCTTTTGAAAAGTTTGTCAAATCGAGTTAGCAATTTCAAATCCTGGTTTAATTCATAGATCCACAAATAACTTTCATGAAAGTCGAAAACAGTTTAAAATCCAAGAATCTTTTCAAAATCCAAAAGATTTTCGTAAATCGAGAAGAATAGTCGGTACTTGGTCACGATACAGCACATTGTGTCGCATTAAGTTGCGCTAGCTCGACTTGGAGTCACTACGCGAAAGAACTGAACTGTGCCAGTGTTTATTAAACTTCTTTCAGCCTTGGGGCATATTTTGCCAAACCTAAGGATCCTGTCACGAAAGAACAACGAACCGATGCTATTTTTTCTATTCCGTGCAATGACTGTGATAACGAGTATATCGGACAGATCAAATTACAGTTTGGTACACGTTTGAAAGAGCATCAAAAAGCGGTCTTCTTTGGCAAAAAAGGAAAATTCAGCTTTATCGGAGCACACATGCCTAACCGACCATACAATTGGGTGAAACAAGTCTAAAATTATCAGCTCTAATTGGCGTTACCACCATCGCCTTTGTTAGGAAGCATGGCATATCAACTCAGTCTCCTTTAAATCGTGATGATGGCGGCCTCCTTCCTAACGCCTATTTACACTTTGTTAGAAAAAAGGGCTTCTAATTAGTGAGCGTATAAAAAGACCTCTTATTGCAGCGTTTAGATCACCCCGGCTGATGAAGGTACTAGATAGGAGTGTCGAAATGTTAGGTCTATGAATTGTAACTTCGCGGTTACATTCATTAAATCTTTAAGCCAGAGTAGCATCATCATCATATGCGATATTCTGCCAACACGGAAACCATTTTACACTTCTTTTATAAATTAACTAATGGAAGAGGAACGAAAACCGTGTTTACATACGCTCATGTAAAATGGTTTTATGGCCAATCAGAGCGCGCGTACCATTTGAATTATTTTATAATATAGTTTGTTCTTAACTTGTTCCACATCGCACGATTGTCAGATTCTTTGCACACGTTCAACGCAGACCCACATGAACTGTCACGTTTTTCAAACTTGTTATGCAACGTTTTGTTTGTACAGTGGTGACATTTGATCTGAGCGATTGACATTTGAAACTAATAAATGTTTATTTACATGACCTGTGTAGTTTCCGACATTGAAAGGGACATTCATCGCGATCGACACTGGGTTAGGTTGTAAAAAGGCACGAATTTCAATTGTACGACCTGAAGTTTATTGAAACGATATCCAAGAAGTAATGAAGAGCTTTCAATTTTACGTTTAATTATCTCCCGAACTTCGAGCTCTGAATAGACTTCATTTCTCTCTCTCTCTCAACCCATACTCACGCAACCTTCTCTTTGGAGTCCTCGAGTCCATAGAAATATCTATTTTCGATTCGCATGAAAGTTTTTTGTAGATTTATCAATTAAACCATGATTTGAAATTGTTTTCTCGATTTGACAAACTTTTCAAAAGCGATTTGTCTAAAAAGATGTCGAATCTTAATATTTTTTTCGGATTTGCAAAATTTTTTTGGATTATCCCCTTTCGACTTCCGTAGAACCTTGCTCCTGATAATAATACCGAAAAATATCAGAGGAATGTTCAGTAAGTAAACAAGGGTCCAGGTTATCGAAATGTTAATTAAGGATCAAAGTAAATTGAAGTTGCTCCTTTACATAAATGAAATAATTATGCGTAAATTTTCAAATTTTGTAGCTAATTTCTCATTTGAGAAAAACTAGGTCAGTTAATAACGGTAGAAATTGTTACCTCATTCATCTTCATCTAAGCATTCCTTGTCGTGTGTGTTTTCAGTTTTGAGTTTGAAGTGCATGGCCTGCGGCAGTACCGAGTCCTGGGATAAATGCAAAGGAGTAAGTATCACCTGCCCGGCTATGGCGTCCGATCAATGTGTGAAACTCTACTTTAAAACCCCTAAAGCCGAATCGTTCATTAAATCGTGCGGAACCGATGCTTACTGTGATGAAAAAACCAACCCTACTTGTAAAGAAGCCACTGGATCCTATGAGTGTGACATCTACTGCTGCAAAGGCGACAACTGCAATAGTGGCACAGAAACTCGCATCAGCGGTATTCTCTTGGTATCATGCGCCCTGGCCTCTCTGATGATCTTTTACAAGGCCTGAGACTAGACTGAGGTTGATGTTCAGCACGGCTCATGACCAAGACTGCAACTAGTTATAAGCTTTTTTTGAAGGATGTCAGTTGTGAATTAAGATAGAACGTCTTGCTTAAGACATAGTAGTCGTCTGTAGGACGATCTTCGTGAAAAGGAGATGAAGTCAGGCCGATTTATACCTACAAGAGAGGATGCTGGTCCATCGTAGTCTGCACGTATTGTGCTTATTAGTTAAAGTCAAGTAGAGGCTTTTTTAAATATTGTTAAATGATGCAGTTCTGGGAAATAAAACGTTGTTTCTAACTACCTCTTCTTATTTAATCAGCACTATGAGTTACAGGAATCATTTGGCTAAAAATTCCACTCCTCCTCCATATTGCGGCGAAATTAACATGAGCTTATGTGTATTAATAGGTACACTGCTTGTAAGAGTAACCCGTAACACGTTAAATATCATCATCGTGACCATTAAATTTGTCCGGCGCCCCCAAATAAAACGATTTCCGTTGTACGTATCACTGTGTTAGCCAGAACCGTGGCACCCAAATATTCTTCTCACCCTTCCTAAAAAAAATTTCCAAATTTTTACAATTTCACATGTACCTGCTCGTAAAACTCCCTGAGGAAGTCCACAAAACGAGTCGGAGATTAAAGAAGTTTTCCAACCACTGTTCACAGAGTGCTGCTCATTAGTTTAGCATTGCAATATTCTTTAAAAAAATTTCAATACGATCGACTAAGACTGGTCAACATGACCGGCAAGACGACTAACTCCTTGACCGGTAAAATCCTCATTCAGTCTCAAGCTTCCACCGGTTTTGATTTAATTGTTGGAGCTTTTAGCTCCAAATGAAATTCAACAATAACGACTTCGATGATGATCTCGTAAATCCAAAAATAAGCACATATTCAGGTTATACTGTGATTTGTAGACCCATTACTGTACTGAAAGCAGCTACTTTTCCTAGAAACTATAGCAATCAGCATTCGATTTAAAATATATATACCAGCCCTTTGAAAACAAAAAGTAATGCAATGTTTTTCCTCTCAGTTTTATTATTGCAGTGATAATATATGACAACTGCTGCTAAATCTATTTTGGCCCCAGTCCTCATTGGCCGGTTGTCTCGCGGAGCGCCATGGTTGCGTTACATGGGTTCCCTTCCGCTCGCCATCTGTTTAACTATAGTTGCTCTGTGGTCACTTCAGCATTGAGTCCCACAGTAATTTTGAAACAAACCAAATGAAAGCAAAATGAAACAGTGGCGACTTGTCTCCTGTTTTTTCTACCTGCTTTTTCCCAAAGGTAAGGCTAACTGTATCAGTACCAATGAATGCAATAGGAAACAATCGACTGACTGACCGGGTAATTGTTTATCTTTATTATGGCATAATTTGTAAAACATTTCCACCAAAAAGCTATCAATCGAAGCATGTAGTAATTATCTCTCTTTGAGTTAGGCTTTATTTTAAGAGATGTAAAACTGATTTGACGCAGCTTTTTAAAAATTCCTGATGTCTGTGCGGTCAGTGGGCTTTTTACGGACTTCTTACGTTTTAGTAAAAATAGTTGCTTTCAGTAAAAGTGAAGATTTGCGAGGTCTGAAGCTATGTTACCAGAATATTTCTGGTGCGGTACGCCAGATCAGCGGAATCCTGCTATTGACATGCGTCCTGCTATCGGTTTTGTAAATTAAGTTTCGAGTTTATCGTTTAAGATGCACCCAGTCCGCTCAATGTTCATTAACTGTGAAAAGTTCAACATTCTTCGGTTACAACAAAGCCAGAAGAAGTTGATTTTGTATTAATTTTGCAAATTACAATAAAACTGCGAAGACTGTTTCACCAGTTCCTGAGGATGCATAATATGAAACGATTCATGTATGGATTAGTAACCTAGGGCACATTTTTGCCCGAAGAGGGTTACTTGGGTCAATTTCACGACATTTGGCCCCTTAAAACATTCCGTTACCGATAGCCTAATACTTGGACGTAACCTCCTCCACCCTCCTCCATCTCCCCCCCTCCTCCATCTCCCCCCCCCCCCACTCCTTCCAAGGGGCGCAAATGGTCTGACGAATCTTTGTTATGAACACATCTATTGAGCTTGGAATTTTTTCTCTAGTTACGCTTCATATGAAGTATTACGTGGACTATTACCTTAATTTTTCACTGGTGCTCGACTTAAAGTTTTATGCTCTGAGGGAACAAGGGCGGAAGGGGGGGGAGGGGGGGAGGGGGGAGAGGAGAGGAAAAAGGCCGCAAGGCGAGAGAGAAAAGAAAAATGGTAAATAAGGCAAGAGCAGAATTTGAATTTCTATTGCATTGATTCAACAGCCAGCCTACTGGATTTTTTTTATTACCCGTTTACTCACTGCAGCATTATCCTCTAACACTTGCATGTCTTGACAGACTTGACGTGATTTATGTTGTCTTTTTTATTATTCAATTTAGCTGTTCCTGCAAAACAACTCTCACAATATTTCTCCATTAATTTGATCTATGGAACAAGAGAATAATGATTAGAATTAAAAAAAAAAAAATGAGACATTCCACATGATGAAACGTCACGCCACTCCTTGAAGGTTCTCGCCATCTTCTTGTTCCAGTATGGACACAGCTTTTCCTCGCCGTTTGTCACACAACAACATAAAGGGAATGAACGATCCTGCCAGCGTAATACCTCCAGCAACTTGGAAAGGAAGGACATATGAGCCCAATTTGTCCGCTAAAAGACCTGATAAAACAAATAAATGAAATGAATGTGAAACAACGATTCTGAGAAAATCCTAATCTCCGTAGCAATTTTTGACAAATGGAACTACATTTTTGACTTATGGTTGCGAAATTTGTCCATGTGATAAAAAGGTACTCTTTAGAGCCTGGATAACAGAAACACTGATAGGATATGACGTGTCACAAGCGAGGGCCTAGAGATGAGAACGTACGTTAGCCAAGTTCTTCAAAAAGAATGGGGTTGAGAGGTTACTTCACCAACTCTCATCAAGTAACTGCACTCCTGGACACATTTTTTGACACTTGTTGCCTCGCTTGCCCCTCTCAGTGATAGTCTCTGGGATACTACGTACAAAGTGGTAACTACAAGAGTGGAAGGGGGGAGGGGCACGTGAACATTACCACTGATATTTCAAATATACAGACCCGATTTCATGGTCAAAACTTACTCCTCTTTTAAAACCAAACGGAAAATTTTCATTCATCAACACTTTATATCGATTAGCTAGAGTGAGACTGTACCCAAGCAACTCTTGATTTTTCTTTCGTTTTTCATCTAAGGTAAGTATGCGTGGGCTATGATCATTGGTTAAGAGCTGAGAAGGGGTTGGGGACTAGTCATTATTATGGTTTTCAGGGGAAACGGAGGGGGGGGGAAAGAGGGTCCATTATTCAGTTATCGCCAACACAGCATAAAGGGGGGAGGGGACTATAAATTACCTGTAGATGAAGGGAAATCACAAGAATGTTTCACAGCCCTAGGGGGAATCAGATAAATTTGATCGTGATACAACCAAAATCCTCCAGCCTCCTTAAGCAATGAGTAATGGCCTGTCTCTCGTGGTATATGACACATATCTACTGCACTTTATAAATACTTTAAAGATATCACTTGAGTACAAGTTTTCTGCCCATACCCGCTAATGGAGGACCACTGGCCAAGAAAGCTGATGTCAGCATCATTTCCCAGCCAAGCACTGCGGGCGTCTTTAACGGACTGGCCGTGAGAAGAATGAAACTCAAACTCGTGAAGAAGAATCCGTCGCTGAGACCATATACTATAACGTAGATAACCAAAGGTGTGTAGGTTGTAGTAAGAGTAACAAGGATTGTGCTCAAACCAGCCACAAACTCTGCAGCCTGAAACACGTAGAATGGGTTCACCTTCTCGTTGTTGCACATAATACCAGCCAGGAGCCGACCAATGGCGGAGCACAGTCCGTAGTAGATAAACAATTTTGAACCTTTCTCGGCCGAGATTCCTAGATCTTCACCGTAGCGAATCTAGAGAGAAAGACAAAGATAAGAAGCGGAAAGAAAAAGTCGAGGCGACATGAAATGTGGCCTCGATTGCGCACACATGTCACCTCAATCGCGCGCAGAATAATCTGTGCATAAGCAAATTTCAACTGGTCATGTACGAGCTTCTTTGTCAAAGGATGGTAAGAGCGTTTCGATCGCTTTTGTTAAGGGTCGGACTTACCAAATGAATCTGCGGCACAAAATGGCCGAACTCTACCACACATGCGCCTACTATGATAGCAATGACTGGTAGTTCTTTCCACACGGAGAAATCAATCAGCTGTTTCTTTGTGGCACCCTCCTCAATCGCTTTATCGCCCCCGTGACGTTCCTCTTTCTCTTGATTGTCGTTATCATCTTCATCACTCTCAACGTTGGGATCAAATGTCACAGCGAGAGAACACAAGATGAACGCCACTCCCGCCATTATGCGATAAGTCGTTTGCCAGCTACCGGTGATTCTCACTAGGGCCTCTAACGTGGGGCCCATAACGAGCACTCCTCCACCGTGCCCAGCTGTTAATACCCCTGTTGCTAATGACTGTCTTTTTTTAAAGTACTTTCCTATTACTACCAGACCCGCAGAGAACGTGCAACTGGATCCCAAACCAAATAGGAGACTGTAGGTAAAGAAGAGAACCATCATGTTCTCCACGAAAGAGCTGGTAATCAAACTGACGACACAGAATGCGCCTCCGATCAAAGTTGTGACTCGGCAGCCAAACCGAGTAACCAGAGCAGAAGACAGGTGCCCAGTGAAGAAGGCCAAGGCGATACCAACAGAACCGAGCCATGCTAAACCATCAAATAAAACATCACATATGTTACTTTTTTTTTTCTTATTTCAAATGAAGGCTACGACGAAAATGACAAAGTTGTATTGCTTGATCCTTTACATCCTAACATCAGTATGCGTATTCTCCATATTGTTCTCTTTGCATTTTTTAGGGTACCGACTTTCGTAAACTTTGCCCCCTTTACTAGGGATAGAATCCTAACGAACTAGACTCAATCAACAGACTCGATTAAGCTCAATTGTTTATCTCCACTCTCGTATTCACTCAGTTACGACGGGCATGTAGAGCTACTCTGCATAACTTGTAACGAAATCACTCTCTTGTACTTGTAGATTCTCCACATTGTGATTAGTAGTTGCTAAGGCCTGATATAGGTTGCGTCGATCATGCAAACTGATCAATGTCCCAAAATCACGAAAGGCGGTGATTCCAGCTCTTGATAACAAATGATAGTCTCTCTTGATGTAATGTTTACACTTGTTATCTGATATGTGTCACGCACAAAACACAGTCTCCGACACCGACAAGGAGAATTTGTTTTTAACAATCAAGAGCTTCTTTAGTTGGTGATCATTTCCTTAACTCTCGTGACCTTAATGTTCGATCCAGGGGTGATATTGTAAGGAGAAGTTAGATGCTAGAGGCTAAATAATCTTGCGAGAATTTATATTAAGATCAAGCTTGGGAGTGACCCAGGCCCCTTCAGTAAATAAATGGGGCCCGATAGCAGCGCAGCCGGTGTACAGGCTGTAGAAATGCTAATCTTACTACTAAGATCTCTTTCTTTCCTGATCCTAAGGTGGTGGAGAGCTGAAGAAGAACGAACGAGTAGGACGCTGGCTCTGTTACTATTATAAATTAACTCGGAATGTCTGGATACTTCTATGCAAACACATGTATACATCTGATACATTAATCTCATTTTGAAGAAATTTCTCCGCCAGCAAACTTAAAAAAAGAGGGGTTATGGCGCACTCAATTAAATTCAAACAGCTCTGGTGGCCGAAGTAAACAATTAGTGAAAGGTACAGCGGCTCAAATTACGCACCAAATTTAGATGCACACGATAGTGAACGAAGGCGAGCGTCATCTCCATTGATTAGAGGTGTAAGAGTAAAAAGTAAGAGTCGTTTGGAAAGTAGGCTAACCTGTGGTTTCCCTGGATTCGTTGAAATAGTTCATGAACACCGGAAGAAAAATTCCAAAGCTGAACAGGAAACCCAATGACGCAACCCAGGTCATGGTAGCACAAGCACAGACAAGCCAAGACCACGGCCCGTCTCGCTTCCTGGGCTGTCTGGACGAAAACAGCCGAAAAATGGCCATTGTGATACCAAGACAGTGTTTAATCTGAGTGGAACCAAATTCTACAAAGCTGCGACTTGTAAAAATGCACCAAGGTGTTGTGTCGATCAACAAAGCAATCGGAGAGATCGGAATTATAAACTCCCCTGGTGGATGGAAACAATAGTACATTAACCAGACAGATCTTTTGGTTAAGTTGATCATTAAAGTTTAACGAACTCGCAAATCATTGATGCCGCGAAAAAATGGAAATTCAGGCCTGATTGGGCTAGTTAAATCGAGAACACAGGGAATCCAGCTCACGCCAGGTTTCCGATTGAAATAATCTAGAAGAAAGCTGGGAAAAAAGCCGAAGACACGTATAACACATCGACAGACAAAAAAAAAACAAAAAAAAACAACGAAACACACTTCCTTTTTTCTGTTGTTTTTGCAATAAACCAGCGGACGAGCTACCTAAAGCATAGTCTGCTGAGCAGCGTAGAATTTTTTTTCTGCGGAGGAGGAGGAGAAGAGTGCGAATGTCAAGTAACACGCGAGAGGAGGAGAGCAAGAAAAGCGCAAAAAACATTACGTCTGTTCTGCGGGCTATCAGTGGAGAAATTAATAAATGTAACCTTTCATTTTCTATTCATTTTATGTATGACAACAGATCTTGTGCTATATCTTGAACTCGCTGGGTGTTCTATACGCAAGAGGTGGAATGCTCCATCATTCGCTTACAAAGACTACCAATTTGGCAATGGAAACCTCGCGAGTAATGATGATCCCATAAAATGATATAAATTAGTTCTTTTACTAAAAAATTAATCGGCTGAAAAAGAACACAGGTTTTAATCCTGTGTCGAACTACGAAGCAGGCACTCGGCGAGAAGGCAAATAAAAAACTCGCGAGTTCTCTCGCTTGTGCATATCGCATCAAAATTACTTGCGCGTATCCGGCTAGAATTACTAGCGCGTGCAGACCCCTGGAAACGTGGTTGGGTAGATTATGTATATGTACACAGCATTCTCTGTGAAATCCTTGCTCTGTATTATGGCGATGAGAGAAATAACATACTACGAAGGAAGTACATTTCCGCTGCCAAAAAAGAAAAAATCCTTTTCCGGTCAGAGGCAAGGGTGTGAACTCCATTAATAAAAATCTAATAAAAGTGAAAAAATCAAATACAACATTTAATTGAAAATAAGGCCTTCGAAAATCCTAAAACTCCATAACAAATACAAGGGACAAATTTTCGATGAGAGAGCTAAAAATTTTGACTCCGAAAACGAGTATACGAGTATGTTTACGTCAATCTCAATGTCAAGTTCAAGGTCTCTGAACGTGACTGCTTGATTGATCAGATCACATGCGTCGGGCATGAATCCTTAAAAACATACCAAAGATGATGATGGCAAGAGAAAATTACAGTTTGAAATACGTAAATGAAAAAATTAAGAGTGGATCAGTTGAACGGGGGGGGGGGGGGGGGGGTATTTAAACATAATCTGAAAATTTTGAAAGAGGGGCAAAGTCATTGTTTTGTTTGTGTTATGGATTTTTTTCTTTCTCTCTTTTTTCTTTCTTTCTTTTTTTCGGCCCGATGCAACGCTTACGAAGCTTGGAGCTAACTGCAGTCCAATTGAAAGTGTTCGATTTCTGGTTAATTTAAAGTTTGATATCGTTAGTACTACAATGGAGGGTATATTTTATTGAAGTGATTTAAATTTAATCCTTATCAACCTCTGCCTGAGAGTAGACACTGCGCTGAAAGTTTGTAATTAAACAATTCTTTTGCTATTGTAAATGCATTTTCTGTAATTTTTGAGAAGGTAGTATCAAAATGTTCGATTGGAATATACCCTGCAAACCCTCACCCCCCTCAAGCTCCCACTTGAGACTCACGCTTGCGCCTCCCACCCTTCCCCTCCCCCCCCCCCGGCCCTCTCCCCCTCAATCAAAATTATCCTGCACGCAATAATCGTGTGATCGGGTGGTTTGATATCGCATTTGTCTAAAAAATATCTTACTTTCATAATCCTTTGCATAATAATATTGCATATTATTTATTTCAAGTCGTTTGTTCTAGACTCTCATTAACTCGAATCTCTCTCAATTTTCCTCGAAAGTTCGAGATATCGGGAATCATATCAAATCGTATCAAATGGCCTGATGGCCTGCGTCAACAGAGGAATTCAATGCAAACTACTAGCCCTTTTGATCTTGGTAATTAAAGGGTTGAAATATTTCATTTCTGATCGAGAGCGATTTCATGCTTCGCAAGAAACAAAACCACGGAACAACTCAAACTAAAAAGAACGAATTTGGAAGAGGCATGAAAAAGGGCGATACGGGTTGGGAAAAAACTTCGATAAATTGTTAAAATGCTAAACAACAAACAGGAAAAAGCACAAGCTAAATTGCCCGATAAGAATGATTCTGTTTTTATAAAAGAGAGAAAAACTAAATTCTCACCCACTCCTAAAGCTGCATGTTTCTCCGCCGAGAAATATTGAAAACTTCCTGTCTCGTTTTGTCCATTACTGTTTTTATGATTTTCAAAAAGAGCATCGTCTACAATTGATCAGTTTTGAAATTGCGGCCAACAAAAAGCGATTGAATTTCCGGTTCCCCAATGCTGCATGTAAGGAAGTCACGTCCGCCTTCAATCCATGTCAAGTATACAAGACACCTGTAATCCAGCTATCAGTCAATCTCCTCGAATTTCTTGAAATTAACGAATTTTCATGCCGTGTTTCACTGCATCATCTTCTTCAAATTAAACTCCTGAAAAAAGTACTGATGTATAGATCATTTAATAGATCTGATTGAACAAAAGCTGCAGAATCTTATATTAGGTAGAAAAAAAAGCTTAAACGACATGACGGAGTTAACTGAAAAGCTGATATGCAACCGAGGAAAGTTTTTTCGACATAGGTGGGTCTCCTAGGCACGCTGCGGCAACAAAACCTAAACGAACCCGATTCAACAAGTACGAGGGCAAACAACCCTGGTTCCCAGGATCTCTCTTTTTCCCGCAACATGGCGCGAGGGTGGGACGGAAGAAGAGAGATCTTGGGCACGAGGTTGGAGGATCAATTGTCCATTTAGCACGGCATCATGGAATCTATTTGAGTTACATGATAAAAAATCGAAATTTTGTGAATGGTGGCCTCATCTATTAAGTCAAAATGCACGTATTATCCAGCTTAGCATATGACATGCACAGTAACGGTCATGATCTCCGATGAAACTCCAATCCAATTGTTTGCCGATTATCCAACCACAGAATATAAAAAATGCGCTGTTCGTGTTTGAATAAAACCTATTGGTTTCCCGGATAATATTTTTTTGTTTGCAGTCTTCCGTAAAACGATGAATTTCCAGTTTTCTGTATTCAAGGGTGAGATCGTAAATTTTGCTAAAATGCACCTGATCCCTTAGTTTGGCCTAGATAGGGCAATCTGTGTGTTTAATTGAAGGGGTGACATTATATCTATCTCTTTGATATGCTATAAGAATTTTCAATTGTGAATTTGCGACTAGCTAAGAGAAATGCAGTTTTTCGGTAAAACAACGTACAACGGAGGCAATGCTGAGTAAAAAAGGGTTGCTTTTAATGGTGTAAAAGCTAAAAAATCATGTTTGCCTTTGTATAATTATTAAAAGCTATTGTGATGAAAACGTAGTCATTTACCGAGAAATGCGTCTCCGGTCAGTGCTTTACATCGGCTGCAGCTCAAGCTGTTTTGGAGTTCTGTATGCTACGACGGTTGATTGACAAATGTACTAGTAATATTTAAACCTCTCTTTTTATAGCGCGCCTTCGTAAGGTAAATAGTGTAACCAATCAGCGAGTAGTTTTTTTCCGACTAGAGGAAGGCTGGGGAGATAAAGAAATTCCCTAGGGGGTGGGCGGGTAGAATGACAGCCATCCTCAATCACCGACCATTGGCCATTTTAGAAACTGAGAGAGGTACTATCGAAAATGAGTAATAATTTGGAGAGTAGTGAAGTGATTCAACCTTGAGTACACTCACTTGTGAGAAAAATCGTAGGACCAATGGGATTGCTTCTCATCAAAGATAGACGATTTTTATTCGGTGAGTTTGCACTGAGTAAATATCACCACTTATATCATAAATGGTATAATTATTAGATTTTACTACTGAGCATGTTTTGAAAAAATGTTTTAAACGAATAGTGAAATAATCAAATTTTATTCCATACAACCACCACTGCTAAATCATTATCGGTCAAACTATTGTAGTGCAGGTAATTATCTGCAAGATTTGAATCATATTGCACAATTACGATCGTACGCAATATTGCATCACACTTGCCTCTCTTATAAAATTTACCGTCACTATCCCGTTAAAGGTATAGTGCTTTAGGGCCTGTTTAAATGGATGTGGGAGACCCCAGGTAGGTGAAGAAACCCGCCTAACCGTGCGTGGAAAATATCCCGCGATGTTTACATCACTATAGAGGTCACTACGAGGTCACTATATAGCGACGCGAGGTTCAACGCTACTGTTTAACGTTGAACATTCAAGATATTGAATCGTCTACTACGATCGATATGTTTACCGTCGCCTTTACTTGAACAGGAAGTAAATCGTCATGCATTCCGCGAGAATAAGATCATATTTTTGCATATTGCTCAACCAGTGCTTTAGTTCTGAATACTTTAAAACCAAACATACTTTAAATTAACCAATATAAGGTATAGCGGCATTACCGTGAGCATGCAGAGTCTTTGGAGGGAACATGACGAAGCTCACTGTATTTCCTCAAATAAGCTTTTAGGTGCTTAGATAAAATTTCGGCTTAAAGGAAGGGCGCTTGTTGGAAGGAGGGCGCTTAATTTAGGGGGCACTCGTTGACATAGCACAGCAGTGGGACAAAAGTAAAAAGAACAGATAAATGCACATATAAAGAACTATGGAAGCACATGGAGATAGAAATAGCTGGAACAGGAAATAAACTACTCTCTGGTATGATTCTGCTGTAGTTGAAGCTTGAAAAGTTGTATATAAAGTGGCAATAGGAACAGGATTTTATTGTACGCCTATTATTTAAGAAAGTGAAGAAGCCAGAAAGGCTTTGTTTGACATTATGGCCTAGGAGGTGGGTGCTTTCTTGGGGAGGGCACTTAGAAGAGCAAGGGCACTTATTTCAGGAAATTTGGTAAGAGTCAGGCTTATTAGGAGGGGGTTTTATTTAATTTAGGTGATTTTTTTTTTACACAGGTACATAAGGTAATGTTTAGCATGTATAACTGTTGTGTCAAAGCAAGGCACCAGCAGGATTCAAAATGGTCCTTGGTTGTTTGCATCTGTGCAACTCTCTCACAAGTGATGGTCTTGGGAATTATGCGCAGCTTTGGTGTGCTTTTTCCTGTATTGATGGCAAAGTTTGAAACAAACAGGGAAAAAACAGGCAAGTGGGTCACTTAACCCTTTAACTCCCAAGAGTGACCAAGACAGAATTTCTCCTTACAATATCAATACAATATCAAGCAGACAAGCAATGAGAATAAAGAAAAATAGAAATTAGGGGATTATAAGTTGCTCCAATACCAAATTCTCCATGCTAATATCACATGAATTGTATGGTAGACAGTAAGGAGAATTACTAATGAGATCTTGGGAGTTAAAGGGTTAATGCATAATACTGGTAGTTATGATCTTTCTGGTAGAAACTGGCTACCACATTTCCTAGACTCCAAACTTTCTAGTTTCTTTTTTTTTTTATGATAGTTGTTTCTCTTTTTTTTTTGGTTTAAATTGATTTTTGCATGTTGCATGTTCTACAGCTTTTAAGCTGTAGAACTATTCAGCCATAAGGTGTGGAACAACCTTAGGAGAGTGGTATCAACTTTATTATATACCACGCTATGAAAATATGAGCCCACTGGAAGGCCAGGAAACTGTTGCAAATAAATTCGTTACTATTTAAACAATCATGGCTTACAAGTAAGCACAAGTAAGCAGCAGCTCATATATTCAATGATATTTCTCGGTGATCTGTTGTTGTCTCAGTGTTTTAATATTCCATTAATTGGAAGTGAAAGTATTCTTAAAGTGATTGTAAAAGTAGGTCAAAATTCTTTGAGGAAACTCCTTTTAAATCAGCTTCATTGATAGCACTAGAGTGTCCTTGAGCAGAGATCTAATAAGATGGAGCAAATCAAATTTATTAAAATACTTCTTCATAATTATTACTCATTATTTCTTACAGCTTGGGTAGGTTCCCTCTGCTTATCACTTGCACTATTTGCTGCTCCATTTGTGGGACGTCTCTCTGACAAGTTTAGTTGTCGCTGTTTGATCATGACTGGAGCATTGCTGTTTGTAACAGGACTTATAGCAACATCATTTGTTAACAACATTGCAATCATGTTCATCACCTACAGTATTCTTACAGGACTAGGAGCATGTTTCTGTCGTACGTCATGTTTTTTAATAGTAGCAAAGTACTTCAACAAGAAGCGATCATTTGCCACAGGGATTTTAACCATGGGGGCCAGTCTCGGAATGTTTGTATGGGGCCCTATAACACAGGTCCTACTTGATTCATTTGGCTGGAGAAACACATATAGAGTGATGGCAGCTTCCTGCACCCTTATTTTCATCTGTGCTATGACTTTTAATCCCAATGTTGAGGAGAATGACTGGGAAGCAGCAGGGAAGCAAAAAATAGGAGAGAGCAATGATAACAATGAGGAGAAAGATTGCTGTGGCAATGACTTTGAAGCTAGGAGTGAGGAAATGAAAATTCTTGATTTTTCAGTATGGCAGATTCCCCAGTTTTGCATACTTGTTTCTTCATTCACACTGATGTTCTTGTGTCGTTTCATACCCATGGTTCATCTAGTAAGTGATTAGTAAGTGATACACCAGTGTGAGATTATGTTAGTAACCCATTGACTCCTAAGACTGACTAGCATTTAATTTTTCCCAACAGTTATGACCCCTGAATCACACATTAAGATCTCAAGAATAAAGTGAATTATTATAACAACAAAGAAATAAATAAGCATGTGATTGTTTAACAAATTCTCCTTGTCAGCACCTAAGGAAATGTATAGAGAACATTATGGAGGATATGTATACTGAGGTTAGGGTGAAAAGGATTAAGGAGACTCAGTCTTTATGGCTCTAAATATGGATCCTACACATTGTTTTCCACGCACTTTTTTTCTATATTAGACCTAAGCATCTGGTCTAAAATTGAACAATATCTACTAAATGTTAAATTGTTTCACTATTCATCACCTTTCTGCATGAAACTCTATTGACATTGTAAGGTGAAATTCATTTTTGGTTACATGTAAGGGTAAAAGGGTTCTTGCAGGGTGTTTGCTTTATTCAGGGTAAGTAAACTGCATATGGGCACAGCCAGGGGATCACACTGTCAAACAGAAGGTACTCGCCAGTTTTGGCCTCCTGAATATGGTAGTTTGTTTGCTCATAAAAGGCTTACAAAGAGGGGTTGGGGAAGGGGGGTGTCCTTGGGCATTGCATGTACTTACTCTAAGATAAACTTCACAATCTACAAATTAAAACTGATCATTCAGAAGGGTCTTATACTCCTAGGGCCAGTTTCTTTGACAAAGTTTAGCCATTGTTTAACAAAATGGCATCCTAAACAAATCCTCAATTTTTCTTAACCTTTTTTTCCAAACATTTATCTTTGAGGACAGTGTCAAGAGAGCTGAAAGTTAACAGTGGAAGGACAGATATTTAGTTAGTTTAATCAACCTTCTTATATAGAAAGCCTGAGGCCCACTGGTTGCAAATAAAATCTTGGTTTGGGTTAGACCTCTTGTAATATTACTGGCCTGTGGAGTCCTATAGCCAATAATATCGTAGCAAAAGTAACCAATCTGTGTTCACAAGTACCAACACTCAATGGACAAAGGGATTAATCCTTAACCCTTTAACTCCCATGTGTGACCAAGACAGAATTTATCCTTACAATATTAATACAATATCAAGCAGACAAGTGATGTGAATAAAGAAAAATATCAATTTGGGGATAATTAGTTGATCCAATACCAAATTCTCTGAACTACCATTATAAGAATTGTATGGTTGACAGTAAGGAGATTTAAAAAATTTGATCTGGGAGGTAAAGGGTTAATTGACTTTGATGATGACTTCCACCCAGGTTGATAAAAAAAAAGTTGATCACAGCTTTCTCAACTGGATGATTAGACTTCACACCAAACTGATGTCTTCTTTGTTTTCAGGCCAAGTACAGTGAAGAACTGAACATTTCACCTCATCAAGCCTCATTCTTTTACATGTTCCTTGGAATCTCATCAGGCACATCTGCATTTCTAATTGGCAGACTGTGTGATGTCAAATGGATCAATATACGTTATGTAAATCAGCTTGGAATTTTGGTTTCTGGAATCTCTACACTGCTCTTACCACTTGCTAAAAACTATCTTTCTGTTGCATTTTATGCTGTAGTGTTTGGGTTCTCAGATGGAGCCTTCATCACAACACAAAATGTAATTCTCTTGAATATTGTTGGGCCCAAGAGACGAGCAGCTGCATTTGGGTTTGGGTGCATGTTGTGTTCACTGGCTTTAGCTGCTGGTCCACCTTTAACAGGTAAGAACTCAGAAATTTAATATTTTTAATCATAACCATTACAATTTCCTCAAATGTGATTGGTGCATTGACTACTTTATTTTTCACTATTCATTCTGTTTCATTCATTCACTATTTGGGGCTTCTGTGAAAGTCCCGATTTTGAAAACTCCTATACTTATGCTGTGCATGGCTTTCACAGTCTTTCCTGAACTGTAAGACAAACAGGGATGGCATAGTAATATGAGCACAGGCCTCCCACTACTGTGTTGGCACCAGTTCATTTGATGAACCTGATTAGACAATTGAGCAGGCATTGAGTTTGTTGTTGTATAATGACCTCACTCACTGTTTAAACAAATTAATACCCAAGCAAGCAGTAAACTTGCATTACTGACCTAATTGTTTCTGCTGTTACAACTGAAATATTTGATATTATTTTTTGTAGGCTTCATAGCTGACCAACTGGCTTCATACAAGTTTGCGTTTTACACAATAGGCTCTCTAATTCTTCTCAGTGCAGCTATTCAGATGCTTCTGATCTGCTTTGAGTCTCCAGTCAGTGAGACCAAAGGAGATAGTGATGCTGCTGTGACTGTCAAAGTGGTTACAGTCTCTGAGAATATCTGCACAGAAAGTCAACATGGGAAACCTGACGATAAAGAACTCCTGGGAGGCCTTTATGTAAAATCTCTGTTGAAAAAGAACAGCAACATCAGTGCTTCTGTGGAGAGTATCCAGCTCCTTTAAAATTTTACACCTTGACAACAGTATGTACATTCTCCATACTGCTCTTTATAAATTTACCATGATACTGAGTAGGAGAACTTCCTTAACGATCAAGAATTTCTTAAGTTGGCTGCTCTTTCTATCATTCTCATGACCTTGAAGTGTTTGATTCAATGGTGATACAATGAGGAGGAATCAGTGGGGATTATAACCCTTAACTCCTAAGATCTCACTGGTAATTCTCCTTACTGTCTGCCATGTACAGTTCTTGTAATGTTAGTTTTGAGAATTTGGTTTTGGATCAACTAATAATCCTCTAAGTTATATTTTTCTTTATTCTCATCACTTAATTGTCTGCTTGATATTGTACTGATATCACAATTACATCAAAAGGAGAAATGCTGTCTTGGTCACTTATGGGAGTTAAAGGGTGAATGGAACACTTTTTTCAGAATTATTTTATAGTTATGTTATAAATGTACTTGGTTTATATTAACTAACTTATAATCATGATAGCTATAAAAAATCATGATGATTCTTTTGATTGCAACGATAGTCTAGATAATCATAATTATAACAATTAATCGTCAATCGTGGTGGATATTGGGGAATATCCATCACTCACTGATACTAAGGTGAATACTTGCTTTTGTGCTGAATATATCACACGGATACAAAAAAATATTTATTTCTTCTGGACAATATACTGAAGAGTGGCCAGAAATTAAGTCTTGATGTGTGATTTTGTCTCATCAGCTACTTAGAAGTGCATGGTATTTACTATTCACTAATGAGTCAGCCCATCTGAGGGCAGTAATGTTCACTTGTGTGGTATATGCAAATAATTATTATGATTGTTAGATTATTTAGTGAATGAAATTAAGTTAAATCTGCAATTTTCTTGGGATCTAACAATCTAGATATTAAGTAAAATCTGAAGTACTTTTAAGAATACAGTATTTATGCCTTTTGGCCTCCTTTTCATTTGTGGCTTGCTCATTCCTTACTGAAAGAACTCCTTCAAAACAATTTATGTTTTTTTTACTTTTGGTTCATTCACATTTTGGCTGCTAGTCTTAATTATGGAGTATTATATTTACCTTTAATAATAATCTACATTGCATTCACAACAAAATTCAACTTGATCTCCAGAATTGAAATGAAAAAAATATTTATTTTTGAAGTTTTACCAATGATGAACTATTTATTCTTTTAAGAAAGTTTAAGTTTGTTTGAATATTTGGGTAAAAACTTTAAGGGGTATGGGTATTTCAGTTAAATAGTGATTTTTGGAATTATGGGGATACAATCTGCAGGAATTAATGGGGTACATTATTGTTAATATTAAGTTTAATTAAAGTTAAATTAATGAGATGCAGGATACTCAGAGCCCCCTAATGGACCCTACATAAGGGCTTCATCAATCTGTAAACCTTGGGTATTTGAATGATTAAACTTAAGTCACAAATTAAATGTTAAACAAATGTCAGTTAGCTTTGCAATGAAATTGACAGTACTGTTTATCCACAATCAAGATAACATTGATTAAAATTTGGAATTATACCAACTACCAATATATCTGGTTTCTTAATCTTCTGTTTGAAAAGGGTTCACATCGATATTACCTACCCCAGCCAAATAATCAGACAAAAAGTTGCAGGAATTTTTTTTTTGTTGGTGTCATTGAAATACTGGTAACATTTCTTGGGGAAAGGAAAGAAGAAACAGCAATCAGCCTCAAAGGATGTAGGGGTCAGGCAGGGGTTGACTTTGCTTTCTCAAAATTGCAGGGAACTGTTTGGACTACTTAAAAATTCTCAACATTATTGACTTAGTGAGCTTACAGCAACTATGTTGATAGCTATGTAACATCGTTAAAACGTTTTTTTACATGGAGTTAATGATGCCATAAAGTTAAAGATGTGGTATTGACATCCTTAAATTAATAACTTCATTAACACCACACCACAGCCTGTTAGTCGCATATACCATATCTCTGATTATAAGACCAGTGAAAAGAGTCATCATGAAAAATTATGTCACTAGGAAGACCTTTAAGTTGTCTTTGGTGAGATTAATTGTGGCTGTAACTTTTCAAAGAGGTTAATTGTTTTCCTTTTCCTTGTTTACCTTACAGAAAAGAATGGCAAGGCAAAAATGTAAAATTTGCCCCTTAAAATTTGTGACAGCATGTATGTCTTCTTCTCCCCCCCCCCTCCCCCCCCTCATATACCTACTGTGTTGCAAAATAGCTACTACAATTGTTACTCAATTACCTTTAATTTGTTTTAGTGTTGAAATAGCTGCTGAAATAAAGAATTATGTGACTTGTGACCTGCGTTTAAAATCCGTCACCATTTTTTCATTATCTGCAAGCCAGGATTGGTTGAAAATTGGTCAGAAATACTATCATCAAGACCATTTTATTTTAGAATCTGATTTTTTCTTGTGCATTGCCATTCTTCTACCAAATTGAAAAAGCCAACAAAATTTGAATGCTTCAAATTTTATTCCCTCCCAATGTTACATGAATTTACAAAGCAATAATATAAATATTGTGTTTGTTATAAACCACTCTGTTTTAATGAAAGGACTGTATACACTCTGTAAGTTCAACATAAGGTTAAGCTATCTTATTCCATTTTTGAACGCAAAACTGCTACAATATTAGCACACCCCCACCTTTTAGAACAGACTACTAATCCATACAGTAGTAAGAAGTCAATTAGGCTTAATCAATGAATGAATTAACTAATTAATAAAGCCCTATTAGTTGCCAGAAATGTTTTTTCAGTGATAGTGTTGATTCATAAGGTACAAAGGCAGCCAAGCCAATGGAATTGTTTCCAAATGGTTACTTTTGAAGTTAACTATCTATTCTTTATTTTGTTTTTATGTTTGAGAGGGAAGGAAGGGTGGGGAAAAAAGCAGTATTGGGGAATGGTTGACAGAGTGGACAGAGTTGAGCAAAATATTTGATCAGGAACTTGGCTTGATCTGTCTGTACCTTAATCCCCCTGTGTGACTGCCTACATCTAGTGATGACCACACCCTGTTAAAGGGGGTCTTACACATACAATTTTGTCTTCATTTCTCTTTTAAGTTCCTGAAAATAAGTTCACTTTAGGTGTACATAGTTCAGTAGGGCATGAAAATGTAGTTCTTCAAGTTACAATAACTTTAGATTACCACCAGGAGAGAGATTTTAACTTTACCAACAGGTACAAACATTGCACAAAGGAAATATTTACATGTGCACCACTCTGTCTTAAACACTCTCTGAATTGTTCCAATCATTAACAATATTACACTAAATAACACTCTTATCAGAAAGAGATAACTTATAATCTACTGTAGACAGCTTCCTTTTTTTTTGCAAATCAGATTATGAAAGCCATAACAAGAACAATGTTGAAATTGAAGCATCAACACACATTTCCATCCAGTGCAGAAATTCATTCAAAGCATTTCCCTTACATAGTTTCTTAATTAGGTATTATCCTTGTAAATTTTATAACCATTGATGTAAATTAATTTAAATGTGTTTTTGGCATCTGTACATAAGGGTTCAGTACTGGCTACCAATCTGAACAGCAGCTCAGTTGTCCACCACTGCAGTTAATGACTGAGTGGGCATCCGGGAGCCCAGTGTCCTCTCATTCCTGGTGACAAAATTTAATTTCACAAAATTACTTTACATATTTTTGTTAACACAGAAAAGTCAAGGTAAATTTTCGAAGTTAATAAATCTATCAAGGATAGCAGATACATAAAAATAAAATAACAATAATCATCATCATCATCATCACTTTTATTTTTGTTGTTACACCAGTGTCTTTTTCTCCGATGGCACTCAATCTGTCAAATTTTGTTTGATCTCTACTACTTCCCTGTAGTCAGTAGTCATCTAATATGGCAAGAGCAACTGCTTTTGCCATGAGATGACTACTGACTACAGGGAAGCTTGAATCAGCTGGGAAGATAATCATTATTTACTACAATTGACAATTTAACCCATTTTGCAAAGAAACTCTTCACATCTCATTGGCATAATTAAAAAGATTTCAATTATAGACCAATTATACCCTTGACAAATACACTTGCCAAGAAAATACATTATTGTCAAAAAGAGTAAATGCTGCTTTCAACATTACTCAGTTGTTACCATAAGCATATTAAAGGGAAGAAAACAACATGTTTGGGAAAAAAGTTTGGTTCTTGTGAAAGGAAGGAAATTACCCCTTTACACCCTAGCTTACACAGGTTATACAGGAAACTGCAAGTAGACATTTCCTTTCACAACAGTTTAATTTAGAGACTTTAAGATGACTGCCATTTATAAAATAAATCACAGCTACTATGAGTGCCCTGATTGGTACAAAACCTATCATTTACTGCACTAAAAAAGTCTATAGTTATTTTATAAAAGCAGAATACAGCACTTCCTATCAGTTTACCAGCATAAGAGAATACATTAAAAAAATTGTGTGCCTGATTGGCTGAAAACAAGTGCATATTTCATGTAACACAAGTACAAAGTTGTAATTTGAGTGAAAACTGCAAATAGCATGCAGCCAAAGTTTTATCCCTCTTGACTTTCTGTTGTGTTTCTCATGTAAATTATTACTGAGTAACATGATTTCTCATGCAGTTTGGTGTAAATAAGCACTTGTAAATTTGTGAATACAACTTGCACTCACCCTAAAAATTTGCTGTCATTAAAAAATTTACTCAGGCATATTAACACCAAATTGCACACAAAATCATGTTGTTACCTATGCTAATAACCCACTTGGGATGTTGGAAGAACATGGAAAAAACTTGTAAATCATAATTTATTAATTGCTGAGTTCTCTCAGCATCCCAAGTGGGTCTTTATGCTGGTTAACTGATAGAAAGTTACGTGTGTTGCTTACAACTTTTAATTGGTAAAAATATTCATAAGGAGAAATTGCATGTCAGCAATGAGCTTCACAAATACTTACCACACAAATGGCAATGGCCATAACCTGGATAATAAGTCCCAGGAAGACCATGCATGTAGTTATGCTGGTAAGGCTGCCGCTCATAATCACTACCACTGTAACGATATCCAGCACCACCCCCACCATTGCTACCATGGTTACCATGATACCTGTTCTCATAATACCTTTGGTTACCATAGTTGTTTCTTTGGTGTACAGCAGGGCGGTGCTCTTGAGCTTGACGGCCACGAGGTTCCCTTGCAGGCCTCATATGCCGCATTGTGTTCTGCACCATTGCCTGGGTAACAGTGTTACTCTCACCCTGTTGGCCCTCTGCATCATTCAAAGTGATTGGATGTTCTCGTGACCCAGGCATAGCTGTAGAAGCAGCTGTGAGCAGTAAATTGATCAATGAAATGTTAGACAAATGTCAAGTTCTGTCTGACTCTGAGAAGTTGTTTACAAGTATCTTTCAGTCCAGCATTGTGAAAGGAAAATATTCATATCATAATTTACAAATAAAAATACTAAAGCACAAATTTTTCTGGGCCCTTCTTACAACAAAAAAAGGAAACAACATTTCAAGGCAATTTTTGCTTTTTCAATACATAGTGAGCAGACGAAAAGCCAATACTTAAACTTTTCCACTTCAGCTTGCAAAAATTTCAAGTATTACTTGAACCTCATGAACTGTGAATTAATACACTGAGTGATATTTATCAGTTCATTAATTCCTTGCCTTTCAACTAGAATGCAAGACAGTCATCATCAAATTTATGACTACAGGAGTAAGTGAGAGAGGAAGTAGTCGGAAAGAATGAAAATGATGGAACAACAAAAAAGGAATAAGAGAGATAAAAAGATGGGAAACTAGGGATATCAAAATGATAACAGGTTTTATAAATTAAACATGACCAATGCAACCGGTTGTTTACCTACCAAAATCCATTTAAGTCTTTTGTTCATAACTCCTTAAAATTATTAATTTCAACAATATCTTTATATGCCAGATTTATTAGAGTATGAAACCCTGAAACTAAGCAAATGCATGTTACCATAACTGTAGAAAATATCACAACTTTTCCACTCTTTTTAAATATTAATTAAATGGTATTTCAGCTAACATTTGTCATTTTTCACAAAACTTGTGTGTATGAAGCTTCCAGATAGAAGGACAGCAATGTTCCTCAGAGATCAGAACACATTTTCATCAACTAGACATTTAAACTGGGGCCTCTGGCCATAATTTTAGCCTGATATTATTCCTGAAGAACATCAAGAGACACCAAAGATATATAAATTTAACATTCCCAAGGACACTGATCAGTTCATTCAAGGAGCTGTTTTAAATTGACTGAAAGAAACCCACACTGTCTTTTATATTTGCATGAAAGTTATATATCTTAGAATCATATTATTTATTACAAATACAATTAATAAGACACTGTGTTACAATATTTGTGAAAGGTTTTGTTTTTGTTTAACATTTGAAGATTATTCCAAATTGGATTTTGCTCCTCCTCAAAGTTTGAGAAAAAAAAAAAAGTTGTCTGCTTCTCAATGCACTGATGAAATGGTTCAATCTGAAGGATGTTAAATTTAGTGTTGGGTTTGGAAAATTTGCTGTTGATTGCTCCTGTAGAAAAAGATTAGCCATTCACATTAACAGTGACACCCTGATGCAGAGAAAGGAAAAGAGAAATAAATAACCACCATTTCTAAATGTTTCTTTTTCTTTGCTTTAATTTTCCTCTTTTTGTTACTTTTCTGGACAACTTGGTTCTCCCTTCAATGACTATATTGTCATGGTTTCCTTTAGGAAAAAGCAGGGGAAACAGTTTAAGGTAACAAGAGAATGTTGTCCATGTCTGAAAACAAAGTAGCTCCACCCTAGGATTCTCTAATCACTCCTGGCTTATTACCACCATGTATAGTGCTTCAAAACAGTCATGCCTTTTCAAAAAAAAAGCATACACTGTAGCAATTTTTAACCTACAACCATTGTTATTACTATCATTAATGCAAGTTATTTCTAGAACTAATTAAAATTTTAACCCAATAATCAATTGTTTGATTATCAAAATGCACTTAAAAATCTCAATTTACCACCTATGTGACAGAGTGGATGTAAAATTTCACATGCTTCATGCACTGGAGTGATTTAAATAAAATTTTTCACTTTCTCTAATTGGCCACTCGGCATGTTGTGTAAAAATAAATCTAAAAAGATGTTTGAGCGAGTGAATACCAGAACAAAAATAACTATTAACTTCCCTCTGTCAGCAGTCTACAAATTTGAATATCTATCATGCCTCACTTACCGACAATAAAACAAATCAAGAAAGGATCAAACTTTCAGCAGGCAAACATTTGCTTTGATACAAATCTTCGGTTACATCTACTGTAGGACTGAGAATAGGAAATTAAGCCATGGCAGAATAGTTGTGTCTTCTTCCGCAAATTCACAAATGCTTGCGAGCATATTTTCTCACTAAGCATCAAAATGTATTTGCACCTTTGGGGTATCTGCAACCACTTTGTTTCACGAAGGGTTCTGACTTCATCAACAAAAATACAAGTTTGACTTTTCATTTTGAAGACAATCAGTTTATGAACTGTTTGATTCTCTCACAATCATAAATTTCTTGCTTACAGATTTAAGTACTTCCTTTTGGAGAGTTTGGTTGCGAACACAATCGTAGATATTAACCAGTTACAAGTTAGGCAATGGTCTCGTAAACATGTATGTACACTTGGACTGGTTTGACAAATGGGCATTAGGGACATCCCTATTCAGTAGGAATCCTATGATGAGGTAAACATAATTATGCAGACTTTTCATTCTCCTGGTTCCTTGAGTAAGTAAGAACACTTCACTGTGAAAACACCTCTCTTAATTTTGCAGTGCCATGCAAAGAAACTTTATCGGCAAGATGTTTTTTTTTTCTCTTTCGGGATCAGATGGATCGTTATTCTTTCCCTCACAGTTGGCACAGATCTTAACAAACAATTACATGTGGTCACCTGGTCATAAGACAAGGTCACCTGTAGACAAGGAGTTGTACAGGTTCACAGCTTCACTTAGCCATCAATGATGATCACTGCATTTTGTAGAATATTACCTCTTTTCAACTCCTCCCTTTCCTGAGTGACAGTCTGCCGCCTTGTCTTGGTCTCCTCATCCATAGATTCCACCATTTTGGCAATGGCGTTATCAAGAACAAGAGACCTGACTGGTCTTCCCACTATGGGTTGACGGCAGATTGGACAGTTGTTCTTCTTCTGAAGCCACGACATCAAGCAGTATTCACAGAAGGAATGGGCACAAGGTAAGGTAGTAGAATTAATGAAAAGGTCCTGACAAATTATACAAGAAAACTCATCCTCCATCTGCTCAATGACTGTTTTCCGTGCAACTTCCTCCACTCTCTTTGTCTCTTCTTGTTGTTTTAGAAGCTCTTTGTTTTTTGATTCTACAATTTGTCGCAGCTCCTGTAAAGTGGATTCCATTTTTCTCTCATTTGCCTCTAAGTCTTGCATTCTAGCTTGGGATGCTTTGTAATTCTCCAATTCTATATGCAGCATGTTCTGCCGGGCTTCTTTCTCAGCAATCACTTGCTCCAGTGCTTCTTTTTGTTGAGTCAACTGATTTTCTAGTTGTTTGTCTTTTTCTTCCAACTGCTTCTTCAATTCTTCTTGCAACTGCATTTCCACAAGTTTCTTTTCTTCTATCAAGCTTTCTTTTTGGCTTTTCAACTCCTGATTGAGTTGCTCTTCCTTCTCCATCAACTTTTCTGCAAACAGTGTCTTAAGAGCACCTTCCAGCTCATGTTTTTCTTTTTCTAATGTGGCCTTCTGATCTAACAGCTTAGTTTGTAGCTCCTTCTCTGTTTTTTCCAACTGCAGAACAACATCTGCATGGCATTTCTCTTTTTCTTCTAATGAAGCCTTCAATTTTTGAATCTTTTCTTCAGCAACACTAATGGCTTCATGAACAGCAGGATGATCTGTACTGAATGGTACCATTACATAGCCACCACTTTCCCTGAAGATTTTCCTCTGTTTAACTGAGCTGTCTTTGTTACTCAACAGAGATGAGTCTGCACACCTTTTGCGGCCTCTAGCAATGTGTTCAAAAACATATTCAAATTCTGGTGTATTAGAGTTTACTCCAACACCAAAAACCACTCGATCACCAGGTTCTAGTAAATGAGGGATGCTTGGTTGAATCCTGTTTCTATTGATAAACACTCCATTCAAGCTCTGAAAGATACAAATAAAAATAGACATAGAAGCTTTAGAAATGGCCCACTCAGTTAACTCAAGAACTAGTCCTTATTAGAGACTACCAGGGAAAACACTCCAAGCAGCAACTGTTTTGGTAGCCAAAGAGTAGGACAGGATTGTTTAGAATAAGTTGCTGAGAAAGTCATCACTGATATTGGTCTATTACAGCCTAAGAAATATTAATTATCCACTATGTCCAACAGCCAGTTGGGTGTTGTGAAGAAGGTTGCGTTCACCGACATGACTCCTTCTTCAGTCCTCCATTGCATTTTTCTGATGTCAAGAGTTCCTTGAACAATGTTTACATGAAATACCAGGCATGATATATATCATCCTTCAATATTTTCTACAGGTGAATAATGCATACACCATGCATAGGAAATCAATAATCACCCTACAACTTTGTCATAAATAAAATCTGTAAGAACATATTTCCATTAAGATTCTTGTTAGGTCTCGTTTTAAAAACCATACTACATGACTTTCAACAACATTTCTTTTTTTTTTAATTTCAATAACAGCAAAAGTTTCAGCTTTTTCTTCCTGAACATAATCATCTTGATATTTTACAGCATGATTGTGATAATATCAAGCAGAAAAAAAGAAAAGGAATGAACTTGATCACAACTTTATTCGCACAATGGAGAAAAAACTAATTTTGAAATCGTAAGAACTAAACAAAAAGATATTTATGATGGGGAATTAATTCTGCGGCAGGTATTTACATGTAAATCCTGCACGACGCTGAATAAATTAACGCCCATCAGAAAGTCCAACGAAAGGTTATTTTCGCACTGTTGGTTCACCCAAAGCCAAGGGCTACAAACCGTTTCATAAAGCATTCAACAATACGGGACACTAACAGCTGTTTAAAGATGGTCTTTACATAACTCAAGAAACCTTTAGAGGGAAAGCGCAAGTTTAATTAGGGTGGTCTTTTGAGAGTTATCCAACCAGCTGCAACTTCTTCAAGGTATTGAATATTCATCACCGAAAACACAACAACAAGCGTACTGCGACCAAAAAAATTAAAACGCTCGCAGCAATTTTAACTTGAATGTACGAAAGTTTCTCGCCCTTAGCAGTGCATAAAAACTTGCGCGGTAGAAAGAAAATGTTCGCATTTCGCAACCAATATGAATGAATATCATGCTTTATTAGCCAGCGACCCTTGAAGGATTAATTCCCCAGAGCTTACTGTACCTCATGATCCACTATCGTCCATTTGCCAGCCGAAACAGAAACAGTGGCATGTCGACGAGAAATCATTAATGGTGCAGTTTTTGACGTCAAACGTACACTTACATCTGGAGATATTATTCTACCAAAGGTTATTGGTCTATCAGGCAAAAGCATAACGCTATTTGGGCAATAGGAATCATTTTTTCCGCCAACTGGAACTGTTTTGCGAAGCACAGCTTCGTGCGCCATCTTCTCGGAGTGTTTACTTCATGACGCAACAATGCGCATGCTTAGAAATTTGAGTAGATACATTTTTAGGGGGGTATACATAGTAGAAGAATGTCTTTTTTAAAAATATCAGTGTCTAACGCACCTACCTCTCCCCTAGTTCAATTCCAGTTATTGTTATTGTTGGATTGTGGGGTAGGTGCGCAGTTATTGACTCGAAGGCTTCACACTCGGAGGTGGGAACGGAACAGGCTTTAACAGACTACTTAGTGAATTTGCATTATGAAATTTTTTCCAAAAAGTGAGAAATCAGATGAATTTAAACCAGGTATGATGTAGTTACTCGATTGTCGTCGAATGTCACGCAATACGCCAATGTCATATCACACTGAGAGCGCCGCCTCAACCTTTATCAGCCCCGGGTTATTTCAAAAGTGTTTCGCAACACAACGTGGCACGAGTTGTCAGTGATGATTGTGTTGTGCAACGAAATCGAACACTTGATCTAATCAGATTTTATTCAAACAACTTTCACTCGAGAGGGAATGCGAAAAATGCATGAACCCAATAAATCAGCAGTATCGCTCTTAACTGAAGAAAATCGCGGTATGTGTAGAAAAGAGACTGACAGTCCCTGGTCCTGGTTGGTTTGCTTTTGTGCAACTGTTATGATCGCTTTGATGTTTGGAATCTCGCTCAACTTTGGAGTTCTGTTTCCAGTGTTAATGGACTACTTTCAAGAGTCACGAGAAAAGACAGGTAACTTCATGGAAGAAACAGTTGAAATAATTTTTCATGTGTGATGACTGTTCACTCACTTGGATTTTTTTCAAAATTTTTTATGCGCGTTCTTTGGTTAAAATTTCATTATGTTAGTCTTTGAATTGTCAAAATAAATTCTAAAGCTTATCATTAACGGCTTAATTTTGCTATGTATAAGCTTGTTTTTTTTTTTGTTTTTTGTTTTTTTTTTTCAATTTATGACCAAATCTAAGGTTTGGAACACCGATTGCGCATATTTCATTTTGTATTTACATTTATCTTAAATACAAGTACATATGACTCTAGATGGTGTGGTATGCTGATGCAATCGCCTTCTATCTCAGTTAGTTTATTAAAAAAAACATCAATTTGCTCAATATTTTTTTTAACTGTTATAATATAAGTGAAGAGTTGTTCAAAGAATAAGAAGCAAAGGATCATTTTGGATGTGTATTCATTGCCTCTAAGGGTTAATCAGATGAGCAACACTGAACTGACCTATTCATTACCCCATTGACACTTAATAATGACTAGCATCTAATTTCTCCTAACATTATCACACTGAATCATACATTAAGGTCATGAGAATAAAGGAAATGATCACCAACCAAAGTTAGCACCTTAAGAAATTTATAGAGAACAGTATGAGGAGTATGCAAATGATGTAAGCTGCCCAAGTTAAGTGATTTTCTCCAGCACCAACACAAACTGCAAGCAAATTTTGTCCTTGCTCAATTCCAGCCCACTTGAAAGTTTTTTTTTATGTAAATTATGGCACTACTCTTTCCACACTTTGACAAAATACTGTTTGAAGTAGGCAGTCATAATAATCCAGTAAGGCTATCTAATAATAACAAGTGCATTCAGGGTTGTTAATTATTTGGACCTTATGAACATGTGACTGCTCGGTTTATGTTGAAGTATTAATATAAGCTTCTTTAACCTAGACTCATCTTTATACGCACTACCAGTTTTAAATTGTTTTGAAAAAAAAATCTAGTAACAATTTTTTGTTTGCCTTCATTTTTTATTGCAGCATGGGTTGGTTCAGTCGGAATAGCCTTAATATTTGTCCTTGGACCTTTGACAAGCATGTTAGTGAATCGCCTTGGCTGCCGTTTAACAGCAATATTGGGTGGATTATCAGGATCCATTGGTTTGTTACTATCATCTTTTGCTTCAAGTATTTATGTTATATATGGGACTTACAGTGTTCTGTTTGGATTTGGAGGCAGTTGCATTTTTGTGTCATCTTATGTGGTAACATCACAGTACTTTGAAAGGAACCGATCCATAGCAACTGGCATTCTTGCCTCAGGAACAGGGCTGGGTGTTCTTGGCATGGCACCAGTTCTTCAAGGCTTGTTGGACTACTTTGATTGGAGAAAAACTTATCGTCTAACTGCAGCAATTTACTCAGCTGTTTGTGTCCTTGGTCTTACATTTAGTCCAGTTTTAGTAAATAAGGAAAAAAGTGCAACTGAGAAAGAAAATGAGGTACTTGAAGACTTAAATGAAGAGAAAGGAAAGAAAATAGGAAAATCAAACAAGTGGATAGACTTCTCAGTCTTTAAGGAGAAGGTGTTTGTGGTTTTAACACTCTCAATGTCAGTTGCCTTTATAGGGCACCACATCCCAAGGTTACATTTGGTATGTTGCTGATGAAATTGTTGGTTATAGAATAATACAGTAAATTACCTCACCATAGAGTCACCCAAAGTCAGAGCAATCATTATGAAAGTTTGCCCTAATGGCTGGTTGGTCATATTAATAATCATTATAATGATAAGTAGACAGAGTAGTTAGTCCAATAAGGTCTGTTATCTTACAAGTCATGTTCCAAGTCAGATGACTAAATAGCAGTAGTGTGATTGCATAATCACCCAAACACATCATCTTTGAGCACATCAACTCCAAGAGTCAACTTGAAGGTCAGTTGCCTCTTTAGCCCTTGCCTGTGATCAGGCCCTCATTATAGCTTTTCTTCGCCTGTGAGAAAGTTTGAGGCCTTGAGCATAACACAAGCTGGTGAGGTCAAACCTCTCCTTAACTCATACAGGTAGAGAAATGCATCTCCCACAGTGCTGATGATAGGACCTGCTTGCAGGTTACTTAAACCCTCTAGCTCCCAGACCAAATTTGTAATTCTCCTTACTATCAACCATACAATTCTTTTGATGTTATTTAAGAGAATTAAGTATTAGGTCAACTAATTATCCCCAGATTGATAGTTTTCTTTATTCTCATCACTTGTCTGGTTGATATTGTATTGGTATTGTAAGGAGAAATTCTGTCTTGGTCACTCATGGGAGGTAGAAGGTTAATTACTTCCAGCTCTTGCCTTACACCACTTGTAGAGATTTCCAGTTACATATTATAATTGATAAGAACAGATTATAAAGCCAACCCTTTTTATTTATTAACTAAATGCCCATGAATGTCAGAATTGAATACAAATTCCTGTTCATTGAAATTTTAGGTGAGGTTCTCAGAGGACCTCCATGTTTCAGCTGATGCAGCATCAAGGCTTTTTATCTACATTGGTATCACAACATTTCTAGGCCGACTACTCAGTGGAATCCTGTGTAACATACCTGCTGTGAATCCCGTCTATGTGTTCATGGTTGGTCTTGCGCTGGATGGCTCATCTGTTGTTTTGCTTACTCAGGCCAAAGACTATGGGTATCTTATAGCATTTTCTTTGTTGTATGGCTTGGCAGATGGTTTTGAAATAGGCACATTTAACATTTGCATGATGAATAATTACTTGGAGCCTAGGAAGAGAGCATCTGCTTTTGGTTTAAGTGCTATCTTCTATGGAACAATGACTGCAGCTGGACCTCCCCTAGCTGGTAAGTAAAACAGAAATCACAGAAATGTGAAATGATCTAGAATTTTTTTATTTCAACCACACCCAAAGCAACAAATTCCAAGAAATTGCTACACATAATCAGTAAGGCAGAGGTCAAAATTATGTTTAGAATTTTTTCAGTCAAGGCTTGCTTTAAATTTGAATCTATCTGGATGATTACTAGGTGAGGAATCTTTCATCACCCTGTTTGGGGCAGGTAAGTTAAGCGAGAGATACCTGATAAAAACACAAAGGAATATGGGGTTGACAGCCAGCCAAGAGAGAATATAAGCAAGCTATATTTTTGAAGCCAGGGGAGGGGGATGGGGGTGTACTTCCTAATAATAAGCTAATGGGGATGTGCCACTGGATGGGGTCATATTTTCACAACTGGATTGGCTCTAATGGGGTTGCATTTTCAATAGATGTACTAGAATGGGGTTGCACATTTCAGGATTTTGGTAAGAAAAAAAAATTCTGGTAAGAAGGAATTTAAAAATGGCAAGACTGACAGTTAAAAAGTGAGTAAGTTAGGATGACAAAAACTACATTTTCCTAAAAGTTACTAACATGGTGTCTATAATTGAACACAGGATAGATTGCAATAGGGTAGGGTTTTGAAAGACCAGCACCACATACTCAACAAAAATTGACTCAAGGAACCCCTGCTCCCATCCTCTTCCCCCCCCCCCCCCCTTTTTCAAGATTTCAAGAAGTGTGCACGGTTGAATTGGTGAAGCTGGTAGACAAAACTTGTTCATTATTTGTTGTCATTTGTTGTTTCATTAATTTCCATCAACAGGTTTTATGACAGATCACCTCCACACTTATGTGCCATCTTTTATCATGGCTGCTGTCGTAGAGTTTACAGCAGCAGCACTGCCTTTAATCCTTGTCTGTGGCAAAAAACAGGTGAAATATGGACTAAATGAACATTCTGAGAGAGAAGACAGAGATGAACATCTGAGACCTGTGGTATGGGAAACAACTTTGTAAAGAACTCTAACTTGGATGAAAATTATGCTGGCCGACGAAAGTTGCACAATTTGGCAGAAATGGTCAAGTCAAGTTTGTTCTTCCCTCTTCCTAAATACAAAACAACTTAATTCGTTTCATTCAAAAATTAGCTAACAAATTAATTTTCACACGTTTGTTGATGGTTCATTTTTAAGCCTCACCAAGAAGTCCTAATAAATAGCGACTGTATAACAGAGAAAGCCAGACCCGTTACCCGCCAAAGTGGCCTATGACGCGCGACCCTTGACCCATGACTCGTGACCCGCGACTCGTGACCCGCCACCCGCTACAATTGCCTGCGACATGCAACCCTCGACCTGTGAACGGTGGTCCGCGACCTGTAAGACAGTAAAAGATAAAGGCTTCACCAAGAAGTGCTAATAATAGATATATGTGTAACAGAGAAAGCCAGAGAAAAAGCAAACCAATCAAGTTCAAGGCAACGTTATTTAATAAATCTAAATATGAGCAAATAAATCGAATTTGCACATGTTTAATGACGATTTACTTGTAAGGTTCACTAAGAAGTGGTAATAAAAGGTAACTGTTATAAGAGAAAGTCAGAGAGAATGCCAAAGCAATAAACACGTACAGGATAACTTGATAATGTGTGGTCGGGAATCACAAACATTCTGTGTGAGACAGTTCTTAAAGAGGGAGGGGTGGGGAGGTGTTAGCTTTTACCGCCACAGTAGGTTGTGATCTGCGATCCACGACCCGTTACCCACCACAGAAGCCTGCGACCCGCGAACGGTTACCCCAACCCGTGATCCGCCAAAGTAGAAGCCTGCGACCCGCGAACGGTTACCCCAAACCGTGATCCGCCAAAGTAGCCTGCTACCCGCGACCCGCGACCCGTGACCCGCCCTAGTAGCCTGTGATCCAGGACCTGCGAACAGCGACCAACCACCTGTGACCCGCACGAAAAATAAAAATTATTTAAGACCAAGTGACGTGAAAATTAAAGAAAATTTTGCTAGAGACGGTCGTTTAATAAGGTAACTTAGGATTTTGTAACTAATCTTTCTTCAACGCTTGCGAGGACTATATTTCTCCAGACTGTTCAACTTTAACAGCCTATGGGAATGTGCTTCTCGTTCCTAATAAAGCTTTGGCGATGAAAAAGCTTCATCTCCAGCATAAATTCCACAATGAATGATCATTGTATGGTTATCAACTACAAATTAGAAAAAAATAAGAAAAACTGCATTCAAAATTTGAGGAATAAAGAAATTGGGGTGAAAACAAAGCAACAAAAATTGTGAAACAAAACAAAACAAAACCAACACTAAAAAAGGTCTTACATTTTCTGGGGTCATAGGTCTGTTGTCCTGGGCAAAGTACTGTAAGTAATTAGAAGCCTGATCATAGGCTTCCCTAAGCATGCCTGTCTCAGTAAATCACAAGGTCCTTGCATTCAAGGTCTATATTGTGCTCTAGTCCAAGACTTATCCTCAGAGTCTCTCTCCATCAGGGAGTCATATTACCAACAAACTGTCTAGGAAATCTGAAAAAATTCTGGAAATTAAGCTAACTGCGATGGACACTGTTACCTGTTGGTGTAACCTGTTGGCGACATTCTCCCCTCGCTTTACTAGGTGGGTCAGGGTTAACCGATAGTAGGCAGATTTTTACCGCTCAGCCATTAGCCTAAACCTTAGGTTCAACTACCAAGGCAGCATGTAGTCTTCACATGCATGCAGTAAGCGCGGGATTAAATTTAGTCAATCTGAAACACCCTGCCAAGACACTGTATTTAAACGTCAACTACTACCTCCACCTTTGATGGAGTTGTAATGGCCTTAACACAATGCACTGTGCATTTGTATAACCTTTCAGTATTATCCATCTGAGGTTGAGCAGTGAGTTTAATTCATGATCTACAGTAATATTTAGTACAGACACTGATCCAGGACTATTAAACATATTTCCAGGAAACAGTATTACATTGACTTGCCGCTGTGTTCGATCGATGATGATCATCTTGTGTTAAGGTGGGGGTAAACCTAAAATTGGCTCCAAAACTCAGTTAAGTTTACTATGGAGAAATAATTTTCCATTTATTTTCATTATTTTTACCTTTTTAAGCGATTTCAAAAGTCCCGCTCTGGCTATTTGCGTGGTTAACATGGCAACGAGAGAAGCATTTTTTGATTTATCGGTAGTTTATGATGTGTTATTCTGGCAACCAAACTCCAAGCGGGCGGGATTTAACGAGACACTTTATGTAGTCTTATTTGAATAGTTTTCCCAGGGATAAAAACTATTATGGGATATACGTAGCGTCAGTTTATTCGAATGTAACACTCAGTTCACACAGAGCGATAAATAAAAGGTAAAGTTATTGAAAACGGTTGGAGGGTCTACAGGAAGAAAGAAAGATAATTTTTTTGGAAGGCGAAAACAGGAAGAAGAGCCCGAAGAAACCGCTCCTGTTGTCGACGAAATCGCCTCCTCAACTCCAAGCACCTCACGGGATGAAAATCAGCTCTCCGACTTGGACTCTAAAGAAACTGTTGGTTCCTCCTGAAAGAAAATGAAATATGCCGACGAGGAGCTTCTTTTAGACAGGTCTGATGATGAGTACACCTTCAATACCGAGGAAAGCAAGGGATATAGATTAATAGATGTGAAAAATTTATCCACGGCGGTCTCAAGGGCGCACGTGTGAGAAAGGTGAGAAATTTTTTGAAGTCTAGGTCGTTCTCTACTCTTGATTATGACTTATTTCCCATATCATATCCCTAAGTTCCAGTTTTTCCTCGCTGAATTACAATGATTTATCTATTAAATATTTAAGAGAAAGACTTTTAGGTATTGTGCATATACACTGTAAACAAAAAAAATTATTGGGGAAAAAAAATCACAGAATGTATATATCTGACGTGAAGTCTTTACTTTACTTATAATAAAATTGCCCGATTTATCTTACATTTTACACTTGATTTGTCTTTCTAGGCAACTTAACTCTTTGAGGAAGATAAGAGTGCAAGAGCAAGGCTGATGTCACAGTTTTCCTAATGAGTGTGTCAACTCTATGGTGTGGGTACGGTGTCCTAAACATAAGTACCATGGTGTTAAAGTAGATTGGTGTGCTGCAGCATCAGCAGTCTTTCATTACCATAGTGGAGCTTCAACTAGGCTAAAAATTATGGAGAGGATATCTATCCCTGGTGGTGTATGCACAAGAGAGGTAGCACGTGCAAAAGATAGTAAAGGATTGACAAAGTCTGATTTGCACGTTACACAGAAGGAAAAAAGACAACAACAAGGGAAGAAACTTCTGCGGACTCATCAGGAGGAAGCCCTTCAAGAAGCTGAAGGAGTAACCTATGAATCAGGAGGCTTTTAGACACTCCTGTGGACAAAATATGGACAATTAGGCCACTATAGTGGTTACATATTTAAAAAAATTAATTTTGATTGCTATCCGCAAGTTTGAAGGCTATTTCCTCATTATGCAATAATTTTGTCTTCAAGAAAATATATCTTGAGAAAAATTTATCTGATTGATCTGCAATTTTCAGTGTTTGTTCCCCTTGATAATTTTGGTGTTATAAGCAGAGCAATTTTCCATATGATATATGTACTTAAAGTTATTAAGTGAAACACCCTTTCAATTTCCTTGGTCAAATTTAATCGCTCATCATTTGAAATATTTTCAACATATCAGAAATCCTTCTGCTCATAACAATAAGCAACATGTCTACTTTGAATTTATACTAAAAACATTATTTTTTATTAATGCCAGAAGGAGTTATCTTTTCTTAAGTAAACCTTAATAGAACCCAGCAGGTGGCACAATTAAATGACTGGTATCCTATTACAATTGACAAGTAGAGTGTGAAATTTTTTTTTTGTGATCTTCAAGTGATAAGCTTTCCAGGGATATATAGTTTGCCTAAGTTTTCAACTAAATCCTAACTGTGAAAAATGATGAAAAAAGTGGACATTTTTTAGGTTTACCCCTGCCTTAACCCTTTCAATCCCAAGATCTTATTAGTAATTCTCCTTACTAACTGCTGTACAATTCTTATGATTTTAGTTCTGAGAATTTGTTATTGGATCAATTACTATAATCCCCAATTGATATTTCTCTTTATTCTCATCACTTGTTTGCTTGAAATTGTATGGATATTGTAGGGAGAAATTCATTCTTGGTCACTCATGGGAGTTACAGAGTTAGTAATTCCGTTTTTATGCAACAAAATGTTGCTTTGTCTAATATGACTGTAGCCGACGAATAGCCACTGATCAATTACACTGATCATCATCAAATAGATTAAGAGTAACTACTGAATAATGCAGGAATCATGGCATCCAAACAAGGATTGACGCTAACCGCAACTGTGTTACAATCACGTTCCCTAATTTTATGTGGTTCTAGTTCAAGCCTGTATGATCCTTCTGATGTACCTGCCTCTCCCCTAATTCAGTCCCATCTATCATGGTTGCTCTGATACTGACATTGACTCGAAAGCTTCACACTTGGAGTACTTAGCGAATTTGCATCAGGAAAGTTTTTCTAAAAAGTGAGAAATCAGATGAATATAGTTACTCGATTGTCGTCAAATGCCACGCAATACGATTTCATATCATATCGACAGCACAGCCCTGACCATCATCAACCTGGGTTATTTCAAAAGTGTTCTTATTACAACACAAAGTGGCACGAGTTGTCTGTGATGATTGTATTGTTCAATGAAATCGAACATTTGATCTGATCAGATTTTATTTAAAGGGCTTTCACTCGAGTGGGAATACGAATGATGCGTGAACTGAGCCGTATTGCTCTTAACTAGAGAAAACCGCAGCATGTGTAGAAAAGAGATTGACAGTCCCTGGTCCTGGTTGGTTTGCTTTTGTGCAACTGTTATGATCGCTTTGATGTTTGGAATCTCGCTCAACTTTGGAGTTCTGTTTCCAGTGTTAATGGATTACTTTCAAGAGTCACGAGAAAGGACAGGTAACTTCATGGAAGAAACAATCAATAACTTTTTATGTGTGATGACTCAGTGTTCACACTCCTGGATGTTTTTTCAACAAAGTTTTATGTGCGTGTTCCTTGGTTAAAATTTCGTTACGTTAGTTTTTGACTTGTCAGAATAAATTTGCAAGCGAATTATTATCAGCTTAATTTTCGTTATGTATAAGCTTATTTTTTGTTTTGTTTTTTTCAATCTATAACCAAATGTAAGCTTTTGAACATCATCACGGCGGTGAATCAGACATTAGAAGGATATACATTACGTTTCTTAAAAAAAATTTTTCGGCCAAAGTATATTGACCTTGTGCGAAGCGTTCAAAGTTGCAGTGTTTACCGTTATGTTGCTACTTCTGCGAAACACTTCTCTGTTGCCAATACGTCCATGGATAGCGTGGTAAATGTCACTTTAAACCTTGCTAGGCGCTCAAATACCATCCTAAATAGAATGATATGGTATTAAAAGAGAAAGGAAGATGAAAAATAGGTAGAAAAAAATAATTTATATTTACCATCTGCTGAGGTGAGTTGAATCTTGGAAATGTTATCGCGTGACACCGCTCATTTCTCCAAACTACGGCGGAATCCAAGCAACTGCGTAGAATATAAGTAAAAAAACAACTCTTCCGCCACCAGAAATCCTGAAGTGAAACAATTTTATATTATTGCCATGAATGATGACGAATTCAGGTGAAAATTAATAAGCCTCAGATAGTGTCCATTTAGTACTTAGGCGGGCCGCACGTATTTCGTTACATTCCAATGGACGTTACGGGTCAGCACTTACAGGAGTCAGCGGACGTAAAAATAGAAACAACCAGGTAATCTTTATCTTAGCCTTGTAATCAAATTAAACTTCATTTATTACTCACAGAGAAGATAAAGTGAACATATAATGAATGTTGTGTACTGTCATAAAACACCTATAAGTTCTTAGCCCGTACTTCCTCAGAAAAAATATTTCTACTATTTAAGCATACATTAACTTGTACGCTTTTTCAGCAGCATGTGTTTTTGTACATTCCTCTTCAGGAGCAACCAATGTAGAATTCGTATCTGCTTTATGTTTTTTACGACAGGGTGAACATATAGCTAATGGAAAGATAAAAGAAAAGTAATAAAAAATACCCTATAAGACAAGCATTGTAAAATAAGAAAATTTTTATGACAAAGAAATCCTCCAAAAGTTGTGTGTTTTATTCTTACGTGAGCCTATCGGCACAGATATATCAAACAACTGAAACACCTCCTTGGCCATGGCAGGGTTGATCACGTCACGACTTTTGACGCTGGTAAGTGGTCCTTTGTGCCTTGGATACTGACACAGCTTTGAAGGCCTTCAGTACTTGCCCATACCATAGCGATGGCGAGCACAAACACGTAATGTTTTCACTTCTTCATGAGACAAACAGTCGAGGCCAGCCCTTTGAAGGATGACCTCGTATTCTTTCAGATTTGCACGCGACAAAAAACAATTTTTAGATGTGTAGTTACATCATCTCGACATTCATACAGAAACATTGTCTCCCTACGACCACGTGAAGATTCGCAGTCCAGGAGACCCTCTTTTGACAAAGTACAGGCATCCGCCATGATTACTTGGTTGTTTCTATTTTTACGTCCGCTGACCCCTGTAAGTTTTTGAAAGGGCATACTTTACATTGGGACAGATTTTGCTATAATCAGACGTAACAATTTCGCGGCTCGATATTTTTGGTTTAAAGCGAAACTGAACCAAAAGAAATTGATTTTTAAATAGTATTAGGTAACCTATAGTTGGAAGATAAAAATCGGCCGATTTTAATTTTGAGCCAGAAATCATCGGTCGTTTCTTAGGCGCAGGGCCTTTTAAGTTTTTTACCATTCGGTTACTAGTTTTGTTACAATTCGTTTTCAAGCGATTCTCCTTTATCCTTTGAAGATAGTCTTTTTGTGAGTTTGTTTTAAAGTTTTAGCTAGTCTTTCTGGATATTGCTTTTATATGGGAATGATTGGAATGTTGGTTCGTATATTAGAATTTAGCTTAGTTTTATAGTTGTCGTTGAAAATTTGCTTCGCTTGTGTCGGCCACTACATTTTTTTTAAACAGTGTTACGATATAAGTAAAGATTGATTGTTGAATAACAATAAAGCTAAGTTTTTCGTTTGTCTCACAATGTAGTCACGCGTGATGTAGATCTCGATGTTTCGACTGCATACTGCTAATATTACACCTCAATCCCACATTAAGTTGGGAACAAAGGAAATGATAGAACCAACTAAAGTAAGCACCTTAAGAAATTAATAAAGAACGGTGTGGATAATATTCAAGTGATGCAAGCTGCCCAAGTTAATTGATTTTCTCCAGCACCAGCACAAACTGCAAGCAAATTTTGCTCAATACCAGCCCACCTGACAATGTTTTTATGCAACAATATTTTCATGCAAATTATGGCCACTACCCTCTCCACACTCTGATGAAATACTGTCGGAAATATGCAGGCATAGATTACCGGGCTGTGCATGTATATATAAGTGGCGAACATGCACATTTACACATGAACTAATTCCAATGAGTGCACTGCTCATGATCTAATTATAATAAGCGCATTCGGAGTTGTCAGTTATTTGCACCTTTTGAACACGTAACTGCTTGGTGTATGTTGGAATAATAAATTAAACTTCTTTTACCTAAACTCATCATTACACATACTACCAGTTTTTATATTGTTTTGAAAAAAAATCTAGCAACAATTTTTTGTTTGCCTTTATTTTTTATTGCAGCATGGGTTGGTTCAGTCGGAATAGCCTTAATATTTGTCCTTGGACCTTTGACGAGCATGTTAGTGAATCGCCTTGGCTGCCGTTTAACAGCAATGTTGGGTGGATTATCTGGATCCATTGGTTTGTTACTCTCATCTTTTGCTTCAAGTATTTATGTTATATATGGGACTTACAGTGTTCTGTTTGGATTTGGAGGCAGTTGTATTTTTGTGTCATCTTATGTGGTAACGTCACAGTACTTTGAAAGGAACCGATCCATAGCAACTGGCATTCTTGCCTCAGGAACAGGGCTGGGTGTTCTTGGCATGGCACCAGTTCTTCAAGGCTTGTTGGACTCCTTTGATTGGAGAAAAACTTATCGTCTAACTGCGGCAATTTACTCAGCTGTTTGTGTCCTTGGTCTTACATTTAGTCCAGTTTTAGCAAATAGGGGAAAAAATACAGCTGAGAGAGAAAATGAGAGACTTGAAGACCTAAATGAAGAGAAAGGAAGAAAAATAGGAAAATCAACCAAGTGGATAGACTTCTCGGTCTTTAAGGAGAAGGTGTTTGTAGTTTTAACACTTTCAATGTCAGTTGCCTTTATAGGGCACCTCACCCCAAGGTTACACTTGGTAGGTTGCTGATAAGATTATTGCTCAAAGAATAATACAATAATTACCTCACTATAGTCACCCAGAGTAAGACCAGTGGAAGTTTTCTTGATGACTGGTTGGTCATATTAATAATCATTATAGTAGAGTAGAGTTCAAGGTGGTCTGTGATCTTACAAGTCATGTTCCAAGTCAGATGACTACAAAGTAGTGGTGTGATTTATAATAACCAGAACACATCATCTCTGAACACATCAACTCTGAGAGTGAACTTGATGGCCAGCTGCCTCTCTGGCCCTAGCCTGTTATCAGGCCCTCATTATAAGCACTAATAGGCACAAGCTTTTCTTCACCTTTAGGAAAGTATGAAGCCAAATTTTTAATTCTCCTTACTGTCAACCATACAATTCTTGTGTTATTTCAGAAAATTTAGAAAATTGGATCAACTTATTATCTCCAAATTGATATTTTTCTTAATTCTCATCACTTGCCTGGTTGATATTGTATTGATATTGTAAGGAGAAATTCTCTCTCTTGGTCACTCATGGGAGTTAAAGGGTTAATTACTCCCAGCTCTTGCCATATGCCACTTGTACAGATTTTCAGTTACATATGATAACTGATAAGGACAGATTATAAAGCCAACCATTTTTATTTGATAACTAAATGCCCACGAACTTCAGAATTGAATACAAATTCCTGTTCATTCAATTTTTAGGTGAGGTTTTCAGAGGGCCTCCATGTTTCAGCTGATGCTGCATCAAGGCTTTATATTTACATTGGTATCACAACATTTATAGGCCGACTGCTTAGTGGAATCCTGTGTAACATACGTGCTGTGAATCCTATTTACGTGTTCATGCTTGGTCTTGCACTAGACGGCTCATCTGTAATTTTGCTTACTCAAGCCAAAAACTATGGCAATCTTATAGCATTTTCTTTTTTCTATGGCCTGGCAGACGGTTTTGAAATAGGCACGTTTAACATTTGCATGATTAATAGTTACACAGAGCCTAGGAAAAGAGCATCTGCTTTTGGCTTAAGTGCTATCTTCTATGGCACAATGACTGCAGCTGGACCTCCCTTAGCTGGTAAGTAAAACAGAAATCACCGAAATGTGGAATAATTCAGAATTTTGTAATTGCAACCAGACCTAAACCAACAAATTTATAAGAAATTGCTAAATGTAATCAGTAAGGTAGAGGTCAAAATTATGTTTAGTATTTTTTTCCCGTCAAGGCTACCTTTAAATTTGAATCTATCCATCGGCATCGTCTAGTTTGGGGCAGGTGAGGTAAGCAAGAGACAACTGATAAGAACACAATAGGATGTGGGTTCTCAGCAAAGAGAGAATTTAAGCAAGCTATATATTTGAGCCTGGGGAGGGGGGGGGGGTGGGGGTGTACTTCCTAATGATAGGCTAATGGGGTTGTGCCACTGGATGGTGTGACATTGTCATGGCTGGATTGGCTCTGATGGGGTTGCATTTTTAACGGATTTACTGGAATGAGATCACATGTTTTCAGGATTTGGTAGTAAAAAAATTATGTTTAGAAGGGATTTGAAAATTACAAGATTGGCTGTTAAAAAGTGACTGAATTGGGATCACAAAAATTACACTCTTCCAAAAGTGTCCAAGATGGGGTCTTTGATTGACCACAGAATAGATTGCAATAGGGTAGGGTCCTGATAGGCTAACGGCACATACTCAGCAAAAATTGACTATAAGAACCCCTGGCTGCTCCCCCTTCCCCCTTCCAGGATTTCAAGAAGTCTGCATGGTTGAGCTAGTGAAGCTGTCATCATTTGTTGTTGCATTTCCATCAACAGGTTTTATGACAGATTACTTCCACACTTATGTGCCATCTTTTATCATGGTTGCTGTGGTAGAGTTTACAGCAGCAGCACTGCCTTTAATCCTTGTCTGTGACAAAAAACAGATGAAATATAGACTTAATGAACATTCTGAGAGAGAAGATAAAGGTGAACATCTGAGACCAGTGGTGTGGGAGACAACTTTGTAAAGAACACTAACTTGGACAAAAATTATGCTGACTAGTTCTCTACCGGTCATAGCCCACGAAAAATGCACAATTTGGCAGAAATGGTCAAGTCAAGTCAAGTTTGTTCTTCCGTCTTCCCAAATACAAAGCAGCTTAATTCGTTTAAATCAATATTAGCTAACAAATTAATTTTTCACACTTGTTGATGGTTTAGTTTTTAAGCCTCTCCATGAAGTCTTAATGAACGGCAACCGTATGACAGAGAAAGCCAGACTCGTTACCCTCCTCAGTACCCTATGTGACCTGCCACCCACTACAATTGCCTGTGACATGCAACCCTCGACCTGCGAACGGTAGTTCGCAACCGTTACCCGACAGAGAAAGATAAAGGTTTTCACCAAGAAGTCCTAATTATAGACATAAATGTTACAGTTCCCAAAAGCATGTTTCAGAAGGAGGGAGAAGAGGATGCTGAAGAGGGTTGGAGTAAGGACGCAGCCTTGCTTCACGCCTCTTTTGATGTCAAAAGGTTCGGACATGCTGCCCTCGTATTGGATGGTTGCCTTCATACCGTCAAGAAAAGATCTGATCATGTTGTGAAGCTGCGGGGGGCATCCGATCTTCAGAAGGATGTTGAAGAGCCCGTTCCAGCTCACCAGGTTGAAGGCCTTGGTCAGATCTATGAAGGCAGTGTAGAGGGGCTTCTGCTGTTCCCTGCACTTCTCCTTTAGTTGGCGAAAGGAGGAGATGATGTGCACTGTAGAACGTTCTGCTCGAAAGCCGCATTGGGACTCTGGGTAGATGCGTTCCGCCAGCTGTTGAAGATGCAACAACAAGACTATGGCACACGGTTTGCCCATGATACTCAAGAGGGAGATGCCTCTGAAGTTGTTGCAGTCGCTTCTGCCGCCTTTGTTTTTGTACAGGGTGACGATCTTGGCATCTCTCATGTCTTGTAGAACACCACCTTCACTCCAACACTGGCAAAGGGTGTCGTGTAGAGGCTGCAAAAGGGTGGTCTTGCAGTACCTGATCAGGTCTGGGGGGGGGGGGATGCCATCATTTCTATGTTCTCTCATTACACAATCTAGTTGTCAAAGAAATGTAGTGAACAAATGATACGGCCTTGGCCATCACATGATAGGAATAAAAAATCGGGGATAACACTTCCGTTCAAAGACTGTCTGCAAATAATATCTGTAAAGTAACCTCTATCTGTGGCTACGAGGAATGAAATGAGCAGGAAGAAATTCAAAGAAGTTTCATGACGTACAAAGAAACACCAAACAAATGGAATAAACTTATTAAAGAAATCGATTTATTACTGTAAAAAATTGTCATATATACACAATAAATATAATTTCAGCATTACAACATTGTTTCTTACAAAATTCCAACGACTTGTAAAAAATGCATTCATAAAAAAGGGAGATTAATGAAAAGAGAACAGTAGGAAAGTTATTTATTCAATGTTCGAAAACGTTAGAGATCAACTTTGATTTTTAAGCTAATGATCAGTAATCTACTTCCAAGTCATTTCCAAAAATAATGTGGATTATTTTATACTGAAGTATTCACAAAACTACCTACCCTCCCTTCCCATTTGCTCCCACTTTTTGGGGACCAGCAGCCCACGCAGTCAAGAGAGTTATTGCACCCCTCTCTATGAAACTCTGCTGCCAAAGAACAAATTCTTTTAGTTTGATTTATCCCCATGTCGATTAACACCGAGGGACTACTGCATTTTTCCCAATAAAATTAAGTGAAATATAGAAGTAATTTTTTCATCTCAATCTTCATTATTGCAAGCAGGGGTTGTGGGCTGAAGGGCAAAAACATCCTTTACAACAATTGCGTCAGAGGTACACCTCTCGAGGCTTGGCTTACATAATTATTGTTATTATTTGCTGCTTAAGTGGAGACTTCTCTGCAGAACTGCAATTACAACTATGATTGCTTGACATCAGCAGCAAATCTCAGCGCCATCTGCACATTCTTGAGACCTCTGGATGGACTAGACTTAAATGGCGAGTCTACCAGTGCATGCCGGGATACTCTGTTCTTGAGGATGCTTGATGGACTGGGTTGAAGTCCTTCAGAGGCCGCCGCGGACTCTGGGAGTTTGGCCAGCTTCAGGATGTCAGTGTGCTCTATGATGTGTTCCTGAAAAGTGAAGAAAGATTAACTCATGTCGTATTATCGTTACAGAGGCTACGAGCTGGAAAACGGTTACTTTGTAAGATTTAAAGAAAAAGAAAATAGTGCAATGAAGATGCCCGACGTATTTCCGCGTAAATAATACATAAAAAAAACTTGCTGACTAAATTCAACTATTTTGGTTACATTCTGAGGGAAAAAACAAAACCTCTTCTATTCTAAGAATTGAAAGCTTACTTATTTATTCCTTCCAAGTGACTCATGGAATAACAAAACCAATTAATCGTTGTTAGTAAGTCTCAAAAAATTGTCTCACACTACTTAACGTTCTTCTTTTCAAAAATACGTTCTTGTACAATAGAAAATAACTGAGATACTACCCACGTACTGATTGGTCAGTAGAGCGCTTTTTCGATTGAGCGTCCTCGTACAATGACCAAAGTAATCACGAAAGCCAATCATGGGAAGGAAACTATCATGGAGAACCAATGAGAACTCAAAGAAAAAAAAAGCAAACGGCTTGAAGCGCGGGAAAAAACGAGGACCAAGTCGCGATTGGTTTTAGTTTTGAATCCGATTGGTTAAGAAAGTGGCACGAGGTTTCTGGACCAATCACATAACGAAGTAAACCCAATAAAGAGCAAGTTCTGGATTACTTTCGACAGTCATTTGAAAATTGCCCTACACACCGTTCACTTAACCGCACTTACCAAGCTAAGGCAAGAACCCGCATTGGCATTCTACGACAACACTAAAAAAAATTGCAACTCACTCCCCTTTGACCACGATTGAAAGCTATTCCTCGTGTTCTCCCACCATTTTGTGTAGGTTAGAGTATAACTTAAAGCTTAATCAGAAACAAATCTAATTATCAAATACTTACTTGAATTACTTTGAGCTTTGAATCGACATCGAGTTTCTCTACAGGCGTCCCTCGCAGTCTTTGACACTTTTCTGCGATGTTGTCGATTGCAAGTCTTATGCAGCCGAGCATTTCACTCTGTTGTCTAAAAACGCCTTTACTACTGATTAAGAACTGATCGACTTTCTCCTTTCTTTGCACAGTGTCCTCCAGTTTTTCTTGAAGAGATGCTAGTTCACTGTTCATAAGCTAAGGGGAAAACAATTGTTATCAATTGCTGAGCTTTCAAAATCACTGGGTGGTAGAAGTCTATTCAATTTTCCATGACGTTTCTTTAGATATTATTTATATTAATTAAAATTTTCCTGACGAATCAATATTTACTAACTAATCCACCCAACCTCAAAGAGCTGTCTCTCCGACTTTCCCTAACCCGTGACGGTCATAAACACGTTTTAAAAATTCACTGTAAAATGAAATGTATAATGGCTATGAATTGATTCTCACCAATAAGTTCTGAGTGTGTTCTTGATTCATGTCTTGTAACTTCTGCTGTTCTGCTTCAACCTGATAAGATTTTTTAAAAAATCATAAATATATACGAAGCCCTCAACTCCTCCAAAAACAAAAAGTGGTCTGTCAGGGCCCATCCCTTGACTCTCCTGACTCACTTTACCATCCCTGCAACTCCCATGATCTAATTAGTAATTCTCCCAACTAACTGCCATACATTTTCTTTTTAAATATACCTAAGAATTTGGTGTTATATCAAGATAAGACTATCTGACTGATCAGTGGTCTGTTCTCATAACCTATTTGCAAAATAAAATATTAAAATTGCAAAGAGAATTTACATGTTAACCAGTTCTAGGATTAAAAGGGTTATACCTCTCTAGACTAGAGGCTCACTTTTTTCTGCTCAAGAGCTTATGAATATCAATTTTTGATCACGAGGTAGTCAATGTAACCCTTTAGAATAGCCTCCTAGTTCACTGCAGAGAGCACAGATTGTACAAAATGTCCCCTTAACAATTCTGTGGTGCCCATTGACACAAAAACACAACACAATGAACTCCCCAAAGTTCAAACATGAACAGTGAGATCCAGAAAGCAAAAGTAAACCATCAGCCAGTGACACGAGTCATCTAGCTAATGTTTCACAAGGGAACAGAAGCCCAGGCCTGAGTTGTTTAAAGCTGGGTTAGGGTGAAATTTGATTTCAGGCCTGAAAGCTTTAAAAGAAATTTCAGTTCATATCTTTTTGGTTACAATTTGGTCATTGGATGTTCTAAAAAGAATAGGTAAAATTTTCCCTTAAAGGCTTTTGATCAGAGAAATGAAGAAACCTGGATTAATTTAACACTGAATTAGCACTAATTAGCCTTCAAATGACTGGGCCCAGAAGTCCATCTCCTGACTGCATGGAAAAGAGCACCACAAAAATTGATGGACAATGGACAACTAGTAAAATCCATAACTGTCCTCCTTCCAAAAATTACTCTGAATTCATATTCACCTGATCTGAAGTGTCCCCTAACATCTGCACCAGTGATTGGTTAGTTGCACTCAGCGTTCTAAACCTCATCATGATTCCCATCAACATGGAGTCATTTGCCTCAAGGTAGTCTTAAGTGAGAAGAAACAAACAATCCCTTTCAATTAACAGTTTTAATCACCATAGAATAAGAACAATGTCCATTTTTTCAAATACTGCTTTTCCTCACATAAGAGCCTGGGCACTTATTAAATTATGAGCTAAAAAGAAGGGGGGTTGTTATTGGAGGGAGTACCTAATCTGGGGGGGGGGGTGCTTATAATTCTCCTAGGTTGATTTGCTGTAGTTGAAGCTTATAAAGTTTTAAATAAAGTGGCAATAGAAACAAGTTTTCCATGTATCCCTAAACCTTAAGAAAATGAGGCAGGAGAGGGGGGGGGGGTGTTTTCTGGAGAGGGGTGCTTGTTTGACATTTTGGTCTAGGGGATGGATGCTTTCTCAGGGAAGGGCACTTTTAGAGCATGGGAGCTTATTTGAGCGGGGTGGGAGGGTCTTTACTGGAGAGGGGTACTTGTTTGACATTTTGGCCTAGGGGATGGATGCCTTTTAAGGAAAGGGTGCTTTTAGAGCTTGGGGGCTTATTTGAGGAAATATAGTACTTGTAATCTTGTAAGTCTTAATTACTAACTTAGAGAGGAATAAAAAACACCCCTAAGCCTCTTCTTCCAACTAGTTTGAAGTTAAATAAAAGATTAAAAAGTAACAAAGTGTTGATTAAACTTAAAAATCCCACACACTCCTTTCTAAATTGATATGTGCAGATCACCTTCTGATGAAAAGCAAAAGGTGTTGATTACAAGCATTGTCAAATTTAAAATTTGTTTGTAAAGTGTCTTGGCGTGAAAGAATAAGCTCTGATTCTGTCAAAAGGTCTAAATTTTGAAAGACTTCTTGAGATTTAAGAAAATGTATACCTAACTATATACTTAGGTATATTAAAAAAGATTTGCATGCTATTTCAGTTTGTGTGAAAGCCTAAATATTTCTTTCTGTGGTACCTTCACCCTTTAACTCCCATGAGTGACCAAGACAGAATTTCTCCTTACAATAGCATAACAATATCCAGCAGATTAGTAATGAGAATCAAAAAATTATCAACTAGGGGATTATTGATTGATCCAATACCAAATTCTTTGAAATAAAATCACAAGAAATGTGTGGAAAACACCAAGGAGAATTACTCATGAGATCTTTCTCTCAGGAGATGAAAGGGTTAGGGTGTCTCTATTTCATGCTAAACATTAAAACTAAAAACTGTGCTGGTACCTTCTGGTAACTGATCAAGAACTTTCATCAAAAACTTTTCATAAACTGAGTATCTTGCCAGCTTTGCCATCAGAGCTTCTTTTCTGGGAATAAATAGATGAATTGATAACTAAATATTTGTGCTGAGCAATGAAATTATTCCTCTAAACTGTTTGTGCATTGTAAAAAATGCTGCAAAAATTAAGCCACATTAAAGTGGTTTCAGAGATGACCAAATAATCAAGCAAACTACTTTTCCTTAACTCTTTAAATCAAAATAATTACCTCAATTTAGCATACCATTACTTTAATACTTAAAATACAAAGAAAACGCTCTCTCCAATAGTTTCTCATAAGTCGGTGAAAACAACTTAGTTTTCATTACAAAAAACCAGTCAATAAAGTAATTATAAAATAATTCAAATAGTATGCACGCTCTGATTGGCCATAAAACCATTTTACATGAGCGTATGTAGACATGGTTTTCGTTCCTCTTTCATTAAAGATAAGCTGGAAACCACTCTGCTTTGCGTCGTGGTTTCCTACGCTTGTCTCGTGTTCTCCCAACCTCCCACACGTTTACATCAGGCTATGTAAACACAGAAACCATTTTACATTTCTTCAATATAATTTAATCTGAAGAGCTCCACAAGTCTAGTATGCATACCTTGTTTTCAGCTGCTCTAATTCAGTTGATAAAACATCAAGCTCCCTATTTTTCTGAGTTTTAAGTTTTAATTCTGTTTGATACTTCTGTATTGCTCTTCTTCTCTTTGCATCATTTTCTTCTATAAACTTCTCAAACTTTCCAACTCGTTCACGAATCTACAAAATATCACAATACAAAATACTTCTTTGATTTTTGTCAAAACCAGTAGCTTTAACACTGAGGAAATTCAGATTCTTGGCAGAAGAACAGTATGCAAAGCTTTTCAAGAAGCATCAGTTAATTTTATCACCTTGCAGGTAGACTACATGCATGAGCAGACACTCCATTTGGGCAAAGTCAATCGCCCAACTCCGAAAAAATCAGGAAAAGAATTAAAATTGAGGTTGGGTGCTGTATGGAACTGTGAGTGAGGCATGCAAAAAGTAGGCATTGCACTCACCAAAATTTTTAGATTTTTACTGATTTTTTTAAGACCTGCAGTTAAGACTTCACCCAAAAGGAGGAAAGCCCAGTTAGGTTTGAATTTTTTCCTTCACCTGAGCTTGTTTCTTTTTTAGCTCCTCCTCTTTAGCCTTGCAGGCTGCCATGCGTTCTGCAAACTGACGTCTTTTGATATCCAAATCTTCTTGAACCTTTTCAACTTCAACTTGTTTCTTAAGTAGTAAAGTTGACTGTACTGTGTTAAGGCCTGTGTCAAGCAGTTTACTTGCTGACTACAAATTAGAAAAAAATAAGAAAAACTTCATTCAAAATTTGAGGAATAAAGAAATTGCTGTGAAAACAAAGCAACAAAAATTGTGAAAAAAAGAAAAGCACAAAACAAGACCAACACTAAAGAGGGTCTTTCATTTTCTGGGGACATATATATACTTTAGGTCTGTTGTCCTGGGCAAAGTACTATTAGTAATAAGACGCCTGATCATAGCCTTCCCTAAGCATGCCTGTCTCAATAAATCACAAGGTCCTTGCATTTAAGGTCTGTATTGTGCTCTAGTCCAAGACATATCCTCAGAGCCTCTCCCCATCAAGGAGTTATTTTTCCAATTAACTGTCCAGGGAAAGCTGGAAGCTATCCGCAATTGACACTGCATGGTCAAGGATCCCGTAGGTGGAAGAAGTGGACATTCTCTCTTCACTTAGGGGGCTAGGGTTAACTGATAATAGGCAGATTTTGACCACACAGCCATTACCAAGGCAGCATATAGTTTTCATTTGCACGGAGTAAGCACAGGGTTAAATTAAGTCAATCTGAAACACCCTGCCAAGAGCCTGTGTGTTTAGGTCGACCACTACCCACATGTTTGATGGACTTACACTGTGCATTTGTATAAGCTTTCAATATTTTTCATGTGAAGTCAAAAGGAGAAGTTTAATTCATGGTATACAGTAACAGTACAGGGCACTGATCCAGAACTATTGAACATATCTCCAGAAAACGTATTACGTTGACTTACAACTGTGTTCGTTGATGATCATCTCGTGTTAATGATTTCGTTTTTAAGCAAAAAAAAGTGTTTTAATGTCCGACGAATGGCCACTGATTAATTACACTACTTTTATCGGACCCTATGAATCGTTCATCGACTCAAGGCTTGGACTTGCGAGAAGGGTTCACCGCGCGCGAGAAGTAACATCGAGGAGTTTAACTTTGTAGAGATGCTTCACAACTTTTCCTTATAATGCCCCCGTAACCGTATGGCGTATGCTACGCTGTTGTACCGAGGAGTATATGCAATTATTTTCAGAAAATGAAAATCGCCATGTGGTGAAAAAAGAAATGTAAACAATTTCGACATTCACTGTTAATAACCTTGCGGTAAAACGAAGTTAATAAGTTAAAAGTGATGGTTGCATTTCAACAATTTCATTAGTTCTCTACCATCTCCATTACCTATTCATCTAACCAAGAGTTGCGCAAATAGTAATGGAAACATAAATTCTATGGGTTCCAGCGGAAGTTTCGACCAAGAACTGTTTACCAATGAAAGAGATATCATATGAAAACGCTTATTAAAACCGGAACAAGATGCTATATACAGCATTTACATAGAATAATAGAACGATACCTCTTCAACAACGGGAAATTTGCGAATCTCGGCGTCATCTTCCTCTTCCTCTCTGTACGAAGAAAAAAACCGCAATTCAAATAGGTTAGGAGTATTCTCGCAACTACTAAATAATGCAAAAATTATGACATCCAAAAGTGGCTTGGCGCTTACCGCAACTGTGTTACAAATACGTTCTTTTTCTGCGGTTCTAGTTCAAGCCTGTATGATCCTTCCGCAGACATGTCTGTCTGTTAAACAAACCCAACGTCGTCGAAAAAAAATAAAGGAGATAAAGTTCTCTAAATCCCTCAGTCAAAACGTGTACCCAGCCGTTCTTCTCGACGTTCCAAGATGTTACGCTCTACATGTTCGAGAATTCGTTGGTCTGTTGCCATAGCTACGGCAGTGACTTGTAAATGTGGGAACTGTGTACTGGACTATTAGAAAAGTACGGGAACTTGATAATTCTCTCAGCATAAAGATTTTAAAATTTACGTCTCTCTACTGGACTGATCCGAAGATAACATATCATATTGAACTCGTAATAATAAAATAAACCTGAAAAGATATTAATAACAACTTTTTTACACCAGACATCAGCCTAGTGTCTCTCAAATGTGTAACAGCTCAGTTAACCTTTAACTCCCATGAGTGACCAAGACAGAATTTCTCCTTACAATATCAGTACAATATCAGCAGACAAGTGATGAGAATAAAGAAAAATATAAATTAAGGGAATATAAGATGATCCAATACCAAATTCTCCAAACAAACATCACAAGAACTATATGACTGACAGTAAGGAGAATTACTGATGAGATCTTGGGAGTTAAAGGTTTAAGTATGCCAGAGGAGAGGAAAAAATGTCATAATTTTTTCTCTAATATCATGTATTGCATAAAACATTATATATGGAGGAAACATACCAGTACTTCTTTTAATAAATTTTTATTTATTTACCAATTTTACAATAGATAGATCATTCTGAGCAGCTAATTACTAATATGAATCACTTGTATTAAAAAAAAACAAAAATACATTTACAGTGAGTGCCATTTTAAGCTGTTTCAAGTTGATTCCACTCTGGAATCACATCCTGAGAGTTCTACTTAGGGCAGGCACTAAAATTTTTAACATATCTGTGAAAACAGATGTCAGAAGATCTTGCAGAAAATTAAAAAACTCCCTTGTGGTCCACAACTTCTAGAATCACAGAGAGTTCTTTTCTCCACATGTCTATCTGTTAAAATCCACTCTGCAATCATGGCTTTCCCATCTTGTTACAGGTACAAACAGATTGCCACAGTTTCTTTCTTTGCCAATTTCACAAAGGTTACTGGTCTTCATCTTCCTTGAAAGGATCTCTTCTTTTAATTTTAAAAAGCTAAACAAAATAAAGATTGTTAAAAATGAAAAAAGTTAAGTTTGGTAACTACCAAATGAACATCAATGATATCTTAGTCTGACTCCCTGGAGTAATAGAATTTAATTCTTTCTTTCAACCCTTTGATCCCTAAGAGTGACTAACATCTAATTTCTCCTTACAATATCACCCCTGAATCACACATTAAGGTTATGAGAATAAAGGAGATGATCACCACCTAAAGAGGCTCTTCATTGTTACAAAAATTCTCCTTGTCAGCACCTTAGGAAATGTATAGAGAACAGTATGGAGAATATGTATGCTGATGTTAGGATGTTAAGGGTTAATAAAAGACCTCTCTTGACGCATGAATGTAAATGACCACCAGTTATGAACCTCTTTGTAGAACAATTCACTGAACACAATTTTGGCTTACGATTATCACATTCAACTTTAATTGCTCTCAAGCACTGTCCCTTGTTATTTGTAAAAACATATCAGATCATTGAGCAATTTTGCCAATTACCAATGTCAATAGAAAAAAGGTGAGGCAAAAACAATTTTTTCCAATTTTAATGTTTGAAGTTATAAACTTACTGGGCTCTTTGCCATGGTTCTTAGATACTCCTCAAGTTTTTGTATCCCAGGTCCCTTCTTGTACAGCTCTTCCTCAGTTGCTGCAATTAAAAATGTATCCTAAATTTTAAAAATACACAAATGTATTGTAATAACACTGGATCTCTTCCAATAAAAGGACAGAGCAGGCCACCTGGTTTGCAGCCATGAACAGTTGACTGGGGACCCTCTCTTTCGGTGGTAAAGGAATTTTTTTTCTACACATTCTGTTGCTGAGACACACTATCACATTATCAGTTTGATTTTAAGGTCTAATTGTCCAGATGGGAGAAGTTCTGAGAATGACTTTTGTCAATAAAGGTGACTTACATTTTAACAACTTCAGCAGATGTCATCATCAGAGTCAACCCTGATGATGATTTTGACACACCAGTTCCCATCACTGACAACAGCCCCTCTCAGGAATATTATCCAGTTTCTCTTATATTCAAAACATTTACTGTATTACATCATAAATGTGTCACCACATATGGCCAAATAGCACAAGCTCAGTACAAACTGTTTTAGTTTGACTTGTTGGACCCTGATAAGAGCTTCTGCTGTAAATTTTGGTGGGGAGCCCCGCTGACATCTTCAAATTCTGACCCTGATTAACACAAAACAGTTCAAATTCTCAAGGAAAAATGCAACTAGAAACCCTGTCCATTGCAAAACACAGAAAACTTCAGTTTGACTTTGACAGGTCATTGATGAACAGACCAAACGTTATTAACTACAAGAAACACAGGAAATCCTCAAAATCTGCAGTTGATACCTTGTAAGCCGAAAAAAGGTTACTCTTCCCACCCCCTTCTGAAGACATGGGCATGGCGAATTTATCTTCAGGTCTAAAATCAATATTTAAGCTTTCATCTCTTGAAAATATTTTTTTTGGTATAATCTTACGCTGTTATAAATAGACAAAAAGGAATTTTTACAAGCCTCTGGTCGAGATGACTTAGAGAGAGGATTGTAAAGTTTGCCGGTGACAGCATGGAACTACTTACGTTTGATTCTCTCCCCTTTGTACCACTTGTAAACCAACACGGCTTGAACACAAGACATCATTGCGATCATAGAATACAGAAGATGGTTATTATATTTATCTGCAAATAGGCGCCAACGCCACCATGGATTCATTGTTAATGTGTTCTTGATCACAGAAAAAAGTCAGCTACCAATCTTCGCTGTAACGACGGCCGCCATAATTATTTTTAACGTGATAACGCTGACCATCTTAAGGCGCAGGAGGACTTTTACTGGAGTCTAGTCTCCCACTCTGGGCCTTATCATGCAACAGGAAGACCACCCTGTGAGTAACCCTGTGAGTACCATGGGCATCTCTTATGACTCTCATGGGGCATTTAACGCTTTCCTTTTCGTCCTCTTGCATGTTGTGGACATGTTACATGTTGTAATACCAACGGCGAGAGTGATTCAGTGAAAAGGCGTTTTGTACGACTCGGAGAAGCAAAAAACTACTACAGCGCGGTGCATATAAATTTCATTTTACCTTTAATGAGATTTTTAGACGTGTGAAAAATTTATTACTCAGTCCGATATTTGAAACCGTCCTACATTTATTGACCTCTTGCGTGACAACAAACTCGTCGAGTGATTTCCCTGTGAAACAAAATGGCGTCTGATCACGTCGTGGCTGGTTTCCCAACGATAAACTAAATCGTTTCGGGATACTTGGAGATGTTTTAAAGCTATTTCGTCGCTAGGGGATGGAGTAAATTTGAGATATGTCTGACACAGAGGAACCTAAGAAAAAGCACGCGAGACTTGAAAATACTGAGGAGAACGACCAGGTTAGTAGTTCATGGTAAGGTACTGACGTGGATAATTTAAGGTACTCCTCAGATTTCATGGGTTCCTGAGCGAGGGAATGTGATAGTGGAGCTAAATAAAAAACTATGGGTAACGGGGAGGAAGGTGTTTAGTTCGTGATTTGAGAGAGGGCCAACTGTTATTTATAGAGAATAAAGAATATGAAGGTGAGCTGCAGTTGCTGATCATGATATGCAACTACAATAGAGTACTGAAAAATTTCAGACTTCAGCAGGATGCAAACCCGTGCCCCGCCAGAACGTTTTCTGCTATTTCTTTGATTACATTTCATTTGCATCATCTGCAGATCAAAATTTGATTCATTCAATTTGATTGTATTGCAATCAGTTTCCTTAATGGGTGGCTTCTTAGCTCAGGCATGTGTTTTCCTGTAAAAGCTCAAATTTTTTTTCAGGCTCCCTTACGGCAGTTCTTTACTTGAAGCTCAACAATAAGTAATTTTCTCTACTTCAATATTTTTAAGCCTTCATGCAGATGCTTGGTCTCACTTTGAACTTTCTGAGCCTTTAGCCCTTTAACTCCCAGAAGTGATTAAAATGTAACTTCTCCCTATGATATCCATACATTATCCAGCAAACAGATAGTGAGAATACTCAAACTCATCAGGTACAAGAAATTACCTTGATTGACCACCAAATTCTCATAACCAATTTACAAGAAAATGTCTAGCAGCTACAGGGAGAATTGACAATCACATCATAGGAGTTAAAGGGCTAGCCCCATCTGTCCAGGAATGGACAAACCCATAACCCAAACCATAGATTTTCAGATCCTCATCCAATTTTTTAATCTTCCTTTTTTGCACTTTCATTGATTGCAGCTGCAACTGCAAGAATCATTTCTTTACTTTTATGGAGTGTACAGTTCCTTGTGCTACATGGCAAAACAGCACCTGTTCAGAGGGTTGGGAAGGGGACACATTAGTTCTAAAACAGCATTTTTATTGAAGTTTTCTTTTTCAGGAATATGTAGAGAAAACATTACTAGAACAGCTAAATCATTTACAAAAGGTTCTGACAACCATTTTAACTGAAGCACAGCAAAATGCTGAAGAATCAATGGAGGAGTTTGTTGCAGACAAAGTGCGTAAAATGGGGGCTATGATTGGACATTACTCTGATGCATTTCAAACACTGAATGTTATGTCAAGAAGAGATATAGATGAAGAAGTTGCCAAGGTCTGTCATGATAAATCTATTCGAGATGCAGCTGACGAACTCTTTCAGGCTGAGGACGAATGGAACTCTTTCCTAGAAGAAACAGATGCAAAGATAAATCCTTTATGTAAAGACAAGGCAAAAGAATTAGTGGAAGGCTCACACGGCCCTTGTGATCTGAAACTTATTGATGTTCATACAGAAAGGTTGGCAAAATGGTCAATAAGGTGTTTGCTTATTGTGATGTAATTATTTTAACTGTGTATTTGTCAGAAAGCCAGCATTTTCATAGAGGACATGAAAAATTATCCATTTAGGCACTAATAGTTTACTGAAGATGTTCTAAATAGTTAAAAGATGTCCTAAAGATTTGGCTCAAACGTATCCAATGCTATGCCCTCCACAACTTAAGGTTTAAGATTATGATTTGGGATGATGATTTAGGATTAATGATTTAGGATTTTGCATTATTTTATACAATTAAAAAGCTTGGGTCTCTTATGCTGTGATGGATGAAATTTCACAGCTGGATGTGAGAAATTGATTGGCACATGTGATTTGCCATGATGTCAGAGTTTTCAATCCACAAGCATGGGAGTTGGCAGTTACTTATAAATACCTTCACAATCTTTTCATTGAATGGTTTTATTTAGAGAGGTGTGCAAATTTTGTACCTGATTTAAAGTTGAATTATCAAAGTAACTGCAGCATGGTAGAGTAGCTTCATTTCAACATGTCTAATAATTGTAGCACATCCTGGATATGTTGTACAAAAAGACTTTTTGACATACTTTCAAATGCTTCCTGGAATGATTTTATACCTTACATAGCTATGAGGACATGAATGTTTTACTTTTCTTCCCATTGTTAGGGAATTCTCCATTCAGGATTTGCTAACATCCACATCTACAGTTTTTATACTTTTGCGCCACTTTGCATGACTGCCATGACGTGACCATGTGGCCCAAGTTGAGTCACAAAAGACAAAATTTGAGGCCTTGAATGGAGAAGTCCTTATTATTAGCTTTGGAAATTTGGTGAGTACATGGAAATCTTGTGCTACTATCTTCTTGGTTCTGCAGTTATCTGTAGTAATCAACCAACTAGAAGGGTTGCCTAGTAGTTTTGGCTTGGGATTTTACAAAGTTTGGATTTGCTTTCCTTTTTTTTTTATGATAAATACAAAACATTTTTCATAGAATCCAAAGGCAGAGGTTTCAGTATTAGGGCCAGGCACTAAGAAAACAGGCCATCAAGGCAACTTTGCCAGGGTCATTGTCTTTATGTAAGACCAAGTTTTAGGAATGGGATACAAAAAAATATTTGCAAACAGTTTGCATGAAAAAAAAATTTTTTTTGAAAATTGTTGAATTTCTATGTAAATATTGAGGTGCAAGTTCAAGGCTAGTACAAGGATCACCCGTGGAGAAAGCATGTGGAGTCAAATTGATGCATACCAGCATGTGTCTCCCTTCCACAGCTTGTGTTGTGATTGCCTTTGCTCTCTGAAAAACAGTAATTGTCATCTCCCATGTTTCAGGAAGGAGCAAAAAAATGGCTTCAAGATACAAACTGTGAGTTCAGGATGTTTGTTGACCCAGAACGTCAGCTGTACAATGCGCTTGGTCTGAAACGCTCTGTGGCTAAAGTTTGGAGTATCTCTGCCCTAGTTTACTATGCAGAGCAGAAGCGTGCTGGCAGGAAACTTGTGGCCATGTTTGATGAAGATGACCCCACCCAGATGGGTGGAGACTTTGTGTTCGATAAAAATGGTAAACTTGCACTAATCCATCGCAGCAAAGTCTCCACAGACAGACCCTCAGTGGAGAATCTTCTGAAGTGTGTTAGGGATCTTAGTGTGCTTAAGAATAAAGAGAACAGTTAAAGTGGCTCTGTCACCTTGCCGTTGAGATATAATTTTGCTTGTTTCTGCTAACCAAGAGCCTTGAATAGGCCACACTGCAGCTGTCAGTAGATCCATTCTCATGGTAATTTAGTGTGTTGTTAGTGGCATTTTTCACCATGTTGACTGCTTCATAAGGAAGCTTTCGTGAACTTTTTTTCAATTGACTGCAGCACTGTTTATTTGCTTAGTATATTATAGATGTGAAAATATCACGGCTAAAAGCACATACAGCTCATGAGTAAATAGAAGCTGAGAATGATAGCTTTGACTGAAACAGTCAATGAAGTCACTGCTGGAAGGAGAAGCTTCATATATGAGCTGTTAAGCTAAAAAAGTAGGAAGAGGATTATTGTTTTGATGTGCATTCATCTTTTACAAGGTTTTTAGCGATGTGTAAGAATAAAGAAATAGATAGTGTTAGTAAAGTATTGTACTCGCTGTATTGTGAGTAATTTGAAATTCTGTTCTGTGAGTTTTTTAAAAACAGAAACTGCCAGCATCGAAAGTACCATGCTGATTTTAATGACTTTTTATGCGTGTTCTGTTTTGCTCTTCAACCGTTCCTGCGAAGGATTGGACGAAAGCACTGCACTAAGGAAGTCCGGACCCTTTGCATCTGTCCAAGCATACCCCGCGGCCTTCACGATGACAGCTTTCCCCGAAATAAGGTCATCCATCGCATCTTGAGTAACACTTATTAGTGAGACACGAGAAGAACTCGTAGGCAAACAATGTGGACACATTACTCGTCGGTTCGGTTTTGTTAAAAAAAAAAAGAAGACATGGAAAAGTCAACGATGCAATAAAGGACGACACACACAAGCTGTGGGTCCATTATCCTCTTCAATTTAATGTGTAGTCCATATCTTGTAGATGACAGATAGGCTTGTGAGAGAAGAATTCATTCTCAGTGTTCTCCCTTATTTCAAGCATGACAGGTAAAATAAATTTTCAAACCGGCAAAGCAATCCTTTTACCTGTTGAATTTCAAGAATTCCAAGCCATTTTAAACGGTAATAAGGGGTACTCCAGGCGGTAAATGTTACCGGTTACCGCCCGAAAAGGAGAACACTGGAATCATTCCACTTTGGACTCGAAGCTTCTAACCTAGGTAATAACAGAATAGATATGGACAATGAAGGAGCTTGCAGTTGTGAACAAAGAAAGACGAAAAAAAAAATTAAAGCTACTTTTCTCATCTTGTTTTTCCCAAATCGTGGCAAAAGCTGAACGATGAGCAGGAGTTAACATGTATTGAACAGAAAATCTGTGTAACTTCTAGGATTTTCTGGTCGTAAAAACACCTCACTCTGTGAAATACAAAAATTCTCAGCGCACCAAACAGAGTGCAAAACTTATCAACAATGAGTCGCAATCTGTTTTTAAAATCGTGAATCAGCAATTTTTTACGTCGGAATTAAAGGCACTCCTTGTTCTTTACCCGACCCAGACCTCTTTAGCTTTTTCGTTTATCTGCTACTATCGCGCTACTGTTTCGCTCCGTTTTACTAACTGAATTCCTGGAATAAGCTACAATTTATTGGTAAAAACGGTTGATAAAACCATTTTACGAGCATTTTTCTTGTATATTTAAGACAAGATGGCTAATCATCTATTCTTACTTACAGTATTTACGATGCCGCAGTGCATCTGTTGCAAAAAATACAGCCAATTGGATGCTTCTCCAAAGAAGCACTTAAAGATGTTGTCATGAACGATCTTATCAGAAACTAGGCTCATATCATGAACTCATTATAGAACTTTTTCACAATTATACTACTGAGTTTGAACATCTTGTGCAAACTGACACCTTTTGCAGCAATTGTATGTCGGCGCAAAACTGAAATATTTCGTGCAACTTCAGGGCGACGGAGATCCTTTACTCAGTGTGTGTTCCTTGCAAAGGGTTTCTATAGAAGTGAAGTAAATTTTTATTCAAACTACTTATTAACATCTTGAGGTGAGTGAGAGCAGCCAAGTTGTTTCTCGAGTTGAAAAACAAACTGATGTTAATTTTTGCTACCAGATGCGTCAAATATGAAAACTTTTATTCTTTCTCTTACACACAACTCAAACACACCGTTATCATCTCAGTTTTATACCTCGCATTAGGCATTATGATGCAGGTAAGACTCGAAATTACGGAATTCAGAACAAATTTGTTCATGTCTAATGCATACATGCAGACCGACAGCGAAGGAAATTTATTGCAAAATATATGATTGCGCTGATGCAGTCCTGCAAGTTTTGTCCTGCGATTGAATCTTCTTTCAATTTTGTGAACTTAAGGGATATTACTTCGATAGTGTTCTAAATATTATGAAGGTTTTCGTATTGCAACTTACACATACGTAAAAGTGATACCAGAAGCTGTTTCAGGTTAAAATATGATCTCATCTTGAGCCAAGATCGGCCTCTAATATATAAAAAAATTCAAAACTAGTTCTGTTGGACAGAATACGAACTCGAATGGGTCAATGATTCACTGTTCAAAGTTATCAGCTCTTTTCAGACGAAATCCACACTTTCTTAGTGACTGGAAAAACAATCCATGTTTCTTAAAACGGCAAAAGTTGTCTTAGTGAAACTTTTTAAAAATCCTTAGACATAGCAACATGTTGATAAAAAATAAATTTAGACTTCATTCACACGATTGCTGGATAAAAGGAAAGTTGACATCAACTGATATATTTTTCAGACAAACACCAGTTTCCTTCTTTGAATTTTTCGGATCTACATCTCTGAAAATACAAATTAATTTCAATAGATAAATCGTGCTACTTCGTGAGATTTAAGTCAGAATTTAAACAAATTCTGACAAAGAAACGAAAAAAAAAACCATTGAAAAATAGAGAAACAGAAAATCGATACGAGCAGCTGCTATTGATTCGAGGAATAAAATGATCTCGTTTGATGTTTATACTTCTAGTTTTTATAATCATTTTTCGATTGGGTATACGAAATTTTAAGACGCCTTCAAGTGTGACAAAATGTTCTCTAGAATATTTCCATATAAACTTTTCAAGGATCTATCAGATACATTGAATATTCAAAACTCAGGAAAATTATGCGTGTTATTTATCTTAAAGAACCAGCTGTCCATAGATATTAACAGGAAGAAAAATTAATCAAGGTATATAAGGCGTATAGTTAAAGTGCACATAAAAAAATACGTTACATTGGGTGCATAATCTTCATTTTGTATTCAGCTTAAATTTCGCCCAAAATGCTTGAAATTAAAAACAAATTTAGATACCTGTGACTGTATGCACTAGACTGGCTTTCATTAATATTGCCAAGTGTCGAACTGCCTATAAATAGAAATAAAAACTGACACCACTTATATTTGTTAGAGAATCGATATAAGCCGAAGAGGGCTATCAATATTGCAGGCTCTCGCGTATTCCTACTTCACTGAACGAACAATTTTATTTCTTCCATTTCCGACTCGAATCTTTACCGAAGCTTGGTTTATCTAAGATGGAGATAAAATCTTCAAGGAACATCTGGTTCAATACTAGTGTCAGTTCATTGAGTAGTACTCCTCTTTCCTCCAATTCTTTAGGAAAATGAAGACTGAAGGGAACATGATCTTGATTTTTGTGAGTATCGAGTTGAATCTGGAAATTTTATTGGTTCAAGACATAACTCATAGAAAAACAGAAGAGGAGAGTTCTCTCTTACTCAAAGAGGGTCATGACTCAGCCCGTAGCGGCAAGCTTTATGCAGGGAATCACTCAGGCTCTCTCTCCTTTCCATAAACTTGTGGTGACTCAGGGCAGCTTATGTATTTATCACCAGCCAACTAGGTGACGAAAGGATGTTTCTGTTGTCTTACATGTTTTCTCTTGTAACGTCCGAGCAATACTAACATATGACGTTATTTCTTCTTCTTCAGTTGATTGGCACAATATGTACTGACATGGTATTTACTCATGAACCAGGAAGAGGCCACCATGGCCGTCAACGTCCCCAGGGAGGGGGAGGTAAGAAATGTTTTCTTCTAAATTAAAGTGGCTAGGACATGCGCAGAGCTGAGTCATCGTCATAACATCGTTGATTTTTAATTCTTTATTATGTAATTCACAAAGGTAAGTGGAGCTGCACAATTTTTACATTTTTTTATGCTGTGTATAGTTAAACCAAAGGGATGGAAGTCTGATAATAACATTTGGCATCGATCTAAGCAAGCTGCTGATACATTGCTCCATGAAAAAAATATGCTTCCATCAATCTGTATCAAGAAACGTAACACAACTTCCACGAAAGATGATAAACTTTCAGTTAATTAATCTCGAGATTTTGAACAAAGAATTATGAACAGTTAAGCAACAATCGATTGCAGTTTGTATTCAAATATTTCGTATGTAATTATTTATGTAAAAGTTGGCAACACTTTATTGAAAAGAACCAATTAAAAGTTGCTTGAGAGAGGAAATTATTTCTTAGGCAATTAAAAAAAGGAGTTTTCCAGTCATTAAGAAAATAACTTGGTTTCTGCTATGAAAGTGATGCATTATAACTTTGCGAGAGTTAAGTGATAAGAATTAATATCAGCATTAGTTTATCAGCTAGAAAGTTACAATTATAAACTATACAAGCATTTCGCATAAGAACAGCTTTAGATCGTCGTAGTTATCAACACCTGATACATATTTGGTTATTAGTTAGTTATTAGTGATTGATATATTAATAATAACTGACAATTATCAGTATGAGCTTGCATGTTATCAATTGATATTAACAATGTAAGTTGTGTTGCGACATTTTCGCTCAAGTTTCTTGCCGGAGGGGGGTGCCATTTATGTTTTTATGCATCAGTAAGATGAGGATCAGGTTCAAAGTGATAACACCAAAGTATTAACAACGATTAAACAGTATTAGAAGATATGCATAAGTAGGCATGATTGGTATGTGATAACCTCTTAGTTATAAACATCAATGAAATACCGAGTAAGCTTTCGCGCGAAAACTTGATATCTTCACACGTGAAGATAACATGTTATCTTCACACATGAAAATAGAACTGTTGCTATGGTAAAATATAAAAATCGCGCCTTTCGATGCAGTGCCTTTGATTTAGCATTTCATTGGCGTTCATAAAAAATATTTTTTTAACACTCGAAGAGGAATTTCGTACATCCGCGCGACCATGTAATATCCTTTATATTAGTTTACAAATTGATTTAATAATGGTTACACGATTGATATTCTTGATCTTCTTTGATATATTTTGTATGTTATCATTATTATCATTATTATCAATGTTTATGTTAATTTATAAAGCATTTTTTAACTTCCAATTTTTGTTAGCTTTATTGACGGTACCATGTTCAGTTAGTATCAAAATTAAGCCATGAAGCTAAATATGAAATCGGAACTCGTTACAAAATGTTATTGAAATCGATGATGGCGTTTGTCTCTTGTCTTAGGATGATGATTATTTTTTTATTAATTCCAACATCAGCAGCATCTACCATTAGATCACGTTCTTTAATCAAAAATAGAACTGTTTAGTACATTACTTAGGTGACTGTTACAGTCACACTGTCAACACTCTCAAAAGCTTTAGCATGAAATTAACGTTTTCTCAGAGATTAGTCGGTATTTTTATTATTATTGTCAATTAGCTTGGTTTTTCTTTTTTAAGCTTTTTACGGATTCCTTCATCATTAACATTCTTATGTTCATTAGTAATTAGCATTTATAATGTATGCTTAGCCTTTGCTTTATGAATTGCAATCAAAGAACTATTCGAGGCTATCATGAAAATGTTAAAAAGTGCTGTGTGCGTTAGCGTTAGTATTATCACAAATGAAGTACCTCTTATTTTAGTAGTGGAATGTGATAACGTGATTCATACATGTTAAGATTATAGCACTGAAAATAATCCCATTATTTCTCTTGTGAGAATAGGACTAGGTGTCGTTCAGTATTGCATACAATTATTATGACAATGACAAGGTTGATAGCCTTGCAGCAATGTGAGGATGCAAAATGTTTTCGAATAGACGTCGTGTCAGGCATTTTATTAAGAAAGCATTTCCTAAATAGTGATGTTAGAATTAATGATGTTATTTCTAGATATAAATCACTACTGTTTTTAAAATAAGCATCGCGTCACGTGAAATCCAATGAGCCAATGATAATTAAAGTAAACGACCTGAAGCGCGGGAAAAGTTAGCACCAAGTCAATTTTATTATACTTTTGCATCTGACTGGTCGAGAGGATGGCGCGAGTTTTCAAGAACAATCATAGAGAAAAGGGTAGTAAATGTGATGAGATCTTGAATAATGCTTGGCAACTTTTTATTAAATTAGTTTTCAGATAAAGAATTAGTATCGCAGTTAAAATGGCTGTTAGTATTAGCATGGAAATGTAAGCGTTAGAAGCAAGGCTGTTAGCACCAGTATCAGAATTTAAGAGGTGGAGTCATGCTAGTAAATCAATTATTAGTAGCACAAGCATTAATATCGGAGTTACTGTTAGAGTCGAACCTTGTTATTAGATATGGAATTAGCAATTGCAGCTAGAAGAAATAGAGCGGAGCAAGAGTATAGCGTTTAAAAAATTGTTACGTCTCAGAATTAAAGCAAAATTATTGAAGTTAGTCAGGCTAAATAAAATTATGATTAGGATTAGTCTTGAAACATCTGATTGTAAGGTGCTGATATTACATATGTATCGACATTAAGCTTTGCCTTTCATTTGTAGACAACTTGGATTACTCTGTGTCAATATGATTGGTATTACTGTGGTGTTAAGTTCAGCGGTATTAAAAGCTTTCTTTAGTTTTTGTCTTATTGACTGGTTAAGCAATATTCCAGTAAGCATTAGTAGCATTTTAGATCCTGACATGATATTAGCTAAATGAGGGATATCAAGATTAGAAACCGTGGATGAAAGTAATAAGGAATATTTGGTTTCAAATGAATGACGAAAGACAAACTTGTCTTTCTGGTGCAAAGCTTTCAAAGAAGTGAACGTTAGCTCCCGAGTAATTTCGAGCATTCCTACTTTTAAAAGCACGTCTGCCTATATGAATGACGCATATTGAATTACGCTTGGTAATCACGTGGATTCTTATCTATGTGAATGACATGTCACAGAGCATTTGCTTATTAGACTCGTGAAGAAAATCAGATATTGCCAGATAATAGTTTAAAAGTATCAAAACTCCTTATGGCAAACTCGTTAGTATTGGTTTCCTCAACTAAATTCAAATCTGAACAACATGAAGCAACATTATTTCTAAATGCATGGTCGAATTTGAGCAAAATCGTTACTGATTGTGTTATGAGGCACTTGGTACGAAATACTTAACAATTTTGTGTTATGGAGTTAGATGAGTTTGGACATCAGCATTTAATTAAGTGTAATGTGCCTGCAGTTATTTGGAAGTTTACATGGAATGTGTGCCTATGTTAAAAAACAAAGTGTTAGTACAACGTGACAGTTATGGTTATTTGTGATGCTTAATTGTTGATTTTGCAACATCTGCAATGTTAGTGGCGAACATCTGAGTTATCCTTCTGGTATGTGATCAGGTAATTTGTGAAGAACCGTGTTAGTCTGTGATTTGGTAGTAGGAAAAGTGGTTTAGATTTAGCTTCTCTCATGTGATTATTGAGTGTGCTCAGCCAGCTGTTCTTTAGATCATGTCATGTTCAGTAAAGAGCCCTTGATTACTGTCGCAGGCAGAGGTTGAGTGTGTTGTCAAGTTATCATTAGTAAACAAGTTGTTGCCCATCTTTTCAAACCATTCTTAGAGCTTGGCGAGGCTATGAGCCAGTAAAGAGCTTTTCGATTGAATGTCGTGAGACCAGGACCAGAGAAATCACATCGATCAGTCAGAATAAAGGATAATATCCCAATTAGCCAATAGCAACCCAAACCAAAACCATGGAAACTGCTTCAAACGCGGGAAAACGCTAATGACCAAGTCGGGATTGGTTTTAGTTTTTCATCCGATTGGTTGGAAATTGGGCGCGAGTTTTTTTAGCCCAATCACAGAGCGTAGTGAGGTAAACCAAAACAATTCATAATTACTTCCAACACACAATCGAAATTGCTCTGAGATGCAGGTATCGTTACGTTAACTCTGAAATGTGAACTGAAGTCCTCTTCTTAGCACTGCATGGACATGATATCTTGTTCTGTCAATTCCAGTTGTGAAATAACGTTGAGGTTTTTCTATCAAAAATAAGTGTAACAGACGCAAGAGGTAAATCATTACTTGAATGAATAAAGGAATAAGAATCCCTTATAACTATAAGGGAATGATTAGAAATTATAAAGTTGAAAAGTAATCATAGCCTTAACTTTTGCATTCTCTTGTGTTATTCTTATGACAGAAAAAACTCGTAAAAATGCTGCACTGATTTGTGTACTTTTTTTTTTGGTGGGTGGACGCCATTTGTTGAATTGTGAATGGAGTGGTTTTTGAGATTAAAATTAATGCAATTCATCCTCTTTCTTCAAATGAAACTAATCTATTGGCATTAAACAAGAAGATGTATCAGACAATAGAGTGATTGAGTATTGTCAAGGCAAAGCCAAAGTAATCCCTACAGCCAAACAAGGAAAGGAAAATACCATGCAGAGCCAATCAGAACTCAAAGTAAAAACAAGCAAACTACCTAAAGCGCGAGGGAAACGCGGGAGACAAAGTCGTGATTGATTTTAGTTTTGCATTTGATGAAAGAATGACGCGACTCTTTCCGAAAAAATCGCATAGCGAAGTAAAGCCAAACCAAAGCAATCAGGGATTACTTTTGAGTCATAAAAAAGGACTCGCCCTATATAAAATCTTCGTCATTTTTGATTTGTTAATTTTAATTACAAACCCTCAAAGAGTGTAAACATATTCACTGATGTTAGTGTCGCGATGTTATATTTCATCGGGCTAATATTTTATTTCGAGCTTTCTTTGGAAAGGTTCTTTTAAAGAAATGATATGGGTTTTATGCTGTTGTGTTACGCAAGACATGTGTGAAGGTTAGATGTCTTTGTACTAACTGAGGTCTAAGTGCTTTTTTAAGACAACCCAACTGCGAAGTTTGATGTTTCTTTGACGCCAACACGAATAAAATTCAACTAAAAATTCATTGTACCTTCTTAAAAGGCATCAGCTTGTGATTTTTATATACCACTCACCTTTTGATGAACGCATCATATGTCAAACAAGGATTCTAGCTTGTGAACCTTCACCTGCTGTTTGAGTTTAACGCCTTGTTAACTGCCAACAAAGTGTCACAGCATTTTTGAATTCCCCTCCGGTGGTTGCCCATTGTAGTCTTACTCGTTGTTTAACAATAAGCCGATGAACATAAAGATTTACTTCGTACAGTTTTTCAGGCTTGCCTCACACACACTGGGACAGGCTTTGCTGAGTGATATCATACTTATGGTACAGCTTTATCGATCTTTCTTTCTCTCATTTTCGGTCGTGGCTCCACTGTGCTCTGTTGAAGTTCACTTATTGTACATTTGAATAAAACGGAAAATTTGTTCTTATCCGCCATTGCCGCTTTTTTGGCTAAAACAGCATGAGTCTTCCTGCTTCTTCAGAGGAAATATGAACCCTCTTCTTCTCTGCTTGATATTGTTAAGCAGACAAAACCGTCTCTGAAATGAGCAATCTGCGCGCAGTAAAAAAGGAAAATTAGAAGAGATTGAAATTAACCTACCTAACCCTAAGCAATTTTATGATAATAAATGATATAATTATGTAATTGTCAAAGGTAGAAAAATATCACATTTCACAAACCTGGTTTTAGGTTGATATTGGTCGAGACCGGCCCTTGCTGGCACAGCATGAACGCTTGGTGGAAGAATGATACACTCACCGCAATGTCAATTGATTTTACGGAAAAGTTAAAATAGCGTGAGACCGGATGAAATCATTTTCGTTGCTGCGTTTTGATTGGCTAGAATTTCGAGTTGTTGATGTAATAAACTATTCATGCATGGTTTTATGGATGACTCGGTTGAAATGGCAGCGACCTATTAAGACAAACATAACAGGTCATTCAGCTCTGTGGGTACCGACGCAATCCCGGTACCTGTTTTTGTTAAGTGGCTGTGTCGCAAAAATACACTGGAAATTTTTTAGGTGTGACAATACTCTGACTCTTGCCAATCATTAGAAACAGAGGGCAGTGTGTTCAATCAATTATCTTTTCTTCCGCGCGGATTTCTGAAACACTTGTGTAGGATAGCTATTTCGCAGCAGGTGTGGAGTATGGAGTGGTTGGTTTACTTGACACATGCTAACGCAAACAACTGACTGAACAAAATAAATATCTGGATGTAAAGCCTGGAATTCAAAACAAAACCTATTTGTAATTTTTCTTACAGGTAAAATCAAATATCACAAGTTTGCAGTCTATTTTTTCCAAGAAATTTGTAAGAAAATTTGTCCACAGAAATGGACTGAAGTGTTTGGCAAATGAATGACCTAAGACTTCTCAAGGGCCATTAGATATCATAAGCCACTTATGTTTAGGCGGCTTATTTGAAAATCTGTGTTCACCCCGGAAGTGTAAACATAGGATACAATGATGCCATTTTTTTTTAAAGATGGCACAAATAATTTTGTTTTCTATAGTTGGAAATTAAGCACTTATGGAAAATAGCCGGAAACATTATCAGTAAGACTTAAATTGCCTTTGGACAAGAGTCAATCTTTTCAGCGGATAGAGGACGAGATCGTCAGAATACATATTTGAAGGCTTAAAGAAGCTAATCTTACGGAAAATTCCGTTCATCCAAAATATCTTTTTATTTCAAATTCATAGCCTAAGGATTGATCTAATTTCGTTAAAACTACGTTCTCCTTATAGATTTCGGTCTTTGTACTGATCTTAGCAAAGAGAATTGATCGGTTCATTATAATTTTAAAAAATATTCAACAGTTAACAATTTCCTTTAGGACTTAACGCGTCACAAGTCTGTTTGAGTGGATAATGTGAAAAGAATAGAAATTATGATCGTAATAACGCTAAAGCGTCAGCTTTTTTTTACTCGTTTTATCTTATTACTTAATCCTATTAGAAATGTGAAAAAGGTACCTTGTCGACTCATTTATTAAGAAGTAGCTTTTTTTCATGTTATTGTGATTGAAAAGTCATAATCCCCACCCTTATGAACCTCCCATCGCCTCCAAGAACCAGGCCTTATTTTCAATTCTGTTCACGCTACTGTGATCAATACTGCAAAGATCGCTTTAATATTCACATATATGATCTTCATATATCCACAATCAGTTGCTCATAGAACAACATAAACTCTCTTTGGTCCACTCTAGGGAGATCTCATCACAGGCCCCCCAGTGAGAGGCCCTCAGGGTATCCCATAAAGAGAGGAACCGGTGAGTAAGTTAAGCCTATCTTGAGTGTTTTTGTAAACAAACCAGCGAGGGAAATATTTTTTATTTAGGCACCAGTCATTTTTATCGCCTGAGGGGGAGGGTCCAAGGACTTTAGGGGATCGCGTGGTTTTGATTCCGAGGGGGAATCAGTCATCACCAACAAAGTATAAAGAGAGACTGTAGAAAGTTGACTGCCAATTAACTGCCAAGAAAAGGGGGGTGGGGGGTGAGCAAATTAATGTTACAGAGCCTTATGGGGGATCACGTACATCTTATCATGACCTACCAAAATCATTTGACCCCCCCCCCAACCCTAACCTCTCAACCTCTCTCCGGGCGATTAACAATGACCGATCCCTGAGTGTTTATTCAACGACTATCGAAATCACTGTCCTTTATTAAACGAGGTGCGTATTTTGTTTACATCTGATATACATCTTTTAAAAGTGCTAACTGTAACCGACCACTACATTACGCGCCCATGCACCTTCTTATTTCTTTGCTTTATTTGGAGAGTTGATACCTCAAAAATTGCATGGTCCTCGTTTATCAACACCGTTTGTTACAACATGACCAATGTTTACGATAAGTCCACCTTACCATGGACATGTTGGTTTTTTTTTTTTTTCATATTCCAAAAGAAGAAATACCCAGGTGTCTTCTGGAAGATGCATCATCCATTCTAAGTGCCCGATTAAACGCAAAAGCCAATGTTTCCAGAAAAAGCAACTTCGCTACGTTTTTTGCACGCTGCAAAAGGGACGGAAGTTTCAAGTGTTATCAGGAGTGGCCAGCAGTTGGTTTATCGTGGCAATCAGATCATCAAGGCCGCGTAATGGAGAACACCTTGACAAGGGGAAAGATTAATTGTTCGCGCGAACAAGGTATTACCGATTTGCCAACGTTTCGGATGTTTGGACCCGAGCCAACCTCATTAATCCTTTAACCCCTAAGAGTGACTAGCATCTAATTTCTCCTTACAACACCTTCCCTGAATCAAACATTAAGGTTATGAGAATAAAGGAAATGATCACCAACTAAAGAAGCTCTTGATTGTTGAACAAATTCTCCTTGTCAGCACGAAAGCAAGTGGACAAAATGTTAAAACTGGATTTATTTAGATTTCAGGTTAGCCTTGGTGTGCACTCATGGCTCTAGAATGTTGCGATGCAGGCGAGGAACCATTCTTTACTTTATGGACATCAAAGCAAATCACGTCCAAGCCCCCAACCATAAGTGCAGTCGTCATAGAGAAAACCATGGCAACAACACAGTGGCACGTAATCGTCTTTGTAACGTGACGAAGATGATCGAAGAATTACGCAGCCGTTGCCAAGGGAGAAAGGATTGCTGGATAAAACTAAGTGGAAGCCTCATTGGGAAAGCTTGCACAAGAGAGGTGGCATTCTTACGGGTGAAATACACTTGTGAACAAGGTAAGGATTTTATAAGTCTTGTCTTAAGTTGGCTCGATACCGTTTTCGCCTGTTGAAAGGTTTGATGACTTTTTCCATTGAAATTCTCATCTAATCAGTATCTTCCTCCATCATTTGAGTAGTTTCAAAATTGAGTGTCGAAAATAATCCTGCGTTGCTTTGGTTTCGCTTTACCTCGCTGATTGGTCCAGAAACCTCGCTCCCTGATTGGTCCAGAAAACTCGCGCTACTCTCTCAACAGTCAAAATGGAAAACTAAAATCAATCATGCCTTGGTCACCCGCGTTTTCCCGCGCTTTAGGAAGTTTGGTCATTTTCATTTTGATTTTCATTGGATCTTAAAGGTATTTTCTTTTCTTAAGTGTCGGGTTTAAAAACACCAAAATATGAGACTATTAATTATTAATTTTCGATTGATTGTCGTGATTACTTTGGTTTTGATTTTACGACGCCCAATCGAAATGTGCTCTAATTATTCGTCTCCCATTTTAATGCTTTTAAATCCTTTTTAAAGCAGCCAAAATTATGGAAAAGACTTCTAAAAATAAAATGTTGGGTGAAAAATCGAGAATTTAATCTTATGTTAACATGGATGATTTTGAATTTGGTAACTAACAAGCCCTATCATGTGACTTCATTGTATCGAATTTTAGACATAAATCTGGGAGCTTATAATAGCTCACCCAACATGTATACGAACCAGTGCAATATCTTATTTTCTCTACATTTGGTATAAAGGAGTAAATGATTCGGTTGAAAATCCTGAGAGACCAGACCATCCAACGTATTCGGATCACCTTGACAAGCTTTGCCCTGAGACTTATGACGAAGAAACAGATGATGTCAGTGGTGATGATGATAGTAACGCATATGATGACTACGTTAATGATGTTGATGATGGCTTGAGTGATAACGATGACGATGAGAACTACCCCACTGGATATGACGAAGACGTTCATGATATTCTTGACGATGAGATGGCTCAGATCAACGGTTTCCTGTTCAAGCTGTTTGAGCACAAGAGCGGAAAAGATCACCGCCCGCGGTATAACTGGATCAAACAACCTGACTTGTACAACGAATTCAAATTTAATTTTTCTTCAGGTAAGACCAGTTTACAACTTTAACATAACGCAAACTTGTAGGAAGACGTTTATCGTCTTGTTACTAACGTGGGACAAGGAAAAAATTCTGAGTCCCTATGTGGAATCGAACTTCAGACCTTTGGATTCCGCGCTGCAATGCTTTACCACTGAGCCACAGAGACTCTATGGTGAGCGAGGTCTATTACGAAATCGAAGTCCATATGACACGCTTCTTACATACTGCTAGGATCAACTATGTCGATAGCGTCATGTCCTCACGGGGAATTGGAATTTTTTTTTTGGTCCCACGCTCGTGACAAGACGAAAAAAAAATTTCTTTATTTCTTTACCGGGCTCAAAACTTACTATCTTTCCTATTCTATTTATAACACAAACGTGCATATCAACATTTCAGTAAGGGGTTAGTTTAGGCCAAAATTTATAAAGAAATTTCACCCTTTATAGCTTCTGTTACTTACATTACGGAGAGGGAATATAAGAGGGAAAGTACCCGGCTCACCTCAGCGAAAATCTGTTAATCAAACAAGAGAGGTCTGAAAATGAAAAGCGGTATCTGCAAAAATATTTATCAAAGAATTTGAGCATATTAATGATGGAATGCTTTTTCCTTTGCTTTCATGTCTGAGGGAAAAAACCTATCCGAAGATTTTATTACTATGGTATATCTTTTTAATTTATATCTTTGTGGTATTTACCTACTTTTTATTCATTTATTTACTCATGTTATTTTTCAGTTTGCCCGCAGAATCAACCACTGCTGTCGAATTGCAACCAGAGACTGTGCGAGGATGTGAGGTGTGACAATCGGAGGAATGTAAGGTGCAGGGTAAACCCATGTGGTACTTGCAGACCCGAGTGTTACGACGTGGAAGGAAACAAAGTGCAGACTCCTCGAGGTAAGAATGAAAAGTGATTTAATTCTTAATAATCTTCAGTGAGGAGCTTGAGGTGTTATCCAGCTCTTTATTGGGAAATTTACGAAAAAATTCGCCCAGCTTTCAATTAGTTGATGTATGAATACCCAGAAATTAGGTTTATCTACAATGTCACGATTTGCTCATGCGCAAGAAGAGGTCTGAAGATTTCAATTTCTGGTTAACACTGAAATTACCAAAAGCTGTTGTGCTATATATCATCCTTGTTAGAATATTGGTTTTTTTCACAGCCTTAACAAAGTGCGAGTATCAGCGTAAAGAGATGCGCCACCAAAGTTTTCGTGGCCACGTTCCGAGATGCAAAGAAGACGGAAGCTTTGCTGAAATTCAGTGCTATCACGAGGTCAAGATATGTTGGTGTGTTGATAAAGAAGGAAGAGAGAGGAATGGTACGAGACAGAAAGGAGCCCCCTCAAACTGTAGCGCAGGGGGCCAAGGTGAGAGAAACAAAATCACTCTGTCTTTGAGTTTAGAAGGAAATTCCTAAAGCCACCGTCGTTATGTCATTTTGACAGATTGGCTTTTTAACTAAGGCTCGTTATCTTTGGACGCAGGCCAAGTAACAAGTACCAGGTCTATCGCGAAACGTGCTCAAGTTCGTCTCTTCGCCAGCCTCGACTTGATTTCCTCAAACCAGGTTTCCTGGCGGTTGTTTAAATATACTGAGCCAGTTCAAGATCTAACGAACATACCTGCCTCTCATATACTAGAGTGCTAACCCATCTCCCCCGAGAGTATGAGAAAGGTTAACGAAATTTATAAAGTGCATATATTCAGCTTAACAAAACAGAATTTCGAAGAAAAGTTTTAAGAATGTAGGCGCTTCGTCGGTGGAATAGATTTAACCGAACTGTAGCGCGTTCTACAGGTTTTCGTTTTACGAGTGAACGAAATATGTAGGTATACCTGCGATCGAGTACGCAGAAGAATTAAAACTTAGCCCGATCATGCTATTTAGAGTGATCTGTTGTACTGCTGTATCGTTCTAGTCTTGTCACCTTGTCAAACAGCCCAGCTCAGCAACAGAGACCTCAAAAAACATCTCCGTGTGATGTCTAAGAGGTACGAAAGGACCGCAAAGACTTTAAGACTTAGAGCACAAAATGCGACCCAAAGGAGGCAGCAAAGGAATGAAAGCTGGCAAAATATTAGGCAGTGGTCGCAACGGGCAAGAACCTGCCGCAAACTTGCGCGGATAACTCGCCAGCACGCGGTGAATACAACTGTTCCGAATTGTGCTGCAGACGGAAGTTATGACAGCAAACAGTGTGCATGGTCTAAAAAATTCTGTTGGTGCGTTGACGAAAATGGGGGGCCAAGGGGAAAAAAGCAATTAAAGCGATATGAAAAACTCAACTGTTCCAGGACTGCAGCTGGTAAGAATGAGATAATTTACGATCGTTAGGTAGGGCTGAGTCTGCTTTTGAGCTGCTGGGATAGTACAGAGACCAATTTTTTCGATTGAAAACTACATAGACAAAGGATGAAATAACATCTTTTTAGCTAGAATTCACAGTTTTCGTCTAAAACGAAAAAACACTCCGAGTAGAATCGACTATTCTATGCCAAAGTCTGGATGTTCCCTCACTGTTTCCACATTTTCTCATGAAATAAAAGCTCTCAAATTCGTTTGTCACTGACTTGAATTACTGGAATTCCCCTCATTCAATTACTTGCGGAAATCAATTATCGTTCCTTATCATCCGTTGGTTGAATATGATTTCCCTTTTTCAATCCAAACATATTATAATTTTGGTGATATAAATTTGGTGTGAGAACAGAACCCCCGGCTGACATTTGTCGTAATTTTTTTACCCAAAGAGTAATTTCTTTTTGATCGAGTTTGTAAGCGGCTAAATTGGATCGATTCAAAGCCAGCCTTTTCTGTTATAGACAAACCAGGTATGTGCCCTGTTATGCCAACGTCCGCCGCCTACAGGTGTAAATCCCAATGTGCGACTGACGCGGACTGTGAAGGGGAACACAAATGCTGCATGATGGGATGTGGGAGGAGGTGTGTTCCTCCGAACGAACCAGGTAAGAAACAGGCACGGTGGTGTATCTTTTAATTTTTATCATTTTCAGTTTCCTTCGCAAATGAAAGAAAGAAGAAGCTAAAATGACAGCAACAAGGTTCAAACCCCAGACTGGACTATTACTCAGGGTCATAAAATAACTGGGAAGAATTTGCTGCCATTGCTTTGAAATCGACAAATGATTAGACATTCTGGTCTTCTCGGAATGTAGGCCCCCGTCTCTTGTCTCTTCTCCGTACTAGTTAGCAAGGGACGTTAAAAAAGAACCCACATACTTCCCGTAAAGAGTAGGGAACATGGCTCCCGGTGTTGTGATCTGGCCTCGTTATTGTTTAATTTAGTCCGCCATTTAAACCAGCATTGAGCTGAATTGGAGCAGCCTATCTAAATATCCCAAATACATACATGTAACAAACGAAGTGAGGAACCCCACCCTCATACTTGAAGCCCCCAAAAAATTATTACAATTATAATTACATCGATCTAATAAGAGAGACGAAAATTTTCTTTGTTTAATTGCAGTGTGCCCTAAGGACAAGCCTTTCAAACTGTGCATCTATGACAAATGCCTCTCATCCCCAGGCTGTTTCAATCATCCCACAGCTTATTGTCGAATGAATTATTGTGGAGGATGCGTCGCTGAATATTTTGATAAACAAAATCGAAAAGTAGACTGCAGTAATGGTAAAGAAAGGTCTTTAATACTTCAAATTATTTTGATGCATATCACGATTCTCCATGACTTTACAGTCCTCATCATAATGATGATAATTCCAGCCATCTTTTCAGATGGTGTGACATATTTACTTTAGACATTGCCAATCGAGCGAGTGGCTTAATGGCTCAGTTGATGGTACCACTCGACCATCATCGGAAAAGTTCCAAACTTTTCGAAGCTTGAGTTTTCTTGGGCTTTATATTCTTGACATATTTACTTTAGACATTGCCAATCGAGCGAGTGGCTTAATGGCTCAGTTGATGGTACCACTCGACCATCATCGGAAATGTTCCAAACTTTTCGAAGCTTGAGTTTTCTTGGGCTTTATATTCTGCCTTTTCTGCAATTGCAGACCAAAATGCTTCTTAAAATTTTTTCTTTTAGACGAAATTGAACTGGAATTCGACCGTTATCAAATTTACGATCATCAAAATTGACTGATGTCCCTGACGGTACTCAAAACAGAATATTATAATAATTCCTGAGTGAGGTATTTGTACACGTATGTTCGTAGGAACTCAGTGCCAAATTCAGCGACATTCGGCCTCAGAAGTGTACAAGAAGAAGTTTTTCGGAGTCTTTGGTACTCTGCCAGTGGTCATTCCAGGATCTCAAGTTGAAGACTACGGTCCAGGTAGCGTAGGAGGACAGGATGAAAATGGTGGTAGCCAAACAGGCATTAATGTTGGCAACCCAGGTATACAGAATGGATTTCGAAATGGCGCCTTGGGATCAAGTGGATCACGTGGTTCACGTGGTCCATGTGGATTCAGTGGTTCAAGTGGATCTAGTGGAAGTAGAAGATTCAGAACCCGAAGAAGAGGGAAAGGATCCATCAATGGATTTCGCAAAGGAGATCAATCTGGACAGGAAAGACGTACAAGCAATAACAACGAAAACAATGGAAGGTAAATCTCCAGGACTCTACTGAAATCTTCCAACGATTTGATTGATGAGTCTCTATCGTTACTGCGCTGCCTTCGATGTCTTCTATCTCAAATGCAAATTGAAGTCCAGTACTTAATTCAACTAGAAAATGATGAGCTTTAGTCTTTATAGCCCAGAAGGCTGATACTTTCAGAGCTCATCCCAGTTTTCTCTTAGAAATTAAAGGATACACCTTAAGTCCATCGCAAGGAAAATCCTTGGCAATTCCTCAAGTCTCATTGACCTTTTGGTGGTGTCCCATCTATAAATGAGAGTAAAAGATGTTGTATGAGAATGCAATATAGTGATCCTGCCAGGCATCGAACCTGAAACTCTCTATCTCCAGTGTAGTTTGCTAACTATAGAACTTAGCATTTATCACTAGGTCATCGAATCTATCACAAAACACGCAACAGACATGTAGAATCAGTAGCAGTGCCATAACTAACTATGGCCACTAACTGAGTTTGATTGAATGACCGATTGTCTCCTGCAGGGAGGAAGACCTTGGTGTGTTCATCCCTGTGTGTGATTCAAAGGATGGAGCGTTCATAACAGAACAGTGTAACACCACGGCTGGTGTATGTTGGTGTGTGGACGGAAATGGTCGAGAAATACTTAACACGCGCGAAAAGGTGGAAAGAGGAAAGAGAAACTGTACAGCAGCTGTTATCAAGTTCAAAAGCGATGAAAAGAAAGGTGGTAAGTCTAGATCATTACCAGATAATGAATGGACAGATATCACAGTTCTTGGGTCGCCAACAGAGTATAAAGGAGGGCTAATTGTTCATGTTTGTTAGAACACCGCTATCTGTCTTTGATAGAGAAAGTGGTAAATCTTATTCCGGCATTTAATTCTGATAGAGGTAGCATTTGTTGAGTCTAGTGCAATCTCAAGGTTCGAACTGTCTTGGAAATTTGTGATTCAAGTTATGACGTTTTAGTCACATGGTACCAAAAACTGTTTATAATGTTGGCGGTTTATCGGCTAATTTATTCCCAAAAATCCTACTCAAAAATATGACATATTACATGATACATTAAGCCAAGAGAATACAAACTGAGTAAATTCTCTTGATTAAGCTTAATTTTTTATCTGTAGACACTTAAGAGTGATCACTTTCAAGACTTCAGGGTATATGCTGGTCTCTGGAGAGTGGAGACATTTAAAAGATTGAAAAAGACTTGCTATCTTAGCTCTGTATGTTTGAACTGAAATGAAATGCATTTCCGCTTGAATTCTAACGGTTTTTTTATCATGTTGTTAAGTCAAACGTGGAGAAGGAAAGAAGGGGCAGAATGAATTGAGGTAAATATTACAATCTTGATACAGATATTTCTCGTGTCGGGATGGAAAGAGGAGAGCGATATTCTTTGGTAGTTAAGTTTCTCCTTCATTTTACATGACTATCTGGCGTAAATATGTCTGCGTTCACAGGGTAACCACAGAAAGCAAACCTCCAAAAACGTTGGTAGATTTTTGTAAACAAGCCCAAGAAATAACCCCGTAAAAATGTCGATGCTGTAGACCCACACAGTATGTTTTATCACGAAAAATTTTGTAAGGGTGGACTTCATGAGGGCGGAATTTGATTGGGTAAACAACGTTATTCCCTTACTGTAGGGCTGTGAGCAAAATACAGGTTTTGATAGCGTGCATTATTTCATTGCGGTTTCCAAATTTATCACTCTTGATAAAGAATCCTTCAGAGATTCCGTAGGCTGTCAGGACTCTACGACTTAGAAAGGCCATTATCACGAATAATGTAAACCAAGGATTTCACAACAGGTTTGAATTGACAGCTTGATCATGGAATTTGATAGGGAGGTCCTTTAACACTTGTGCATGTTTGTATTCTTCACAGGGTGGCAAGAGTGACTTTAAGGCTGGCGGGAGACTATGATGAAGTCGCTGCGAACAAAGAACGTTTTATCAGGTGCGGGCATTTAAAAACAAGTATACCAAATCAAAGCAAATGCAATCTCAGACAACTCTCCACACTTGCGTGAGAATTTTTTTTAATCGTCAGGGCTTGTAGAGTAAATGGGTGGAGCCCTTTTGATTAAAAGTGGTAGGTACCCATTCGTTCTGACGAAGGGCTAACGCTCGAAACGTCAGCTTTGAAACTCTTTGCGGTTGCCTATTTACGTTATAAGCTCAGTTGATAATAATAAATGACCCTGTTATACTCTCCCACCGAGACAGCACCACAGTTTCTTCAGAAACTCACCCCCTCTACTTAAGTCAAACTTCAATCATCATCTACATCTAGCCCTCAACGTAACTAGAAAGGATCTATTCTATACAAGATGTTTATTTGCATCTTGTTTTCCTGACCTTCCCTAGGTACGTAGAGGACGAAATTGTCAAGAAGTGTAATAATAGGATCAGGAAGAAGCAAATTCGGAATATCAAGGTAACTGAAATAACTACAATAACAATAGATAGCTTCAGCGTAAACTTAATGGAATTCTGAACGAATTCCCAGTTGTCTTCCCACAATCACAGAACGACACATGTTGCCATTCAGAAGTGTTTTACTTGGAGTTAGTAGTCTAAGCCTCCATTAATTGGCCAGTATGAAAGGCACTGGGTCACCAAATTCCCTGGGCCGAGTTGTTCAAAGAACGATTAAGCTAACCGGGGATCAGTAACAATTCTTGATTTAGTTTTGAAACTGTACAGACAGTTTTAAAGTTTATATTTTTCCCTTCATTTTTGTATTACACCAAGGTAAAACCCTTCAAAACGTAAGCCCTAATATACACTTTATCTCACGAGAAATCAAGGACAAGTTAAAACCTCGATCCAAGGTTATCACTAACCGCGCGCCTCTCGAAGAACTGGGCCCAATTCTTTGGGGATATTGAACTGAAGAGTGACAATCCCAAGGCCTTTATTACAGTAGCGCATAAGAATAAATAAAAACAAACAAACAAACAAACGATTTAAAAAAAAGAACAAATAAATAGAACAGAACAAAACACAATAAAAACGAAAGAAAGTAAATCTCAATATTTATGTCATTCATTAACTTCCTGACCAAAACAGATTTTTCCTACGGTATTAATATACTTTCAAGCAGAAAGGTACTAAAAGGGAAGATGGTTATCAATCAAACGGTATTGTTTGAATGCACAAGAATTTCCCTTAGCAAAGATTATGCGAAATTTAATGCCGAAAGTCGGGAAAAATGATGTTTAGACGTTGGGGGTGAAATGCGCTGAAATGGGGAAGTGATACCTTACGAGAGAGAATAAGACATTATTGAATATGCCTGAGTTACCAGAATGCTAATGTCAATTTTTTCGCTCGGGCGGTCAGCTCGAAAGGGGAGGCATCAAAGTGACATTCGAGATCGTCGAAGATAGTGAGTCTACGGCTACGCTGGATGAAATCTTGGCAACGTTGGAAAGTCATGTGAGTCAGTTTTAATCATCAGGCCATCACTTTCCTTGGTCTGTCTTTGCTTATTCTGTGGCTGCAACCTGATTCAGATTGATCAGTGATTTACGTTTCCTTGTTTCATGCCCCACTATCTATCCTGTTTGCTTTACTTTTCGACTTTCTCTTTGGAAACGTGAGCCAACTTTGGTTGCGATTCACCATGGCTATGACTTGGAACTGTCATTGGCTTTATCACCAAGCTGCTTGCACATGGCGATTTTCATAGGTGATTACCTGTCAGTCCTAACGTTGCAACTTCGTTTTCTGTTAACCAGATTAGATCCAAGAATTTTGTGGTCAAGATGCAAGACAAAGAATACCCTTCGGATGGAGCCTTTCAGGTTTTGTTGCATGTTCAGCGTGATGACGACCGAAAAGAGTCTGAACCCAAACGTTTGCTGGCGATGATAGACGCAGCTACTATCGGGGCCTTTAGTGGGATTATCCTTTTTGGAGCAGTGTTGTTCGTTTTGAAGCTCTGTGTAAGTATTGACCAGGACTCAGTTGTTCGAAGGCCGATTGGCGTTAACCTAGGGTTAAAATTTAATCCAGGTTTCTTTAAAAGCCTTTGAAGGGAAAATTTTCCCTATTGTTTTTAGAAGATCCAATGATCAAATTGCAAAAAAAAAGATTTAAACTGAATTTTATTTTAAAGTTTTCAGACCTGAAATCAAATTTCACACTAACCTGGGTTACCTTAACCTAGCTTTGAACAACACGGGCCAGGCGGTTAGTACTAATCCAGGAAAATTCGAGCTCTGTTTTGATTTTTAGTACAAAAGAGCGTATCCAAGGGCTGGATTTTGATGGTTGTATCTTGCTTCAAGGTGAAATTGATGGGAAAAAAAACACATAGGTAACAGACCTGTTTGAAAGCTGCAAAGCCAAGTAAAAAATTTGCAAATCGCATAAGTTTGCACACAATTTTTACCACAATTTTTCTATCGCTCGGTACTTCCACTAATTTCATTTCCTTGAAAAGAGTGTCAAGTTCCTTCGTGTCAGGGATTCGTTTATCCCGGCCTAGCAGATGGTGGAGAATTATGGCCAGTGATGCTCTTCTGAAGCTATAATCTATTTCAGTTGATTGCGCCGCACTTTATCAGCTTTAATCTTAAAAGGAGTGTCAATTTTTGTTCCTTTTAATGACTGAATTTTATCTCTCATGTGATCTAGCTCCGAAGGAAGAAAAAAGACCCTGAGAACTGGCAAGACAAGGTTGAGGAGAAGCCTCCGGTGGAACAGTACGTCATGCCGGGGCCCGAGGCAGTGACGAATCTGCCTCCTAAGACTGGGCCTGAGCTGGAGACAGGGCTATCATCAAAGCCTGACACTCAGGATCATGTTTGAACTAAGATGTCGAATTTTTCCTTTTGTAGCTTGCAACAGTAAAATGCAATGACTTTACTTGGTAAACAATTGAAGGCTTCGCATTAATGAGAAAGTTAAAGTTAGAATAGTGTAGAAAATTTCTAGCCATCTCGCCTGTGAGAGAGTTAAGGGAAGGAGAAGGGCCCTTCAGTATTGAGCTCCCTTCTGAAGGAAGAGTGGAGAGCGAGTTTTTTAAGCCGTTGTAGTTTTACCATTTACGCATGTAACCATTTGTTGATCACTCTGCTGATTAATAATAAACCTTTGATCGAAAGGAACTGTGTATTTTTTCAGGATTTCTTTTGTCTCCATACATTCTATGTTTTAATTATTTTTTTTCAACTTTCTCTGAATTTTTCTAAGGGTTAGGTATCAGCCTTTTTAGGGTACCTGTAAAAGACATTTTCCGTTTTCACTTCTGCAGATCTTTCTTTTGAAAGCCTATCAGAGCAATACCTACGTCTGTGGATTGTCGAACGGAGGAAATTTGGGCCACTTTCTCTACCATTCAGACTAAACCTGACGTAACTTGGTCAATCACGTTTTTCGGCCTGTTTATTAAGTACGAATAATATTTCCACTTTTGGTTCTTATTGGCTCGTTTCAATATTTACCTTGTGCTGATTGGCCATCGTGATTATTTAGGTCTAGTGATGTGACAGTCAACGAAATACTACACCATGCAATTTACAGTTACATACATTCAATCACGAGTGCATTGATAAAGTTTGACTGTTCAAGTTAGAAACTCCTCGATCACTACACTCTCCGAAAATAAAGGCTTTCATGTTGAATAAATTTTTCTTTATTTGCGAAATATTAAGAAAAAAAATCAAATTTTTAAAGGCTTAAAAAAACTAAAAAAATTAAGCACTTTGATAGCCCTATTAGACCCACTTAAGTACAAAGTGGCACCAAGAGGGGCTTTTTGTTCAGAAGCTGAAGCTAAATGAAAATTCCTACCAACTGCTTGTTCAATTCGTTATTTTTTACCACTTGGGACCTCTTTTCCGTGAAAACTTATGCAACATTATGTGAGAGTATAAATCCAAAAATGTACCCATGTCACCTTAATTTGCCTTACACAGATCGGCATCAGTTCATCGAGGTTCCTTTGTGCCTTTAACTGCACAGCGCTGCAACGAGAACGCCTGATAGCATTACAAGGCCACTCAAACCAGCCCGTGAGGCTGTGTTGCACATGTCTTCTTCACAGCAAGATATTTTACAATCTGACGCACCAAGATGAACTTTGCAAACGGGATTTGCAGTCTTTGTGCAATAGGTTTTAGGTCCACAGGACTTCGCAAACACTTGGATAGTTTTGTCCTCAGTAGAGTAGTGAACCTTATAGCATGTAGCGTCATTTCCGGCGCACGTCACTTTGCTTGACTTTTTATCGTCGCATTCTTCCCAAGATTTTTTGCTTGAACATTTGTGACAATTCAGGCCAAAGGCTAAGATAAAAGAAACAGTTTATTAATTTATCGTGAGAATTACCATCGGAAATGATTTGACTCTTGCCCTTTTGCCTATTTCAACGGCGAATTTAAACAGGAAAATCCATGACGGTAATTTTGAGGAAGCAGTTGTTGAAGTCCTAAATGTAATAACTGTCCTAAATGTAATAAAGTCCTAAATGTAATAACGTTCGGTCCTAAATGTAATAAGTCTCCTATGCAATCGTTTAACTGCGCTAACATTGAGATGTTAAAGTGACAGCTGTTGCACCAAAGAATCCTCTGACCAATATTTATGGAATATTGCGGGCTCACTGATATTAATCAGCGGCTTTTTATTTGTTAAAGACGTAGGTTGAGAAGCATTGGCTACAAAACCTTATTCTAATACTGATGTGCTTTTGGCATCAAATTGACGGACGCAGAAGCAACGAGAACGTTGACTAATAGCTCTCTCTATATCATTGGCTCAGACTCTCAAGTGTAACAGATTTTGACGAAATACTTCTGTCCTCAGTGCTGAAGTTAACACTTGATGAACCAAATTACAAGGAAAAAGAAGTCCACCGACTTATACGTTAGACAAATTCTGGGCTCAGAAGGGCATTTTTTGTACTGTCTTCCCTTGCCAGATTTGTACGGGTTTGCATAAAATATATTCATATGCGTTATTGACCGAACGTGCGGTCAAAATGGCTATATATTGGCCGAGTTCTCTTTTTTTTTTCGTTTTTATGGACTGAGACGGTCCATAAAAAAGTAGAAAAAGAACGAGGCTAATATCCAGTAATCTTGACCATACAAGAGATGTGCAAAATTTCAATAACGCTACTGATAATAATAATTTTCTTTTGGATTAATATGTGACACAGCGAAATCATTCAAACTGCTCTAAAATGGTGCATCACTTCTAAAGACTTTAACACGAACGATAACATCAACAATAGCATGCTAGTTCATCATCAATTGTAGTAAATTTCTTTTCCAAAAAGTCTTAATGGTTACGTACCAATCGATTCCATCCTATTGAGCTTCCAGCCAAGCACTTGCCCACTTTGGGCTGGAAATTATTTTCTTCAACTCGATCAATAAACCGCTATAAGGACCATACTTCGACTGCTGATATTTCTTATGTCTAGCAAGTAAAAAGACGCTGATTGATATCAGCGGGCCCATAATGTGACATGTATACTGGTCAGCGGTTTTTTTTTTTGACAGCAACAGCTGTCACTAACATATCAATGTGGATGTCCGCCATAACAACAATGCACTGCAGGAGTTAAACGATTGCATTAGAGGCTTATTACATTTAGGACTAAATGTTATTACATTTAGGACTTTATTACATTTAGGACCAAATGTTATTACATTTAGGACTTCAACAGCAGTATGGTCAAGTAGAGAGCGCGTTGGATTCTCCAGCCGGAGATCCTGGATCCGTGAGACGCAGGACATAACGGGCAAGCAGACAATGACTGAAGGAAATGGATAGCTTTGTTTCTGTCACTGACGTCAAAGCGTCACACATATAGAAAGATTTTGAAATAGAGGGAGGAGGGGGTATTTGGTTATTATTTGGAAAATCGGGAGGAATAATATTCGGGGAACAAAATCCACTTTGTTCGGCCCCAAATGGAGGCGTATCAACGACATCCTTTATAGATGAGGGCTTTCTTTAAGTGACTACGTGCCTGCGACAAATTCTATACAAAACTATCATTGCATGACAAAAACTAGACGATATATTGTTTACTTTAGCACAAAAGTTATAAAATATATAGAAGCTGGATATACTAATCAGACTTCAATAACCTCAAATGTAGCACATTTGCACTGTAAATTTTGCGATGAAATTGACACTCTGTTTGAGGGGATCACTCCTTTCATGGATATTTGAAATAATGGTTGTACATGCAAATCGTTCGATATTGTTCAGAATGCAAACAGCAGAACTGACAAAAAATTACAAAACCCAATTCGCTTAAACAAAGTTTATCCTTGGTACGGGTAATTTCCTCCATATTGAAGAGCAGAAAATATTCCGGCTTTATTTGGTGACAAGTTCAATTCGGAAGTGAAGATTTAAAATAATTATCACTTACAACGAAGAAAAGGCAAGCAACTCCACTGATATCACGTCAGATCCGAAACGCAACAAAGGGCAGTCAAACCGCCTTTGAATGTCTGAGCTATAAGTAATATCAAAATCTCAATTTATTGTCACAATAGTCAGCCAAAGTATCGCTTCTTTACGGTTGTTGGGTCTTATGAGAAACACGACACTTTAGGTTTAATAAAGAATTTGCCTACACTGTCAGGCGAATAGTCAAAATGCCCCTTAACAAGAATCGGTAAACAAGGGCGCTAGCTCGAGCAAAAAACCAACACAAAATCTTAGACCTTGTGAGGAGTCCAACCTCAGACCTCATAATTTTGTGATCGAATATTTTACCAACTGAGATATAGAATACTCGAAGGCGAACTAAGCGTTATAAAGTGTTTCTGCATGCAAATCATAAGTCTTTACTAAAACATTCGCTTCTTCCGCAAAGTGACACAATTCCGCGCCTAAATCTAGCAGTATTTGTTATAATTCCTTACCAGCATAGGGGATAGCGAGAAGTACAATAATCACCACCTTGAGCTTTAGATTCATGTCGTTCTCCTTGCTTCTCAGCTCGCAGCTTTCTCTTGTTTCAGTGGAACAGCAACTCAGACGGTTTCTTTGCGATGGATGATTGAGCAGAATATGAAAACTATTCGCATAAATTTAATTTGCTGCATGATATGGATCTTTCATCCTGATACACATGCTGTTATTAAGTTAAATGACGCGATCAACCACAAATCTTTAAATAGTCCTTTCTGGGGCTGCACTTCAGACTGAATTCAATAGAAGCGTTCTGAAAGTAAATTCTCGTAAGCGCAACCTCAGCCTTCAACTGCGTAAAATCCGCCCGATGCAATTTCTGTATTCTTGCATTATAATTCGCAGTTTGTTTTAAAACGCGAGTAAGCGGGCATTGTTTATCCTATGTATTTTTATCTTTTTTCTCCCCTTCTTCATTTTCCGAAGGTTGAGAACACTTGTTGTCCTTTTAAACCTTCCGGGAAATTCCTGAAGACTTCCTCGGAATTCCCTTTAAGTACCACTTAGTTATAGAGACTCTAGCCTCCTTCGAAGTCATTGTTTGGTCAGGCATCACCTCCCCTACCAACATCAACGGTTACGAACCTGGAGACTTCCTATACCACGAATGGCTCCTTTTGAGTATCATCCCCGTTGAAACAGCGAGCTCCAGTGATGAGATATTCTTACGCAGCCTAATGGTTTCCGCTTATGGAAGCTTCAACCGAGTATTTAGTAAATAAACCCCTTCAGGCGGTAGTATGTCGGCTGATAATGTTCAGTCGCGGCCGAGAGATTGCCCAAAAAATTATATTTGGCTGAGAGGGGAAGCTTCAGAGGCAAATAAGAAATTTTGAGGGCAACCTCTCTCGGCCAAGGTTGTTATCAGCCGATATACCAGCAAGCCAGACCTGGGTTTATTCAGTTTATAGTCCTTCCATTAATTTCATATCGCGTGTCGACAGAAAACTTTGTTTTCTTTATTTTTTGTACATTCCGAGCAGCATTTGAGACCAGTTTCGTTCTGCCTTTAATCATAACTATTACAATTTCCTCAAATGTGATTGGTGCATCAGCTGCTTCATTTTTCATTAATCATTCTGAACAGTTGTAATCGGACAGTGTAATCGGACAGTTGGCTGTAATCGGACATCTGTAATTGGACAGTTGAAGTAGTCAATCATACCAGGTCCACTCAGCTAAATCCACCAATCAGAGCATTGGTCACAATAACCATAGCGACAACCACTTATCCAAAGAAAAACAAGGCAATTTCCAAAAAGGAGGAATATTTAACTAAAGATATTGTCTACACTGGAGATATTTGTTCTAGGTGTATTTGTTTGTTTCGGACATTGAAATGGTTATGATTAATTGGTAACAGGATTTCTTGTCGTCCAATTCTGTCAGTAATCATACTCATGATAAACAAATCGGACTCCCGCTTCGCGGTCGTCCAATTTTGTTAATCACTCGTATCATTGCAGACCGAATTGGACTCCACTCGGTCCTTTTACCATTATTAATACTAGCCTCTACAAAACCAATTCGTTTTCCTTCTATGTGAAGCTGAATTTTAGTTCCTCGTGACGTAAAGTAGTCAATTGAATCGCGCGAGAATTAAGGGTGAGTTATAATCGCATCTAAATGCGTATGCGAACTTTTACTTGACTTTTATTCACGTATCTTCAACAAATCTTACAACTGTGATACTCTGACGGACGAACTACTCGAAAGGATAATTTTTTATTCCGATGATTCTCGCTCTTTCCAAGATTTGCTCTTAGCACATACCTCCCATAATTAATCGCGATCCTAAAATTACATCATAGCGCCCAGGCAGATCTTTCTTCATGCACGGAACTCTCGTTTGTGCGACATTCTGATAATTGATGCATAAAAAATTATGTTTAACATGAAAGCATTCAGAGGTTCGTATCTATTTCGTGTTCACTATACGTTACTTTCGTAATTTTTAAGTTAGAATACTTCACTGAAAGTAACCGTTCACAAAGGTGAGTTTACTCAGCTCGAAAGAATACACTGAAGTTATTTTCCGACACCAGAACAGCCACTGACACCAGAGCGCATGCGGCCAGCAGCATCCCGCTAGTAATGGCATATGATCCAATATTGCACAGATCATGTTCACAACAGTAACTTTCGCATGTGGCATTCTGTGTCGTGGCCGCAAGGCATATTGGGTGATTTCCCTCGATGCAGTCATCTTCTTTTGCGCAGAATTTTGTGAACGTTTTCCTCATGTGTAGCTTGTGATGATAGATGGCTTTGTGGCACCTCTCGTTGTGTACATCGGGACAAGTGTATTCTATGCGTTTTTTCTCGCAGTCTTTCCAAGAGCTCCAGCTGTCACATTTATAGCACTTGAGACCTAACGCTGCAGGGGGAAATATCAGATTTGTTGAACCGTTGTTGAGTTAGACCGTACACTTGTTTTATGTGTGACAAACGTTATTCATGCATATTCCTAAGTTCTGTTCAAAGTTTTCCATCAAAGCCGAAGTACCGGGAAATTTTTCGAGAATGATGCATGATCAAAATGGCATGAGCAAAATGATGAAGGTTTGCAATAGAACAAAAGAGACCGAACCTCCTCCGTATTCGGCACAAGAAACGAAAGCCAAATTTCAAAAAGGGGAAAAATTACAGCCAAAATTGACAAAAAAAAAGGAAAACAGATTATTTAGAACGTAAAAACCAAAGAAGCGATTTTAAAAATGAAAAAAAGAGGGGGGTAATGGGAAAAGCTTTAGACGCCGCTTGAATTGGTCATGGGAACATGAAAAATTCATAACCTACAGTGTGATAAATAAGATCCGAATACTGAGGTAGACTAAGTGTGTACAAAATAGAAAATTGTCAGAATTTGTTAAAAGTCAGAGCACAGATGAAATATATCTTTTTGTTGGTTCCGTTCTTGATAGCAACGTTTTTAAGGTAGATTATTACTTTTTAAAGTAAAGCTGGCTTGAAGAAAATAATTTACAGCCTGCTTGTCCATCTTACATATTGAGCGCCATGATGGATAACATAGGTTTACTAATCATTTGAATTTCGGCGGAAATGAAACAAAAATATATTCAATGGAAGGCTAAAATTTTTTGATAATGCTGCGGGCATTCTCTATTCGAGAAGTGAATATATCGAAAAGACCGACGTCATGAGAATTTTTAAGAATTTAACCATTGATGGAATAACTCATTCTTTCCATCTGTTAACCAAAAGCTTACTGATAGAACTAAGTGGATCTTAAAAACATCAATATCTGAATTTCGAAAGACTTTATCATTTAAACACTTCGCTAAGAACAGTTTTCACTCAATGGACCATTGTAAGGAACCTAAGGCTGAAATAGCTTGAGACCGTTACCCGAAATAAAAATAAAACCTACCCATGCTATAACTGTTGTTGTACGTGTGGTTAAGATAAACAATTTCAACAATCGATAGGAGATCGAAAAGAATCATTAAAAACTGGATTTTTTCCACTTACCCGACGGGATAAAGGAGAAGAGAGCCGAGATAACACAAATTTGTCGAACGTGGGTAAACATGGCGATTGCTCTTTAAACAGCTACGACTTCCAGATGGAGAACACCTTTGCTATGTACGTGTTGATTGCAAATGTCATGGGGGAGGAGTGGGTGACAAAGGGAAAACGAGGATTTGGTTGGGAGAGAGTAGAGAGGCAGACACGGATGCGAGTAGGGATTTTCTTACTGGAAATCTTCAATTTATTCAGTCTCAATGTTTAAATGCAGATTATTTCTACCTATTTAAAACGGCATTATGTTATAAACGCAATCTGGTTGCAGAGTCTAGATTGACACCGGAAATAAATCAGGTTGTCTGCTTACTTTGTTACAGGTCGACATTGAGGAGTGTTTCATTTTCTTTCCCTATCTCTGGTTAGCTGACTATACTCTATAACATGACAATATTCTATGTTAAACATCTTGCTTAAATTCACACTTTTAGCCCTTGAGTCTTATCTTGGGAATCAAGAGAGCATTACATCGTGATCTCTTGAGACATTACATTTCGACAGACAAGCATAAACAAATCTTGTTTAAAGCCTTCTCTAACCAGCCACCTTAGTGCAGTTCTTTACGGGACCAAAGCGTGAAAGGAACAGCTTTGACAAGATTTCTAAAAGCCAACACTGCTACTGCGCATACCAGCATCGTCATACCGTTGGCATGAGGTTTTGAGCCCCCGTTGCACAGATTACCTTCACAACAATCAATTTTACATTTACTAGCGCCTGCGACCTTCTCAGCGTTGCAAGTTGGGTTGGCCTTTTTTTCACAATGTCCTACTATGCCACAATACTTCTTGTACATTTCTTCATCACTGTGTTCGAGGTAAACTTTTATGCAGCGATCGCTTAATTTCGGGCAAGTCATATTTCTGTGTTCACAGTCATCCCAGGAAGAACTGCTGGCACAAATGTAGCAATTCAGGCCCATCGCTAAGGAAAAATTAGTTGTAATTTTATCATTCAAAAGATTTTAAGTCTGTCTTATGGATTAAGGTCGTATCTACACTTTTCTGTATGAATTAAAGACACAGTTTAGATTTATCTACGAGCGCTACCCTAGTAATAATTCTTGTACGGATGGAAAACATTTGATCAGTTTGCAGTATGAACGGGATTTGTTATCATTATTATTATTTCTAGTTCATACAGATTGAAAATGCCGTTTTCAAAATCATTATGGGTAGTTAGGAAGGGGTCTTGTATTTTAATTAAAATTAAAACTCCGATACCAGAAATGAACAGCAGTAGCTGGATTCCAACTCCTTCAGTCGCCCTGGATCCAAAAGGTGTCATGAGCGCGTAAATGCGGGCAAAAATATTTCTACATTTACCAAAAGAATTTAAACTGTACAACAGGTCTTGCCATCATATTTTCGTCAATAGATTTCTATAGCTACAGCTGAAGACAGAAATCAATTCCTTTTCCCTTACTAATGGCTTCTTCCTCAACAAAACATTAATGTTTCCCCTCGCTAACACTTACCTAATGAAATGAAAACACCTAGGAACACAGCAGTGATGAACACACTCATAGATTTCATACTCGGGATCAGAGCTCGCGATCCTGAGGTTGATTATAGACTGATGCGGTACACTCATCAGTATCGACACTTATGCAAACTCAGTGGGTACTTCTTGGAAAAACATTACTAAAATGTAAATATAATTTGACTAGTACCCAATCAGGCGTTTGGGAAAACTAAAGGAAAATCGTAGCAAACGGGGTGTTTATCAAATTTTCAAACAAGATTTGATCGGGCGCGACCTTGTAAACTGTCCACGATGATAAACTTTTTCATTTTGACACTCGCCGGTGTCCAATTTTATGTCTTCAAACATTCAATCGAAGTCACATAACAGACCTGAAAATCACTTTGTGGATAGTTTGGATAGAGTGCCATGACAAACATGAAGCGATCTTGAGCTTAGTATCGACGGTAACCTGCAATTGTGAGGAAGTTAGAGCCGGCCTCTTTGAAAGAAGCAATTAGCGGTTAGTATGAATGAAAACGATTGGAAATTCCTCTCAGTGGCCACAAGAGTCTTTCCTACTTGCTAATGAATCAGCTTTTAGTTCTTTTTGTCAAATTGATTTCAAATGGCGATAAAAATTACTAGCTAGCCGAGCAAATTATGAACCTCATTTATTTCGACTAAATCTCTCAATCCCCAATTTCAGGGAATTGAATAAGGTTCTCGAAAACCAATTGGTTATGATTGGGCGTAGTTAATTGTTGTGGTTGAATTTTTTTTGTTTGAGAGGATGGCACGAGTTTTCAAGACCAATCTCAGTGTGAATAAAAAAAACAAAACTAATAAAAGCAATTATGGACTAATTTTGACACTGAATGGAAAATCACTCTAATAAAATTCATCGAAATGTCTTTCGCAAAAAGCTAAGTGTGCGCCGTAACCCTTTCCGCGTCCTTCTTCTCCAAACATTTTTGTTCTCATAAAACCCACACTTACATAAATCTATGAGCTGCATGATGGACCTCCAGTTTTTGTTTTCTTTTTAATTCATATCAATATGGATCGGGATCAAAGTATTGACGACTCAGTTACTTATTCCTTCGTTCTATAAAGTTACATGGAGTGATGAAGGAACGCTTACAGCTCAGCTAAAGATTTAGAAATCTCAGATACAACGAAGTATTACATTATAATCACTCTGTATTAAAAAACAATTTAAGCACAGGCTGGATGCCAATAATCCTTAAGACTTCGCTATTCACGGCATCCATAAAACAGAGTGTAATCCGTCCACGGGATTTTGATGAGACTGATTCATCTGTAAGATGCCGTTATCCAGAGATTGCAAACGAGCGCATGACTACGATTCAAAAGTTCTATATTTTTGTGCAGAAACTTCGCCTGTGAAACACTTTATAGAAACTAAACATTAATTGTCAACTTAGCTGCAAAGACTAATAAGGGCAAATATATAAAAAAGTGCATTCACATCATAGAAATGGCCAAGGACAGAATGGGCCCTTGTCTCTCCTTCTACTTTTGCAATTTAGCGCCACCTTGAAGCAAGCCTTTACTGAGGGTAGCTAAAGGGAGTCTAGATGCTGTTTCACGCACGAGTTTTAGACAAATTCACGAGTCACATATGTTTTAAACAGAATTTCGAGCGGCACGAATTGAAAAGGGAGCCTTCAAATCAGTTTTCCTATGTGCAAGGTGTCAGAGAAATCTTGAAATTCTCATGAAATGAAAGATAAAATTCACGCGTCACATGTTAATTTTGGCGATAATCGCGCGTCACGTATAACTCCTTTACCACCCTCTTTAGACTTGTTTTAGAGATATATTCAAAATTGTGCGTATCTGAAAAAAATATTTATAGCCAATTCCACGATTCCACGGTCAAAGTCTATGTTCTTTAACATACGATGGCTAAGGGAGTCGTCTTCATGCTATCTCGCTTGAACCTAAAAAATCAAAAAAAATTCCAGGCTACACCACCTATCAAGACGAAGAAAAAAAACGGTAAAATATAAGCCGTAATTTGGAAAATAAATGAATTCATTCAGGAGCTAATTTAGAGGTAGGGGGTGGCCAAGGGTAAACTCTTTTGTCGAGGGATGGGAAGGAAGGTTGTCACGAGCACACTTTTTAGTGTTACTTTGTGGGTTATTGCTCTGCACAAGCCCCGCCCCGTCATACTGTCAAGTTTCCCTCATAACTCCCTGGTACCAATTTTATAATCCTGAGTGGAATAGAGAGAGGCACTTGGAGAGTAAAGTGTGTTACCCATAAACGCAAAAAAAAAAAAAAGACCCAGTCCGGCTAGACCCTGGATTAGACTCGACTCTTGGATCTTTGCGATCCGACGTGTTTATCAGATAAGGCTATAGGTTCAGTTAAAAGGTTGACCTTACTGAAAAAAAGATTATTTAAGTCACTACCTACCTGTGAGCCAGACAAATGCAAAACTTAATACCAGAGGGTCAAGAGGCCGGAAACTGAGATCCACAAGGTAACCAACCAACCGATGAAAGAAATCTTTCGCTGTAGCGGCTTCAGCGTGGTGGCGTCGGACGTTGGGGCTTCGGTTGCTTTTAAAGATAACAGACCCAGTCGTTAGATAGAAAGAGAGAAACCTGTATTTTTTTTTTTGCAGGGCGCGTAAAACATACAATTTTAGAATGTGGATTTGACCCTAGGTGCTCAAGATTTCTGGGAGCTATGATAGATTGTAATGCGTTCAATAGTCATGATGAGACTGTTGAGATACTGTAAGGCTGGGCTAATCACAAAACGAAGTAAAACAAAAGCAAATCTAACTGTGGATGACTTTCAACAATCAATTGTACGATGCAGTGTTCATAATTAGTGTAATTTTCGACTAATTGTCGCAAAACCGAAACCAAAACTATCACCATAGTCAATCCTCGGTAAGAACTCGAAGTAAGAAAACAACAAACAACAAACAGACTACCTGAAGCGCGAGAAAAAGCCGGAGACCAAGGCACGATTGACTTTAATTTAAAAACTGATTGGCTGAGAAAGTAGTGTGAGTTTTCTAGACCAAGTAAAAAAACCAAGGAATACCGGTTTTCTTTCATCACTCATTTGAAAATTGCTCTATAGCAAATAACGATAACAAAAATTTGGAGAGGACACTCACTGGTAGCTGGAAGTTCAATCCTTATGTCGCCCACTGTTTCTCTTCTGTCATATTTGCAGTTGATTGGAAAGAACATGTCCATCTTATAAGAAATCCCAACACCAGTTATGCGACGGATAATTTCGTTGGTGTACTGTATGTAACTATCATTCAGAAGGATTCTCTCTGTCCCGCAGTTCCGCAGAGGAATATTGAAGAGAATGTGAGTGGCATTTTCGTCATCTGCCAAGCAGCTTGTATTTTTCAGATGCATTCCTTCAGCTTCAAGACCTGGGTAATGCGCTTTCTTGAATTCGGCGATGATGTATTGTGGCGTACATGTCACCTTGGGACCTGAAAAGAAAGATGTATGAACATTAAGGACCAGTAATTTTTTATCGTCTAAAGGGGGCATCCCCCTCGTTGGCAGTTAAATTTCTATAGTCTCCCTCTATAGGAACGACTGATTACCCCTCCGTTCCCCTTAGCTAACCTTCCCCTTCCCCTTCCCCCTCCCCCCCTCGTGATCGATAATGACTGACCCTAACCGCTACTTGATGTCTGTAGTTCAATTTCGGTACAGAATCGGTGTGGCGGTTATTTGATTAACAAACAACTTAACGGTAATAAACTATGGCTAGTTTTTGAAAATGATAAAAAAGAAATCGATGACATTCTTGTTCGTTAAAGGGAGAACACATTTAAGAATCTATCGTTGGTTTTTTTTTTTTCATACATGAGAAGGCGTTTTATGATTCGATGTCTATTTTTGGAGATTTCATTTCTGCTTTAATGGTTTTCCTTTTTTCTCTGCTGCTATTAAAAGGTTTTTATGTCGCTCTCACTTCGAGAATTATGAACATTATTCACTTACTAAAACACCAGACCATGTATTATTATAAGAAGTAAATTTAAACTTAAAAGGCTAACAATATAACACCGATGTCTTCGGGGCCGTTTCTGGGTTTCAATGTATGTTTTTTATTTGTTCAATACCTGGAAAACCGTATAGGTCCAGTCGGGCACACAGAAAGTTTCGGATTTTTCGGGGATATAAACGAACATATCTTCCAACTGGATATGGCCCCAGAGGGTGAAACTCAGCCTCTTCTTCCAACTGGTTAACTCTGACCAAAGTCTAAACACAACAAAAATCATAAGTCTGAATCTTTTTCAAATCACTTCAGAAAGAATCAGGCCAACATAGTAATGCATTGTAGTGTTTCTTTATTTTTTGGGTAATGATGCGTTGTGTTTAAGTACTTTGGTATGGTGCAAATTATTATAGTGCAGTGGAAGGCAGTGTAGTGCAGTTAAGTGTAATTTAGTCAGCGTTGTCAGTAATGTACAGAGCCGCAACTTGTCACACCGTGTCGCGTCGACTGTGCCGTGTCGTGCCGTACCGTGCCGTGCCGTGCCGTGCCGTGCCGTGCCGTGTCGTGCCGTTGGATGTGATGTGGTGTGGTGAACGCAACGGTCAAACGTAAGGCATGCGTGAGAGGATTAGTTTTAGGCACCCGTGCGCCAATTTCCAGCGCAAAATTTCTATGAAAAACATAAGAAACAACCGCTGTCTAGCAGAATATGCGAAAGAAAATTGAAGCATTGATGTAAATCTGTAACAATACACAAAAGTAGGGAAAAGGAATACTCGAAACTTAAAGCTTATTCAAGTATGAGTATCTTGTTCATTTACCATTCTGTTTTGAGTTTTACCAAAAGGGTTATACGCTTTTAAAAATCGTGACTAACTGACTTGTGTGGTCGTTTGTAACTTGTGTGTGACAACTTGATTCTGACAGTCTATAGAAGCACTCCATCTAGTCGTTAAAACTTTCACACGTGCGCAGACTTTTTACCAATGTGTTAGGTCGGCGTAGTGTTGAGTAAAAAAAACAGTGAAGAATTTTCTCTGCCAATACGAATTGAAGAAACTCGACCGGGAACTTGCCCATAAACTGAAATAAGTGTTCCTCACCTTAGAATATGGACTAAAAAAACTGCCATCAGTAGAGAATTCCAGGTCGAATGAGTCGACGTTCCCGTGAATTCCACCCTGTACTATAACACCACACACGACATAATCTTTTCTCAAATCAACCTGGAGATACTCATTATTTCTGCTTTCCTGGGCGCACCATCCCTCACCTTCCGTATCGCCTATGCGGGCGTGAAAAGGGGCTGTCTCGGGACTTAAGAAAGATGAAGCTGTGAATTGGTCGTCTGAAATCTTACTTCGGTCATTTAATCCTATGTTGAATTTCTGGCACTGTTGACCTTGAAAAGAATAAAGAGGCATACAAATTTGGTTTTGTGTAAGAATCTCTCCGATGATGAATTGCACGGTCTGGTAAATGATAAAAAAGTGCTTACTTCACACCTAAAAGAATGTTCGTGTAACTGACTGTTGACTGAATTTCTGACTGCTTCAACTGAAGAATGTCTGACTGACGGATTGATTGTGAGGGGGACCGATTAACTGACTGATTAACTGACTGATTCAAGGAATCAGTGAGTGAATGATTGTCTGAACATCTTTTCTTCATTTCTGTATTTTTCTTCAACATTATTATTTTGTCATTTAAAGGCGTTTGTGTGGGGAAATGAGCAGTGCCCCCCTCCTTTATCTCTGGCTTCTCGATATAATTCATAGTTACTGTGAAAGTTCTTCCATGTGATGTTTTTTCTGACCACCTTTAACCACGCTCTGTACAGACTTTTTCAGACCTCTTCTCTTTAAATGGTTCTTTTCTCTATGCTGCCTATTAGGTCTAATCTGAATGTGAAAATGCTTGATTACAAGTTTAAATCACAACATCATTGCTTTCTCTTCTGCAGATTTCACGTGGGAAAAACAAACCGCTTGTCACTACCTCTTGTCACTGCGTACTCAGCGCAGTGTAAGCAAAATATTATATTTTTGTTGTGGAAGAAAACTTTTCGTCCTACCTTCAGCACAACGCCAACCAAGAAACAGAAGCTCCAATATTACCAACCAGGATAATTGTCGCATTTTTGCTGCTGTCTTCAGAACTCTTAGCTTCAAAACAAACAGAGCAGATTAGCTTAAAAGCAGGCTCTCAAGCACTGATAATACTGCATGTATTTGTATCAAATAGACCGGACTTACACTCTGGGTCTTAAACTGATAACTGAAAAGAATGAGCTGCCTTTACTATGGCAAATGCTTAGACATTCTAGTCTTCTTTAAGGACGATGAACCTTAAGTCCCATCTCCTGCATCTTCTCTGTACTTGTTAGCAGGGAACGTTAAAGAATCCACGCATCACTCGCAAAGAGTAGGGAACCAGTAGCCCCCGATGTTGTGATCTGACCTTAACTGTTACTGTTTATCCAGGCTCACATTTAAACCAGCTGAACTGGGCCGGCCTGTCTAATTATCGTAAATAAATAACTAATAAAATAGATAGTTTATTATAAATTATTTGAGCAAATTCTGTATTTCTACAAACAGTGACGTCAATGTTAAATTTAGGGTTAGAATCAGTAGTCTTGTCAGAAGCTGCTCACCGGGTGTAGAATTTCCATTTCTTATGAGCCAGCAGTTTTTTTTCAGTTTTTTTATGAACCAGCAGTTTTTGATCGTTAAAATGTGATAATTAATTCAAGCTAGGGCACGCAAGATTCATTGTCTTGCAAACAAGATTTACGAACAGTTTCTAGTTGTAATAGTGTTGTTTGATCGTCCGGGTGAGTGTAGTCCTGAGAAGTACTGCCGAGGGTAATGGTGACTGACGTTTCGACAACCTGAGCTAAAGTCATCGTCGGAGTCAAATATTCAGGTTTATGGTTGCTCTGAAGGAGCATCCAACCAAACCAAATATATCTCGAGCAGAATTCTCTCTAGTAATTCTGTTAAATTATCTTGACTAAAATATCTTTTAATCCAGCAAAATCTTGAAGTTTAGGTAAACTTTTCTGTTTGTTAAGACATTTCTAAACAACGTCACCGAAGGAAGATTCACATTCTTTTCATGCCGTTACGATCTCCTTAGTAGGCACAAAATCCCTCGGTGGAATTTAAGCCAATACAGGCAATCCAGGATGAAGAGAATGAAAAAAAAATGTGAGGCCGTGTTAATCTTGTTCAACCTAGGTAATAACAACGGATTTTATCAAAGTTTCCAAAATTGCTTCAGTGGGTTCAACGGACCATGAAAACAAGCTTAGAACACTCTGGAAAGACAAATAACTTTCTTCGCTTTCGTCTCATTCATAATATTGGAAGTTCTATATGGCAAAAAATCTTCTATTTAATCCTAAACACACTTAAACTGCATTATTTTACATGTATCCTTCGTGTTTTCCGCTCATTGTTACTAAGTCATAATATTGATAGCGTGAGAAAGGCTCGAGACATTTTGAATGACTTTCAAAACAACACAACCACAAAAAGTTTCGAAACTTGCCGAGTTCTTGCCTTAAGCTTTTGAATAATCTTGATCCTTACTGCTAAAAATTTAAACTAGTTACCAAGTACTTAAATCGTATTCATCATTATGAAATAGCTTGTGTTGCTAACAAAATAAACAAATGTCTAACTTACAGCATCCCAAGCTCGATGGTTTAATTTACTGATCCTCCACGTGGTAAGAATTCCACGATTATTGCGAAGGGAAGGTTGTGCTGTTAGTGGTTTCCTCAAGACTTATTCGCCTTTTGACTTCGGGAATTTATTCCACACAGATGTGAGCTCTGTTGAGCTTTTACTACGCTTGCGTGATGCTTGCCAAGCTTGCGGCAATTTGATCATTGTGTTGGAGAACAAAAATGAATAGACCACGAATTTATTAGTTTGGGTTACTTACTATCATTGGTAGTTGATTACGTCTCCGGCAAATGCGAAGTATTATGCATTCATTTACTCAGTGAACCGGTACATACCTTAACAGCAGTCAATAAGTTATTTTCCTACTGGTCTTCCAAAAAGCATAATTCTCATGTTTGTTATACTTTTCGATGTCGCGAAAAATTCTTTTATAGCGGCGGTTGTTCCGTTGTTTAAAATCTTTCCCACAGTGGTTCAGGGAAAGTCATTGAAGTATTAACTTCGCTGTAGAGGTAGAGTTGGACTCGTTCGACTGCAGTTGTCATAGGAAGCCTTAAACAGAAATCAAAACAAACGATCTTTCTCGATTTCACAGGAATTAATTCAATCAACAAACTTTTTCTTTTCTTACTGAATGTGGAATGGTTTTGATTGGTTCGGTGCTATTCCAGCAGTTTAGCGATGATAGTTAAGACAGTACAGCCTTCATTTATGATACTCTTGATATTAGCAAGAGTATCCCGTAAATAGAGGTGTTCCTTCAATGAAGCATTTAATTTTTCTCAACAGTGTCTACCATAAATGATTGAGAATAAAGAAATTGATCGCGAACTTAAGAAGCTAATAATTGTTAGACAAATTCTCCTTGCAAGTTCCATAGGTAACGTACAGAGAAGGGGCCTTGCACATTAATGTTGGGGTGTAAAGGGTTTGTTTTTGATGGTTCCTTTGACACAGATTACACTCTTTTAACAATTAACCAAATCCACTTTTGGGAAAATGAGTTGCACCAGCCGTTGACACTTTCAAGCAAAGAACGCTTCCTCGTTTGCGTGTACAAATAACCCCTTCCTGGATTACGGATAGAGAGCAGTAACGGACAGTCACAATGATTTAAAGTATGACTTTGCATACGTTCCAGTAACAAATCAACACCTGCTCCTTATCGTTGATATAACGTGGGTATCGCTTATAATTTGAGCGTGATTATTGTTCTAGTCATGGTAACTTTTACATGCATTTCGCGGTTTAAAAGTTTGCGAGGTGTGAGAGATTTAGGTGACGCGAAAGTTACATGTGCAATTGCCAATTTCGAGTTCTTTGAGGAAAAGTTCATAATAGAGCCATAACTCGTTTCCATGATTGTGTCGTACACGTTTAGCAAGCCCCTCTCCCCCTCCCCTCAAAAAAATAAATGACAAAAAAAGCTCAAAGGTTTCACCTTTTCGACTCATTTCACTCCAGTTCTCAGTAACGTCATCAAGAGAGACAGACAACACTACTACTTAGCTCAGGTCGGAAAGTATACCTTTAATCAAAAACAGTATTTTCATCATCAACAAAATAATTTTCCTTTTTATTTTTTATTAAGTCTTCAAATGGTCCACTTTCAAAACGGTTGCCCGCGAGTCAGGGAGACTGGATCTAGCAAACGAAGTGACCTTCCAGGAAAAAATGAATATACAACGACATTTATCACTTTCTATCCCTGTTCAAAAATGCCTTTTTCCCATAGAAAATCTTCTTAAATACATGTTTAGCTGAAAGTTTGAAGCAAAGGGAAAGACAAGAAGAGAAACAAACCGAATTACCAAAAACAATTTCGCCGCTTTTCAGTCACTCTTCCTTAGAAAACACGAGGATGACTCTTCTTCATATGCTCAACCCTGGCCTCTTGGTTCCCGCACAAAGATATTGAACCTGGACTATTGAGTTTCAACAGGAGCACCGTGGCTCAAATTTTGCTTAATGTGGTGACTTAACTAACAACCATGATACGCATGTGTAAGTGGAGTCCCATTTAATCAAACTTATACTTTTCCCATACTTCGTCAAAAAGCGGTTTGCAGTTGATTGAGGCAGCAAGTTTGGCACACAGTAAAAACGAACCCGACATCTTCCGATGGAGGGAGTATGTTTCCTCGGGGGGTGGGGACAGGCGATGACGCAGCATGACCGGTATGAGTTCCTTGATGCGACTGGTGGTGTCCTGGGCCTGAAAGTCGAACGGCTCGTTCTTGGAAAATGGCTCTCCAAGGATCATTACTGCGTCTGCGTGTGCGTTGATCATCACCTGTACCATAAGGAGAACAAGAAATCCGTCAAATGGATTAAAAACAGATCCCATCTGGTGCGCATTCAAACGACTTGTCCACCATACCATTGACAGGGAGCCGAAATGACCCTGGACTCGACATCAAGAAAAACATTTTGAATAATCACCTTCGACTCGTATCCAGTAAGAAATCCAAGACCGATAGAGTTTTCAATCACCATGTCTCGGTCTCCAATGGCTGCACCTCGGATTATCTGGGAGAGAAAAGGTAGGCACGCACAGTTTACAGAGACGTGTTTAGAAATGGTATGAAACGTGGTTTGCAGATCATTGGAGGATGGAGGAAGTTACCTCGTTTGATACAGTAGAGAGGAGAGAAATTCTGGGAATGAAAACGTTACTACAGGAAAGTAATCTGAATCAATGATTTCTGAATGAATCAGTGAGGGTATATGCCCGTAAAGTAAACCACGATGGGCACCTCCACATCCTTGAGGAGAGATATCACCGCCTAAATAATCTGCGATGACAGAGCAAATACAATACTTCAAATGGTACTGTGCTGAAACACAGATTAATGTTGTTATTTGGTTCATTTTCTTTATCTTCTATTTATTGCTGAGATTCTGAGCTACTTACCCAAAAAAATTTAAAATGTCTGATTTTGATGAAGGAAGAGGAGGGGGGGGAGGTCGTTATAATTGCTGCAACCCACCCTACCCCACCAGTGTCTAACAGCGGAGGAACACAGGGGCAAGGTATGCCCTTTTTAGCGCATAAAGGAAAAAAAGGAAACACACCCTTACCTTAATATACTTATCAACAAATGTCTTGCCATACGTCCGAGAGGCACCAAAATCAAGTAGACAGATCTGAAAAGACGTAAATGAACTTTTATCAAAACATCGCCCTTTGTCAAGTTGTAGCAAATTCAACTGATTTGGCATTCAATTAGCTGAAAAAATTATAGCAAATTTACTGGTTAGAGTTGTAAACTCATAACGGAAAGATGTCATAGCTCAAAAAATGCAATAGAAAGGTACAGATTGTCTAGGAATAACTTTGCACAGGTTGGATTGTCATAATGTGTTTTGTTTCATTTTGTTTTGTTTTATTTTAAAAGTAAAAATGCTGCAAATTATCACCTTGAATGAGAACCTGGCAGAAAAAAGCCAAGTTACACCATGATTGAAAAAAGCTCTCACCTATAATAACATTAAAGTAGCCTTGGGTTTTCATATTTCCAGCACTTTCTGTTGGATATTTATTTTATGCTCAACAAACCTGTCCAGTGGTAGGATTGTAGAAAAAATTTGACCAGTTAGGATCTGTTTGCATAAATCTGAACTCAAACAGCTCTTTCAGACAAAGTCTTAGGATGTCCAGGCACACCTGTAAACAAAAATAAAGCAAAATGAGGTGGATAATTTCGACCATAACTGGAACATTTTTCATGCTCATCTCAAAATTACCCAATATGTCTCACGTTAAATATACTAGGAAATTCATCCCTGTTTCTTTTCTGGTCAAGACACAGCCATTAAACACCATTATGGGTCTGATAATTTGAAGTTTCTACCTTAAACAAGCACGGCAACCTTTGAAGCCAAAGTTTCAAGCTTGCCTGAAGGAACATGACAGCTAAATTTGTTCACATACTAGCAGTACCTTATTAATGGTATCTTGGTCAACATTTTCAATTTTGTCCAGTGATGTTCCGTCTATCAGCTCTGTAGTCAGCACTTGTTTGGATGTGAGATCTTCAATAACCTCTGGTACATAGAATTCTGGCATATCCTTCAGTAATTCCCTTTGAGGAAAGATCACATAATAAGTAAAAATCTTAGGCAGTATGTAAAGGGTGGACGTTCAAGCTGTGGATATTAATTTTTCTCACTCCCAAAATCTCAATAGTAATTCTCCTTTCTGTCTGCCACACAGTTCTTATGATGTTAGTGTGGAGAATTTGGTATTGGATCAATTTATACATCTAATCCCCTAATTTGTATTTTTCTTTATTCCCATCAATTTTCTGAAGAAAATACAGCATTGGTCTTCCTTCCGTGTGAGATGCACGCCATTGCAGATCACTTATTTGGACAGGTCTCTCTGTGTAAATTTACACTGTGAGAGTGAAGGGGCCTGTCTGAAAAAACAATGTAAAAGGGGCTTCCACCTTAAATGATCAGAAATTGAGTTAGTTCTGAACTCACAATTAAGATTTCTCTCAAACTTTGGAGAAATAATAATTACTTGATAACACAAAATGAGAATCACCAACCCTGATTACATGCACATTAAGAGTGTTTTAAGAGGCTGTGGTGTTACTTTGGCAACTTATTTTGTCAAGAAAAAAATAAAAACTATTATAAACATAAGTGACCTTAAGACCTACCTAAACTGCTGTGAATTCTTGGCTTCTCTGAGGTAATCTACCTCCCAAGCCATTTCTCGCCGAGCCACATCAATGGCGTTCTCTGCATACAAGCCTGGAGTATCACAAAAAAGCCCAAAAAATTGAGTAGGTTGAGGAATTCATTACAAAAGAATTAATTCCAAAACTAAATAGAAAATTAAGCATGCATAATTGAGTTAACTAAAGTTACTTGAGTTAACAAAAGCTCAGAACCTTGCCAGGTGTGGACTGAATGGAAAAGGAATCAATTCACAAGAACTGAGTTTAAAGGGTTTTGCTAAAAGTGATCCTCCAAATACTACATCTCTCAGTAATATGAATCATAGACTTTGTCACTGAATGATGTGACTCACCTTCTGGTAAAAGATTACCAACTTTCAATACAGTCATCAAATTGTTAATATCACTGTCAATGCTCTCACCAACACCAGGATACTGGTAAGTAATAAATCACAATCAAAATTAAACATTAAAAATAACAAGTCCTGGCAGCTTAATGACAGTCAAATTCTCTCCATTTCTCTAGAGCAGATAGAAATCTTCTGCGCTGGATTTAGGTGCAAATAATTCTCCCTTCTCTTAGTTCTGCTGAATTCAACACACAGGGTACTTTTTCATGATCATTACATACTCCAGGCCTAATTTTCACTACTCTCTAGAATACAGCCTTCCTTCCCCTTCAAACCAGGAGCCAGTTATCAAGCCTAAATATATTTATTTTGACACCATTAGCATGCATATGTGAATCTGAAGGCAAAGAGATTTACAAGGTTCAACCATCCAGTGATTCAGGACGAAAAATTAACTGACTTGAATACCTGAATCTTAATGGCCACAGATCTCCCATCATTTAACACCCCTCTGTGGACCTGCCCAATGGATGCTGCAGCAAATGGTGTCATATCAAACTCTGAGAGTTTGTCACGCCAATTGGCCCCCAGCTCCTTCACAAGCACTTTCTGTGGGAAGAAAAAAATTGTCTTCCGCTAAAACACAATATAGAAACAGTGCAACACTTGGTTGTACTCCAGTTAGCTAAATGTACAATCATGTGCATTCACTGAGCCCTTAAATGCTACAATATACATGTAGGACATCATTCATAGCAATATATTCTGCATTTAACTTTTAGCTTACCTCCAGTTGCCAACGTGGCATGAAGTCTGCACTGTCACGCACCCTGTCAAATACTCTCTGTAGCTCAGGTGAAATAAATGAGTTGTCTGAAAAGGAGAAAAGTCATTTTCAACTTGGTTTACAATCACAATGTTTTATTCGAAGAGTCTTTTTTTCTCATTCTCTGTAAAGAAGTTGTAATAACCCTTGTTTATAATCTTCGAAATTCAACTGCTGATAAACATTTTTCCACACAAGGAATTGCTGATAAATGTAACTGTTTTAATAGTTACTGAGTGACTGATTTACCTTGAATGCTCAGCATCTGACCTAACTTTAAAGCGGCTCCCCTCATTTTACACAGTGTAGTCACAATCCTTTCTGCATTTGCTTCTGACAGAAAAGCACTTCCAGTAAGGTCTGTTTTACTAGATCCTGTGATGTAATTCATAAGTAGAGTAAAAAGAATAAAAGGAATGAGCACCTGCAATGGTCAATCTAATTTTAAAGATTGTTGATAATTTTTTGTGCATTTCTCTACTTGCAGTTCAACTGCAAGCTAGGATAATTTTGTTCCTTGATATCATCCCCAAATATAAATATGATCTACTACAATAAATAAGTTATTATATTAATATTTAATTTCCCAGACAAGGTCATTTGTTGCATGACAAAGCAAAACTCTAAAAAACTAGTTAACCCTTTCACTCCCGAGACCTCATTAATTAGTAATTCTCCTTATTGTCTGCCACACAATTCTTGTGCTGTTTGATTGGAGAATTTGGTAGTGGATCAACTAAAAATCTCCTAATGAACATTTTTCTATATTCTCATCACTTTCCTGCTTGATGTTGTCATGATATTGTGAGGAGAAATTTCTTTGTGGTCACATTTGAGAGTATAAGGGTTCACAAGATTCTTAAGTACCTGTTTTGCCAAGACCAAGCTGTCTTTTCGCTACCTCTGCAAGAGTACCAAGACCTAATCCGGCAACAAGACCTATAAATCATAGAGAGATCCATGAAGAGAGTAACCAATGCAATTTGCATATCATAGAAATTAAATAACACAAATCAGAGAAGTATGACTTGCACTGCATCAATTCTGACTGTCAAAGTATAGCCCTATTAAAGAAACCAGTTGTCTGAGAGACAATGCTGATGACATGATTGCAATTTACACTTATAGAGACAGAGGAACCTCTTTTTGTAATTGATTGGGAGGAATGCCCATATAGGGGGACATCCTTGGGACCAAGAAAAGTGTCCCCTAAATAGGGGTTTCCCTTCAAAGAACATAATCAATAAATACATGTAAGTTATATGCACAACTTTAAGCCTGGATCAAAGATAGCACTCCTTGCCAAATGGGCAGAGGTATGACCTATGCCTCTTAAGGCAGTATCCCAAATTAAAGGTTCAACTCTCTTATAAATTGTAAATTGATCAGTTTTGTACAAATCTTTATTTATTTTATTGTGTACTATCTAAAATGAGGGTGACAAGTTCTATATGTCAAAGATGTACCTACCACTGTAGTTCATTAAACGTCCTACTCTGGAAGAGGGGACAGCCTTTTCCTTTGATCTTCCACTCAGCTGATGGAAAATAATTTGTATCAAAGGTAAAACATAGTTATCATCCATTGCCTAACTCTAGTATGTGGCCATACCCTGGCCCAAAGAGGTTCATTTGAAATTCCAAAAGGGTTAGAAAGCATTAATCCAAGCTAGAAAGTTTAGAGAGTTATATCTGGGTGCTGAAACCAAAAACAGTGGTATGGATATTTTTACATAAAATGTACTCAAATATTTTCATGTTGCTATCATTAACATCATTTGAACTATAGTCACTATGATAACAATGATTATTACGAACATAGTCATCATCATCATCATCATCATTATAAATATGATTACACCCAAAACAGTAACAAAATGATTGGACATGATTGGCTGTTATTTGTAATGATAATAGGACTGATTGAAGTCCAATTTGGTCTGTCATCATACATGTGCTTGACAAAATTAAACAACTTCTAGGGTGGAGTCCAATTTTTTCATGATGAGTTCAATTACAGAGAGAATTGTACAACATGAAGTCCTGTAGCAAATTAATCAAACCTGTGAAAAATTTTAGAAACAAACTAGCCATCATATGAAATATGCCAAAACAGCCTGTACATATGATGTGTAATGTTTAATTACATAGTCATGATGCCTACACTGTCCAATCACAAGCATAACACACACACTATCCTATTAGCATTTAAATCGGGTTGATGATAACCAAACAGGTTCAAGAATTTTGCTATAGTTTTGATTATAGCACTAATAGGACAGTGTACACCTCACTATTGTAATAAGACAGGGTATGTGTCATGTGTATGTGCTGTTGTCCCACATTTCACCAAGTTAAATGTTGTTCTTTAGGAAAAAGTATAACCAATAACCAATAGCTACTTTGAATATGCGAGTGATCTTTTGCTATGATGGCTACTTTGTTTCTGAAATTTTGTCATGGTTTTGATTAATTGGTAGCAGCACTACCAATATAGCCCTCAATTACATCTGTAATCAAACTTGTAAGTAACAATTTAGGCTTCTGCTTCATGTTCATGTGATTTTTTTCATCACTCGCATGATTCCAGACCAAACTGGACTCTTCTCAGTCCTATTACTATCATTAATTATAACTATTATTTTATACATAATTATTAAATGATATTTAGTAAATGGTTGACATAGGCCTTAAAATAACAATAAATGTCACTGTTATGAGGAAGAATTTTTCTGGTGACCATGGCAGGAGTTTTGACAGCCTGCGTAGAAGTCAAAACTACAATTTATAGATCTAATGGCCAACAGTGAATCAAACGCACGTGTATTTTGGTATTACGTAACAGTGCAAAGGCGATCCCAGTCAAACAAATGCCGTACCTTTTGATTTGTGGTAGCACGTGGTGCAATGTTTGGGTTTTGCGATGAAGGCTTCCTCTTTGTTTTACTTTGTAAATCTACCGTTTTTTTATTGGTTGGGGCAGTGTGAGTGACTGCAAGGTTAGACGCTGATGTAAACAATAAACGCTTTGGGTGTTGTTGATAAACAGTAGATGGCTGGGATGATCCTCTTTTGCACGATTTCAGCCTTCCCGTGTCACCTTGATAAGCACAATTTCCTTGGTAAGTTAGTACGTGTTCATAACTTGTTTTACTCGATGAAGCAGTGGTTCCTGAATATGATCTCGAAAGACGTGTATCCGATGTAGAAATCGGTCCTTGCTCTCCGGAGATATGTTTCGAAACGCTTATCAATCTCTTCCAAATATGAAAATGCCTTTCTCGCAGCATGATCAGTCTCTTGCAGATTGCATGAACTAGGAGCTCTGAGATAGCACGGAAAAATACTCTTGATCAGAAAACGCTTGCAGCAAATCGTTCGAAAATACCCGTAGACATAAACATTTGACCAACGATACACGACTTCACGCTTTGTTTTCTTGAACTCCCGCGGTGTTTGTGAACAGCAGATAATGTTGTGTAAGCGTCAAGGAGTGTCCCCAAAAAGTGCTAAGGTTTAAGAGTGCATAATGAGTCAAAAATTTTGTTATTTTGCAACAATTCATCCTGTTCGTTACATTTTCAGGCCATTTAATTACATTGTAGATTTCACTTATTCTATATGCCGGTGGGATCGAAGGTCAGAATCCACCAGAGTGATTAAAGGAACGTTTTTCCCCCGATAAAACGCTCTCGTTATCTTGATTTCGATTCTCTGTGAAAATCAAAAGAAAATATTCTCAATTCATGAGGTTTTGTTTGCTCTCAAAACGCAATGGTGCAAATAATTGCGAATAATTGGTTCTAAGCCGTTTTGCGGTCACGGTGGTTTTTTTTAACTCTGTGATCTGATTGGTCAGTGACAGATGACTTCACTCATCTACCTCTTGTGTTCGAATGTGGTTAAAGCCGTGTAATTTACGCTGTAAACTTCAGACGTGAGGTCTTTCCTGGATGAAATACACATTATTTTGCTGTGGTTTGCATTTTTTACTCTAAAGGAGGATATCAGGAGGATCCAAAACAATTCCGCCATGAGTGCGGCGGACAGGCAGGGGAGAGATTACTTCGTTTCGAGAGAAGACTACCACAAGATGGTCGAAAAAGTAAAACAATGTGAGGCCGAGAAACTCCAGGTTATGACAGATCAGGGAAGTTTAATGAGAGAGTTTAACAAGAGAATGCAAGTTCATTTAGAAGAAATACGTTTGCTAAAAGACGTAAATCAGAAACTTCAAGCAGATCTTCAAGAATTGCGGGATCTGACTTGCTATTTGGACGATGATAGGCAGAAGTGCCGAAAACTTGCTCGCGAGTGGCAACGATTTGGACGTTATACGGCATCAGTTATGCGAAATGAAGTAGCAAATTATCAAGAGAAATTGAAAGTTTTAGAGGATAAACAAAGTGATCTTTCACAAGACAATGCAGAGTTAAAAGAACTTTGTCTCTACCTTGATCGAAAGCGGGAATCCGTCGCTTTAGAAAACCGAACTTTCTGCACTAACTGCTCACAGCGTGTTGCGAGTAACCCGAGTTTGTCTCCAACCAAACAAAACAATACAGGTATCTGAATTGATTTTGCATCTGTACTCTTTCGGATATGTCTAGTCTGAAGCACGTTTCTTTCAATCCTGTTGCAACTATTGTCGGTAGAAGGAATAATACGCGGTCGGTGATAATCTATTTCTATCAAAGTAGGAATTTGAGATAAAACTTCAATGGTTTCCGATTTAGTTTTGCTCAAAGTGGATTTCGTTTAGAAACTCTTCATACCATTGTCACACATGTACACTTTTTTCGTTTTTAGGAAATGTCGTCGATGATCGTAGAAATTCTTTTTCTGAGAGACTTGAAGCGAAGTTAACGGATATTCAGGAAGGAACAAATCATGAGCGATCGCCTTCAGAAAGGGTAAGTGTAACGATAAGGAAGTTGAGAGGCGAAATTTACAATTTTCTTGATTTCTAAGCTGGAGACTTGACGATTTTTTTTCCGATTCTTGGAAAACATTGTTATAACTTGGTGCTAAAATTCTAATCTTATCAAACGATACTGGAATTTGCAAGGGTCTTAAAACAATCTACACACTCGAATGCGTAATTTACATACAAACATCCAGTACAAGTGTTACGTTGTTGACATGTATCGAGTATCTGGGCAAGTGAACTCACGGCGATGAAAGATCGATCGTATCCTACTTCAATGTGCAATCGCCCTATTATGAGTTAATTATCTTTACAAAACGACGTCTTTGATATAAACGCATGTCTTTTTGTTTTTGGGATTGGGCAGCGTTCCGCGCCATTTACTCCGCATAACACCAACGGGTGTTTGGTATTCAGGATCGTGTCGAGTAATCTCGGCGTCGTAAAATATTGTACTTCGTAGCCAGACTAAATGTCATCTCTTGAATTTGATCTAAGGAGATATCGTCCGCCTCACATAAGGCCGATGTCGCAAAGAAGAGAGTTTCTTTTACCTTTCCCGGAGACGTAGACACAGTAAGTTTATCAAGTAAATTTTCTTCCGATTTTTATGTTTAAAAGCGATTGTAACTCTACGGATTATCCATCTACGCCCGGGATTTTAAAAAAGGCTATCCTATCAAATATTTGAGGAAGTTTCATAAGAAGATTTATATTATCTTACTTATCATTATCTTTTTTATCCTAAACAGGGCAGTTTTTTGTGGTTTACAATGCACTTAATTAATATGTGATACGTGTTCAGATATATATTGGTATGGGAGGGGCAGGAAGGAATCATGTTCTAGTCAACCCGTCTGGCTGTGATAGAGGGCAAAGTCTCTATTAATCACCACTGTGACATGAAACATTGATTTTAAAAGGAGCAGAGATTGGTCCTTCTAAAGTAGAGACTATTCTTGCCAATATATTGAGTCAATAGTTTCTTTGACAGGTCTCTCCAATTTGTGAGTCTGACACCATCTTGATTCTGCTTGCAGGGTTTAAAAACCACAGTGAATTCATGAATGAAAAATAGTAGATTATATAGTTGCAGAAAAAAATTCTTAAGATGTGTCATATCTCACAAACTCTCTCCAGCACCAATACCAGAAACATGCAGACATTATGTTTTTTTAAGAGGCACTGGAAATACTTAAATTTCAACTCAAATATCCTTCAGGTCATGATCAATTAAAATATACAATAAATTAGGATTGGGACATGGCACCCTTAGTACTCTTTAGTGTTTTATATGAATGATACCTTTTATGATTTACTTAAAAAAATGGGTGTAGATGTGTAAGGTCTGACCACTTTTTATCATCAATGGATTATTGATTATGACTCACTGGTCCTTAATTAAACCACCTTTTACTGAGTAAATTATACCACACAAGTAAATAGTGCTTTTTGCACATGCCTATTGGCTAGTTTGAAAGTAAATAGAAAATACTATTCACCTCTGAGCAGTTGATGAGACAAAATAGCATGCCAACAGTTTAATTTCAGACTATTTTTCAGTATATTAGAATAAATTAACTAATTAGTTTTTCATATCAATATGAGTGAAAGTGGTGGATATTTACATCACAGCTTCATGGCTTGGTAAATAACCACCACTATTCACCTCCACTATAGTGGATAATTGTTAATTATATTTTTGTAGGATACAGATAGTGTTCCAAGTGACACCCCACCAAGAATTCCCAGGAGTAATGGAATTAAAAGTAAGTTTCAGTCAAATTTCAAAAACTCAGCTTATTTTGATCTTAGAGCTTTGATATAGGTCTAAGCTAATTCAGGATAAATAGTTTAATTTGTAACTTGCAGCAAATGACCAAGGAATTGATTCAAAAGGATATGTTTGAGTTTCAAATAACTTACTTTGTTCCCTGATGATGCCGTAGAACGGCGAAAGCTCGGAGTAAATAAAGTAAGAAAGAACCACAGTAGCACTTAAAGGCTTCATTCGATCAATATCCCACAACTTACGTTGTTATAACAACTTCCAGCTTAAATCAATTAACCCCTTAAACCCTAAGAGTGACCAGCATCAAATTTCTCCCTTCAATATCACCCCTGAATCTCACATCAAGGTCATGAGAATAAAGGAAATGATCACCAACGAAAGAAGCTTTTGATTGGTAAACAAATTCTCCTTGTCAGCACCATAGGAAATGTATAAAGAACTGTATGGAGAATATGTATACTGATTTAAGGGTGTAAAGGGTTAACTCATCAAGTATTCTTGTGGGAGCTGCAGTGTCCTAATGGTCAGTGCACCAAAGAGGTCTGGGTTCAAGATCTGGTCAGGTTAATGTGTTGTGTTCTTGGGTATGACACTTTCCTCCTGCAGAACCTCTCTCCACCCAGGAGGGGAAGGTCACCTTGCGAGGGGTGAGCATCCCATCCGGGAGGGGGTAGAGATATTCCTAGTCACTTCCAAGAGGCTCGGGTAGAGACTTTGCCTTTACCTTTATTCCAGTATACTTGTTTGCATATTTTGCTTACTTTTACAACACAAGGACAGCAGTTCAGATGCATGTGGGTGTATAGCAGAGTTACCATTCAGGGCTGGGTTGTTCAAAGCTGGGCTAAGATAACCCAGAGTTTATGTGAATTTTGATTTCAGATCTGAGGACTTTAAAAGAAAATACAATTTGATTCTTTTTGTGTACAAGTTGATGACTGAATGTTCCATAGTAATTGGGAAAATTATCCTAAAACAGCTTTTAAACAGAGAAATATAGAAACTGGATTAAAAATTTAACCCTGGATTAGCACTAATAGGCCTTTGAACGACTGAGCCCATATGTATTTTTACATTACCATTGGGGCTAGTGCTTTTTATTTTGTGACTAAATCATACACTATGTGATGTAAATAATTTATATGTGTGTTTTGATTTTATTTATGTTTGTAATATAGATGGAAATCAACCAGGAATTTTGAGAAATGGCATGAAACCACTTCCCAGACAGGTGCTTTGAAAATCCTTGAAAGGATACATGAATTCTTATCAATACTTTTTGGTCATTTGCAAAATAACATTAGATTTATATGTAACTGATCTTGATCATTTGATGATAGATCTGATCTCAATTTGTTTTACTGTTCTCAACTTTAAGTTAATAATAACAATTATTGAATCAAAGTTGAGTGGATATTTTGTTGATTTTACTCCAATTCTCCCAACCCTTTGGCCCAAAGAGTGTCTAACACCAAACTTCTCCTTACATCATCACCTCTGAATCACATATCAAGGTCAACAAACAAATTCTCCTTGTCAGCACCTCAAGAAATGTATAGACAAATGGAAAATATACATACTGATGATAGGGTGTAAAGGGTTAATATTAATAGTAATTTATATTGTTGAAAGATTTACCAATGATTCAATCTAGGGCCTGGGGCACTTATTTACTTTTGGTACCTCAAAGGAGGGGGCTTATTCAAGCTAGGGGGCCTATTTCTTTTTTGAGAGCATCAGAGTGTGCAAAACAAAGCTTTCATTGATGTTTTTTTTTTTTAAGTGTCAAGAAAACTTGAAAATGGGCTTGTTGTTCAGCCATAGATCTTTCTTTGCTAGAAGGATTGGCCAAGCAATGGCTACAAAATTTTGAGAGAAGATTATCTGTTTGAAGACACTGTGACTTATATGGACATAATTGTGGAGACTGACACAAACCACTTTTTTTGTAATAAGGCTTGAAATGAGAAGGAAGATGAACCACAGTTGATCTCAATGCACATGTACTCTAGCAGTTCCATCACAAAAACAGAATAAGGGCACTTATTGGAATGAGAGTGCTTACTCAATAGGGATGCTTATTAGAATCAGGGGCACTTATTAGCAAAAACTAACTTCAAGGGGGGTTCTTATTAAAGAGGGGTGCTTCTTGGAAGGAGGGTGTCAAATCGAATCATTACAGTAAATCATCTAGAGGGTAAAGAATTAAAAGAATGACAATTTTTATGTAAATTTTTTGCAGGGTGACCTTCCCTTTCCTTCACCTCAACACATGACGCCAGAAGCAGTTGCTCAGGCAATGAAAGTTTTAGAAATACATGAGAAGTTAGAGCATCCTGATAACCCAGGTGATTCTGATGAACCAGCAGACAGACTGGGTGACAATGAGGTGGAAGTTCTCAAAGAAATGTGTAATGTAAGTGTATATTGTGTCCCTCCTTGTGCATGTTGGTTCCCAGCCAGGTAAACTGGGTGTGGTGTGCACATGAAGTTGAGGTTTAATCCTTTGACCCCTACGGGTGATAAACTTCTAATTTATCCTCTCAACATCACTCTTGAATCACACATTAAGATCAGAAGAATAAAGGAAATGATCTCCAACTAAAGAAGCTCTTGATTGTTAAATAAATTCTCCTTGCCAATATCTTAGGAAATGTAGAGAGAACAGTATGGAGAATATGCATACTGATGTTAGGGTAGAAAGGATTCATGTTAAATGCACCACATTTTTTTAGCTTCATATTTCTCATTTACATTTTTCTGAAATTCATGGATTTTAGGTTGTGTGGAGAAAGTTATCAGACGAGCCAGAACAGAGGCAAAATGGTACCAATGGGCATGAGGAGGAAGAAATCCTTGAAGACTTGTTGTAGACTCTGTTACAGTAGTTGCTTTAAATCTTTGTCTTGTCAACATTTTTTCTTGATAACAGTAGCAAAGCAGATTAATATTTATTATTTAATTGTGATCGGATAAAATACTGTCAAACCTTTCCATAGTAAACATCTTTGGACAGAAGGTAGTGGCTATTGTAGAGAGTTGGCCTTTATGTAGAGGCTTTATCTGCAAGCATGTCTTCATCATTAATGCTTTGACACAAGGAATTCTTTGCCTTCTAGAAAGTATGAGGCCTCTAGCATTGGGGGAAGGGTTGTGGCATGACAGCTCACTCTGATGTTCTCAAAGGCTTGAATATTGTTTCATTTCTGCTTCAGCTAGTTTTGGCACATGAACTGGCTATGCAGAGTGGCGGCCATGTAAAGAGGTTGAAAAAAAATGTTTTGCTGGAAAAAATGATAACACTGCTGTGGCACAATGAGTAGGTTCCTCTGTAGTACCCTTTATTAACCTTCAACTCCCAGAAGTGATATAAATTTCATTTCTTGCTATAATATCCATGTTTTCCTGTAAACAGGTAATGAGAATACACAAACTTATCAGGTAGAAGGTGTTACCTAGATCTAACACCAAATTCTTGTAACTTATTCACAAGGAATTCTGTAGCAATTAGAGGGGAGAATTAATAATCAGATCTTGGGAGTTTAAGGGTTAAATCTAATATGGATTCAAAATTTATTTGTGGTGTTTTTAAGTGCAGTGAAATTGTTGTGTATATAGAAGTATCTATTAACTGCACCACACTTTATATAACTTGATTTTACCCATCACACTGGGGTATTCGATATTTTTTGTGGTACAAATAATAGTTGGACCTTTTTAAATTATTTGCCATGATCATGAACTGCAAGGTGAAATCTCTTCACTTTATTCTTGAATAAGTTGAAGTCTTGTGTAGAGTATAAGTAAGAGTATATGGCCTTTAGTCAACTTCTTATATTTTCATGGCCTCAGAAAACCTTTTACTGTTTTCAAGTAGTCCAGCTCTCTAGTGGCAAGTTATTTCCATCCCAGGGTTTCAATTACAGTGGTTCTGAAAGCAAAGGGAGTTTTGGAGGTCTTTGCAAGTCTCAAAATTTGGAATTTGCACCAAGGACTTTGTTGGATGAAGGGTCTATTTTGGTCTGTGTTGTTGAATTTTTCCAGTGGTTTCCTAATCTTTAACCATTGGGTGAAGTTTTTTTGATAAGTAAATATCCATGTTTGAAAGGTAGTTAATTTGATCAAGCTGTAAAGTATTACTGAAGATTTTGCAAAAGCTAACCTTTGGAAATGTAAAAAGACCAGAGAACATTTATGCAGTTTTTACCTTTCATGACAGAATTATGCATAATATTTATTTGATATTTAAATGTTTTAGCAAGGTTTTATGATTTTTGTTATACATGGAAAGGAAAACTGTCACCTGAGAAGGAAATGCTGTTAAAAAAATATTTACCAAGTTTTGTAAACAGAAGAGTAATTTATCTATGAATAAAAATATTTGATTGAAATCTGAAGTTTCAAATAGAAGATATAAATGTTTTTGCTCTTGTTATTAGCATTTCTTTGACCTTTGAGTTGGCAAGAGGTCTGAAAGGGGTCTGGCATTGATAGACCCTGGTAAACCTCTTCCCGACTCATCTCAAATCTTTGTGGGGGTAGAGAAAGGTGCATCTTGATCAAAATGAGGGCCTAATTGCCAGCTATGGTATTCCCTGTCCTAGAATTTGTATATAAGAGGTCCAGATTGTTGGTCATGGTGTATTGACTGAGAGGCCTTGCTCTCCATTTGGTACAATTATGTTATTTACAATACTTGTAATTAAAATAAATATGTTGCTTGTGGGGACCAGGATATATAAATTCAAAGTAGAAGCAGTAAACTGGAGACAACAACATTTATTGTCAATATTTTATAAATAAAATTTTAAAAATAACAAACTACAATGGAGGACCCTTCAATCAGGTTGGCTCTGCACGTAGTCTTGAAAGTTAACTTAATCTACTTTAATAACTTTAATTGTTGTCAAGAACACAGATATTATAAAGGTTACTTCGGGACTTATAATTTTTTATACAACTATCATTATCTTTTATCATCTCATCCAACCTCCCATCTGTTGGTTCTGTGATGGAGGAACACCAAACTGTCTTGGCCATTGATAATCTTTTGAGCCAACCTGAGGAATTGGTGGCATTTGTCCACTGTGCAATGGTGGAAGGGGAGGGGGAGGGAGTGACATCGGAGGGTGAGGTGGTCTGCCTTGAGGAGGTGGTACCCCATATGCTGCAGATGTCTGCAGGGTGCTGACACCACTTGGAGGTGGAGGGTATACAGCACTGCTGGGCATGGGGGGAAGGGGTGGAGGAGGAACATTGGGGAAACCAGCAGGGGTAGCAAAGTGAGAATATCCTTGAGTTGGTGGCAAATACGACTGGTTTTGAAACTGCGCAGGTAAGTGAAATGAAGGCACAGAACCAAGAGTTCCACTTCCTAATGTAGGCTGAAATGAAGCATTTGTTGTCAGTGTTGCAATTCCTGCTGGCTGTACTGTCTGTTGGTAAATGTTCATAGCGTAGGCTTGATCCGAATTGTAAGACGATGTAGCCACAGCAAAAGACGTCAAAGTAGGTTGCAAAGCAGCAGGTGCCACTGCTGCTGATGTTTCAATTATTTGCTTTCCTGTTTGAGCTGATGCAAATGTAGTGTCAACAGTTTGGGTAACCTTGGGTGGTTCAGTTGTGACTGTTGCAATCGGAGGCTGCTGCTGCTGCTGTGTGGAAACTGGTGCAGGACTGACATTCTCCACTTGTATTTGAGATGACGTCAAGGCTGGAGGCAGTGGCTTCAGTGGCTCTGTAAGGACCTGACTTGTAGCAGTAGGAGTATCTGATGAAAGAAAAAAATCCTTTGAAAAATTTTATCTACTTTTACAATTTAGTCTGCAGCAAGAGACAGACAGAGTCAAAAAGAAAGCAATCCATTCACCTTGAACAACATATTTTTAACTTTTTTTTCTTCCCAGGTCACTTATTCTCAGGGTACAGCAGTAAACAGTGCTGCATTGCTGGGGGTTATAACAAGATCATTTGTTTTTTTTTTTCAACAGAGTTGATAAATAAATGTAAATTGGCCACTGCAGGGAGTTTCTATGAGTAAATGACGATACAACTAACCCTTGAAATTTCAGCCCTAGAAACTCTTTACAGTGGCAAATTTAAATTATTAACAAAGTTGGAAAAAACCAAATTGTCACAATGTATCATCTAAAGCACCACAGTTTCTTTAGAAACTCACTCCCATTATTTCCTTGTGACTTTGCAGCTTGTTTTTGCAATTTCCAGTACACAATACTTCAAGTGCCCTTAAAACTGCCAACCATGCAGGTCAAATTAAGATATTATTATTATAAACTTGTTCATACCTGGAGCCACCGTCTGGGATTTGACCTCTGAAGATGTACTTGTGTGTTTCTGACAGGAGAAATAGTTATTTTTAAATGTCAGTTTGTCAAGACCTCACTCACAAATACAAAATAGATCTACAGTCAGCCTCAAAAAAAGTTGACACATCATGTTTGAACAGTCCAATTTATTTTATGTGTAGATTAACACTCCTGTGACTACCCCACTCTTAATCACTAAAACCCCCCCCCCCCCCTTCACTGATTCAATGTTGCCTGTACATGGCTAAAAGTTCCTGGAATCATCACACAACACTGCTTTTTTTTTGGGGGGGGGGGGGGGGGGGGGAGGGTGGGGAAGGGGCAAATGGATTAGCTTAACATAGGCAAAAGATATAAAATTGAAGTCATAGGGGGTTGAAAAGGTCAATGTGTCAACAATTTTGCTGCCGATTGTTATTCATCATTTATTGACAAGAAAAACTCACTCTCTTCTTGGCAGCTGGTGGACTGGGGTTTATCATTGGACTGGAATGGTTTGATGAGCTTCCTTCATCACTGGCTTCGGTTTTCCCCTTCTTTTTTTCACCACCATAGAGTTCCAGCATCAGATCACAAATATCTGCAATCAAAAGATTTAATGCAAAATTGTTTGTTCACAAAAGAACACCACTATACAAGATACTATGTTGAATGAAGATTATATAGAGCTTCACGAGGTGAAAAAGATGTATTGTGAAATCCAGGGTTGTTCTTGCCAAACAATAAAATAAGATAATAAAGGGGTAAGTTTCTAAAGAAACTGTGGTGCTGCGTCAGTGGGAGAGTATAGCAGGTAATTTAGTGTTAACAACTGAGTTGAAAACATAAATTAGCCACTGTAAAGAAAAAAGCTGATGTTTCAAGTGTTAGCCCTTCGTCAGAGCGATTGATGAAGGGCTGAATTGTCAATCCTCAGAATGATTGATGAAGGGCTGAAGCTGAAGGGTTGATGAATCACTCTGACGAAGGGCTAACGCTCAAAACGTCAGCTTTTTCACCCTTTGCGGTGGCTAATTTACGTTTTCAACTCAGATGTTAACACTAAATTACCTGCAATAAAATAAGATATTTAAGCTTCGGGCTAAATTTCAAATCCATCTCTTTCCAGAGGAGGGCATTCTGATTCAAAACACCAAATGACCTTTGAAGCCCCCAAAACTTACTGCAGTGTTACCATTTCCTTTGGACCAGTCAAAACTCACCTTCAATCACGGACTCTGTAGCCCCCTTAGTGAATGAGTGGTACCAGGTTTTTCCAGGAGCACTAGAGGTGGCTTGTAAGTCATGATTGTTAAACTTTGCTGCTAAAGCTATCATGGCAACTGAGATGACTTCAGGTTTGTATCTCAAACACAGAGGAGTAGACAAGCTGAAAGGTTTTGAATAGCAGCAATGACACCAATCATATTTAATTTAATAAAAAAATCTAAAAAAGTCATCACCATAGCCTTGCTTGTTAAAATTAATTCTGTCCAACTGCAGCTTGGTGCACCCGGCCAGAATTGAAAGGAGTAATTTTCCCCAAAACAGAAAGCAAAATATTTAATGCAAATCTCCCATACAGAGTTCTGAATGAACCTTTGAGAATGGTTGATTTTACCCTTTGAATCTCTAGGTCATGGTTCCAAAAGGTTACATGTGAGAAAACAAACCTGTCATTTAAGAAAGTCCAAGCCATTTGAACCAGCTTGTTTATCTTTGCACGGTCACCTGGTAAGATTAAGTGATTTTTCATAATTAAATTCCTCTCTCTCTCTCTCTCTTGTGATCTGTCTGATAATTAACCCTTCTAGCTGCCATTAGAACATAAGAGGTAAACGCACCACACAAGCCAAAGAGGCCCATGACAACAGAGCTTATCCCCAGTTCCATAACATATAGCAACAAGGAGAATTGCCACTTCTCCTGGATTGGATGCTTTTACTACGGTACATTACAAACTACTCCTAGCATTTCAAGAGATTTTCAAATTCCCCTTGCTGGTAACCATTTAACCCTTAAACTCTCATAAGAGATCACTCCCTATGATATCACCTCATTATCCAGCAAACAGGCAATGAGAATACTCAAACTTATCAAGTGGAAGTTGTTATCTTGATCTAGCACCAAATTCTAATTACTAATTTACAAGAAAATATGTAGCAGCTGGAAGGGAGAATTAACAAACAGATTTTGGGAGTTAAAGGGTTAATATGCTCCTGGTTAGGGAAGGGCTCTGTGAGAGATTAGTATCTCTCCCCTTATAAATCTGTTCATGAGAGGTAAGAAATTTTGCATTGACCAGCAAGGCCTCTTAGGAAGATGCTTGGTAAAAAAAATACCATTCAGTATACAAAGGCAAATAACTCATAATCCTAAAAGAACAAAGTAAAAATTTCAAAACAGACTGAACCTTTTAGTGCTTTGCCAAACTTGAGCAGACTTGGGTATGGGTGTTCCACTTGTAAATCAAACTTGATTGTTTGTAGTAAAACTCTTTCATACATCATCACTTCTTCCTGCAAATACAGAAAACAATGCAACACTTATTCACTGAAGTTGCATTTCATATTCTGATACAACTTTGAGGAAAAACAAGCTTTGCACTTGTTTCACTGTAATTTTAATCTGACCCGTAATATCACCCTCAGCTGACAGTGATGTAACCCTTTAACTCCCATGATCTCAATAGTAATTCTCCTTACTGTCTGCCATACAATTCTAATGATGTCAATTTGGAGAATTTGGTATTGGATCAACTAATAATCCCCTAATTGATATTTTACTTTATTCTCATTACTTCGATGCTTGATATTGTATTGATATTGTAAAGAGAAATTCTGCCTTGGTCACTCCTGGGAGTTAAAGGGTTAAGAATGCTGCACCTTCCAAAAATTCTCAGATTCGACTTATAAAATAACAGGTTTATATGACAAAGATCATTTTATTAAAATTAATACAAAAATTAACCCTTTACACCCTAACATCAGGATGAATATTCTCTCTACTATTCTATACCAATACTATTTTCTATAAATTTCCTCTGGTGCTGACAAGGAGAATTTGTTTAACAATCTAAAGCTTCTTCAGTTGGTGATCATTTCCTTTATTCTCATAACCTTTATGTGTGATTCAGGTGTGATATTGAAAGGAGAGATTAGATGCTAGTCACTCGCAAGGTCAAAAGGTTAAATAGGGACTAGTTCATGACAGCTGTAACACCTTTTAAAATCCTGAAACACTGGCATAGCTAAAACAGTATTAAACCTTTAACTCCAAAGATCTGATTGTTAATTCTCCCCTCTAGCTTCTATACATATCCTTGTAAATTAGTTATGAGAACTTGGTGCTGGATCAAGATAGCAGCTTCTACCTGATAAGTTTGAATATTCTCACTATCTGTTTGCTGAATAATGTATGGATATTATGGGGAGAAGTTTCATGTTAATCACTACTATAAGTTAAAGGGTTAAAGACTGTTACCTTTGGATCCTCACCAAATGTTTCAAATTGATTATCATGCAAAAGGCTTTTGGCTGTTTTAATAATATCACGGCATTTCTTAGGTGTTTCTTCAACCTTCCCAGCAAGAAATAAACATGCTGCACCAGTAACCTAACATAAAAAAAAACAAACAAACAAATAAATTTCTTTTTATCATTGGTCATTGCCAGTTGTAACTGCAAAATGAGGAGAGAGCTTGAAACAAGAATACCGCTGTTATTAGCAGAGGAATAAGTTTGTGTCAACAAGCAAGCTTCTCTGTGGGGTCTCTCTTGTTTCTACCCCTTGGGGTGAGGGAGAAGAGAGACTGGGAAAATGATAACAAGTGGAAAGCCCTAACCTAAAAAAAGACCCAAAATAAAATATTTAAAATAAAGAGTCTTAATGACAAAACAAAAAACCTCAAGTGGCAGTAGATCTGTTAAAAGTAAATGTGTACACTAAATTCATTGGGGGGGTTAATTCTCAAGAATTTTCCAGTTCACTTTAAATCAAACATACCCATCGTGGAAAGTTCTTGAATGACTGCACCATGTAGAACCTATGAAAGTAAACTGCTCCTGTAGCCATGGTGTCATAACGTCTAAAGTTCACTTAGTCAAGATGAAACATTTGTGAATTTTAGCCACTAATCACAAGTGCAAATAAACATGCAAAATATTTCCATTTTACTACAGCTTTTTTCAGCTTTGCTGAAGTGTCGGAAAATATCTAAATAACCCTTTTTTTTCATTTCTTTCACCTGTTTCATCTCTGTAACCACAGTGTGAAACAAAGGAAAAATAAAAATTTAAGTGGTTGGAGAATTTACACAACATGTACATTTGTATGTACATAGTGAGCTTCACAAAAGTAGTCGATATGGCAAGGTATTCAGCGGCTGAACCGCTAAAATGTCTCACGGGAAAACTCTGACGAGTACATTTTTGAAAACAGAATATAAGGATACAATCTCATTCGATTCCCACAGTTCATAATGAAGCGGGTTCCCTCTCTTCTGTAGCGTATTTCAGTCATGTAATCAATGCCATCAAGCCTGGAAGGCGTTCGTAACAACCCCTCTTTACTAAAGTACCAGTTAGGCATGATTGATCCGGTTCCACGAGGAAATTAACAGCTTAGGAATATTTCCACGCTACATCTTTCTAGTCCGCCATTTTGAACCTCGATGTAACATTTGGCCCGGCTACCAAGCTTGTCTTTGAAGTAGGACCCAGCTCCTGTTGATTGTCCTCTTTTTCTTCGATAACGATATGGCTGCCGGTGTAAGTGTGTAGCAATAGAATCCTCTTTGCTTTATGGCAATCACTTGGTTTTTTATGATTCCAGTACTTGTTGCTTGTGTGGAGAAAATTAATAGTTCCTCTTGTCGTGTTATTTTTATTTAATTTTACAGGCCTTGTACACTTACCCAGACAACTTTCGGGCCTACAAAATCCTCATCGCTGCTGAGTACAGCGGTGCGAAGGTTACTCTTCCATCCTTCAAGTTTGGCGAGACGAACCAATCGGCGGAATTTCTGAAAAAATTCCCCCTTGGCAAGGTACCTTAGACCTTGGTTAAAAATAATCCAAAGTTAATTGACAAAATATTTAAGGTATAATCTTGACTGATATTTCCAATTTGAACAGAATTTTGTACATTAGGTAGTGTAACAATAAATGCCCTTACCTAAGCTCCGTTAAAACGGTCAGGATAGCTGGTGATAGTTTAAACTATGACGCGCATTTGAACATGAACTATCATTGACTAATATCGACTATCATCAACTATCATGTAGTTTGGACATGTTAAATTTGACATGATAGTCGCTGATAGTTTCTGCTATTCAATCGAGTGGATGATAGTGAGTGATAGTTATTGGGTCAGCAGTTTAGCCAAAAGCAAGCTCAAACCGAAATGGCAAATAGTAAAATGACTAAAGTAGCTGCCAAAATTCTGCAGAATGTCGCAGAATTTATTCTTATCATATCCTGGTAGACTTCAGTATCTTCAACTTGCTACTCCTTGACTAAAATCTCAAGATGCCAACAAAATTACAGACCTCAGCATGCACAATATTTGATTAGAGGTATGCCATCTTGTTGCATGATTTTTTCAACTATCATCAACTTTCTTGAACCATTTTAATACAAATATTGTAGTCAATGATAGCGAATGAATGTTGAAACTATCATCATCTATCATGACTGTTTGAACTGGGTTTTATTACTTAATTAATTTTTAGAGAAATCTAAGCAATGTATGTCCTTTGAGTGAGACTAACTTTAAAATTTTAATAAATTAACTCATTTATCTTCATCTATTCCAATCCATTACCAGTTTTATTTTTTTTATCACAAGTGTGTGGTCAAGGAAAGACCCGCTTCAATTAACCCTTTAACTCCTAGAAGTGATGAACATGCAACTTCTTCCTAATATTGTTGTTATAAACATAACTAATTTATATGGAAATGTGTTACAGTTAAAGGAAAGAATTGACCATCAGATCTTGAAAGTTAAAGGTGTAACATCTACCAGCTGCAATAAAGATTGATCAGTCAATGGTTCAATCAATCATCAATCAAACAATCAATTCGTCAACAATCAATAGTATTTACAATAACATTACAAACAGTTATTTCATTAATAGCAGCTAGTAATTTGATGTGGCAATGTAATTTGAAAATAAAAGCAATTTATTTGTAATAGTGTAACAAAACTGGCCTTAAGTAAGAGTGGTCTGAATTTTGCCCTAATGTTTCTTTGTTTCATGTTTTTTCATAGGTTCCTGCATTTGAGACTCCGGATGGAAAGTGCATTTATGAGAGCAATGCTATCGCTTACTATGGTAATTTTTCTTTAATGTTTGTGTTTATTAACATGGCTGAATTAAAATTTTTTTTGTGGGTGGATAAAGAAAGTGTTGGAAGCAATCTCTTTTCAGCTGACATAATATATAGATTTAGCCAAGCCTAAAAGCAGAGCCCGCACATCTCAAGGGCACAACGCCTTGCCCTGGCCAGGACTAGAACTCAGGTCATCCGACCACTGGACTACTGGACAAAGCCATGGCATTGGCGTGCCCACAGTACAGTTGACCACACATGTTTAAAGTAGCACCTTGTACGGTGGTATGGTCGTACAACCAAATTTTTTCGGCTTGATGGGTTACTACTATTTTGCATAATTATGGGGCTACGCTCTGCAAGCTCCGCCATGATAAATTCTCTCTTTTCCTTGGTAATTGAGAGGGTAGATACCCAAACTGAGCATTATGTGGTATTTTTATTAACATCACAATATCCTCATTTTCATTCAGTGTCCAGTGATCAACTGCATGGTAATTTTTCTTTGATGTTTGTGTTTTGTTGGCATGGCTGAATAAAAATTTTGGGTGGGTGGATAAGGCAAGTGTTGGAAGCAATCTCTCTTCGGCTGACACATAATCAAATCTCTCTTTTTCTTGGTAATTGAAGGGGTAGATACCTTAACTGAGCATTATATAGTATTTTTATTAACATCACAATATCCTCAATTTCATTTAGTGTCCAATGATCAACTGCGAGGGAAGACACCCCTGGAAGGAGCATTAATCCAACAGTATGTGAACTTTGCTGATCAAGAAATCTTGCCTGCTGTTGTCACTTGGGTCTTTCCAACCCTTGGTTTGATGCAGTTTAACAAACAGGTGTGTAAGTTTTTCTTTTCAGGTTAGCCTTAGCTCTTGAAGTGCTTTCATCTAGTCCTGAAATATATAATGAATTCTTTTCATTGACAGTGACTTGCCTGAAGTTAGTTTTGAACCTCTTTTACAGGCCACTGATAAAGCCATGGAAGATGTGAAGAAGGCTTTGACAGTACTGAACACTGCTCTCTTAACAAGGACATTCCTTGTGGGTGAACGTGTAACACTTGCTGACATTGCAGTTGGTTGCAACCTTCTTATGCTGTACAAACAGGTTAGTCCCAACAAGAGTAAAGGGGGTATGTTTCAAAAGAAACTGGTGTGGGTGGCATTAATTTGGTTGGGTGGGGTATTATAGGATACAGTTAAAATTTGGTTTTATCAACTGAGTTGAGAATGTAAATGACCTACTTAGAAGAGTTTCTAAAGCTGATGTTTTTAGTGTTAGCCCTTCCTTTTGATGAGTGTTGCTTTATTGATGGGCCAATGCTTGGAATTTGAGTTTTAGAAACTCTCTACCATGGCCAATGGTTGATTAAGCCAAATTGTCTAGTCACAGAAATTTTTCTTGTACTGTGGATTGTGTGGTCTGCATACAAGCCTTTCAGGGTGGCTCTACAAGGCTTTCTAAAACCTCAAATGAACAGCTTACAACCCTTTGTAGGAATTCAAGAGGTGTTGTGGCCCTGCTATTAGAGCAGTGGACTCTGGATCAAGAGATCAAGACTTGAGCCAATAATGTGTCATTTTACTTTGTTCATGGGCAAAATACTTTACTATCAGGATTTTCTTTGCATAATTCCTTTCTCTTCTCAGGAGCCTGAAAGAGTAACAGGAATCGGGGGGAAATCTCACGAACTGCTGGGAGTAACCTTGAAAAGACTGGCATGTAGCCTTTTTGCTCACCCAAGAAGGGCTGTGAAAATAGCACCAAATGAAATGATATGAAATAGCATGAACAAAAAATGTGATTCTCAGAGGGATGGGGTGTTCAAAAAAGAGCCCTTTAGTGGGTGGGGTGTAGACATTTTTTCTGCAAGCAACACATTAAAAATGGTAAATATGATTTGCCTTACAGGTGATGGAGCCAAGCTTCAGAGCACAATTTGGTAATGTGAACCGGTGGTTTCTCACCATTGTGAATCAGCCTCAGTTCAAGAAAATCCTTGGTGAAGTGAAACTTTGTGAAACCATGGCTAAATTTGATGGTAGGCCCTAGTTTCTCTGTGTGGTGAACTAAAACAGGCCCAATAGTCCATTTTACAGTTGTTTGCTTGGTTGCCAAGCCTTTGAACAGGGTGACCTTGTTGTGATACAAACCTTGCTGTTTTTCAAATGCAAACTACAAAATGCATGTTATCATGCTAACTAGATATTGGTCTCTATCACCACAAGGTCAGGACCTCAGAGTGTACTCCTTTTTTTGACCCAGCTTTGGGGTACAGTACAGCTCAGAGGTAGATGGCCAACACAAATGCACACCCTCACAAATTTTGCATGGTCTGCTTGCAACAAAGTGCATATCATAGCGCATTTCTTGAGCGCATTTTTGCTTTTGTTATCCAATGCCTCTGTCGAAGCAACAAATCAACATTTACATATCTCAATACCTAAAGGATGCAATGGCTGCTTTTTCAATGAAACATTGAAATGAGTTGTCATGATGCCACTAGCATTTTGTAAAATATGTTTGTGTTAAGACATGAATTACAAACTTGATACACCATAAGCTCTTTATTATTCTCTTTACTAGAAAATATTCAGCATATCTTTGTTAGGTAACAGAATCTGCATCCTGGCCAGTAGGAATGTAAATCAAACAGTCAGGGTAAAAAATAAGCTGATGGGGAGTTAAACATTAAAGTCAATTTATTTTTCTTTACCTCTACAGGGAAGAAATTTGCTGAACTCCATCCAAAGAAAGACGAGAAGAAGGATAAGAAAGCCAAATCACCCAAAGAGGAGAAGCCAAAACAAGAACAGCCCAAGAAAGAAAAGAAGGAAAAACCTAAAAAAGAAGAGGATGATGAGGTGGATGACGTACCAAAGGAACCAAAATCTAAGGATCCATATGCTGGCCTACCAAAGAGGTTAGGATAATTCTACCTTCCAAACCTACAGGCAGGGTTTTCATTAACTTTTGAAGTAGAAGGGCACTGCTTCATGAATAGGCGGGTACCCTGTAAAATTAAGGGCCAAAGGCCCGAAACTCTGGGGGGTAGGGGGGCATGTTCCCCCGGGAAATTTTTAGAATGCAAGTCTCCCAGAAGTGTATTTTCCGACAATATGGAAAAGGAATCTTGCTATGATGCATACTTATTCTAATTATGGTAAAAAAAAATGATACTCTGGGAGAATTTGTTTATTTCATTGTACAGCTATAGTTACATCAAAACACTGCTGTTGTTCTCAGAGCCTCCTTTTTTCTTACAGTAACAATCTGACTTAAACTTGTAAACTGATAAAGAGTGTAACTGGCAAATTTTCAGTGTCAGTACAGGCTGAAGGGGATTTTCATGTTTGAGATTTTTTATAAGTTTTTGAATGCATTTCTTGGCTTAATCTTGAAAGAAAATTAAATTGGAAAAAAAGTTTCGTTTAAGTTTCTTTCACTTGCTTGGAATATATAAACTTTGAAAGCCAACAAAATTTTGGCTTATTGAGACACAGTACAAGCTAACTACTGTTACAAGCTAACTTAAACTTATAAACTGATAAAGAGTGAAACTGACAAATTTCAGTGTCAGTACAAGCCAAAGCGAATTTTCACGTTTGAAATTTCTGATATGTTTTTGAATGCATTTCTTGGCTTAATCTTGAATGAAAATTAAATTGGAACAAAGTTTCTTTCAAGTCTCTTTCACTTGCATGGAATATTTTTAAAAGCTTTGAAAGCCAACAAAACGTTGGTTGTTGGTCATACCTTCTTTTTCATTGGATTTTTCAAGATCATTTCATTAATTAATATTACAATACTTCAGGTTATTTATAAAAGATGCTACTGTTCTTCACGTGAACATCTGATAAAGTCAGTGTTTATTGTTAAAAGCCATAAAAGTCCTTGCTATCGCTATCTCCAAAGAGATTCTCATAGCTTTCTGGGTCAATTTCTGCTTGTTGCTGTTCGAAACTATCGGCGTAAAGCAAGTCCACATCTATGCCAGCAAATGGATCAGAATTGTAGTCATCTTCCCACATTAGTTGTTTGAGTAAAGGGAAAATTAATCGCTTGAAAGAATCTTGGAGAGCAAGATTATCACATTTATTTGTGTGCAATGATCACCTCTGATACTCATAATTAATTGTTGCCTTTGTGTTTTTCCTCAGCTCATTTGACATGGATGCTTTTAAACGTGTGTACTCCAACAAAGACACTGTTACTGAAGCCATCCCATACTTTTGGGAACATTTTAACAAGGAAGATTATTCCATTTGGTTGGCAGAGTACATGTATGATGATGAACTGAAGAGAATCTTTATGTCCTGTAACTTGGTCAGTGGAATGTTTCAGCGCATAGAGAAACTTCGCAAGACAGCATTTGCCAGTGTAATTATATTTGGAGAGGATGGAAATATCTCTATTTCGGGTGTTTGGATCTGCCGCACGCAAAAGCTTGCCTTTGATGTAGGTTTTAAAATTTCTTTCCACTATATTTGTTTTGTTTTGTTTTTTAGAACAGTTTGTATAAATCCTGCCTGCTGTTTAACATTGATGCCTGACTACCCTCCCAGAGCTTGTATTAAAATGCACAGGAGGTCAAAATTTTGAATGGCTAGGCTTGTGAAATACTTGCTAATGGACTTCACTGATAAGCAGGGACTGCCCTTAGTATAAATTGGCCTTAGAAACAGGGAGTGAAAAGCAATTTCAGGAATTTTTCATTGCTTGATATTTGTTTAATTTTGTTTTATATGAACTGAAAAAAATTGTTATTCATAGGCTGCATTGCATCCAAGTAAAAAGCCCCAATGATTATTTGTATTGTAGAGTAGTGGACTGAACAATTGTGTGGAAATCTATTTAATACTTGTATGAGGGGCACCATGTAGGGAAACTTGTAGTACGGTAATTGCTCTTAGTTGTAATCCACAACTGTCTGTACCATAGTTTCCCATAAAATGTTTGACCCTTCCTTCTTCCATTTACCAAAATTTAATGTTTTTATTTTGTAGCTGAATGAGGACTGGGCAGTTGACTCTCCATCATACAAGTTTACCAAATTGGATGCAGATAATCCAGAACACAAGAAGCTTGTTAATGAGTACATGGCATGGGAAGGAGATTTTGGCGGAAAGAAGGTCAACCAGGGAAAGATCTTTAAATAGATTGTTACATTTGTAACCAAAATTTAAATGAATAAATGAATTGTCCCAGAGCAGTCTTGATTATAGTTTTTGGCCATTTTTTGTTACACTGCACTGCTGTAGCCTGTGTAGCCACCCCCCCCCCCCCCCCCCCCCCATTCTTGATTTTCTTTGAGAGTGTTGGGGGCGGCTGTACACAGGTCACACTGTAGTTGGGGATTAAGCTTGTGTAGTAAGTTGTGAGTGTGACTGGTTCGGCAAGAATGACATCAAATTTCTTGCAAGTTTGGTGATGCAATTTTAACACCAAGGAAAATTTAAGTAAAACCTACGCTCGTCGATCTCCATCTTGCCGCGTGAGGCTAATCTCCACGTGCTCGAGAAACTTGAGTCTGCGATTTTGTCCGAATTGTTGTTGGGTAACGTGCTCGAAAGAAATTCGTAAAATTACGTCATGTGGTATCCAGAAATTGGAAACCGTTTCAACGTTAACCAAAGAGTAAGAGAAAGGTGTACACACCTTGATCATTTGCAAAATCACTGTTTAATAAAAGCAAACAAACAAATTACTCAGTCTGCAATCTACGTCTTATCATCAGGGACCTTAAGCAGTCAGGACGGCAACACCAAGGAAGACTACGATTAAAAAATGAATTTCTGCCTTTAATTAGAATTTAAAAAATGACTGCATGTGTTTACCGTCGCACAGGGCGCCACACCTCAATTTCAGCATAACGTATAAACGAAGCTTTGAGTTCCAAATGGAAATTAAAATAATTTGCCGTCGCGGTTTCGGTTCGCAGACGACGCAAATTGTGGTGATTTCACGTTGTTGTTTTGCATAGGACGGCTAAGAAATGTACAAAGTTTTAAAACGCACGTGCTGAGCTATTGTTCTGCCAACTAGATCTTTTGTTTTTCCGTGTCCTCGTTGCCGTCGCCGTCGTGGTTTGCTTAAGGTCCCTAACAATTGAGGCGTCCAGCGGTACTGGTGCGATAACATTAGGATTCAAATAAGCAACAGTAATCTATCAACAGAAGTCAAATATTTGAGCAAAGGGATAGATTGCCTATTACGCCATAAATACAATTTCTTCCTTTTTGCCCGAAACATTGGCTTGTGAACTGCAAACGCCATGCAGTTCGTGTTGTCATGTTTTTTCTCCACAGGTACGTGACAAGCGTATTACATAAAGCATTTACAGCCTGCCTCGTGCGCAAGATGGCGGACATTGTAAGTGTAGATATATGTGCAACGGTAACTACCGGTTTGGAGTCCGTGGCCGCAGAGGAGTGCGAAGAAAAGCTAGGATGCAAGTCTATAAGGAAAGGAAGGGGACGTATATACTTTGACATTCCAACGAATTCGTTTACACAGTTGAAGTCCTTACGATCTGTTGAGCACTTGTTTGTCGTAGTCAAGGAATTTCAAGAAGACAGTAGCGAAGGCTTTGATTGCCACAGTCCAGATATTCTTGAAAAGCTTTACAAACTACCGCAAGCTCTTGACTGGAAATCGAGTCTTTTCATGTGGAAGCAATTTAAAGGATATTCGGGAGCAATTTTTAAAAACGAAAACGATGATTTGAATTGCAATCGCGATGGTTTTGTAACTGTAAAGAATGGTGGAGGAAGCTCGAAAGAAGGTGACGAGTCTGTGGCCGAAGAGATGGAGGATGAAAGTAAAGCTCCAGTGAAAAGAATGAAACACGGAAATGAAAATTCTGGACAGCCGAAGGCAAGTGAGGAGGATGATTCTGAAGAAACTGTTTTGCCCTCAAGTGTTGATCTAGGGGTAACATCGACATCTACAAACGCCAAACCTCTAGAGGTTGCAGATCAGCTGGTTTTACCGCGATTCCGTGTCACATGTACACGCACTGGCAATAACCATAGCTTCTCGTCCCAAGAGGCTGCAGCTAAATTTGGTGGTGGAATAAACGATGGGTTTGGCTGGCGAGTAGACCTTAGCCATCCAGACATCGAAGTACTTCTCCACATTGTCGACAACAGTGTTGTCATTGGTATCGCCCTGACTAAGGAAAGTAGAGGAAAACGGAATATTGCTCACTTTGGTCCAACGAACTTAAAGTCATCAATAGCCTATTGTATGCTTTCATTGGCAAATATTAAGCCAGGTAGAGAACATCTCTTTATTAATTACCTTTCACTTTTCTTTTTAATTTATGAGCTTAAAACATGTTAATTGTAGCATGCAGAAGTGAGAGGTTGTCACTCTCATGCTCAATTTTAGGAAATATGTTTTTCTCTTCTCCTACTTTCCTAAGTGTAGAATTAATTTTGCCTCTCCATATTTCATTCTAACCAATGGACATACTTACAACTTGTTAACCCTTTAACTCCCATGAGTGACCAAGACAGAATTTCTCATTACAATATCAATACAATATCAACCAGATAAGTGATGAGAATAAAGAAAAATATCAATTTGGGGATAATTAGTTGATCAAATACTAAATTCTCTGAACTAACATTATAAGAATTGTATGGTTGACAGTAAGGAGAATTACAAATTTGTTCTGGGAGGTAAAGGGTTAAGAGTAGTTACTAAAGTACCAAGGTCCTCTTGGAATTTAGGAACACACTTGAGTCAGGGACACCTGTGCCCTTTGCCTGAACAAATTAATTTACAGGGCTAACACTGGAAATGTCAACCTTAGAAATGTCAATATCAGTAGAAACTCTAACCTAACATTAACCTTAACTTGTTGTCAATTCACAACAACTGAGATCCAAAACTCTATACAGTTGCCAATTCACAACAACTGAGGTGAGAAACTGAGTTGATTACTGTTTCTTTATGTAGGTGATGTGGTGTGTGATCCAATGTGTGGAGGAGGCTCCATTCCTATAGAGGCTTCCCTCAATTGGCCCACATCTTTTCACCTGTGCGGAGACCATCATGAATTAGCTCCCGCCAGGACCTTGGCTAATGTACAGAATGTGGTTGAACTACAGTTGGAAAAAAAGTAAGTACTTCAGCTGTACAGACTGTGTACTTCAAGACTGCCAAACAATTGAGAATGGTTATAATTAAATCATTAATTATAGATTGAAAATATAAGGAATATTAGGTTATTACCAATAACAATCTTTTCCCTTGAAAAAAATATTTTCAAAGATAGTGGTGGAAAATGGTGAACAAAGATTCTGACAAAGACAGAATTTCTCCTTACAATATCTATACAGTATTGAGTGATGAGAATAAAGAAAATTATCAACTAGGGAATTGTTAGTTGATCCAATACCAAATTCTTAGAAATAACATCATCAGAATTGTATGGTAGACAGAAAGGAGAATTTCCAATGAGATCTTGAGAGTAAAAGGGGTAGGGAATGTTGCTAGGTTGTCTGTGATCAGTATGCACTACTTGAGATTAATAGAGTTTCCACAACTTTTTAATGCAGGAAGACTCTTCCCCTGGATATTTTTCAATGGGATGTGTGCAATCTTCCCTTGAAGGCCAACAGCATTGATGTATTCATCTCTGATTTGCCTTTTGGGAAGAGAAGTGGTTCCAAGCATGAAAACTGGAAACTGTATCCCAAAGCTCTGGAGGAAATGGCCAGGGTGTGTTCAGTAGGAAGTGGAAGGGCTGTACTTCTGACTCAGGATAAGAAGGTGATGTGGAAAGCAGTGAACAGTTCAAGACAGTGGAAGAAAGATTTGACTTTGTGGATCAACATAGGAGGTCTCAAAGCAGGAATATATGTTCTTACCAGGACTAAATAGTGAGATTTTGATGTACTGTGGCTGGTTAACAATATTTGCATTACATGAAGTTGAATCCTGAGGGTGTCTTTGGCAAATGGGTTGTTTTTATTTCAGGAGAACTGTTCTGGTACAACAGAAAAGTCTTATTACAATGGAGGAGTATTACTTATCAATCCACTATAAATTGTTCAAGATCTCACCTTTCTTAGTTCTCCAGAAATGATAAACACATAGATGTAGGATCTCACACTTTCAATACATTACTAAGAAAGTGGGTGATGAGAATGGACAGACATATTGGTCAGGGAGAGTTCTCTTCACAGAGTACCAATACTGTAACTGATACCAAGGGAGGATTGGAGTGGTCAGGACCTTCCACCCCAACAGACAAGTGGGTTTTGTTTTTCTTGTGTGGCATTAAAATTCTGGCAACTACAGGGTTACTTATGACTTCTCAACTGGTTGTTGTGTGTGTTTGTGTGATCTGCCCCTGCAATACTACAGTTTATCTATTGTGCAAAGGAAAACATGGAAGTGAGGAGGAGATATAAATATCTCAAATCTTGAAGAATAGGAGTGAATGGAGCACTAGTTAGCTTGTTAGAGTTGTGGAAAACAACTAAGCCATTTTTTACACCTAAATGAGATGTAAAAGTGACAATTGGTTGTTTCCGATGAAATGACATGAAACCACATATTACTTTGTCCACATCAAATACCAGGGTTTTCTTTAAGGTTTTTAGTAGCTGGAGCTTTTTTAAAGGTAAAGAGTAAATGGTATTCATATCTTGAAATCCAATATGGTGGACAAAATGTCATATCATTTGTACTTTCCTGCCACCACAGCAAGATTTGTCAAAAAGACAGTCCCCATCAGAATGTTTTTTAAACTAACCTTGAGTCAGAAGTCTTTTTATGTTTTCAGAAAAGATAGGCAGTGCAAATTTATATTTTTATTGAGCCCAAGTTTAGACCTGATAAACATCATCTCTGTACAGGCTCTCAAAGCAATGAAAGTAGCCAGTGAAACCTTGCAAAGAAGCCGGTGTAATTCGCCAGCTGCCGGCTCTTATCTACAACCCTGAAATACCATTTAACATCTTAATATTCTGGGCCACCACCAAAAGAATTTGCCTTTTGTTCAAGATCTATATCATTTCTCATTGTAAGCCTACCTGAACCAAGTTTAACATCACCATAAAGGTGAAGGCCAAGCTAACAATAATTTATTCACAGGGTAAATTGAAATAAAGTGATAAATGTTTTTACTCTAAATGGTTCTTAGTGGTCATACACTCTATGTAAATTGTATCTGATATTTCTTAATTGCACACTTAGTCTAGTTGACCAAGGGTAACAGCTTTCTATCTTGCTCTTTTTTTTTTTTTCGACTCTATATTCTGACTTTGTACAATAATTATATGAAAGTTCAATAAAGTCATTGGGAGATAAAAAGCTACAAAGGACTCATTCCATCAATAGTCATTTTGCAATAGGTGGAGGGTGAGCAGATTCCATAGAAAAGGTCAACTGTCTCCCGTTAGAGAAATGACGATTCGCAGAAAGCACCTTCCATCCTTATCTTTGAAGATAGTACTTCAAGATAAATAATTATAATCCAGTTACCACAAAGGTAAAATAAATAACAGTTTTGCACTGCATAAAATGGTGACATACTTCCCTGACTTCAGAGTCTTCGTAAAAAGTTATTAGTCTTAAAAGTAATTGCACCTAACCCGTGAAATAGTTATTAAGCAATTAGACATTGTTGATTATAAATGGGGTTCAGTGGCCACTGCTTTCAAACCCCTCATTAGTGGTCTTACTGCAAATCTGAAATTTTTGTTGTAATATTTGTATAAGCCTGGTTGTGGTCATAGCCACCTGTTCTATCATTCATGGCAACATATAAAAAAATTTAAGAAAACTAGTCATCCCATTGTTTTCTCTTTTTATCTTTGACTGTTAAGCACTTAAATGGAAGAACAAATGTCTTTTGACCTAAACTTTCATGGAATAATTATTTTTTTCAGTCAAAGCCACAGTCAAAACTTCCTCCTGAAGACCATGAATGGTCAGATCCCCACCCCCCAAAGCCATGATGCCCAATCCCTCCTACAGTATGACCCAGCATATAACCCATTGCCGCTCCACCAACAACACCAGCAGCAGCTCCCATCATCATTTTGTTCCTTCCGCTGTGATGCTGCTGAGGAGGCTGTTGAACATAGACAGTCTGTGGCTTGCCACCCTGCACGTATGTTGTGCCTTGGGAGGGATAGTACGCCTGCTGTGGATAGTGACCAGGAGGAGGGGTTGGGTGGTAAGGTCCAGGGGCTTGCTGTGGGTACATTGCTGATGGCTGCTGTGGGTAGGGATGGGGCTGTGTTGGATAACCTGGCTGTTGTGGGGCATTAGCAGGAGGGTAAGAGGGAGGTCCATATCCTGCTCCTGGTGGCCCTTGGGGATAAGGTGGTGGCTGGCTATATGCTGCTTGGGGCTGTGGAGGGCCCTGAGAATATGGCGGAGGGGGACCAGCTGTTGACAGAAATGAATCAAGAGATAAAAACAATGAAATGAATGTGCTACTTCACAGACATGTCAACCCCTTATAATAGAAAGTCTGGAAAAATCTGGAAATTTTATAAGAAAAGGTGAGAGTCTCTGTTTCAGATAAAGATTAATTTAAAAAGGTATAATTAGCACTCCAGCCCCAGGACCAACACAACCAGAGCTTGTTCCATTATTTTGTATTATTGCATGACTAGGAAGTATCCCTACCCCCTCTGGATGGGATGCTACTCTTTTGCAAGCTATTCCCCAGAATTTTCTCAATTCACCAAGACAGTTTGACACTACCCATTTATAATCCTGGATAGAGAGAGGTATTGTGAGAGTTATATGCCTTGCATGCCTTGTCACACAACATACTGGCCTTTCAAAGACTCAAACCTGAACCTCTCAACTTCCACTAAGTTAATATTTGAGTAATAAAATCTTACATGGTGCTGCTCCTTGAACAACTGAAGGATTAAAACCAATTGGTGGAGGGCGTGATGCTGTACCATACCCAGCGGGAGGCATTGCTGCACCATACCCTGCAGAAGGTCCTGTTGCTCCATAACCAGGAGGTGCTGTTGTTCCATATCCAGCAGTGCTAGGAGCACTGTATGGAGAGTAGGAACCAGCCATAGGAGGGTTCTGTTGACCACCATACATAAGCTGATGAGGCAACAGAGAAAAAGTGTTCCTAAAAGATATAAGAAATCCTCCAAAAATAATTGTTTTCTGGCAGTAATCATCCAGGGGCATTTAAGATTGCAAAAAGGCAAGCCTAAAAAAGTTAAGCTAAGAGCCCTGATCAACTATCTGAATTTTTGCTGAGTAGATAAAAAAAGAAGCATATTCTGAACTATGACATTGGCTGTTGATTCTTACACCTAATTAAATATACAGTGTGGCATGTGTAGTGATATACTCTGCTTAGCACAAAACATTGGTGCAGTTCAGTTAACTAGAGTCACAAATAAGCTGTACTTACTGGAACCCTAGCTTGTTCTAAGACTGAAATCCAATCTCTGGAACAAAAATAATCAACAATTAATTCAGACAGAGAAAAAGATAATATTTTTAATACATGAAATAAAACATAAGCGGGAAAAAAGTGGTTTCCTTTCCTATCAGTGAAACATCCGCTTTCGTTTGTCTTATGAATGCAAGTAAATTATTCTACACGGAATAAACTTTGAGGAAAGGGAATCAAAATTTGTGGCAAACATGGAGTGAAGGAATAATTTTAAGACCGAGGGCGATATCATTTTATACTGACTAGATCACTTGTAGGATTCTAACGTGACTGAATATATATATTATTTACCCAAACCATACCCCTTTGATTCCTAAAAAGACAATTAATCCTAAATGTGAACACCGAGTTTCATATAATTAAGCTATGAAGGGCGGAATAAAAAAAAATAAAAAATAGTTGTTTGACCGATCTGATGTCACGTCTAAATGTAAGTCAAACAACTGCTTTAATGAAAAAACTACTTAGATGTAATGATCACCCAAAGAAGTTTAGATCAATGATAAAAACGCCCCAAATCTTGTCAAAGTTACTGGCGAGGTATTCACCTTGCTTCCCTCTCGCTCTCTGCGTAGAGATACCACGTCCGTTCGGGCGAAGAAACACAGAACATGGCATTTAAATCATTGTCCTTAGGAGGCTTTACTCCTTCTCCAACGGCTTGGCCAACGTTTATTCGTCGGCATTCTGTTTTCATGTGGATTTTACCGTCACATTCCTTATCCTTTGAGTCTTGGTAATAACAGAATACGCCATCTTGGTATAGAACGAAGTACCTTCTCTTCCAAGAATTCTTGAAGAAACCGCCTAAGAATGAGAAGAATTTGTGTTTCTATTGATTTCGGCTACTTCTTAGAATTCTCATTCGAGAGAAACTTACTTAGTTTGTTGAGATAACCGGCCTTTATAGTCCCCATGGCGTTTTACTTCGAATCTCTCGCTCGTCAACTAAGTGACTGACGTAAACATGTCGAGTTATGAATCTTCCGTGACTGTTGATTGTTTGCGTGATTCTTCGACAAAACTTGCGTGACAGGCAATGTAAGTTACATCGGCTAAACGAGTCATTGTCTCCAAAATTAGAGGGGATTTTCTTGTCACAATTCGGTAAGAAAAGCTAAAAGATTCGATAGATATATATTTTTTGCACCATCTATTGTCTTGTTATTTTTATTTTACCATTTCAGTGCTTTTACAAGAATTTTGCAATAATATTGCTTTTTAGGTCATGCACTTTTCATTCATGAATCACAGTTGGTTGTAAATTGAAGTTAAAGAGGACTTTAAAATAATAATCCAAACAATCACACAGTTGATATTCACTTTGACATGGTAATCAGTTCATGAAAAAGCACCAATTGCTAACCACTTGAATGTTGCAGAGTATGCAACTCATCTTTATGAGGATGAACGTTATATTACAATAATGCAATCATAGTATTTTAACCTTGGAATCTAAATCAAGCACAAATACCAGATGCTATAAATTTCACTGGAAAGATTTTTTCACTGCAAGACTTGCCTTGGCTTTCAATATTTAAATTACTGTCAATAGGAAAGTCAAAGTTTCTCAACTTGCTAAACTCAGCCTGATATACCTTTTATAAACCTTCTTTTCTTATTCCATATTGTAAGTTACAGACCAATTTTTCCCTCTAATTTAAAGTTCAAGCACAAAGCTTGCATGCAAATGATGATGTTGATGTTCCTTAATTTGCAGCAGGGAACAACAAAACTAGGTCAGCAGGATATCTATCATATCTCAGGTTTCAAATAACAAGGGGAAGATTTTAATTCAAACAGACTTTAATTTAGCACACTATGCAGTGACATACAGCCCAATAAATTGACCAATCATGGTACACATACCAAATGAGAGATATAATAAGTAAATTTATTCCTTCACATCAGTTGTATCTGGATGGGGAACTTTCCCACTTGGTATTGAAACATAGAAGTACACCCAAAGTGAGACGGTTCCTATTTACAAAGTAATGTAACACTGTGTTCAATACAGTCTTTTTTCCAGTATTTGTGATCACTAATTCACTTTACACAACATTCCTTTGCTGAATTGTACTCTCAATTCTAACGAACATCAATCACTGATCTTACAGTCCTCAATCTCCCTAGTTGAAGGCCAGTACACTTTAAAAGCAAACTCATTCCTTGCAAAGGAGCTGGGATTTGTACTAACACATTCTAAACTAGAACAGGTGTATGGATCATACTTGTCGGCTAAAATCATCAGATCTGGAACAGGATACACCCTGAGAGAGTGATCCTGAGTCCAGTAAATTGGCCTGACATGGGGTGGGATAGGGCAAATGTGGGCCTGTGCCAAGATTGTCTTCGTTAACTGAACAGGGATGTCTTTCAAGTCTGATGACAGATTGATTGAGTTGCGGCACATTTTGTTCACAAGGTCTTCTCTGAAAACAATGATCTCCTGGGTACAGTACTGGATTCTGCAAGGGTTGGAAGTGAATACACTCATAGGGATTTTTTCAGTGATGGCTGAGGTGAAAACCATAGGGATTGGGGGTCTTGGAAGAATGTTTCCAGGTCCTGGATCTTGTGGCCCAGGTATGAACACAAAACGGCTATTCTCTGTCAGTGGTGGAAACTCTGCCACCAACTTGGCAAAAGCCTGGAATGACGCTTTGAGAGTGTGATAGTGTTTAGGACCGTATGGCTCAGAGGTGAAGTTTCCACACAGAATGAACATGGCTGGTGGCATGGTTGAATATCCTGAAAATAATGCTCGGAGCTTTTCCATAACCTTTGGCTGATCCAGCCATACATCTGACAAGATCACAAACATTGCATTGTGGTTCTCTCTTTCTATGGCCTTAAGCTTTGCTGATGCTTTTAAACTGGTGGAGGAAGGGCCGCCGAAGAAATTAACATTACCAAAATGATTTCTGGTCACTTTTCCTGGCTCTGCTGGGGGAAAACCTAAGGCTTTGATGCGGAATACACCATCTTCGTAAGTTCCTTCAGCAAGCACGAAGCAATTCTCTGTGTACAGACCAGTGTGGAAATTGGCTTGACGCATATCGAGTTCCACAACACCAGAAGGATCTTCCAGATAATATTTGCCCTCTTTGATTTGTGTCAGCATTCCCAGCACAATTATCTGTCCCAGGTTTGCAGTACTCCCTAGCAGGAATTCTACGGGCTTGAGAGCAAACTTCTCCGCCACTTGACTCTGATTAGCTCCCTCTACAACCGGCGAGAATAATTCATGCCTCATGGTTCGTTGATGAAGTATTCTGTACCTCTCTCGGAACACCATGGATTTGGCGTTCGGGTTATGTGCGTGAAGAGAACTGACATCGTTATGCGGTAGAAACTTTTTTCTGTCAGGGTTAAACGAGAATATTGGCACGCTGAAAGCATCAATGAAGGTAAACGCGTGATCGCTGTCGTCTTCAGCGGTGTGACTACATTCTTGAACGGCCTGTTCGACTACATCACGGTCGACAAGTGAAGTGGTTAGTGGTTGTTTTTGGACTCCCTCCACAATTTTATCCAGCCAATCTTCTAACTCAACCTCAGTCAAGGAACCTAAAACCTCTGCGAGGAATTTAGATGCGTCTATTTTGAGCGAAAGGCCATGTAATTTGAACGTTGAAACTATTTTCCCTCTAATCGTAGCAGCCATGTTGGTTTGTTCGACAAAAAATGGCGCCAAAATTCTCTAGTGCCAATCTTTACGCAGTTTTGATGGCAGGTAAAGACTGGAGACACTAAAAAAACAACGAAGTTAGCGGAGATCATAGCTGCCAGAGCTCAGAGGGTATCCACTAGCTGAACAGGAGGCCTCAAATGAAAACCTATCTGGTCCAAAACGGGAAATGTCTATAGGACGAAGGATTCAACAAGAACGAGGATAAAACCCGTAAGTACTAAGTAATAAGAAGGAATAGAACATAGTGTGGTAGAGGAAAAGGCGTTGGCAGAGTGGGGTAAGGGGGCTGTGATGCATAGCGGAACGCCTAGCAACCAAATAAAGAGAGAAATATTGAAGACACACGTTCGGGGAAAGGTAAAACGGTGCTTTCATCTTGTAAACACAAATCCTCCTAAAAATTGCAGAGGCTCAGAGGTAAATGAACTTCTTTGTGTCTCATATGATCGATGGATGTTCAAGGCGAATGCCACTTCTCAATCCTACATTAATAATTATATGTCATTCGATCTTGAATTTCCGGACTTGTGCATTAAAAAAAAGGAGAATTGTAAACCGTGTACTTTTTCAAATAACGTTTTATTCTGTACATATTATTTTCTCAAATTGTTTGGAACAGGTGAAAGAAAGCATGAAAACGGACCGTGAAAGAAAGAAGGAAAACAGAAATGAAGAGAGCGCTGACTTTTCCTTCCTTTCTCTAGTTCTCAGCAACTCGAGAATACACTCGTCCCAGGCCCCAGTCCTTTACTTTTCTTAACCAACCGGGTTAGCTTAACTGAGCATTTCAACCGAAAGTTTACAACTTAAAAAGAGCATTTTCTTTGTTGTTCATACCACCGTCACGCAGTTGAATAGATTCTTTGCAAAAGCAAGGAAAGGAACTAGCTTTGGGCTTGCAGTCTCAGCATTGCAGTTAATGTCAGTGGCAGATCTTCTGAACCCTGCAGCATCTCTGCTAGACTGGGAACATTGCCTGTGGAAGCAAAACCGACAATATTCTAGTTCAGTAACGTGAAATGCAACCAAGCCTTTAAATGGCAGCGAGACTAGAAGTGACTTTACAATGATAGAGGAAAGGAACTCAAATAATAACAAAGGGATTTTTATTTGAAGTCATGATGTTTATATCAAGATGGAGTTAGCTTTAACCTCACTTCTATTCAACGGCGTGGCGTGGAAGCACACAGCAGTTAAAGTAAATTTTACATTGAACCTAAATGAACTAAAGGGGTAGTTTAGCCCATCAAAACCGCTGAAACAGGAGGAAACGTAACCTCGTCTCAGAAAGATGCTAGGACGTACGGACAGTGCGTTATGCCGCGGAAAGTCTCCACACGCGCAGCCACCTACTATCCAGTTATTGAGGAAAACGCAGAATTTTTTCTTTTTCCACCGCCCACTGGTTTACAATGGCGCTCCCACTACCTTTTTAGCGCTTAAAACTGGCTGATAACAATCAAAATTGTTCCACAACTGTGTTACCGTCCTCACTAAAGGAGAAATTTGAAACATTTACGGAACACTTTCAAACAACATAGTTGCTTCAGGGGTTACTCACATCAAAACCAAACTTGGATTCAAGCTAGGCGAGAAACTTAATCGAAGGAGAAAAAATTCATGAAGAAACGAACTAGGAAGGTATATATGAAAAACGAATTACAAACGTCACCTTGCTGGAGTAAAGACGGTAAACTGCACGGCAACGGGACGTCGTGATATACAGCAAAACAACACACCGCTGGACAGAATTTTCGCTTTTGTTCCTCAGCACTATAACAGTCTTTTGCTAATATTGAATCTTTAAAACAAAAACAGCAATGTTTCAGTTTACCTATATTTCCTTTTTTCACCCATTCCCCTCTAAAAATATCAAAATTAGAGCGCTTTTTCTTGTAGTGTCGTTCAGCCAAAACCAAGGTAATCAAAACGGCCAACAGAAGAAAGATAAATACCCTCCAACCTGTTTTAAGCGACACCGTATTAAGCGGTCACCCTGTGTTGGATAATCCCAAATTTGTTGCCCCTTAAACACTGTAATTTTACCCATTTAAACGGTCACATCTTTTGAGCAGGCGTGGTCACCTTTGAGTGAGTCCCAACGGCACGTTTTTATTGTCTTCACCTGTATTGAACGGTCACGTAAAGCGAAACCATTCAAATAAAATTAAGAATAATATTTCAAGTAAAATTTAATCAATATTCCTCTTCCGAAATCAATCTTAGCAGTATTTTTGAGCGACGTGTTTTTTTCTTTACATTAAGTAGCGTTTTTTATCTTTTTTAGCATTGCCCCTATTCTACGATACCTGTATTTAACGACCACCTTGCCTTTCCCCGTCGCTGACCGCTTAATACAGGTTTGACTGTATTACAAAGAACCAACGTTACTCAAAGACGTAGATTTATACACGTAAACGGCTTTGTGCGCCAAAAAATGTGAGTAACCACTACATGATGATAGATTTTGGGTCTAATTTGACCTCGTTCAACAATCACTTGAGGTAAAATCTTTCTTTGTTCGCACTAAAAACTGGGTGAAGAGGAAACGTAACTTACTTTTATTCATTAGGCGGTCGATGGATTCTTCTAAAAGGAACTTATATTCTTCAATAAAGTCCCCACTAATTAGAGGCTAAAATTGGAGAAAAAAAGACAGTTTTTGGCAACCCATTAACGGTTTTAGGCAAAAGGGTATCAACTCTGATTTCACCCACTTCTACACGCGATTCATGTAAATTCTATTAACAATATCAACTCATTTCCCAAGAAAAGAGTTATGAGAATACACAGTCCCACCATTTAGCGAGAAATCTTGATACGAGAGCAAATTCTCTCAAATAATTTGCGAGCAAAGGTGAGGCAACAAGACGAGACAAGTATAAATCAAATCCTTGAAGTTGAATTGTTAATAACACATAGCACCATTCCTAAAATCGCACCAGGCGAAAACAGATTTCGTAATTTTACTAAATAGTAAATTGTGGAATAAAGTAAGAGTTCACTAGACTTCTAGAGTACCGACAACTATAAAATTAGTTTCTTGATTAATAGTGGACAATCTGCGATGACAATGGGACAGATGTAGATTACTTCTTGTTGAGAGTTCACTCCCTTGTTACACTAAGCATACCTTCCTGCGCATGCGCATAGACATTCTTGAGAACACTTTCTTGTAGAATGTTACGGCCAGCTTCATCTGCCAGACAGAGCCTGGGTCGGGTTCATACTCCAAATTATGAACAATCTACAATCGAAACACCCGACAATCACTCATTAACAACACAAACGATATTTAACCACGAGAAAAGAAAGCTAAGCTTAGATATTGAATTCCCCAGAAACCGTGACGCATCCCGCCCCCTGTAGCGGTCTACAATACCTGCCACATGCGCAACAGTATCTGCAAAACTTCGGGTTTTTCCTCTGTAACAGTTTCCACTAGCGTCGATGCAATGAACGAACATAACCTCCTCTCCTGTAAAAGAGTAAATACATACGATAATCTTGAGTATATACACAACCAAAAGGCATAAAAAGAAGGCGACGTAGAGGAATTGAAAACCCTTCAAAACTGACGAAAGGCCTGCGAAAGTTGGTTCAATTACTTGCAGATTCAGTGAGCGTACACAACTCAATAAGGAGAAATGCTGGCTCTATGGGGAACGCTCTGAACACTTGGTAAACAGATCCGGGGTAGAAAAGGGGTGTCAAAAACTGTTGCCATAAGCGGCTGCCGATGATGTAATAGGCGGCTGAGCCGTAAGGTGACGCACAAACACAAGAGCTTACTGGAAAGCAGTGGTGAGAGGTTTTCAGGGGCGGCGGTAAACCGTCTTAAACCTGCTTTTCTGGAAACCCCCAGGTAAAGCCTTGGTCGGTCTTTAAGTTCCCTTCTTCGACAAAATACTTTGCTCACAGTGCTAATTAACCCAGGAGTAGAAACGGGTATCAGCAAACCGAAAGGGCATCAAAACGAAAGACTGGCTATGGAGGGGGGGGGGGGAGAATTTTTTCAAACTTCTTAAAATGTGGCGTTGTTGATGGTTCTGTTGAAACTACAGAGTGCCTCGCTCACCCTTTCGTTTGAGGGATCTTTGTCACCAAACAACTCCACCAGCGCTATGAGATTCGGATCTGATGAAAAGCTTCGTACCACTTCTATCTGGCATATAAGAAGAAAAAAATCAAAACATAATTTCTTGTTTTGCAAATTTGAGTACCCAAGACGGAGGGTACAGTGCACATCACCATCAAATACGATGCCGTAATATAAAGATTTTTGAAGCCCAGTTCCATTAAAATATTAAAACACACCTTAGTTTAGCTGGATATTATCATGAAAAGCAATACAACAAGCGACTTAGTATGAACAATTCTAAAGTGCCTTTTAAAATGAATAAGCTTTAAATTATACTCTTAAAATTTTAACGGGAAGGAGACCAAGTCGTAAATGCAAACAGGTCTCAGAAAAGTGGGAGCTACACAGCTTAACGTGTGAGCAATCAATAGTTTTGTTTCAACGAAGCGGTTTCTTACCTGGTCTGTTTGGGCAGAAAATGTCTTGGCAAGAATGTTTCGATAACCCTGGAGAGAGGACAGCAATGTTTCAGCAAAGTTAATTCTCCAGACACGTTTGCTGTTTATCATTAATTCTAGAGAATTCAAGACGCTTGCACAATAAAGCTTTCCACAAATTTTAAAATTCATCTGAAATTTTCAAGTCGATGAAGCTCAGATCATGTCAGATACGACATTGCTCATAGCTGAGACGCTTGTACGAATAGGACCATAAATATATCTCCAGTCGGGCTTTTTTTCAAATTACAAATTCAAATTACACCTGGCTGGATGAAACTTTGTAAGATAACGAAATACAGAATGCCTGTTGAGGACATACTTCAATTAAGAGTCATTTTATGCACTAAGTACCTGTGGATCGTCGGCATAAGATAAAAAACCCGTTCTTCTTTTAACAAATAAAGTTCCTTGACTGGCAGTTAGTAGACTGAAAAAAAAATTATAACAACTACAACAAACAGTTAAAAAACAGGAAACAGCAAAAATGAAAAAGAGAATTTGAACATCCACAGATTAGTACTTCGTCTACTTACTAAAACTATTGAAGCAAGGATGAGAGCAAACAACAAACTCTATTCCAACATCTTTTCAGTTGACTAAGGGACAAGTCCTTATTCATCACGGAAGGGGGAGAGGGGAGTGGCGAGGAGGGTTTTGGGGAGATCTACGGGTTCTCAGGGAGAACAGAGGGGGAATCAGGGGGGAATGTGGAAAATTGGCTCTGGCCAATGGAAAGGGGATAAAAAGAATATTATAGCCTCATAGGGGGGATCAGGTAAATCGTGACACAACCAAATTCCTCCAACTCCTGTAAATGAATAATGAGAGAGCTTTTCACAGTTTTACTCTGAAAAAAGTCTTACCTAAAAGAGTCCTTGCTTTCCGTCAAATTGATTGTGATTGGCCAATAACGTAATCCCGAAACACATATCTAGAAAAAGAGGCAAAAACGTCAAATGAGTATAAAATTGTTGCGACTCTAACGGAGGAATATAGTCTTAAAAAATAACGTCAGTTTAACAAGGAAATAAAGTGGGTTTTTTTTCTTTGCAAAGTTATTCCCGGTCAAAGATCTAAGCAAAGCCCAGTTTCGAAATCAAAGATACCCTGAAAGGTTCCCTTAAAATAACTGACGCTCCCCGAGAACGCTTCAAGTTCTTTTAGCTTTGACCTTGAAGACGTAAGAGAATGTACACGCCTTCTATAGGCTCAGTGTGACTTGTCAAGACTAGTAGCCTTAACAAACAAGTTGTGTGTTCAAGTGTGTGTTTGCCGGCCTACCTTTCTGATAAGCTGCAGTTCTGGTAGAATGCAAGGCGCGGTGAGTTTTAAAACTGTCTCTGAGTAAAACTGCGTTTCCTGAAAAAACGTTAAGATGGTGAGTTTAGGATCTCTGGGAATTTTAATATGAATAAAATTGAGGAAGACATGAAAAGGACAAAATAAGAACTAAAAAACTGTGGATGGAAAAGCGTTGTCAAAATTAGATGCCATGTTATCCTGAGACACAGTATGATACAAACAGATTTTAGATACATTCAATGCGGTTGTATTTCCTATACGAAAACCATGTGATTCCCCCAAAAATCCTACCACCCAACCCCCTCCCTGGACGGTATATGACCGGTCCCTAACTATTCGAAAATATGTTTGATATCGAAGGTGACAGGAAACAAAGGAAACTAGAATAGTCTGATATCGAGGCTGACAGGAAACGAAGGAAACAGGACAAGCCTGTCTATTCGTCCCCTTCGTTTTGATACACAAACCCTCGCCATTGCAGCTAAATTTTAATAGATCGAAGGTGGTTTATTAAGTAAAGGCCTCACCTTGAGCGTGACTTCAAGAGGAACATGACAGGCTTTGTTTGTGTCCACTTCACGAGGAACAAGGACTCGAGGCTCGGCTGCAAGTACGTACAAATGTCTGAACGCCTGCAGGTGGTACCTACAAAAATCAGAACAGTTTTCGACCATTTAAGTTTGGTATTTCTGTGTGCTCCTTGCTAAGAACCAAGAGAAAAGATAATTAGTCTGGGAAGTAGATAAAGAGGACATAAAACTAACTGCAACTTTACTCCTTCCTAGTGGCCAGTACCCTAATCGAGAGGTCTGGGTTTGGACTGACCTGGTCAGTGTGTTGTGTCCTTAGACAACCCAAGTTTATTAACACATAATATCTGTTATTGCATCAGCTTGAAAATGTTGGTCCACAGAATCCTCTAGTAGCTAGATCCTATCCTTCATACAGTGGCCTTCCCACAGTTGGATATAATGCTACAGTGCCTCCTGCAGGGTAGGGTGGAGCGTCACACCCTGCTCCCCCTACGTGTTTCAACTCCTCTGTTGTTCAAGGAATAGCACCACACGAGATGTCTTTCAAAAATGTTAACTTACTGAAGGTCGAGAGGTGCGGATTTGAGCTCTGACCAGGGTATTTTGGTGTGTTCTGGGGCCATACACTCGCTATCGCGATGCCTCTCTTAGGATCATAACTGGGTACCAACAAAACCGTCAAAGAAAAGGCTGACGAAATGAGTCCATCTCAGGAGGACTGGCCACACCCCTGACCACTTTATGATACAAAAAGCTAAAATAAACTACAGCGATGCAGGTGATAAGGCTCCTCAGCATAAATCTAGTCTCTCTAGCACTTACCAGTGCTTATAGTATTTTTAACTTACCGGTTATCAGTGCTTGAGATTGGAAATCTAGGATAGAAGGCGCATATCAACGCAGCAATGGAAGGTCCGTCGGTACTCAGAGTGAACCTGTATAACAATAATGAATGAACCTTACGGCGCTTTTTTAACTGAGTGTCAAAAAAAACCAAAGTACACAATGGCCGATCAGAACAAAGATAAACAATACAACAAGGCAATGAGAGCGTAAATTGAACTCTTTTCACCAGCATGAAGCTTGAGGAAACGCCAACTATCAAATCACAACTGGATTTAGTTTTGCATCAGACAGATTGAGGAGGTGGCGCGAGTTTTCTGGACCAATCAGTAGTAGCGAAGTAAAATGTACAATCTCGAGTTTCTTTCAACACTAAATTGACAATTGCTCAGTTTTGCAATTACGTTGCGGTAAAGTTCTTGAGGTAAACTGAATAATAAGCAAGTAATTCAGTTGATACCTTCCTGCACCCAAGAACAAAAGACCGATTGCCATATGAACAGCCATGTGACTCCCATACGGAACATCTGGGGAATGCCTTTTACGCAGCTGTCGAGCGATCCTAAGCACATCGAGATTACCAGTTCCCGCCATCACCTGCGAGCCGAGAGAAAATTTTGGACCAAAATAAGAAAATGCTATTTGACGAAGGGCTAGAATCAACCTTCAGTGGTCAATTCACATCATCAACTCGGTTGGTACAACTAAATTTTCCTGTTATATCCCACCGACGCAGCACCACAATTTCTTTTAAAACCTACACCCCTGACTTACTTAGCGTTCGAGTGTTTTTATACCAGAATACCCCAAGAATTTGGGGCACGCAGCTAGTGAATGTTGACACACTGAACTCAGGATTGAAGGGTCCAGGTTCGAGCCCTGACCAAAGCCTGGATGCATATTTCCGAAGTCTACCGAGACGATCACGTGGCTATGTTTCTATGCAACTTTTACAAAACTTACCATAGCCAGCGATAAGAGGATTGTGTTGAGGCACGTTTCAACTGTAGGCTTCCCAGCCTAAAAGTACAAATCACACGGTAGTAATTTTAACAATTATCAAAACAAGTTTAATTCAGTAAGGCTGTAGAAGGAATCCTCTCAAGACTCCCAAGACATAGGCCACGTAAAGTTCGACTAAATTGAAAGGGAGACACAGAGACCCTGCACTTATGCCAGCTGGGATTTCTTCGCGTTACTGATGGAGGGCTGTGTCACGTCTTTCCATGACAAGTTCCTGGCGGCAGGGAGTTAAATTTTTACCGTTTCCCATTTTAAGAGAATTAACATTACAACAGTTGTTATATTGATCTTGGAATTGGGAATGATAAGCACCTGTTCCACTGCACTGTTGCTCAACAAATCTTTACAGTATTTAGTGTAATGCATCTGAAAAATAAACCATAACACAAAACTTGAAAATAATCTGCAACTGAGCTTTATAGAGATATGTCTCATCGTTTTAGACCACATAAATAACTTGATCGTGTATAAGCGTTTGGCATGAAAAGGAAACATGATGGCTTTGAGAGATAAAGTGAATGAAGATCTACTGGGCAAGGGCTGTTTGTCAGTTTCCATGATGACCTCCTTATTAAAAAGGAGATTGCTGCCCTCCTCTCGCAACATTTACGGACCCTTCCGTCCAAAACTGTTGCACAAAAGAACAAAACTTGACAGATCCTGGTAGATGTAGTCAAATAACATCATCGTGCAAATGGCCGATGGTAAGTTCCTTTCCTACACATACCAAACAGTTGAAGGCTTCCTGATTAGCGGAACCAGCAAATCTTAATCCCATGGCCATGCAGCAACCGGCAATGATATTGATCTTCGCCTGACTAGATGAAACGAAAAAAACGAAAGCGTTTTTATTTTTACGAAACACGCCGCATAATTCGTCAGAGTAATTGGCCTGGCTCAGTAGAAAAGGTATATCGTGTGGTGTGATCTTCCTTAAAAAACACCGTTCCTGACAGTGATTGACATTTCATTTCGATAGAGCGATTTTCGATTCAATGTCGTAAAACCAAAACCAAAGTAATCATAACGTCCAATCAGGAGAGAGGAAAGTAAAACTAAACTATCTAAAGCGCGGGAAAACGCGGGTGACCGAGCCGTGATTTAGGTTTGCATCTGATTTGTCGCGAGAGTGGCGCGAGATTTCTTGACAAATCACAGAGCGAAGTAAGTCAAAATCAATGCAGTCTCGGATTACCATCGATGTCATTATCAGAGTCTAGAGGAGTTCAGATGTCACTATCAGAGTCTAAGGAGTCGAATGTTGTAAGTCGCTCAAAGGACGACTCAAAGGACAAAAAATACCACCACCTTGGCTCAAAAGACAATGTACGAGGTCAGCATCCGTCGGTTATCGAAAAAAGAGTAGTTGGCGTTATTGTGAATTTTTCTTGCGACTTGTGTGTAGTATCACAACCTAACGACCTGGGCAAGAACTTTTAAAGTGGACTGCATCTTAAGGAATATTGCAGCAGTTAATGAAAGATTTAAGAATAAAGATTACAGCACAAAATACATCTGGATTTAAAGCTAGAGCATTTTTCATGGTGGACCGTGCTATTCGCTTAAGTCATAAACTTTAGCAACTCAAGTCTCACAAATATCTCGCTAGAGGAAAAAAATCTCGCGAAAACACAGCACAGTAATAAGTAAGAGATAATTACCTCAGACTTTCCATGTCGATGTCTGAGTTCGCTGCTTCACTTTCAGCCGAAGTGGTATCGCACTGATGAACAATCTAGCAAAAATAAATAAATAAATATACCTCATGAGCTAAAATAGCAAATTATGTGACCTGAGACCAGGTTCAAACGGCGAACTCTACATGTGCAAACGATCTACCTATTTGGGTCCACCCAAATGATTACTTCGGCAGCTGATGCAAATGTTAGACTATTTCACATGTCAAACCACGAGATTATAATCTTTTGCTCAAACTTAATTTGCGGCAAGATCAGAACGATATTTTCCAGCAGCATACCTTGTGGGAAGAATACGTACGAAGAATACGAATATAAATCGTTAGCAAACAATTTCTTCGCTGTGATAAAAATTTGAACAGTTTTTGAAGTGTCCACCAGTCTTGCTCTCTTCTCATTCTTAATTCAATTAATGCCTTTCAGCTTCTGTTCTAGTTCTTGCATCCGTACATAAATTCGAGAAAGAAACATGGGTATATGCTCTTTATACAAGCTGTCATGACGTTTAAACCTCTGTACCGTGAGACCTGCCGAAGTGATCCCAAACCTACCGCAGGAATGTGGCTTTCCACCCAGTTTGTAGAGGGATGAATGCTATCCCACATGATCAGACCTCGACTAAGAAGCTGAAGAATTAATAAATATTGTTACCACAAGAAAGAAACCACAAAGACCACTGACAAGATTTCAAAATTGTTATAAGCGTCAATGGTGAAATAAGAAGATAAAACTCTTTTTCTGTCTGTAACTGAGAGAGCATTAACCTTGGGGATTTAATTTCCTTCCTTTTCCCATTACAAAGCTATTTTCTTTCATTTTCGTATTCGGCGAATCGAGGAAGTAACTGATCCTTTGTCGAGCATTTTGCGCAAGAGTTCTATTTGTTCTTCACCAAAACATTCCAGGAACCTCTAAAACACACTACTTCCGGGAGACAATATAGCTTGAGTCTGAAAATAACTTAAGAGATTACCTTTATAATAAGGTATATGCGAAGTGTCAGTCTCTTGGCTTTATCATCTCGTAGTATAACTTAAAGCAACTCCTAATAAATCTGAACCTAGCTTCCTCATCATCATAACAATCGTCGGTAGACAAAGCTTAAGGATTTAACACATCGAAACATTCTCCATAGAAATGCTAACGATCACAGCAACAGTGATCCCAGCGATCACTAGGAAATCAAGCTTTAGGGTTTTCAGACTTTACAACTGTGTTGGCGAGCTTAGTGGTGAAAGGTACAATGCAGTTGGCCGTGCGTGCTAAAGATAGCACCTTGAGCGTAAGGTCGCACGGTCGAACACTATCAAATTTTAGCGGATTGATGGGTTACTAACATTTTTTATATGTATAGGGATTCGCCGCGCGCGCTTCATACACAGCGAGCTCTGCTATTACACCTTACCCGGAGCAAGAGGAAATCTGGACGAATAAAATCCAACAGGACCTGAGTGTCGGGAGCGTCAAACCATGCTGCGACAGATCTAAGAGAGAAGTGTCTCTCATTAATCGAGATATGAAATCTTGTTACGATATTTGTACATCTTGGAGTTAAAATACTGACAAAACAAGTTAATCCCCAGCTGACCATAGCGATTAAAATTCAGTTCTTGGACAAATTGGCGACCAGCTGGTCGAAACTTTTGGAACTTTTTTTCTAGATTTAACACCAAATTCTTAGCACTAATTGATAAAAAATATACGGTATTCTTTTCAGAGAAATAGCTTTTAGATAGTAACTTACGTGTTTTTCGTCTTCATAAACATTAGTCCTAGAGCAAGAGTAGCACCAGGTCCCGTCACATTGATATTCACGCTATCACCTTCCTACGTGACAAGAAACAAAAAAAACTTACTTCAAAGACAACAGAACGTTTTTCTTATGAGTATCCTGAAACTGAAACCAAAACCAAAACCAAAACCAAAACCAAAACCAAAACCAAAACCAAAACCAAAACCAAAACCAAAACCAAAACCAAAACCAAAACCAAAACCAAAACCAAAACCAAAACCAAAACCAAAACCAAAACCAAAACCAAAACCAAAACCAAAACCAAAACCAAAACCAAAACCAAAACCAAAACCAAAACCAAAACCAAAACCAAAACCAAAACCAAACCAAAACAAAAACTAAAAACCAAAACCAAAACCAAAACCAAAACCAAAACCAAAACCAAAACCAAAACCAAAACCAAAACCAAAACCAAAACCAAAACCAAAACCAAAACCAAAACCAAAACCAAAACCAAAACCAAAACCAAAACCAAAACCAAAACCAAAACCAAAACCAAAACCAAAACCAAAACCAAAACCAAAACCAAAACCAAAACCAAAACCAAAACCAAAACCAAAACCAAAACCAAAACCAAAACCAAAACCAAAACCAAAACCAAAACCAAAACCAAAACCAAAACCAAAACCAAAACCAAAACCAAAACCAAAACCAAAACCAAAACCAAAACCAAAACCAAAACCAAAACCAAAACCAAAACCAAAACCAAAACCAAAACCAAAACCAAAACCAAAACCAAAACCAAAACCAAAACCAAAACCAAAACCAAAACCAAAACCAAAACCAAAACCAAAACCAAAACCAAAACCAAAACCAAAACCAAAACCAAAACCAAAACCAAAACCAAACTAATTGCAGCGGTCACTCAGGACGAAGAAAAATATTACAAAGAGTTAGAAATGTGAGGTTTTAAACGAGGGCTTATCAGAGAAGGAAGCTCCTATAGCAGCGTTCACGATAGATACAAATTCCTCCGCTAGGGCTGAAAAATTTTGCCCTGCCTTTTACCTAATTCATGATATCTTTGCAAAAAGAAAACATTGAATTATGTGCAATCACCTTGATTTGATAGCTTGGAGACTTGAACTTCTCTTTTTGCGTTCCAGTCTTCAGAGAAAAAAGAAGTTGAAGTGAATATCTGCGTTTAATAGATGTAAAAAACAAACAACAAACAAACCCAATGACAACTACAAAAAGAGATACAACTTTCTTAAAAAAAAAGTAAAACAGGAAAGGTACACTGAAATCTTGAATACATAACAAGAGGTTGTTAACTTTTCATAAATTAATATGTTTAAAAAAAAAAGTAAGCTAAATTCATAATAAAATCAGTCTAACCCATTTATTTACAACAATAGGTATCATTTTACTAAGCTGACCTGAGGTTTGGTTTGTCCACCGACCATGTAGTGATACAACTGGTCGGCGATCTTAAGGTCCACCACACTGGCTGCTTCGTTCCCGTGCTGAAGACACATACAAACATTTCAAAAGTTTAGAAATATGTGCACTTTCGTCTCATCACGAGTGTAGGACGAAGAAACAATTTTGAGCCCCTGTAAGGCATCGTACCTCAGACCTTGTGATTTGGTCTTATCGACTGAGTTGATAATGTAAATTTGCCTTAAAGACCAAATTATCCTAAATAACAAGTGGATTGGGCATAAGTTCAAACCATCAACCAGAAAAATGCTTTACACAACTACGTCCTCATGTCACATAACCTAACTGAATAGAAAGCAGATGAAATACCTCCAACATGACAAGTCCCAGAGCCAGACCAGCAGCAAGAGAATAAGATTCTCTATTCACAGCATTTTCCATTTCAGGACCGGGTGGTCTACCTTTAGAGCGAGATTTTGTTAAAAGCAAATCAAAAATTGACTAAAGTAAAATATATTATATACTTATTGACTGAGTGAGAGGACCGAACAGGATAACATTTGGCTTTGGGTCATGACGCGCGGACCGAGCACAGCATGATACGTGCGTCATGACTGAGAGCCAAATTTTTTCCCATTCGACCCGACCTGACTAAGTCAACACGCATTTCATCATATGAACGTCGCCTTCATTCATCTAAGGAGCAGACTTCACCATTAAAAAAATTGTAAAGTGAGTAAAGGAATTGAGAAATGAGTAAAATCCATCAGTTCATCACCTATCTCAGAAAGAAGCACCTCTGCCATTCGCCTCTGTGCAGTGCCTTGGTATAACAGACCCACTCCTAATATGGCGGCTACCTGTGCTGAATGATGCAGATCAAGTTCTGCTGACGTTGGAGGCAGAAGGGCGTCGATATGAATGCTCAGCATTTTAGTAATGGTCACGTCCATTGTTCCTCGCCTACAGGCCAGATACAACATTCATTAAACTACGCAAAGGTTTCGAAATAATTTGCAGTAGGATAGACTACTTACTTAGCAGCTGCCGTGCCAAGCAAAAGCGCGACGGTTGTAAGTTCGTGTCCCTAGTGGAGAAAAGAAAGTACACATTAAATAAACAAACCAGCAACAAATTCTTCTATTACAGTAAATGGTTTGAATGAAGCCGTATAGTGTCATCGTCCAGATTAGGGCAGTCTTGGGAATAATTTCTAGCCAGGTAGGGTAGTAAGTAACTTGCACATTTGATTGGCAGACGACCTTGCGCATGATCTGGTGACGACGTCTATTCGATGATGATATCTCGTTGTTCAGCATCATGTTATATTTGTAATTCTATTTGGAAAGATGCGTATGAATTTGGAGTTTCCCCTTTAGATCCTTGCTCATTAAACAAATTTGGCGCGCGTTGAGGTCTGTCATTTCGGTGGCATTTGAAATTTCAGTCAAAAGTTGCGATTTAAAGATACTGAAGCCTACCAGGAGTGGATGAGAATGAACTACGTGACATTCTGCGAAATTTTGACCGCCACTTTAGTCATTTTACCATATGCCATTTCGGTTTGAGCCCATTTTTGGCAAAACTGCTGACCGAAAAATTATTACTCACTATCATCCGCTCGTTCAAACGGCAATAACTATCATCAAGTATTATGTCAAAATTGAACATGTCCAAACCACATGATAGTTGATGATAGTCGATGATAGTCAAACTATCACCAACTATCATAACCGTTTGGACGGGGCTTTAGAGTCTGTCTGCGCTAATCTGCGCTCCATTCTCGACATTCATAAAACAGAGGGCTTAAAACGAACATTCTGTCTAGCAATCGCAGTTCCTGCATTTGTCGCAGGACAGCAATTTGTGTCTTTACCTGTTGTGCCTTACCAGGTCTTACCTTTCACAAGCAGTCCAGTAGGTTTATTGTGTGTGACATGAAGTGATGTTGTTACTTACAGTATCTTATAAGTTCTCACCTTACACAAATAGTCATGTAGGTTCATGTGAGACAAATTTTTAAGGTGGCCATTGAGTCCAAGAGCCATAAGGAAACCAGCATGTTCTTCTGATTGTTGATTGGTTTTAGGTTTGTTGTAAACGATCCAGGTACTGTCGATCTGTTAAAGCATATAAAGAATCAAAAGGACTTGAACAAATTTCCTTCATCAAGACTTTGGAATGTGGTTGGATTGGACACCTGTATATCACGGAAGAAGTGATGGCAACAGATACTTATACGAAACTTTTCTGAGGGAATTCAGTAACGACGATTCAAGAAATTGTAATAAATCATGATAGCAAATCTATTCTCCCCGTAACCCGTTTGAATCAAGCCTCCTCTTGGCTGTAATAGGTCCAATAAGAGTAAGATCGACGCGAAAGATATGCAAGAATCAGAATTTCCGACTCTCATTCCACGATCTTGTTAACTCGTAAGACACTGACGCCTTCATAATACCAGATCTACGTCGCTATTTTGTATTTTTGAGAAAGAGATTTCATTTTACAAATCCAAATGCATCCTCTTCCTGAGGATGTAAAAGTGCACTAACAAACTGTGACGCGGTCAAATATCCCCAAGCACGAGACGCAGTACTGCCTTTAACCATTAGTACCCTAACATCAGTATCCAAATTCTCCATACTCTTCTCTATACATTTTATTTGAGACTAACAAGGAGAATTCAGTTAACAATCAAAAGCTTCTTAGGTTGCTGATCATTTCCTCGTTATCACGATCTCAATGACTGATTAAGCAGTAGCGCTGTAAGGAGAAATTACATGCTGGTTTCTTTTAGGGTTAGCTATATGCTAAGAGGTCAGGCTTAATTCTGGAAGAATGAACCAGTTACGTATCACCTGCTCTTCCAATTGGCACACTGATCCGTCCTGTTCGAACTAAATAAAGACAACTACTGTCGGTCTTCACACCTGTGATATTCCTTGCGCAATCCTGAGTCCCGTAGCTACTCCGTTATGGAATAGCGGCCACATCTTCATGTCTGATGGAGTTTCCACGTGTTCCAAACCAACCGTGGTATTCCTAGAATTTATAATGATAATTGAACTGAGTGGAGTGCAATTTGGTCTTTGGTAACCCTAAGCAATTGCTGAAATCATTCGCCTGATTTCAAAACCGAACGAGTGCATAGCGTGAGTTTGATTTGAAATCACAACTGTGATTTTAGACTGAAATTACACGACACGAAGTGCAGTTATCACTAACTAATACAAGACAGCTCACCTAGGCGGGGCCCGTCCTGTCAAATCCAGTGGTGGAATTGGAATAGTTTCGGTCAGTACTGGTCGAGAGGTGGCCATTGTAAACATCCCTCTTCAAAAGAAAACAGATTTCATGTGAACACAACGATCCTACGGCGATACCTCCGAATTCTAACGCACTTTTTTCACAAATAACTCAACGTAGGTCACAGATAAGACAAAATACGAAGAGCAAAAATTTGTCCACACCTTCCGACAGGTAACGCCATGGTTCTCTTGCACATCAAAAGTAAACGATTTTCTTGCTCCTGAATAAAATCATGGTCACTGAAAATGAAATTGAATCGTGCCACTATTAGTGTATTTGACTGAGGCTGTGGTCTCTTACCCAGTCCTAAGATAAGTGCCATGTTTAGCGATCTATTTTGCGTTCAGCTCTTCATAGTTAAAACAAAATTAAGCGGAAAAAAACCAGGAAATCTGGCACATCCAACATAAAAAGACCTCCACACGAGATGAAATTGAAACCTGGCGACACGACACGGTAATATGTTGTGATAACAGTGCGACATGGAGCCGGGATTCTTGAGAGAATCTTTTGCCCTGATAGTCTCTGGAATAAGAAGCAATTTGAATTTGAGCGTACGATTGCAGAGACCAAATAAGACATAATGCCTTGTTTAAGAAGAAATACGAATGAAGCAGTTGGTCGTGAAGATTAATGCCCAGTAGCCTGCGGGGAAGGCACTCCGCGAGAACGACAGTAAAACACGCGCGAGAGATCAAACACCCGGGAAAAATCTCTCTCTGAACTTTGCGCGCCTGACTTCTCTCTCGCACGTATCAGTTGAATCACTCGCATCAGGTTAAATAGAGGGTCTGCTGCGAGGGCTAAATTACCAAGAGAGTCTACTCCGTCAAAGATAAATAGCAGAACGAAATTAGCAGACCCACACCGGACAGAGGAAAACGGCTTTTCAACTCTATATTACACATACAAAAGTCATATTGGACAGGCAAGTGTGGAACTGGCACACAGCACTCATAGTGTCGCGACTGTGACATCTGAAAATGACACAAGGCAGCCAGAGTGATACATGAAAGTTTAATATGACATTGAAAATCGAGAGTTATGTTGATATGTGACAATCATACATACCTGACATCAGGCTTCTGTAGAACATTCACTGTGACAGGTTTGGAAGACTGGAGCAGTCTTTTCATCTCCTGGACTCTCAAGTCTTTACCAAAGCGCAAGCGGAGTATCTGAAAAACAAGGCCAGTCGAATTCAAATATAGGAAACATTATGTAAGTCTGTACTGGAGCCAAGTGACTCACCCAGCCGGAGTTTATCCCAGTTACTGCAGCATGAAGCGACTAGAAGTATAACCACTCCTCCCCCCTCTACATGGAATGCTGGTCCATCGCAAGGTTACCCCCCTGCATTTCGTCCGCTTTCCCAGACAGTAAGCCCGTACCCATTCATACTCCTGGGTAGAGAGAGGCACTGTGAGAATGAAGTCTTTTGCCCAAGAACACAACACAGCAACTCGGCTTTGTCTCAACTGGAACCAGGTAGTTTTGACCCGGAGTTCAGCGCGTTAATCGCTGGGCCACCGCGTCTTCGCACATGATGCACGTGAAACATAAAAATACCAGAGATTATAGCTAAACATAACATCCTCACCTCGTCATCTATATTAAATCCGTCATCTATTTCTCCATCTTTCAGTGTTGCTTTCTACATGACAAAAAGACATAAATTTACTGTAGCACTTAAGTGACACTATCTCTCTTTTAAAGCGAGGAATTTGCAAGAAAAAGTAACTTGCTGACAAAATTAACTCAAAGAAGCTGCGTCAAAGAATTTTAAGGAAATTGTTGCATGAGGAACTTTCAATATTACCTTCTGATTAACGGAAACTACAGAAAATTAGCATGATAGACAGAGGAACACCAAAGAGGCAACAACAAGCCAAAAAGAAAAATACAAATTCAGTTAAAATTGCGACTTAAAGCTCAATGACTATGGAAAAATCGAAAGTTACTGCAGCAATTGGTCTAAAAGTGTCCAGATACCTTCAGAGGGATGTAAGTATTTAGTTTTTTTGCATCTGTCATTAGCATGGAGGCAAGATCTTCACGGCCTAAAGTAGGAAAAAATAATTAATGAAATCTTCACTAGCTGAATAACACGTAATAACTTTCATTCCCCACCCCTAAAAACGAATTTAAGGCCGTGACTCTATCCCCCACATAGAAAGCACCACTTGACACAATTATTTACCAATGAGCTGGTAAGCACCAGCTGGAAGAGTTAGAGGTGGGTCGTCTGCGGACTGGTGGAGAGCTTCTCTGATTGGCAGAGCGACTCCAAACGGCAAACAGTCGATGTCTTTACGAGTCAAACCTGACAGTAGATGGAAGAATATGGAAGTAACACATCAAACCACAATATGGTAAAGGCGGATAAAAGATTCTATAGAATACAGTGGTTACCTTATCCACAAAGCAACACCATGATAAAAAGTGAAATCCGTACTCGCGCCAATTGGCTCACTCAGACGGAGCTTACCTTCCTTAGCATGAAGTAAATTGGAGTATTACTACTACCCCTTAGTGGGATTTTGGTCCATCACAGTCTAAACCCCCTCCCCCCCTCCAGCATTCAGGCTTCCCTAACAATTTGCCATTTGTTTCGGCCAGATCTCGAACCCAGACCTCTTCACCCGCACGTCACCGCGTCTTGCACATGGTAACGGAAGATGATAGAAATGTAACAAAAACAGTGGTTACCTTACCCATCAAAATAAACTATAGTAAAAGACCATAAAATAATTCTCAAAATTAGGGATGGTTTCCTTACCACTGCTCGCGAGGAATGCGACCACTTTATCAGCATCAGAATCAAAACTAAAAAATAAAGGTTCTCATAACTAACTCTCCCTTTTGGTTTTTATACGTTTCTTTCTTCTGAAGCTAAGAGAATTTGATGTTTCATCAAAATAAAACCCTGTAATGATGATATGGTCTACCTTCAACACCTGTCTATTAGATAATGTGCTACCAATATACGAAGTTTATGATAATAATTACAATAATAGTAATAGTAATGATAGTGATAATAATGATGATGATAATAATAATATTAATATTTATAATAATAATAAAAGGAATAGTGCAGTGGACATTTCATAAGCTGGCTCTTCTTCTCCTTCAATTGCTTCCTAAAGTTAGGGTTTTAAAAAACAAAACCCAAGAAAAGTTACTCGTCAATCTTACTGCACCTTTGCACGTGCAATATAGTTCTGCCTGTAATAAGCAAAGATCGCATTTTAATCTTACCACCTAAGCTTCTCCTGTGTGGTTACAAATGATTCCTTGAAAGTGGCAATCACCTCTTCTACAGGAAGGAAGGTCAAAAGTTGTAAATTTTAACATCCTTATCTATCCGAGTAGATGGTCAATTAATGGGCGATGAAATTTTGTCAAAGCCTACACTTTTAAAGTTATCCTTTCAAAAGTAAAGATCAAGGCCCATTTGCGTACATGATCCCAAACGCATCGACACAACAACCTGTGTTGCCATGGTTGCAAACAATATAGGGCGCGCGGAGACTGGAATCGTAGCGGGAAATTTTATGGGAGTATTACATAGTGTAGTAACCAACCACAAATTCAACCAAATCTTTTTGTGAAGAATGAACAATACAACGAATTTTCGCCACGAAAATTCGCCGCATAGAACGAATTTTCGCTCGAAATTTCGAGTCGCATTTACGCCATCAAGGAATTTGTCGCCGAAAGTTCGAGCCGTTCAAAACAATACATGCCTCGAAAATTCGCGGAAATGTCGTCGTGTCGATTTCGCCGAATTTCGTCGACAGGTGTTTGCATTACTTTTTCGTGATGCGCGTTCTACCGGATAGAGATTTATCGATTGCATAGCGTTCTTCTCGCCGTTAAAACAAATATTTTAGTTATGCTACAATAACGAGATTGTAAGAAGATACCTGAATAGCTGATACATTTGAACAATTTGTCTGCATCATCTTCAAGGTTGTTTTTGTCTTCTATGTTGTTGAAAAGTGAGTACAGCTTTGACATAAATAAAGCAAAACAAATAACAACATTAGGGGGCAAAAAAAACTGCGCAAAAAAATTATATGAAATGAATACAGTATACGGTAGAAAGTTAGATGAAAGTAAAGCTTGAGATTAAATCAAGCTTGAATTGGATATAGCCTAAGATCTTCCTGTGGTAACAGTGCAGTGGGTGCATTGCTAAAGATAAATGAGTTATTGGATCCTGTTCAAAGTTATGTAAGCTTTTATCAGGTAGCTATGATGATCATTCGTCCATTAAAGAAGAGATAAACCATCCTCACCATAATGATATTATACGTGTGCTTGGTAGTTCTTGGTAGCACAGGAAAAGGTTCAACCTGGTGTTTGAAGCAGAAGAACGTCAGTTTCATTTTCAATTGTCTTGTCCGTAAGAACGAAAGATTCATTCCACAACGTTTCGGTGTCATCTCTCTCTTACCGGGTGTCCATTAAGAAAGTTATACAGCCATTGGATTATACTGGGAGGCTTCTCACACAGAGGAAGAAACATCTCACTCTGCTGGTCTGTAACAATACCATAAAAAAAATTCAGCGTTTGGAATAAAAGAATTCTCAATCATATAAGTTGGGATGGCCACACACATCTCATCTCAAGATAGCGGAACTCATGGCGCGCACGGCGAAGCACCATACCTCTAACGATGTGGTAACCCATCAAGTCGAGAAAATTTAGTCATGCTTCACCTAACGTTTGTCCATAGGCCCGTTCGCGCAAGAAGCAATTGTTATAATGCGACTCGACAACCCTCTCTTTAACTGATTATTTCAATGATGACTTGGTTACACGTTTCAACGCTTTCCTCCATTGATGAGAAATCGCACTAATCTAACATAACCTTCGATGGTATTCTGAGCAAGTCGTAAACCTGTGAGATTTCGACTACGTCATCAAAGTTAGTTGTGCACATTCATCAAAGATGCAAGATGGCCCAGTATGTTGTTACGTTATCACATTAAAGTGCAGATATGTGCTATGTTGCTTTTTGATATTTTTCCCAACACTATCTGTTATCTTGCATGTTACACAAACCTATGAATATTATTTCATAATTTCTCTAAGTATGAAACACAATTCGCAGGCTCGTGAAGCGTTTTACCTCTTGTGATATGGGCAGGACTATCCCGTGAACCAAGGAAAAGAGAAGGAAAGTCCCTGCAGTAATATTCAACATAAGCATGCCAACCAAGAGCTCTGCAATATCAAGTACACGTAAAGCTTATCACCACAAATGTTCCTACAGGTTTCTTGATTGAAAGAACAACTTGAAAAGGTCAGAAATCATCTTTGTGTATCTCCCGACTGTTACTTTTCCAGTTAACCATAATTGAAGAATAAAACTCTACCACATTCATTATTTCACTTGGATGTGACGGGCCACAGGCTCACTTCTTAGGTGAAAGTAACGGCTAAGTTGAAATTGATTGCCACTGGCATTAGCATTAGGCAATTGATAGATTGTCCTTAGACCACCCTCCAGTCAGTCCCGTGCAAAACTATCAAATTCATTTTTGGCTGCTTTTGAGAGGGCAGAAATAGAAAATGAAAATCGAAATTAAAAGGACTTAAATTAATGTTTGATTAGGACTAATAACTCACAATGCAAGGTCACAAAGAAACTGAGCCATAGGACACAGGGAATCCTTCCCCAGAATATTTAATTTGAGGTCCTACAAAGTGAGGAAAAATTTTAAAAGTAAATTTTAGGCAATGACAAAATATCAATGTAAATTCCAAGTCTAACAAGTCAAAAATACCTCATAAATCAAATGCCACGCAAACAATATGGAGGAAATGTGGTTATGAAGAAGGGCATCTTTTTGAATTCTAAGTAGGTAGAAATAAACATGTTTATTTATTTAATCTGAACAGATGTTCCTTCACTGATTTGTGAAAAAAACAAAATATATATCATTTAAGTTTGTCTCCAGTCAGTATTTACAAAGTTACAAAATACTACGGTCCAACTGATACAATGTGCTTCTGAAACAGGCCATCAAGGATTTCCCCAACGCTCTCTTTGCTCAACATGTTAATCCAATAGATACCAATACCTGCTCATCAATATATACTAATACACATACTAATACACATACTAATCAAATAGATCTTGTGGGAACTTCATGCTTAACCTAGACGTGATCTTTTAGTTGCAAATGAGCAAATTGAGACCTTTTACTGCACAAACTTTATGAATTTGTGGCTCACAGGCAGTCTGGGTGCAGTGTACTTAAATAATCTACATGAAAAACGTATCACAGAGAGTCAAGACGGACGAAATTTTGCCAGCGCACGCTCGCGTTTGGTAATTTGCACTCGTGTTACAACTTTGCACTCGAGTTTCACGAGAAATGCACTCGTTTCCAGCCAAACACACGAGCGTAATTTTTTTCACGTATATCAATAGGTGATACGTTGTTGTGTTTTTGTCTCTGTTGGGCACAAGGTCAGCTGTTACAAGCAAAATCCCTGGCTTAGAAAAACTGTCTAAAGTTGTATGGTCACTCACTGCATAGGAAAGGAATGCTTCTCCTCCCCTGGGGTCTCTTTGTTTAACAATGGTGGCAGTCCAATGCCTTGCCTTGACATGTTTTGATGAAAGTCACTCATTGTCAACATTTCCCAAGCCTACAATTTAATGCACATGAAATGCAAAGATTTCATCATGAGAGAGTGTACTGATATCTTTATGCTAGAAGGAATCTTCCATTACGGCAAGAAGTTGCCAGGACCAAAATGAACCAACACTGGATACAAACACAAGAAATATTGATGTGCTGCATTCCTCAGTAAGCACGATTTTGGATTGTATGATGTCATAAAGTTGCCATTATTACAATCAAACAATAGATCTTTTTTTCAAAGAGTACTGAAAGTATTATGCAGACAAAAGTGACAACCATGAAGTGTCATTTCATCTTCCATGGTGGCAGGTTCAAAATTCAAGTTTCAAAAGAACTACCGGAATTATTTGTTTCAACTTTCTCTGATACTGAACACTTTATTCCCATTAATGCTCTCAAATTTAACTTTAAGAATTATTTGTTCCAGAAGTGGGGAGCATGAGTGGGAGTGAAAGTAACAGTGTTAGATAGACACAAATAATGTCATTCTAAGAAGGGTTTACATGATTAGACATAAAGCAGATTGGTACACTTAAGAGGTACCCATTAACCTCTGCCCATCAGAGAAGAGAACTTTAGTAACACTTTAACTATACGTTTTCCTTGTACCTGGTCCTCTTCCTGGGTTTTTGATTTTTTAGCTGCAGGCAATTCTGGTGAGTCACTCTGAAAAAAAAAAAAAAAAAAAAAGAGCAAAATAATATTTTTAAAATTACTAGGCGAAGACAAACTGGTAGTTCTAAGATCAAAAGTAAAGTTTACCTCAAATTCTCCTTAATTCACCTTTTCAGGTATTGACTACTTTCAAAGGCAGCTAGCAAGTTGTAATTTCTTATGAAAACTCTGGATATGTAAGATATGGAAGATTAATGGCTGATGTGTCAGGCTCTTAGTCAGGGTCTTGCTTTCCTGGCCAGGTCATTATTATTATTATTTTCTTGGCAAGACTCTCTACTCTCACAGTACCTCTTTCACCCAGAAGAAAAAATGGCTTAACTTTTAGAGAAACATGGTTTAATGTTATGGACTAACAGCCCATTTGGAAGAAGTAGCCATACTTCTTAATACTTCATGCTAGAACAACTGAGATTAGCCCCAGTGCCTTATGGATGCCCCCACAATATGGCAATTAATTACCTTAAATTTGTCCTCAGTTTGAAACCCCATTAACTCCAAGACACACTTTGTAAACCACTTCCATTCTTGTTCACTATCTTGCAAATGAGGGACTTGGGCCACTGCATAACAGGCCAGTTGAGCCTGAATCACCAACAACCCAGGAAGAATGTACTTCAAAGCTTCTAAACAAGCTGTAACTGAGCATACAAAAGAAGCATTTAAGAGAAGTCAAATGCAACACAGTAGATTTGGTGCATACTTTGACAAAAAGTTTTGTGTACTAACCTGCCAAGTTTTGGGACAATATTGGAAGTTTAATTCTGTATATTGATCCATCTGACAATACCTACAAAAGGTGAAAATTTTTATTTATTTGATTATTTAATCAGGTATATTTGAGAGCTAGGAATGTTACTCTATGTAATTGACAGATGAGGTTCTCAAAAATTTATCACACATGAGTTTGGCTTTAGTAGCCAAACAATGGTACAATTTTTGCGACTATACCCTTGCCATTTACCAATGGCAACTAATTCCTCACTGTTGTCTAAAGTTCAGATTGGTAGAGCATCAAACTAGAAAATCAAGTCAGACTCTATGGTTTGAATTCTTCTAGAGGATTGAGGTAATTGCCAGTGGTGTAAGTAACCAGTATTGTAAATACTGTAAGTTATGTATGTAATTAGCCATAAGTAATAATTATAGTGTATTGTCATTAATGCAAGTAAGCAGTATTGAAAGTAATGTATTGTATTACATTGTACTCTTGAGTACTGTAAAATTTATTAGTATTATTATTAAAAAAAAAATAGAGGATTTAGACTCTTTCTCTTCTCCTGCATTCAAACTAATTGCTAAATGTCTGTCTCCTCTTTTTCTTCCCAACTATCATTTCAATTCTGTGGTTAAAGCATCAAAAATCAATATAATAATGTGATTAATTACCAGATTACAAGTTTCAGACACTGGATCTCTCAGTGATAAAATTTTCACATCCTGTAATGCATTTCCCAGTGATGGTTTACCTTCTACATCTATGGCAATAAAAAGGCAAACAAGACCATTTAATTCTGTACTTATAGGCAATATCAAAAGTCATCAGAACCAATGTACATATTTCTGTTAACTCACCATCCATGTTAACTTCATTGTTGCTCAGCTTAATTGATGAAAATGACAAAACCTGTTGAGATGATGAAACATTCACTGACATAGAATCAAGAAAATGTGAATCAAACATTCTCTGAACAAGAAAATGTGAATCAAACAAAGAAAGATTATCTCAAAAAGTTGCAAAATGACCAAAAGGCAAAATAGAAGGGCTGGAAAAACTTAAAGAACCACATACTATCGAGCCACTGGAAATATGTAGATGACCTAACAATATCCGAGGTCATCCCATCAGGCGGTACATCGTCCCTTCAGAAAGATCTTGACGCCATTGCACAGTGGTCGTCGCGCAATAATATGAACCTCAACCCAAAGAAGTGCAAGGAACTTGTGATTTGTTCGCTTAGAACACGGCCAGATCTTGGCCCTTTGTGCGTCAATGGACGTCCCTTAGAACGGGTCTCCTCACACAAGGTCCTTGGAGTCACTATCAGCGACACTCTTGGGTGGAATGAGCACGTGCGTGAGATTGTCTCCAAAGCCTCAAAACGTCTTTACATCTTAAGAGTGCTCAAGCGGTCCGGAATTCCACCCGAAGACCTTATTAACATATTTTATGCCTTGGTACGATCGGTCCTCGAATACGCCTGCGTCACTTGGTCTACTAGCCTACCAATTTACCTCAAGGACATGATCGAAAGAGTCAGAAAAGAGCTCTGCGTATATTATTTCCGGCGCTGAGCTACAAAGACGCCATTGTGGCTGCAAACTCCACTCGCTTAAATGTGAGAAGAGACGAACTCTGCAAGAAAGTTTGGGACGGTATCTGTGTGCCTGGGTCACGGCTGTACCACCTTATTCCACCAAAGCGCGCCGATTGCCACGTTTATGAGTTGCGCAACAAAAACCATGTATCACTCTTTAAATGCCGGACCGAAAGATTTAAAAAATCTTTCTTTCCAACAATGGCGTCTAACGCCCAGTTCTTGTAGTCAAGCAAACCTAAGCGTTTTTCATTGGTATATAACTACTGACTCTTGTAATTCCCAGTCCCCTTAGACTCTTAATTTTAAAGTCAAATGTAAGATTTTCGTATTTTTTAAATATTTAAAGTATACTTGTAAATTCACATGTATTTCACCACTGGGGTGCTATTTTTGAATACTTTTAATAAACCCTTCTATATACTGAACAAGGCTTTGACATTGGGGTACAAGTACACATGCCCTTGCTCTCGTTGCCTCCCAGCTTAAAAAGAGTGGACAAATCATATCCAAAACAGTGAAACTTGCTTCCAGATGACAGAGCAATTGAGTGTCAAAAGTAATTCAGGATTGCTTTGGATTTGCTTCTTTTTTTTTCGTTCCATAGTTTTTCAGAAACTTGTGCCACTTTAAGATTCAAAACCAAAACTAACTGCTTCAAAACTTAGTCACCTGCTCTTTCCCACACTTGGGGCAGTTTGCTTGTTTTTACTGCGAGTTATAACAATATTCCAATATTCTCATTTTTATGGTTGGCTGTTGCAATTGCTTTGGTTTTGATTTCATGACACTCAGTCATAAAGTGCATTACTACACTAGTATAGAGATATAAAGGTACAGCAGCATCCAAGAATTCTTGCCCCCAACTCCTTAATAATTGTCCTTTCCTTTAGAGTCCATATAAGTATCTCAAAATCCCTGACATTGAAAAAACTAAAAAGCAATCAATAGTCTCTTTACCTTCTCAGGTGTATTGAAATGCAATGATTGATCAACTTCCAACAATGGCAAAATTGGCAAATTTACTTGACAGCCCTATGGGTTTTACAGAATGTATCTGTCAGTTTTGTTAATATTATCAATAATCTAAATGACTAAAGAAATGCAGATCTTAATGAACGAATGAGCAAACATGGACAATTTATGTCTGCCCCCAATTCAAATGGGAGTCAAAGGGAGGGAGGTCCTTCACAGTATCGACCATTAACCTCTGGAATAAGATCCCCAGCGAGATCAGAAACAAACAGAATCTTATAGGCTTCAAGAAATCTATGTTAGAACATTTTGTGAATAGTTATAAAGACTTTTGTCATGTAATTTTAAATCATGTTGTTTCATTTTAAATTTCATATTTTATTAACTGGCCTTATCTTTGCTGTTTTAATATACAAGATAGTTTAAATTTTAACTTTTATATTATAGTTGTATTTTAATAACTCCTTACATGGTTAGTCTTTGATGCTTTCATGTAATGTTAATAGTTTTTAAATTTGTACTATTTATTGAGGGCCACTGGTTCTTCAGTATATTTACTGCTTTGCGTAACCCTCATTAGATAAAGTTGATTATTATTATCATTATTATTATCATTATTATTATTATTATTATTATTATTATTATAATTATAAAGGGGGTGAGTTTCTAGAGAAGCTGTGGTGCTGTGTCAGTGGGAGAGTATAATGGGGTAATTTGGTATTATCAACTGAGTTTATATCATAAATTGACCACCGTCAAGAGTTGAAAAGCTGAAGTTTCGAGCATTAACCCTGTGTCTTTTGCCCTGACAAAGGGCTAACACTCAAAACGCCAGCTTTCAAACTCTTTACTATGGCCAAATTACATATCAGCTCAGTTGATAACATCAAATTATGTCACTTATCTAAAATTCAATAAACCACTCTTTCGGTACCTTAATCATTCCACTGTAAATGACTAGTGAATAATTTGGCTCCAGAACAAGCATCACATTTAATTTCTATAAATGAGAAACAAAATTCCACTGATAAACTTTAGAAAGTTAAACATAACAGAGGGTACTATCACTTGTTTTACAACGTCACCACATGTAATGTAGGTGATAAACTGAATTATAGACCTATTATGATTGGTTCTTACCTTATAACTTATTAATAGTACAGTGAGTAAGGACTCAACTGTTTGCTGTTTAGTGCTAAATTGACGGCAGACATGCAAGAAGGAAAATGTGAACAACCCCATTTACTTTACACTGTTACCTCAACTGGAACAGCATCCTTAGCAGGAATCTCAAATGTATTGTTCAAATCTACACAGTCCCTCTCCTGAATAACCTGAACCCCTCTGCAAAAGTGGGCACAAAAATGATTTAAACTAAAGTATGAACATACTGATGAAAATGCTGATGAAAATGACTTGGATCAGTGATTTCATCACCTTTAAGCTTAATTTGACACAGGAAGCCACTTTTAACTGAACTTCAGAAGACATTGAATAGGTTATGGTCAGACATTTTTCAGTTCTGCATATTTAGCTGAAACACATACCTGTAATATTGATCTTAACTTTTGTAGATTCATGTATTTATTAAAATTCCAAATTCTGCATTAGAGTGTGTAAATAAGTGATAAGTTTCACTGAACAAGAGCCATTACCTTAATTTTTCTAACTGCCCAAGAAGGTAACAAAGAAATGTGGCACCAGATTTGTCTTTTGTTAAGAATGCTTTGGAAGCTTTCCCTTTTGTACCATATCTAGAATTAAAACAGGATAAGGTAAAATTGGCATTCACAAAATAACTTTAAATCTCTCTTTAATTGGGGCACAATTTTCAGACTTATACATGAATAAAAGTATAACAATTGAAAACAGATTAATATTGACACACAGTCAGTGGACTCTGCACCAGATGCATGAAACCTATTGAAAAGTCCCAATGCTTTCCTTTTGAGATCACTCGCTGCTCCCAAAAAAGCACAACTTACTGATTCAAATCCCAATCCAAAAAGAGTATATTAAGAGTATTATACCTGACAGCCACTTGTGTTTCTTGCCAAACCTGGGTGAGGCAGACATCTGGGGACAATGGCTGAAAGCTGTCCCAGGATGATTCTTCTTTGCTTGAAAAGAATGACATGGGTGGGGAAAAGAAAGGAACAGGCGACCTCAGTCCTACCCTTACTGGAGAATCTACAAAACAAAAGTTTACCAAGTCTGCTAGCCTTTTACCATCAAGAGGTTGCTTTACTTTCTTCAGCATGAAGGAATTAGGGGTATTACCACTCCTCAGTGTGGGAGACACAGCCTCCGAATGGTTAGCATGCTTGCCTGTGGGTTGAGAAGTCTAAGCTTGTGTCCTAGCCACAACATTTGTTTTGTTCAAAACACTCAATCTACTCTGACAGTGCTTTTCTCCACCGCAGAGTATAAATGGCTATTGGCAAACTGTTGAGAAAGTCTGTCAAAATGCTAGGGGGTAAGTCTTGATGGACTTGCATCCCACCCATGGGGGAGTAGCCATACTCCCTTACCCTGGGGATAAGCTTGGGCTGGATGGGCCATTCAGCTTAAGTAAATAACAGACTTTCAAAAAAAAAAAGAAAAATTCAGTACTTGAGCCCAGTGGCCCACCCAGCCAGAGCTTATCCCTGCCGGTTACCTTAACATGAAGTGACTAAGAGTATTACTACTTCCCCCTGCGTGGGATGTTAGTCCATTACAAGGTTACCCCCTTCCCTCCCTCCCCAACCAATTTCTCTTTTTTTCTAAATGTTCACTCATACCCATTTAAATTCCTGTGCTACTAACTCAAGGTGTGAGCAGTTTCAGGTATCAAGGATTGAGTTTAAAGTCTTGTTTATCCAAGATTCAAGAACCACATTTCTAGTTTTGATTTTGGAGGGTAAGGTTTCAAGAAGCTTGAAGAATTATTCAATGCATGAAAGCTGAAAAAAACAAGACAGATGATCATAACTTACCAACTGCAGGAGATATTGTCATGTTTAAAGATCTCTGACTCCAAGCAGATGATAACAAATGAGCTGGTGCAGGAGACTGGACACGAGAATGAGCTTTGACAGCTGATGTCGGAGTGAAAGGGTTGAATGGAGAGAAGGACTGGGTAGGAGTGGCTACAGATAATCGAGAGTGAGCACCAGCTGATAGCAATGGAGTAGGATGATGAAAAATGTTGCTAAAATGTAATTCTGAAGGGTGCTCTACATGTGTTGGAGATTCTGGGCAGTCCTATAAAAATAGCAAAGCGTTATTGTTTAGTTCGGAAAAACATGCATTGCCAGAGATTTATAGAGATTGTTTCCTCAAAAAGTTGGTTGGCACATTATGCTTAAAATGAAATCTGTGGAAGGAGGCAACTCCTTGAGTATTTCAGTAGGAGAGAAAAGTAAGCATGAAACTGACAGTTCAAGATCCTATATCAATAGTTTTTTTTTAAACTAAGGCTACACAAAAGGCAAGTTCGACAACTCCTAAATAACAGATAACAAAGAGTGAGAAGTTGCCTCCACTGCCCTTTGCAATATTTGTAGGAGGGCAGAAGGACAAAAAAATATCATAGACATTGCTCTGAAGAAGTGTCCCAAGTTCACTATGAGGAAGGTCTAATGCTCAAAACATCAGCTTTGCAACTCTTTATGGTGGCCAATCAACATTTAATCAACTCAGTTGATAGAACCAAAATTATCTATTCATACTCCCCTACTGATGCAGCACCACAGTTTCTTCAGAAACTTTCCCCCCCCCCTTAATTACATTGCTTATCTGGGAATGTAGGTCACTTTCATTTGAAGATTTTTCTTCTCCAGTAGTCATTATTAACACACTTATCACAGGTTTGCAGGAGCAGTGGTACAAATGAAAATCAGGACAAAGTAAATGGGTCTCTGAAGCCAAAGGAAGTGTTCAAAATCATACAGAAAAATCCAAACTTTGAAGAAACAGATGGAACTGTTAGTAATGAAATGTAGCCTCACTTGAGCTGTTGCTTTGGTCACATGCCATACTGAATGTAAACCAATGACAAAGTCATATGTCATGACTAGTGGAGGATCACTGCATGAAAACACCACGCTAACCGCTGGGTCACAGATGTAGAAGATCTTTCCTGTGTAAGGAAAAATAAGACCACTATATTTATATCAGAAATTAGTATATACCACACATGTGAATAGTGCTTTTCATGCTCACTGATTGGTTCATTCAGAAGTGAATAGCAGGTACAATTCACCTCCTAGCAGCAGACAAGACAAAATTGCCGCTTCATGGCTTGGTAAATATCCACCATTATTCACCTCCAATTTGGTTGAGTAATTGTTAATTACTGACACTATTGTTACCAGTTTTTACTCCTGGGAGGGGAGTTTCCACTTTAAAGATGCTCTGCACAAGAACATAATGATTTGTCTAGAACACAAAGACAGGCTTTTTGATTGCAAATTGAGTGCACTGAACATTAAGCTATTTTGAAAGTATTTTCTATTGCAAGTACAATTTACATGCACGAAAGTACCTTCCACTTTAGATGTGATAGGTCTTGGTTCATCCAAAGGATGCAGGACACTAAACATTGTAGGGACATCCCTAGAAAAAATAAAACATCCTCAATCAGTGACATAATTAGCTATCCAGGAAAAAAATTGTAATTTTGTCTCTACCGCATCACTTTAAGTAACTATTCAGTTCCTCTTAATTACCTCCTCTGCCCAGTGATTTCTCCTGGTGCTGTTGCTCTCTCAAGCAACAATCCCTCTTGCAAAGCAACCACTTGTTTCACCTGGACAGAGAATTCAAGACATGTGGGTCATTCATTCCCAAAATGAAGACACAAAGCTGATTAAATAGTGTCATGTTTTACAGCAAAAATCTCTACTATTGTTTTGTTTTAAGAATTTTAATGTGGAAAAATTGACTAAGAGAGGCAATTTCATCTGATTTTCTAAAGTTCACCACTGACAAAGAAATTTGCAATTCCATTGATTTTTTGAATAATGAATCCATTGACAACAGAGTGACTTTTTAAATTAACCCTTTAACTCCCTAGATCTAATTGTTAATTTTCCCCTCTACCTGCCACATATTTCCTTGTAAATAAATTAAGAGAATTTGGTGTTAGATCAAGATAACAACTTCTACTTAATATATTGGAGTATTCTCATTACCTTTTTGCTGAATAGTGTATGGATATTGTAGGGAGAAGTTACTTGTTAATCACTTTTGGGAGTTGAAGGGTTAAGGCAATTTTTTAGCTTGCAAGAGCCTGAGAAGATTCAGTTTTCAAGGATCACTGGTAATTATGCATTCATCTATCCTGATTTGAATTTTATCATTGCAAATCAATATTGTACATCATCCATAGCAAACTATGCCCTAATGTGCTTTGAAAACTCCTTTCAGAGACTTTGGTCAGACTGCATTGAATCATTTAAAACTAACTAAATTGTTTGTCCTGTTTTAGTGATTTGTGAAGTTACAAGTTAAACAATATTTTTCCTGAAACAACATTTCTAGTACTATTAATTACTTACTGGAAATGGAAGGGTTATGGTAAATAGAGCGCCATCCTCAGTCAGCACATCAATACAGTCATTCTGGACGACACAAAGGCTATGTAATGTTTCCCCTAGAAATTGTAAAATATCACAGATCAGATTAACAACAAAACAGGAATGTGGGAATGTTCTACTCTAGGGTGGAAAGAGGCACAGTGAGTGAATGCAATGATCCAGGCAGGTCTGCAGGACCTCTTGACTGGGAGTCCAGCAAACCAACATTCAGGCTGCAGTGCCTCCCACAATTAATGTGCAATAATGCATTTCCAATTTCATTAGGTGTGTCATTTGCATGATTGAAAAACATATTAAATGCCCCTCGTATAATTTTTTAACCCTTTAATTCCCATGAGTGACCAGGACAGAATTTCTCCTTTAAATATCAACAAAGAATCAAGCCGACTAGTGGGGAGAATAAAGATGAAAACTCAATTAGGGGACTACAAGTTGATCCAATACCAAATTCTCCAAATTTAAATCATAAGTATTTTAAAGCAGACAGTAGGGAGAATTACTAATGAGATCTTGGAAGTTAAAGGGTTAAACCCCCCACAAGCAGCAAAAACAATCTGAAATCATGCAGGCTGTCCAAGAAATTAACCCTCTATACCCTAACATCAGTATGCATATTCTCACCACTGCTCTCTGTATATTTCTGTGGTTTTGATAAGGAGAATTCATTTATTAGTCAAGAGCCTCTTTGGTTAGGGACCATTTCCTTTATCTTTATGACCTTAACCCTTTAATCCCTAGGAGTGAGTAGGGTTCTAATTTCTCTTTACATTCTATCCCTTGAATCAAATGTTAAAGTCATGAGAATAACAGAAATGATCAGCAACTAACATGGCTCTTGATGGTTTTACAAATTCTCCTTGTTAAAACCTAGGAAATGTGTAGTGAACAGTATGGGGAATATGCATAATGATGTTTGGGTGGAAAGGGTTCATATTTGATTGAAGGATAATACAGTGAGGAGAAATTAACTGCTGGTCACTCACTCTGAGAGGTTAACCCTTTCACTCCCACAGGTGACCAAGACAGAATTTCTCCTTACAATATCAATACAATATCAAGCAGGCAGGTGATGAGAATAGAGAAGAATATTAATCATGGGATTATCAGTTGATCTAATACCAAATTCTCTGAACTAACATCATACGAATTGTATGGCAGATAGTAAGGAGAATTACTAATTAGATCTTGGGAGTGAAAGGGTTAAGGGTAAAATACATGTGCCAAAAAATTTCATTTACAATCCATGTTCAAAACAATTTCACCAGCATGACAGCAAAAGAAATAAAATAATGAACAAACCAGATGAAACTTGATTCTCTCCTCTGTTGCAATATTCAGATGGAAGGCTAAATGTGCACCACAAACAATCTACTATCAGAGACATGGCTGAATAACATTTCTGCACTGTTCTCACTGTCTGAGACTTTCCAACACTCCAAACAACGGTGTTACCTTGCATAAATAACTGAAATCAAAGCAACAACGAAAATTTCCTCTACATAATTGAGAAAAATTATCATAATACTTTCCTCTTATCATGAATCAATAACATGCCTGTTTGCTATATCCAAGCCAGAACAATGACTTAAGGTTCTAGTTGTAATGACAACTAATTATACTTAGAAACTTCCACAGTATAAAAAATTCAAAGAGGGACCATTCCACTATCAAGAGCCTTCTCAATCATAAATGAGTCCCCCTTCATAATTTGTACCCTATCTTAACCCTTTAACTCCCAGAAGTGATTAACATAAAACTTCTCCCTACAATATCCATACATTATTCAGCAAACAGGTGATGAGAATATTCAAACCTATCAGGTAGAAGCTGTTATCTTGATCTAGCACCAAGTTCTCATAAATAATTTACAAGGAAATGTGTAGCAGCTAGAGGGGAGAATTAACAATCAGATCTTGGGAGTTAACCTTTTAACTCCCAAGATCTGATTGTTAATTCTCTCCTCCAGCTGCTAAACATTTTCTTGTAAATTAATAGTAAGAATTTGGTGTTAGATCAGGATAACACCTTCTACCTAATAAGTTTTAGTTTCTTATTACCTGTTTGCTAGATAATGCAAGGATATTATGAGAAGTTTCATACTAATCACTTCTGACATAACTTGACATACAGCTATCATAATGCAAACAGAACATATACTGTGTACCTATTTGTAAAATACTTCAAGTAATTATAAGTAGGCAAGTGAGCTTAACTAGTGAATTGCAAGTTTTGTACTGTAATGTACTGTAAGTCATGTTCTGTTTAATAATGTAATGTAAATAGCACTACGCTGTAGGTGACTGTTAGTAAGCGACTGTTAGTATAGGTAAGAAATAAGTACCAGTGATTAATCCAATAAGTACAGTAATGTAATAAATAGAGTGATGTCGAGTAATGTAAGTAGAGTAATATAATATAAGTTTAGTTCTGGACAAATGTTTCTTCAATAAATGTTTATGGAATTTAAAAAAAAGAAATATATATATATATATAGTGTACCTCCTCATAGCACTCTGGGTGATCTTTCGTGGACCTCAAAACCCATTTGCAAGTCTGGTGAAAAAGGTTGATGATATTATAACAGATGATTTCAGGATTCAAAAAACACAATCTGCAACGAGTTTTACTAGTCATGGAAACAGAACTGAGTGGTATCCACTTTGCAATAAAAAAAATCAAATGATAGGCAACCATATTAAGCAAAAGTAGGACACATCTATTGAATGATATTGTCCAATTTAAAGCATGGTATACACCCTGTCCTGCTGGTGATTAAATTGGGCCGCTAATAACTGATCCTGTTGAAAAATTCCCCACTCCCCCTCCCCCCACTCCCCAATTCGATCAAATGCTTAGTGCTTGCATCTTGAATACAGTCCCTTGCAAGATTATCAAAGGAATAGTCTCATACATACTCCTTAATAATTAAGATTTCTTGTTGGAGAGGTGGGGTGGGGGAAGGGGGGGGGCACTGCCATTGACAGGACATGGGTAAAATAAACAGAATGAATAATAGTTGGGGCTGTTGCAATAATAAACATCTCCCGATTTAAAATCTCTACAGGTTGAAATCTCTATAAATTTTCCATTTAAGACAATTTGACATCTGGAGAGGATTTCATTTATAAGACTGACATATGCCCCAATTTGTCGAGGAAAAACTTTAATACCCTTAAAGAAGTCACCTCTCTTTACTCAATTGCGCAGGCGATCACAAATGATCATGACAGACAAAATTTCGTACCATGGAAACTATAAGTGCACTTACACACAGGAAAAGTTACCCACATAAACCGAATCGATAAAAGAATAAAAAACAGCTCGTGTTCTAGGGGGAAGGGGAAACTTACAATGTACATACACATGATTGAGCGAGGATGTCATCAATTGCAAGAAGCTAATTAATTTCAGGTGAACTTGTCGATCATTTACTGGGTTGATCTCCAAGCTAAGGAGCCACACCATCTCAAACCATCGTTCATTTCTCTTTTTAAAAGTCGTTCAATAGGTGCTTTTGGCGATATAGGCTGACTTACCGGTTCGATTTCGCTCTCAAGGATCGATCGTTTATTGCTAGTCTTGGGAAGAGACGCAAATGGATGCCGGGAACAGAAAGCTTTACCGAAAGGCTCAAACTTCTCTACTTTGACAGAACTGATCATCATAAGAACTTCTTTATCTTTCTGACACAGATCTGATTTTCTATTGTCGATTATAAGTCCCTTTCCACGATTTCAAACACCACCATTCTCGCGCCAAATTCATTTTTGCCTTCCATCATGGCTAAAATTGTTGTCCTAGTCACCAGTCTTTCACGTTACCACACGACCGTGGGGTATACTGTGCGAGATCCACTTTTGTGTTCACCCCTAAAGTCAAACCGCGGTAAGTAATTTTGTGGTAAGAGGTTAGAAGTTTCGAGACTTTCAGCTTTTTTAGATCGACGTTGGCTTTCACCTGAAAAAAAATCAACATTAGAGCCGCCATCTTGAATTACACAGAGGATGGAGGTCCCTCATTTTAAACCCAAAATGTGGCTATAAGATTGGTTTATTGGCGTCTCCAAAGGATTGGTTATAAAGAAAAGACTTCACCTCACATACATTTAAAGGACATACGTGAGAACTTTCGAACAGGAAGAAAAAAGTGTCGAGGGAGTTGAAGTACCTGAAAACGTGGACGGCAAACAGCGAACGTGACCGCTAGAGTCTGGTCACGTTACTCCTAAAAGTTTGCGGTCACAAGTACGCAGTAACAAACGTGGATCTAAAACTCCCTAAACTCATGAGATAAATTTAATCCAAAATGGCGGCGGAGAAAGGCAAGAGTTTAGACGATCTTATCGAAGAAGCGAAAGCTCTTTCGGCGAGATGAGAGCCCCCTAAAAGAAGAAAAAAAGCAAAGCGAATTTGATTTTTATACTGACTCAGTAACTGAGCATCGTACTCAGAGATGCAAGTACCGTCCTTGCCTTACTTAGTTAAAAAAAACACCCGTTCGTTCAGCTTCTTGTAGCCGAGTTGAAGGTGTGTGTACTTGTTGAGTGATTTGTTTCGCTACAAAATTGGTTGTGATGATCCTATGACGATACAAAGGTCGTCGATTTTCATTTTAAGTGAAATGTCTAAAGATATTGACGCTTATTCTGTATTATTTGTAATCCACTGACCCATGATCAGGAATACAGTGCACATTTACGTAATTTGAATATGTCTTAGTCGTATGACTTTTACCTTACAGTTTAAGTTGAAGTGTTTACTGAATTGATAGTCCCAAGTATTAATTATTCAATATTCTTTTCCTGGTGATGCTTTTAACTTTCAGGAATACATGAAGATTTTGAAATTCCTGAAGAAATAGGAGAAATTCCCAGTTTTGGTGCACAGGGTGGGTATATTATTTGACCTGGCTACCACTTTAAAGCTGACTATTGTGCAGATAGAAATAAGATGTGTTTGATTTTAGTTGCATAGGATTTGAAGCCTTTTGTCATTGCTAGTGACTGATTTTTTTGTTGTTTTTTTCCTCAAATAAACCAGTCTCTGGAGACAATAAGCAAGAAATGCCCGACTGACTTAAGCAAACGAGAGAAGCGTGGGCGGAGCAAGACTGTGCGAGGTCATAAGTCTTATAGGGTACAGGAAGGCAAAAAAATTAATTGTAATGATAATAACAGTTATATAAAATGTAAATTAAAGGACACAGACAAAATGTGTATTTAGACTTTAGAATGAAACGACCTTTGAAACCAATCCCCCCTTTACCAACGTTTGTAAAAATGTAATTATCGTCTCCCTTTCCTGTATTTCATATCCTAACGATGTTCGATAACGTTTTTCTCAAAATAGCTCTCCATTGAAATAGGTCTCCATTTCCATAAAAATCGGTATGTTTTTCTACCCCATATGCAAATATACAAGATGTAATAGTGTAGTTTGATCGTCCGGGTGAATGTAGTCCTGAGAAGGACTGTGGTCGGTAGTGGTGACTAACGTTTCGACAACCTGAGCGGAAGTGACCATCAGAGTCAAGATGATGACTCTGCCCAAGACTTCTCAGGACTACACTCACCCGGACGATCAAACTACACTATTACATGTTACCACCGGGTTCAAACCGTTTACTGTAATATACAAGATGATCGCAAACATATTGATGTGATAAGTATGTAACAAACAGTCGTAGGTATGCTTATGTGTGAGTTTAACACATTTGATTACAATCTGAGTACTGTAAAAATAGAGGTAACCAAGCTGGCGATGAAGTATTCCTTGTTGATGATAAGATCATGCTGTATCCACTGATTGTAAATACCAAAAATTCAAACTTTTACAATTTAGAAGGCCCCGATAGTCCTTTTTCATGAAAGAGTACATCAACAACAACTAACGGTAAAAAGTGAAGCATCCTTGTTATCCGAGGATGTTTGCGACTTTACATGACGGCGGAGTAACCCACAACCTTATCCAGTGACAGATCTGGGGGGGGGGGGGGTCCGGCAAAGATCCAGAACACCCCCCTACCCCCTACAAAAAAGAAGGCTTGTGCGTTTTCATTTTATTATTACTGCTTGCCTGAAACCAAAATTTTTGCAATGGCAATGACGCATGTCATTACTTGACCAGCAGTTTTTAAAATTAAAGTAACTTGAGATATTACTCGGCTTAATCTGAGATAACAAAAAAAATCGGAGCCCCTCTCCCCCCTTGAAAATGTTTGAGGTCCCTTTAACCCCATAAGAAGCAAGTAATCTTGCACCCAGATCCTAGCAAGGAACTAAAATGCGGAACCTTTTGGACGTGGAAGGTCTGGGTACGAGACTAAGAAGTGACAGCGTCTCCATACACACAAAATGATCACTTTTTGTAATATAATTTGGTCAAAGAACTGCGTAATATTTTATAATAGTTAAGTTTATAATAATAGTAATAGTTTATATATATTATATATCGCTGAGTTGTATCAACATGGTATCGTCTACTCGTAGGTATGACCAGACTAAATAAAAAACTTCTATTTTTTTACTCCTCTCTTATTAACAATAGTTCTTTTCAAGGATTCTTTTTTTAACTTATGTATCACGACAGATTTTTGAATGAACTGTTTTAATGTCTTGATCAGGTGTTGAGTGGTTTCAGAACTATTTGGGCCGCAACTGAATCAGCAAATTTTACCCTTGTCGAGTTTTTCCTGGGAATGTAGATGAGAATAAAAGACAAAAGCCGAAAAGTGAATGAAAGTTATAGAAAAAGAAGTCTCCCGACTACGATATTTGCAGGAGCAGACGACCTTCAAGGAAATTTTAAAGGGCTCGGGGAAAATTATACCTCAGCCATCTCCTTGACAATTGTTGTTTTTAAGGGTTCTTTGTTAATGTCTTCATAACTCAGATGTGTCTTTAAATATTAATAACTCTCTGTTTTACTGGTTACTGTACATTTTTTGTCATGTAAATCTCCTGGCGAGTGGGTCTGTGCCGCCGTTTGTAACCACGATGACGATGACCTTTCGGCCGACTTTTCTTAGTTCTCTTTCTCCTTTCTTCCTCTTTTTGCCAGATGTCTTCGAGGTAGCTACCAAGAGAAAAGAAATATGACGAGGTTCGATTGTCACAGTTCAATGATTCTCCTTCCTCATCCAGCCAATGAACAGCTTTTTTCGGGGTTTTTTCGTACAATGATGAATTACTGACAGCTGAAGTGAGTGACGTCACGGATTGGCGCATTTCACGGCCAATCTGAAGAATCGCTTCCTTAAGGTCACTGAGCGATACACTTTCGCACATTAAGTCTGACAGGTTCTCCCTGGAACCAGTCTTGACAAGATGATCTGCTTCTCCACCATTCCTATCATCGTCACCTCCAATATCATCCATAGAGTCTAGAGAGGCAAGTTTGGCTTCTTCGCTCTGAGACTCTTCTGGTCGGCTCTGCAAGGGAGCCTCGTCTTCAGACTGTTTTCTGTCTCCACGAATAAAGCTTATGATTCCGTTAATTGTTTCCTCTATTAGTTCCAAAGTGTCATCTTTTACTCTGTGATATTTGTCCTTCATATAATCTGCCACGAATGCCCCCAGCTCGGCGTCGGCAAACGTTTCTCCATCATCCATGTTCTTGACCTCGTAGTAAGACTCATTTAGGATCGCAAGAAACATATTTAAGAGAACCATCGCCATGGAAAACAGATATCCGAAGATAAACAACGGAGCAATGAATCTGCTTGTAGATCGTAATTCATCCAAACGCATTTCGCCTCCAAAAAGCAATAGCAACATGGCTCGTAAACAGCTGTAAAATGATCTGTACGCATCGACGTCGGATGAAAATACCAAAAATCCAACTTGAGTGTAAGCTAACAGAATTGTAACGAATACAATCATAAAGGAAAGCACATTGTTGGCTGCCTTCTGCATTGTTCCTAAAACTTGACAAACGTGGCTGTTAAACTTAATCAGCCTTAAGAACTTGATTGTCATTATGAAGATGACGAAAGAAAGTACATACGTTTCCATATCAGACATAAACTCAATCTTGTCAGGGCTTGACGTCTGGAAGGGATTTTCTTGAAGTTTTTTCACGTACTTGCTCGTTTGAGATTCTTTGATGAAGAAGAATACCAATGAGCAGATTGTGCTGGCGATCTGCAAAAGTTCCAACCAGTTCCATACTTGTTTAAAATAAGAGCATTTCTCACGACGCAGTTTTCCAATCTCCGCAAACAAAAAGACGATCAGAATTATCATTAACAGAAGTTGGCAAACTTGAAAGAGCGACCTGGAGTCAGGATTAGACGAGGCATACAGTGATAGAGTCTTAATTGATACCCTGGCACTGGATCCACCTGTCGGGAATCTTTCAAACAGAAGTTTTATAGTAGAAAAGAGTGAGCTGGACGGTTCAAAAATGGTAAATTCAGTGAAAACAGCCATGGTTAGGTCATCAATCCAGTTGTCTTCCTCTAAAACTCTGATAACTTTCAGTGCTGTACGAGAATTATACCCAAGATCCGCAACGTACCCTCCACCGACAAATGTAGCCATTTGGCCCCCAAAGGGTCTTACTTGAAGATCATCAGATTTGAGATACCGCCAAGGCTTAGGACACTGATTTTCGAGTTCGTACTCTGTGTAAAAGGCTGTGGCATTTTTTACAGGGATCCATCCTGGTCTGTTGAATTGGGATACGCTTTCCGTCTCGCTTGTGTAGAAAGGAACGCATCTAACAAACTGACGTGCCAGGGATGGTTCTTTCTTTGCTATGGTGCAATTCTTTTCTGTTGAGAAATACAAAATAATGGAGATTAATGAAATGTAAGTAGATGCAGCAATCAGCCTCAGCTGCATGCAGTGCATAGCAAATAGGATAAAGTCTGCACTCTAGCCAATTGTCTACGCCAGTCGGAGCTTATTCCGGTTTCTATAGCATGAAGTGACTAGAAGCACTGTTACTCCCGCTGGCTGACACGCAAGTTCATCTGGGAATAGTTTGATAACTAAGAAAAAAAAATGAGAAAACTAACCATTGTCCTGCTTACCTGTTTTAATCCTTAACTGTCGCATTCTCGGCATACCGACTAAGTAAGCTGCTCGGTTACTGAGGAATCCTTCCTTGTACTCAAAGCTGCGGCTATTATACCAATCGACTTCATACAAGTTTGGCACGAGAAATTTCTTTGACCATTCCCAGAAAGTTGGGGTGTCTTTGACCTAAAAATCACATGCACAAATGTAATTTTAAATGGGAGAATAGAGCAATATTGAAAGACACCTAATCAATGGCTTCACGAAACGGAGATTACCAAAGCGTATTGCATGAGATATTTGCTGGAAAACCCCATATTTTATCTCAATCTTCTTCACAATATCCTGCCAGAAATTGTTGTTGATAATGATTTTAAAAAATCTTACCTTTATGGCAAATGTTTGAAAAAGGTTGTCCATCGACTGAGTAACCATGAATCGTTCAACACCCCTGTTGCCGTAGCACACCACCATCATAAGAAGTATAAATATTCCAAAAAGAGTAAATTCTACAACCTTGCGACCAATTTGAACGAGACTGCCTCTAAACTTTCGAGCCCTCTCAAGTTCTGACTTATTGGGAGTGATGACCTCTCCAGCCGCGTTCCTTTGAACTTCTGCACCCATTATTTTCTCCTGTTCTGGAGGTTTCTTCACCAAAACAGACAGTATGGATGCAACCAATAGAACTTTGAGTGGCTGCATGACTATGGCATCTTGAAAGAAAGACACCATTACTGACACAAGCCATTCATTGGATGTCTCTGCACCCCACATGAGACTGTAGAATACAATAAACGCAGCTGAAGTCAGGGTTGCCATGGTGCAGATAAACCAGGCAACGTAGACAAACCAATGAGGTAAGCATCCTCTGCGTTTTGCACCATCATCTTCGTCATTGCCTGTTTCCTTCGCTTTTAACTGTCTGAAGATGGTTACAACCAGTACGTTAACAGGGATAGCAACTATACTACTTTGGATGCCGATCTTAATCTGTGTAAGACTCACTTTGAGGGGACCGATCTGCACCGCGTCTCCAGGTGGTGTACCGAAATTGTAAAACATGGCATTGGTAACCATGGCAGCAAATAGAATAGAAATACAGCATGCCAGACGCTGAGCCCGAGTGAATGGATTATGTGGTGGTCGAGTGAAAATTGACAACCAGAGATGCTTGTCTCCAAGGCTTGTGGCTGTTCTCGAGTAGAATAAGTTTTTGAAACCTGAAATCTCGTTCTTCCCAGAGACTTTTAACTCAAGATTCAACTTCCCGTCTTCTTTTTCCACCGCAATCCATCTACAAACAAGAAAAAAGGTATATCGAAATATCCATCTGCATGCTGAATCAACGCCTAATATGTGGATTAAACTTCGTTTTCAGCTATATGAGTAGAAGGTCCTATTAGACAGGTCTGAAGAGTTCGTGCTAGTGCAGTTATTATGCACAACACCATTCTCCTCTCATTTAATTTTCCTCTCATTTTAATTTTCCTCTTGAATAGAAGCATGCACCGAGTTAATAAAGTTGTAACCCGTACAGTTTTAACGTACTAATGATTAACACATGCACCCCGAAAAGAGTAACAAATACTCGGTATTGAACGGACCGAGGTTGAAAGGATCTGAGGAGTGATTTACCTGTTCGCCACGAAATGTGCTTTTTCTCCTGTCGACATGTTCACAATGAGCACTTGCGTCAAGAACCAAGACGGATTATCTCCGCTGTTGTCGTGCCAGATACGGATCTTCTCTAGTGAACCAAGTGCCTCTGGTAGACTTAGGGTGAAATTGTTGATGCTGCCTCTAGAGAAGAAGATCTTCTCCGACTGAGAATCAGTCAGGGTGATATCCTCTGTATTTCCATCGCTGCCATGAATAGCCAAACCCACATTTGCGGTAGTTCCATTAGCTCTCCACATACCAGTCTGTATGGATATAAGGTATTTGTTGTCTCCTTGATTCTCGTTGATGCAAACGTTTGCTATCACCTGAAAAGAATAATGAGATCGAATTATCACTCATTAGTTAGGTCGTAATTCTTAACGATATTTTTTTTCTACCTTTAATTAGGCACAAGTTCTTGTATAGAAGGGAAGACTATTTCTCAGGATGAAAACGCCTCATAAGACGTTAACTTGCACAAATAAAGAGCTATAAAGCCATATTTGTTCTTCGCCGCTCATATTAAATTTCTCTGCTACCATTTCGTTAAAATATGCTAAAATTGTGGCAAAATTTACCCTGAGGAACATGTAACTAACATATATGGAACATGTAACTAAAAATATATACCTCGATGGCAATTTTACCGATGAAGATCAAAACACCAGTTGGTTTTCTTACCCTTAACTCATCGCGCTTGTCTTCTCTCCTGGCCAATATAAGACCGATTACATAGAGTCCAAGAAGGGCACAAACTGTGGATAGCACAACAAAGTTGCCTGTCTCAGCCAAGCTGCCAAATGCTGCAAAAACTTTGTCGAAGTCTATGGGGTTTGGTGCAACAAAGAAATCGCCACCAAATGCAGAGAGATGAGTACATAGGCAGTGTAGCTGTTTCGAGTTTGACTTCGGTCCAACCTGTATGGAATAAGATATCCAAACAGAGACACAATGCGTCAGCGAGGAAACAGAACGAAAGTTAAGTAACAGATGACGACTGTGTATGTCATTCATTTTGCCTTTGGGGAAAATCGATATCAGGAAGTGGCTACTCGACATTTCACCAAATGTAATCACCATAGTAATCCATAGCACGACTCCATTTGATAAATTTTAAAGATTTGAAATGATTAATAAAAGAACTGCAAATGAAATGATAAATGCATGCAGTCTTGAAGGTGATGCTGACCATCGGTTATCATTACAACAAAACGTACTACATGAGCGCACATGACTGTTATTAACCTAACACCTCCACAGAATGAGTGGGAAAAAGTTATTATACAGTTTTTTCAGACCAACAGCAGTTGTCAGCTTACAAACGCACCTTGCATCCTTCTCCCGTCCATTTCTCTTTCGTTTCTGACCAGTACAGGCAACCGCTTACAGAGATACTCAACGAGTAATTTACATCCGTAGAAGAGTCGTACTTTGGGACTATAATCATAGGTGTCGGGGGAGGTGTGGTAGGAGGGTCTTTGACATCTACGCATGACCTTTTCATGCGTCCATGGATGAGACCACATGATCTTCTTTTTCGCTTAGAAGTGATGTTTGATTGAGCTTCACCATCTCTTTTTATATATCGAATGCCAAGAAAGTGAGGGCCAGTATGACCAGATATTAAACTCGAAAATGTGAAAGTGTAAGGATCCGAGGAACAATTTAGCATGTCCGAAGATTTACCACTGTAGTTAGTACAGGAAGACCAATTTGGGATAGTGGTGTTAAAAACATTGCGACGAGGTGTTGGTTTCGTTCTGTAGTTGACGAAGACATCCACCCGTCTCCCTTTCTCGGGCTTTATTTGTATCGTTACTTGCACTTCGTGAGATGAAACCAAAAACCTGTGGTAGCGAAGATTTGACGTTCCATTACTTGGTTTAAAAAACAAGCTTTCGGCTGAGCTGTTGTCTTTATCGGAAGGACCTTCCTGGCTCGCTATTGGAATAAATAGCTCAACTGGTTCCTGAAGCCCTGAGATGTTTAACGCATCACCTCCTTTAGACTTGAGTTTGAAGTCAATAACTGAAGACTTAACCGTTTTTGCGCTCATATCCCATGTGAAGGGGTTATCCTTAAATGCCAACATCTAGTTCAGAGAAAAAACATGTAAAAGTTGCACATTACAAAACTTGCGACACGTGCACGTGTTTCATATCCATGCATCACAAGGTCCAATGCTTCCTGTTGGTTAATCTACAGACCTGATTTGAGTTTGTATCCAGGAAGAAATGATCCAACTTAGTTTAATCTAAGATCGAAAGGAAAAGCCAAGTTTTCGTTGATGAGACTTTTTCTAATTCCTTTTTTCGGAGAGAACACCCCTAGGCCAATTTTATTTGAGGTTGCAATACGACAGCGCTTCTTTTACGTCTATTATTTTCTGGATCCGAGCAAGGAAATGACCAGCACTAAAAAGAGGTACATGATTTGTTTAAAGTTAATTTTTCCGACAGCCATCTTTGATCTTTCCTTCAGTCAAACTAGATACTGGGACAAACAAGATTGTTCTTTTGTTGATCATCTATGTATCCTGAGATGACTTGTAAGCAGACGTGCGTTACAAATGCAGTGCCGAAAGGTGCATAATAATTCATACCTGTGAATCAACGGCGTCAGGCCCATTGTTACCAAAAAGAGAGTCTGCTGAGGGTAAAGCCACACCGTTGGAGCCCTCGCCAAGCTTCTTGCCTCCCATATCGGAGCTTCTTTGACGATCTAGCACAACTCCCATGGACTTGGTCTTGAACACAGTGGGCTTTTCCCCCACAGCTTTTGTGGAAAGCAGGCTATCTCCCACTTGTGACACCAGATTTAAAGCATTTTGGGCCCTTTGCTTGCTCTGTATCACGAAAAACAAAAAACGTTGTGGTGGGGTACATTCTGCTATACTACAGTAGGATCTGTGCGTAGTCCTTAAGGCAAAGTACGTGGTCAGAGGAAGATGAAAGATTTACCTTTTCCTTCATTTCATCCGAGTCAACCTGGCCTTTGTCAGAATCTATGTCTTCTTCATCTTCTCCTTCAGCATCATCACTCTCGGCCCCAGCCTCACCAGAGGCTACTCCAAGCACGTTTCCAATTCCACTAAAGAGACTGGTGCCTAAACTCTGTACCAATTCCGTGTCCATCGAACCATTTGACATTTGAGATGAAAGGAAGTCCACGGTGCTACCAAGCAAGTTCAAAGCCTTTTCCTATAAGTAAAATGATATTTCATGTTTCAAAAATTGTCCAGGGCATTAAATGCAAGAAGAAAATGCATGACAGGAATAATTCGCTAAAGGTTGATTCGAAGAAATGTTGGGAAAGTCTTACATGCCAATTAATCTAGCAGCCTACGTCTGGCACCTATCCAAAGCAGGCTGGGGCAGTAGAATGATCTACCTTTTGTACATAGACAGCCTGAATGAGTATAAATATCTCAGAGCAGCTGCATAACAAATTTGTTAGCAAATACATTGTAGTTTTTACCTGAGAATCCCCTGATATTCCATCGTCATTATCTGTGGCCATAGCGAGAACTCCTACCACCATCGTCGCCTGCTCTACACTACCGACTTTGATATTTTCCATTTTGTCGATCAATGAGCTTTTGTACTATAGAACAAGGACTAAAGTAAGTAAAAATGGTACGTATGTAACATTGTTTTGATTGTTTGATTGTTTTGCTGCTATAGAATCATGCAATGGATTACTAGTAAGAAGCATCCTACTCATGTTAGTTTTCCACAATTCAATAAACTTACCGATTGAGCACCATCTGAATCACCAGCCGCAGAAAGCAGGGCAAAAGCCATCTGCATAGCTCTATCAATATCTCCGCTTGCAAATAGGTTATCCAGTTGACCTTGGGACTCCATCATATTTGAATATTTAGGAGGTGTAACCTGAAGGAGAAAGATAAGCAACACCAACAGTTTTTTTTTGAGAAGATTTTCACCAAAATAGTCGGTAATTTGTGAAATGGTGTTTCATCATATATCAGCCTAGAAGAACGCAACTATTCGATGCCTCATAGTCTGAATAAGAGAGTGGTTAAATTGCCTCATAAACTAATTTTTAGAGTCCTGGATTTTTCTGTTTCCTTTGAGATGGGGTTCACAGAACCTATTTTGGAGATGTTCGTCGACTGATTTAGTTGAACATGAAGATTGTTTCTGTTTGGTCTTAGAGAAGCTATGACAACCTTTTACGTTGGTAAGTTACCAAAGCGTTTTAATCTGTCATTGACAATCCGTTTGATATTAATACGGGTCAAAAACGAAGGAAAAAATGTAGCAGAATCAATATCAAGTTACTTTTTCCGATCGTGAGGAAAAAGACAGATCCAAGTTTCTAGATGACACCTTTATGATAATGATGCTATAAAATCGTTATTGTGAAATGCAACGAAGGATAATTTACCTGAACAGCTAAATACACAACGGAATAGTCACCGAGTGAATCTAAAATTTCCAACCGTAGGTCAAGGGAATAATTTGTCAGTTTGTCTCCCATTGGTAGCTCCGTTGTCACGTTTGGTTGCCATCCTGTGTGAAAAGCTACAACGCCAAACTGAGTTTTGTAAGCAAATTGATAAGTGAGAGGCAAGTCAGAATCTGTCCAGTTGGCACATTCCACATGAAACTTTGTTGTGATTGCTTCTCCACTCGTAGGATCCACGAAACATCCAGTGTTGTCGCTTTGAGAATATGGTGGGACATTTGTATGAAAAACGTAACTATTTTCTGCGTAATTACCATCGTCCAACCAGGCAACCATGAGTAGTTTGTAAGTTTGGTTGGACAGCAGGGCACTTTTTTGGTAAAGTGCGTCTCCTTTTTCTATAATCAGACTTGGACCTGTCAAGGATGTCAGAGATATGTTTGCCAAGTTTCCCATCGCTCTCCACGATTCATTGGAGCTCTTGTTAGATTTGACGAAAAGAGACCATTGATGGTGTCTGAGAAAGGGACAAGACATCCCCGAGCAATGAGCTTCTAATGCAAATCTCTTCCTAGTGCTGACTTTCTCTTCACAGTTTGCAACACATCTAAGTGAAGATGACAGAAATGTTAGCTGACTCACTTGAGCTGCTGGCATGGAAAGGTTTTTAGGATATCTTTTATTATGAGCTAATCAGATGTGCAGCTCCATATTTAATAAAGGACGGAGCAAAGTTCTTTGAAAAGTGACCTATGTTTAGTTTGAATAAACTTCCATGAACTACCGTACGCTTTTTATATTTCTGGAGAATTTGGCTTTCACTTTTCTAGCTCGCTATTTCTAATCTGCGTTAAACTCCTTAATTTTATTTGCTGCTCCGCTATCTGAATTTACTACTGTTTGAGGGGAATGTTCAGATTTAGTGTTTAATTTTCATGGTCTCATAAAAGGCGCATGCAACACAGACAAGGTAGAGGACATAATCAGATATGCTTGGAATGAGGCCACTCTCACCTGATTGCAAATGATAAGTTTGTGTCCACGAAGATTGTGTGAGATATTAAAACAGATCTCTTTCCTTGCGTTACAAGTACTTGAAAAACATACGCTCGCTTAGCCACCATGAAGTCTGGATTTATTAACACACTTTGTGTGTTTGTAGAATGCGAAATTCCAGGATCATAAGCAAAGCATCCTTTAGCACTCGTGTAGTTGAAAAAACGAGACCCATAACCAGCCACAAAGGTTGCGTTAGACGTAGTTTCGTTGCGCTCTCTACAACTCCATAGATACTCCAAGTTAGGTGCCTCAATACCAAATGAGGTACCCAGTACACCAGTAGTTACTACACTTAGCTCAATAGGACCACCGCCCTTAAAGGCCGTGTTTGGGCCGGAAACAAATGCTCTCAATTGAGGCAGAATTCTTATAAAACCAAACGTGTAAGAGATGGCTCCAATTATTGCTTTCGGTTTTGCAGACACACGAACATAGGTAAATCCCACGGGCAGGTCAGGAGTCACTGTTATGTTAGCTGCATTGTCAACGAGGATGACGAAAGGAGAAAATTGTCCGGTATTTTCATCCACTGTGGAAAGTTCCCATTCGAAGTTTAACTGTGTATACATTGCCATGGTCGAATTTGACTCAGATGACGACAAAATTGCATGAATTCTGTATGAATGGCCTGGAAGTATTTCTTTTGCTCCCTCTAAGGTTGTGCTCAGGTTCAGGGAAATATTTGCAAGAAATTTTGTTTGGTCGGCTGTTATACAAATAGAAAACAAGCTAAACATTAGTATGCGATATGTAAGGAAAACGTCTTTGGACAAAAAGAAAACTGCTAGTCTTGGTTGTGGAGTGGGGTTTGGGTGGTCCAAGTGAAAAGTGGGAACTAAAGTGTACATATGTCTAACAAGTAAGTGACGCCCACACGAACGAACGATTTTTTTTTTATAGTAGCACAAGTACGTTGTGGTTCCACATCCTCTTAATCCAGTTCAAATTTGCATCTGGTGTGCTGTCTTTTGTGTAGGGAGGGAGAAGAGAGAACCTTGGCAAAAACAGTCAGAGTGTGAGAATCGATAACAATAAACTCAACCCACTTGAGACACTAGGGGCTCGTTTCTCGAAGTCCCTGTTATTACTAATCCCGACAGGCTAATTTTTGTCGATTACGCGGTTCCATTCACGATTGGGATATCGATAGCATTAATATTCAAATATCAATGATATCAGGAAATGACTCGACCTTGAATTTTTAAGAATTTGCTACGCTCTATTGAGACAAATCTGGAAGAAGGCAACTCTTTCAATCAGTAACCTAGTACTTTTGCTGGTCAAGTGAGAGAGATTTATATATAATCCTACCTGTGTATTGGAGTTCCACGTAATCGATCTCTTCTTTTAGTTGTGCTATAATATGCGATTGGCCGGCTCGAAGGCATTCGATTTTTACCTCCGCTGTCATCACTGTGCCTTCTCCCTTCCTGGGAGACTCTCGTGGGCTAAAATGAAGAAATCAAGAAGATATGTGACAGTGTTCCCCGAAAAAGGAGGTTAAATGCTGAGTCATTTGGAAGTAAGGAAAAGGGAATTTGACGGGAAAGAACACTAGCTGTCTAGGAATGAAGTAAATGAAAAAAAAAATTCAAAACTGCAGACGCTCAAGCAGGTAACGAAGGCCATTTTTTTCATTGTTCCTAAGTTGTCACAGATGCACAACATTTGCCTTCCATCTCCACTCAGGACGCTGTTGATAAGGGTGATCCTAACAGTATGGAGACGCTTGTTATGAATGGTAATGGCTTATTGCTTAGGTCATTGACGAGTTCTCTTAGCCCTTGCACTCTCAAAGGTGACCGGAAAAGTACATTTTCCACGATATCAATGCAACATGATCATGAAGAAGAAATTTTTTGGAACCTTTTTTGGTCACCCTTGGGAGTGCATGGACCAAGAGAGCTCGTTGATGACCCAAGTAAAACATCACATGGAGGATATTTTTGGATTTTAAAAAAATTACAGAAACCAAAATTAGAAACAATGTTTGGCTGATAGAGTGGAGAGACGATTTTTAGATCCCAGCTATATAATATTCGGAAGAGTATCGTACTCGAACTTCGGGAGAGCGGAACCGGCAAACAACTAGGCAGAATCGCAGTGCTGATACAAAGGTTAAAGTTTCTTATTCAAATTCATTTCTTACTCAACGTACCTGAAGTGTAGAGCTTGGACACTTAAAAACCCCGGGGTATGGCTTAGTAGATCCCTCACCTAGTGTGTAGAAAAAGAGAAACAAAACTTGTCGCTACTTTGAAGCCAAAAGACTTTTAGAATATTTATACTACACCTTTGTAGTGAGAACAATTTGGTTCCATATGCGGACAAGACGACCTTACGGTCGATACATTGATGTCAAAATGCGTCCGGCGCGATTAGTTTTTTTTCCTTTTCCGGTTGCTGGTTGCTGTCCCTTCCTTATTCCTGTACGATAACCGGAAAATAACTGGTTTCTCTTTGAAATATTTCGACTGAATCGCTCAGCCTCCATTAGACTGTTTGGAGTGAGTGCTTACACAATATTAAACCATGTAACAAATCGCTCAGTCCTACAGTGATAACAACTACCTCAAGCAATCAATGAGAATTAATATTAATGATACGTAATTGGCGCAATGAAAAGGAAAAACAAGTGGCCCAGCCATTGTTGGTTCAGTCCTCCAATTTATAAGCTTTATGTTTTTGCCTCTTTACCTGATCTTCCACATCTCCAAACATTTGAGCCAAATCATTGCCGTCAATCATTCTTGAAGCCAGGGAATCCACTGTATATGGCGTCTTACTCAACATCAACAAGGCCACAAGATAATAATCTGAGATATGAAAATGGAAGCACATTTAAGATAAACTGAAGCATTACTCGTGCACCAAAGAATTTGCAAAACTGATACTGATATGCAAAATGCGATGTGCAATGTGTAAAAAGTGATTTGCTGCTTGCAATGGATGATATCAGATGCTTACAAGTACATTTAATTTGATTACTTGTGGCAATTGTTTGGGAAATATTAATCTTTTGGCCCTGAACAGTAAGAGGAAAACTGACCTGATTTGCAGCCATACAGCTCCAGTCGAAGGCCGACATTATCTTTGAAACCCATCGGCATCAGCGTGACTCCATTTGCTTTTACTGGAAGGATCATGCGATTTAACCTTATGGTGTTACTGTCGTTGTTTCCAACAAAAAACTGACAATAAAGGGACATAAAGGTCATCAGTATATACCACTTGAGTTAATAGTGCTTTTCGCGCGCGCTAATTGGCTAGTTTGGAAGTAAATAGCGAGTAGTATTCACATTTGAGCAGCCAATGAGATAAAGTCACGCGTCAAGAGTTTAATTTCCAACCATTTTTTGGAATATTGCAAGAAATAAAGTAATTTTTTTGGTATCTGTGTGGTATATACTAATTAACAATTATTGCATTGCCTAAGTATACCTCAACTGGCAATGATATTTTGATTTTCTGTATCGTATCCTTGCAATCACTGACTGGCATTTTGACAACAGGAGTGGAATTTATGATCAAAATCAAATGAAGAGTTGTTTGTCAGTCGAGTATTACGCTTCTAGTTCGTGCAAACGAATCAGCCATTTTTGCTGTGATGCTGCTGGCTGCAAGGCACAGGACCTGAAACTGGTAATGCTCAGGTTGTCGAAACTTCCATCTTTGTCATCTTAAACAGAATTTTTCAGAACTTCTCTCATACTGACGGTCAGACAACATAATCAGCCCTTATTCCTTGGTTTGAACCATTTTGATTTATTGAGGCAACTATCTTGTTTTTTTCCAGCTTCACTGGTTCGCAACCTTCGTAATTCACCCTAAATAGTTTTCTCTTGTCTGAACAGGGTTGCTTAAATAATTAATCTGGTAGGGTTAAATAACCCCAGAGGCATTTTGAGACTAAAGCAATATCATGAAAAAGAATCTGGCAGTCCAGTGGTAGTACTATACCTAGCTAAACAGAGATAACAGTCACAACGAATAAAAATATTTGAAGCACACGCAGTTGAAGACAACAAACACCTGAAAACCGCAATTTTTATAACAATGAGAAAATTAAAAACATTCATGGAGGCAGTGTGTGGAAAACAATAAGCCCTCCGGTGAGAGTTTTACCATAGAACTGATACTGTGAATAGTTGAAGCAGAAAACGAACTTAGGAGAATTTTATGAAAGCAGAAGAAGAGTTAATACGCTAACCAATTTATCAAAGTATAATAAATCTTTTCAAACCACAACACCAGGTTCTCGAGTCCTACTGCGAGTTTCGAACAAACATTCGTGACATTTAGCGAAATTTATTTCTTTTCTTAGATTTAGAAGCGTTGTTGTTTAAAATCACGGAATTTCATCATAAACGATTGTTTATCTTAACGCCCTATATCGATGGAAATATTTCATTTTCTCTGTTTAATAGAAGTGTGGAACAAACGTACTGACATAAGTTGTTTTGTTGCGGTGGTTTTACAAAGTTGCCGATTACGGTGACAGAATATAAATTTCAAGGTATCTGTAGCAAATAAAAGAAAGCACGTTTGCCAAGTAGAACTGTTTTGGACAATTCAATAAAATCAACAGCCTGGACTTGTCCAGAACTATTTTGAAGTTTTAAGCTTATGCATACTATTAGTGAAACGAAAAAAAATACTTGTCAAAAGAATGGTCACCGATTGAAACAATTTTTTTTTCATAAAATTACTAAATTGGATCAGTTGGATTACTCGGATCAGTTGCTGCAATTTTAGTCTCTAAGTTGGCAAATAATGTGACATACAAAATTAGGAACTGGATACGGTAGTTTTCTTTTTAAATCATAGAACGTACGATCCTAGACTTCGTTCAGAAATCTGTTTCTTATGTTTTGACCTTTTAATGTTTCAAAGTTATTAACTTCATCTCTAATTTTGTGTCAGACTATCCAAGCTTCTAAAAATGGATAGTCTTTAAAGTTTTCCAAACGTCGCTCAACAAAATTTGAATTTTTAAATCGTATCCCTTTTGCAAATAAGACACGATTTAATTTTGAGGAAAAGTGTATCTGCTTCCTCTTACCTGTGTTTCTCCATTGGTATCCTTAAAATTTACATAATCTGAGCCTTGGCTATACAGCAAAATATAGGCAGTAACCCATTCCTTAACTTCTGGATTGCCGTAACCTTGTGTTGCAATCGCTGTAACAACCACAGTATGCCCAAGGTCTACTTTCAACCAACTTTCACCGGCGTTTTCTGGTGCAGAACGATATCCTGTTGTATTGAGCCTCGCTCTGTGAGCACCGAAAGTCGTGAAATCGTTATCAAAAGCTGATGGAGCCGTAAATTGATTATCTTTGATTCTGCCATCGGAGATTCCCAACGGGTGAAGACATCCATCTGCCGATCATAACCAAACACTTGTTATCATACTTTGAAACTCGCCCAAAATGTTTCTCTTTAGATTTCAATACAGAAAATAATCAATTATAACCTGAAACATCGTAGGCTTTCGTTGTTTTCTCCGAACAATGGCTGAGAAGGAAAAGATTTAAAAGACACAAGGTAAATATTTCTAACGCAGGCATCTTTTTTCGTTCGTATGTTAATGACTCGAGGAGTTAAACATGAATAATATAAGTATGAAACATCCACAGACCAGCTGGGACCCAAAATGGAATTGTTGATTTTTCTTGTTTTGACAAGTTTTGAATTGTTTTGTTTGCGATGGTCAATCTAATTTTGACGTCAACACGCAGGATTAATCATGGCGAGCATTCAGAATGATTTTGTTGAATTATTTTTATTGTTTTTTTGGTGTTTGATATTTTCCAGAATGTTCTCAATATTTTTGTCACATATTTTAGCGAGGTCTCGCGCACATTGAGTACCACAATGAGATGAATAAAAAATGGTTTTACTAATTTTAGATTTACTGCTTTGACTACGTTCCACCAAAGTGTAAACGAATCAGTGCCTATTCAAACGACGAAAGAAAAGAAAAACGGCATTTTTAAGTGTAGCGATAAGCTACCTTCACCGATTTTCTTTAGTATCTTTCCATATACAACATGAAAGCGGCATAACTGAGATAGCAGTGTCTCATATTTTTTTGTCTCCTCTTTGTGTTTTAACAACGGAAGACCTGCTGGTATGTCTGTTTAAAAGACAAGCCCTTGTGTAGACATTACATCGAACATCTCTAAGCCAGATAAAGAAAAGAGATCCCTTTTCACCGATTTTCATCAGTATCTTGCCATAAACAAGATTAATATGAAAGCAGCCATATGTGATAGCAATGTCAAAAATTTTCCTCTTCTTTGTGTTTAACAACTGAGGACATTTTGCTATGTCTAGGTAAAACACCTCAAGGAAGGACAAAAAACGTGATCCATTCCAAAAGAAACAAGGTCCGCCACGTGCATATGTGACATGTGACATTTGAACATGGACCTAAACTGGTGAGGTGTAAATGTGGTTGTGGTGATTCTAAGTTGCAAAAACAAATTTAGATCTGATGGTGCAGATTCCTTTAATGTAACCCTTCTGCTGGACAAGTTATTTTTACCTGTGGTGTGATATGGCTTAAAGCAAAGATTTGAAGACAGATGAGCATTGACTGTCTACCAAGCAAATTTGTACAACGATTTCGAGTCCCGCTTTATTAATAAAACATGGCCGGGACAGATTTTAGCGACCACCTTTGTAGGTGTTTATTTGAAAGCAGAAAATGTACTCAGATTCATCTCATGTAGGTGAGGAAGGAAAACGTGTATTACAGGAATCTACAACGGTATTTTGAGAATAAAACTTTCTCTGCAGAACATTACCCTCTTAAAGAAGGCTAAATCATGTGCATGATATAAGCTTTAGATGAAAGACAATGGCGAAACTTCAAAAGAATGGTGATCATGTTCAACCATCACGAGCTCCACAAAAGATCGTTTTAGTTACATCTGTAAAGTATACATCTTTTAATTAACTTAAAATAAAAGTTTTAGGAAAGAAAGTTGTTGAGATGAAACGAGGCACATGATTGACTTCACATCTACGCTGTGCAAACTCATTATTTTTTTTTCCAATCAGGCCGTTTACCAATCCGGGCCCTCACAGGGAAGCCATTCCTCCATACATAACGGTCCATCATTGCCGCTTTCAAGTCAAGAATGAATTCCTCTTTCTTTGACTTTGCCGCTTATTTCTGATGCGATAACAGTAAAACTCTATGTGGAAACAGTTTGTCACAAAGGATAAAAAACAGGATCGCTTCCTGACTATTTTGAGTTTATTTACTTTCCGATGCTCGTTAAGAGGTAGCTTCTTTTAACAAAGAAGACTTAAAAATTCCTGTTCCACTGATTTTATCGTAATTTAATCTCGCAATAAATAGTCCTCATAATGGATGGGTGACCCACCTTTCCTCTGGTAGCCGTCAAGACTTTCTCACATAGAACAGGCGGATTCGCTACCCAGCTCACTTTTCCCCTCTATTTCACAATAAATGATTATTATGAAACCGAAACGGTAACCCTCATTCTTTTTTAGAGTAAGAGTCACCTTTCAAGCAAGAAATCAGTGATCCTCCGTTGAGTCGCAAAAAAGAAATCAGGCTTCGGCGGAAGTCAATCCCATGTCTCTCAGTTAAACTCGAGCCTCGCTGTTACACCCATACCTCTTAGTTATAGATATGCCTCACAGTTAAACCCATGCCTCTTAGTTAAATATATGCCTCTCGGCTAAACCTATGCCTCTTAGTTAAACCCCTGCCTCTCAGTTACTAGTGTGGCACAACCACCAACCGAGCAAGAGGCCACGCGTTGGGAGCAACTGCTCAAATTTTAGAATAAAACAAACAAAAAAAGGAGACAATGCGGCCATGAATGTAGTTCTTACGATGAACTTTATTCCTTCTTTCTTAAACAAGAATGTCTGACATGATGTATCTTTTAATTATTCACCTATATGAAGAACCAACTAAAAGGCTCTAAACTTGGTGAGCTACATAAAAAGAGGGGAACGCTGGCATTTGGTATCGATGTCACATGTACGAGGCCGTGAGTACCAAGTCTATTTCTAAATAACGGGTTGATGTTTAATCTTCCTCGATTGCCTTCTCGCCTGACATCTTAAAAACGTAGTCCGCGTGTCTCGTGCTCCTCCTCCTTATTTTGTTTCTTGTCTTGGTGTTTCTTGTCGTGTTTCTTCTTTCCCTTGGATGGTTTGTCCTTGCACGGATAAGTGCCGCCACATGAGGACGGCTGCACGATGACCTGCTCCGGATAAGGCATAGGGTAAGGTGCCGGATAAGGCATCGGCATAGGGCACGGTGCGGGTGCTGGTACTGGTGTAACTGCTCCACCTTGGCAAGGAGCTCCACCTGCTCCGGCTCCACTCATCAACGTCGTTAAAGCAGCCACCATCTGCCCGAGACACACCGAGGGGTCGCCTTGTGCAGCACAGGCTTGGAAGTCAGCGCAGGCTTTATTCTACGAATTGAAACCGCATGTAATTCATCTTTTCGGCAACAATAGAATTGAGAAACTTCATTTCTTTTCTTTCTTTAGAGAGAAGAAGAAACACAAAAACATTTATTGTAAGACAGCCCCTTTTTCCGCCGACTTAACCTCTAAAAAAGACAAGTGTAGTAGAGACGAAACAGAACGAGTAACTTAATACTGAAAACAGCGCGAATGAAAATGATATTATCCTTTGGTGACTTAAGTGAATGCTATCCTTGTCTTAAAAAGTAAAGACAACATACCCTTAAAAACTCACAAGAAGTTATCTGAAGTGTGCTTGGATCAGGATAATAATTGGCCTCCCAATGACTAACTGTGAGAGGTACAAATGTCTCCTCTATGAATTAAGAGTCTATGAAATTAAACCTAAGAAAGGATAAGCGAAAATACTCACAACTCCGTCAACAAGGGGATTTGGTGGAGGGGGGGGCCCTGCAGCAGGGGCAGGAGGAGGAGCACCTCCCGCTGGTGGCGTCGTTGCTCCTGCAGCAGGAGGAGGCGGGGTGGTTTCCTCTGCACTTCCACTCTCCTCTCCTCCTTCCTCTGGTTTAGCTTCTAAAAATGAAAATGATACAACACTTATAATTTCCTGTTATCTCTTTCGCTGGCCCCTTCTTGGCTTTGTTTGTATTCCTTGTTACTAAATATGCTATAAGTATACCAACGGCTACTAAGGCAATGGATAATGACTAGTCCTTTATATATGACTGTAAATATATGAAAATTATATATGTGAACTGCGGATAAAGAAATGGGATCGATATCAGTATCTGGGCAATTGTCCACTTACCCCTCCCCTAATCCAACAACAGTCTATTGATAACAAATTAGGGTTAATTTTGGGTTAGGGGAGGGGTAGGTGGGAAGTTGCCCAGATACTGATATTGATCCAAGAAATGATCTTCGCAGTAATGAACACTACTTAAGCAGTAGTGAAAATAAGGCCTGAAAAAAATTCAGGCCTGTACGGGATTTGAACCCATGATCTTTATTATTCTATATTCGCGCTTTCTGGATACGAGATTGGTTATAGTCAACTCGGTGTTAGGCGCCTCGTTGGCTATTTACCATTTCATTTATCCAACAAGAGCGAATGGAATAATTGTTTCATTAAATCACATTAAATCCTGAACGTTTGGATATTTGGAGCTTTTGACAGCTCCGCAACAGTTGGTGTGACGCGCTTCCATATTAGGTGACTCGGAATATGAGCTGATAACCGGGGCTGAGTGAACCAATCAGGACGCTAGAAATGCGATATTTCTGAGTTAAAAATTTATAATTACTGTCATTTGTTTTAAGCTTTGATTGTCATCGGTGGTCTACTGACCTCATGTGAATTTTCCTGGGGAGACGCGCTAGATGCCTGGGCAGGAATATGTACTTCCCATCAGAGTTAGGAGTTTATGTATCATTAAAATTGTGAAATAAAAAGAAAGAAAAAAAAAACATCCTACCTTCTTCAGCGATGTAAGTGTCATCAAAGTCTTCTTCTTCAACTTCCCGCTCATCCTTGGAAATATAAGAAGAGAAATCATTCTTTAATCGGTCTTAAGGAAAGTTGAAGGGAGAGGGATTCATGTAAATTAACAATCTTTTATTTCTGTTCTATACTTGAGGCAGTCAGTTTGTGTGGAGATGGGCGGAAAAGCTGGGCAAGTGGGTAAGGGTAAGATAACTTAAAAATTCCGACCGATTTTCTTTCCCTCGCTCGTAAATTTGTTCATCCAGTCCCAATTGACTGACAGCCCAGAGAAGTTTTATATTCAGTTAGCTTTCTAAGTTTTAAACATGCTTGAGTTGGTTGATCATGACAAAAAAAAAATTTGTAATGAAGCTTTAAGTTACCAGCCACATCACGTGTTTTCTACGCTTTGGACATAACGGAAAAAAACGATGTCTGGAAAGTGTTCAATTTGAATGGGCTTTGAACTGAATTCATGCAGACTGGTAGGCAACCGGTATAAGTAGAAAAAAAAGAGAAATATAAAAAAATGGCCCATAAGTTGTTTTGAGCTATGCATCAGTTGTTTTGGGCCCATAGTTCGAAATTAAACAAGTGATTAATTCTCAAACGTGTCCTGTTGAAATGTTGTGTATGTTGTGTTTTTCCGGTGAAATATTTCCGTGAAATCATAAGCCGGCGTCTTCTTTAAAGTCATCGTTTTAGTCATCATTTATCGTTGTCATGCTTGGATCGCATGCAGATACAGGCAAAAAACACAAAAGAATCAACAGGTATCAAGATCGAGGACATTTTCTCTTGCTTGCATCAGGGTAGTGATCGGCTTCATAAGACCCTTCTAAAAAATGGTGAATGAAATTATTGAAATTGGAGGAGAACGAAAGCTGTCGCAATAACAAGAAAGTTGAATAGTACACACAAAAGCTTTTATTGAACATTTCGAGTCAACGCAATTTTTTTTTCAGAGAAATAACGCTTTGCAATTTTGCACATTTACAGAGACGTGGAAACATAGAGGAGAAAATTTCTCAAATTTTTTACTTTATGTTTAAATCTACTTTTCTCGGCTGAGCATAACTAATTTCTTGTGCAGTTTAGTCAAAGCGGTTATAATGTTCAGAAACCATTTTGAAGATGAACAAAAGAAAAGTAAAAAAATAAATCATTTTCTTTTTTCCCTTAAGGTAAGTAAACCCTTCCCTTCCCCTCTCAACAGTCTACATTTTCTCTTTGTTTCTTTTGAAGAATTATTTCATGGCTAAAATGTTCACTGATTTAAGCAGCTTCTACAGGCCATCAAGATTTAATAAGATGCTTTAACAAAGAGGATTGCTTCTGAACAACAAACTCGTCGAAAGATTAATGAGAAATAACTAAAAATCTTTTTAGAAGGACGCTTTACGTTTGAAGAATTATTTCATGGCTAAAATGTTCACTGATTTAAGCAGCTTCTACAG